TCACCAGAGCCGATGGACTGATTGAGGACTGCAGGGAAAATGGGGAGTGGGAATGAGGCTCTGTGGTTGCGATCGAAATCTTCGAGCTCGCTAAGATCTCCGGACTGCTGGGTTTGTTTGTCCAATTGATGCCCTTTCTAACCTCTTTTGCGTCCTCCTTGTCCATACACATTGGTATGAACACTACAGCTGCCCAGAAAGTTAGCTGTAAGTTGCTGGTTGAAGTACGGGAAAGCCACCTTCGGTTCTTCTCTCTTCCTCTCTAGTTTCCACCTCCCCATTTGCCCTCTACAACATGAATCATCTCGTAGACATTGGATAGCCATCTCCAGCGCTTGTACAACAGCCTTCATAAAGGCTGATGAATAAAGGCCGAGATATCAGGTGTTTGGGGGGAAGAAGCGGCAACTCCGACGGCATTATGGGCTAAGGTTTGACTTAAAACGTATCACTCGTGTTGTAGGGGGCATTCAGCAGGCTCATATTGATCACTTTCGCTGAGCAGACGCTCCGCATCTTTAAGTCAATGATAGCCGGCCCCCTCGCATTGAGAAACATCCTTGCACTATCGGCATCGGTGGTATTCTCAACTCGCTCATCCTCGTTCGTTACGGCCGGCAATCCTAGTCATCTGCTCTGTCACACTCTATGGTTCTTCGGGCACCATGTTCATCATCGTTTACAAGGCGTGTTGAGATTGGGAAGAATACACACGCAAAGTAAGGCATGTGGTCTTGATGGCGTCGACGGTGAGAGCGTCGAGAATCGAATATCGCTCCCGTGCCGGCTCTTCCGTGTCCTTTCTTCGTAAATTCCTTGGCATCAGCTAGCCCATCAGCTTGCTTTGAAATCAGATGGTGATACATCAAATTATAGGACCGATACTTTGAACCATCCGGCTGAGTTACCGTGACTCATTCGGACTTGTTTCCTTCGGAAAGACTGACCCCTTGGTTTTATTTCCACTTTTTGGAAAGAAAGGCCCAGAAATTGATCCACTAAATGAAGCTTAAATGTTGTTGTAATATCTCTTTGGCACGCCATTTTTAGCATTTCCCTCTTTCAGCATGGGATACCCCCAACTCTGGGCAGGTATTAAGGGAACAAGATGACCTTAAACTCGAACCAGCTTCCGTCAACTTCCGAATTTACATTAAATGTCGAACCTTGGGGCTCTCCTAGATGAAGATAGCTTTTGATATCTCTAGCAAAGTAGAATTCCATCTTATGAGGGCCTGTCTTATATGACAGCGGCTCCTTTGGATAATATTACGAGGAGAATGGAGCATACCTTTAGGGGAAGGGTCACAGGAACTGACGGAAGTACCGAAATATTCAAAGGTTTACGTAGAAGCCAGGCCAGGCCCCAGAAGTCACGATCATTGCAAGGTTGCTGCTTTTTGAGGCTTGAGAAGGTAAATGTGGGTCAATGGCAAGCGCTGGAGGATTGTTTTGGAGACTTCACTTCCTCCCAACCAGTAAGTAAGCTGCCGAACGAGTTCATGACTCCATCCAGGAATGAAGGGTCTATTCTCATCGCTTCATATTCTCTATCTAAGTTGCGATTGTACTGTTTGCATAAAGTGATTTCAAGAGTCAGGACCACACCCAGTTCTTACATTCATAGTCTAGGGCTCAAACGAGAGAGCTAGCTCGAGAAGCCTTGCTCAACGTGTCACGGATGGCACAGCGGAGACACCTAACATTGCGTGGGGGTCATCAAGCATCAAACATCAAACATGCGAGCAGAATCCTCGACCCGGAAAGAAGAGTTGGACGATTGCATAAGTGAATTGATCGGCGGCCCCTTGACTGATGACACCGAGAAGCCGCGTTTAGGCAGACGTGTCCACCATAACACTGTCTCTTATCTCGAATTCCGTGAAAAACTGTGAGTCCTCTCGTGCCTTTCCCCTTGATCCTGCAGACAAAAGAGGACACGGACGTGTCCTGTGTCGATCAATGACGATATACGACTCAACACCCTAAAAGTTCGGCGGTACGCAAGGCAGCAGTTTCTGCTATCTTTGCCCTACTCATGCTGAATAATCCAGCTGCATGTTGATCGGCGAACAGCCACACTTGCTGGAGGGACTGCATATTGCTTCGATTACACCTGTAGGCAGACTTCAATACGAAGTTGCTTTTATGGAGATCAATTTTCTCCACAGCATATCCCACCTTAGTGTACACAGGTAGCGATATCTATTTTAGAAACAGTCCCAATGCCCGGCTGTAGTTGGATGGTTGTACACTACGAGGAGTGTGGAATAATGTAAGTGGAGTCATTGGTGCGTTGTGGAACAAATATTAAGCCTTCACGAAGTAGTGCGAACGTTCTTTTCTCTGGTAAGCATACTCGAACGTCACGTCCGTCATGCTAGACGCGTGTCTGAGTAGACAGCATGACGCACGACACCATCAGGCATTATGACTAGCAATGGCTAGTTTCGTGTCGGCTCTGACTCATTATGATGATGAGAGGACCGCTCTGTTAATCAGAAAGGTAGTGTAGGCCAGGCTAGGAATGTGAGAAAACGTGGTTGCAATGTTTCAGGGCGCTGTCTCCACCGAGCCCTAGCTACTCGGCCCCGCCATTTCGTGCTTCGGACTTAAGTGGTTGAGACTGGGAGTCCAGGCTTTTCGCGGAGATATCGTAGTCTCCGTAAAACGAAGGGAATTGAAGGCATTCTTGTTCTTTTTTAGGCTTAGATGTGAAGAACTTTGTCCTGTGGGTCGCAAACGCGGAACAATTGAAGGTCCTGTTGAAGGCCCCCACGATAGGCCCGGTGGGGCCGAGTGGTCCCGACTAACAATTGAAGTTGGAAGGATGAAGCATGGAAAAGGCTCAAGGAACTGGATCTGATGCGAAGAAGGTCAAGATTACGTCCACTCCTTGCAGGGTTTCACTGAATTCTGCTAATATCTCTTGTATGTATGCGAAGGTAGAGCAAGGCGATCAATGACAAAATTATGTTACGATAGTTTGTGTGGGCGGACGACTCGCTCGAGCATGGGTTCAACTTATGATCGGTAGTTGCGTGGGGTGGGGCCTGGACACGGAGCAATGAGTGATCATCAGGACTTGGGGGATGTCAATGGTTCCGCGTTATTAATGGACTTTATCATGTCGCTCAGGTCCCACGACTGCGAAGTACTCTAGGCTTGGGAATACAGGCTTGGAACTTGGTCATGGGGCCGGAAGGATACATGCGACAAAGGCAACATTCAAGTCACTGGAGAACGGTGGTACCTGTAAACTTTTACTTCGTCAGCAAATTTGTGTAGAGAGTGGAGAATTAGTAATCCAAATCGGAGCAATTGGGCTTGAGGAGGAAAAGAAGGGGAAGCCAAGACGGCGTTAGGAGCAATTCTATTATCAGATCTAAGTGTTGGGGACCCTCGCCAAGACCACCGTCCTCAAGCATTGTCGCAACTCCGCCGACGTATTCCTAAGCAGTCAATGAAAGCCGGGAAAAAAAAAAAAAAAAAAAAAAAAAAAAAAAAACTAGCCTAGATAGAGAATTATTGTGGTATTCTAGGAATAAATTAATCTACGTACTTTCCAACATACAAGTAGGGCTTGGCAGATAAAGAGACCTTCTGAGTCCTTCACTACTGCTGCGATGGGATGAAAATGAGTGGGGAGGGCCGGACTTAGGTAGACACAGCTTCGGAAAAGTTCCCAAGATCCGATTTTTGGACAGGGGAGGGCCCCACAGTCTCCACTGGCAAGAGCGGAGGGGTGACGGCAAGCAAGATTGGCCCGGTCCACCTTCCCAAGCCTGCCCCCGGCAGTACCTGTGTGTCGTCGAAAAAGGTGAAAAAAAGCGAGAAGAAAAGCGAGAAGGCGAGAGAGCCCCTTCCTCTCGAACATTCTTCTTCGCTGTTGCTTTTCCTAGAGATCCAGAGGTCGTGCTTGCCTCGGTTTTGCATTTCCGCACAAGGACAGCCTGAGCTTCAACTTCCTTATCTCGCTTGTGTCATCCGTACTTTGTAAGTGAGGCCCTCGTCGGGATTTTGGTTCGAGACCTCGGTAGGAAGTACAATTGTATATTGTAGCGTTCTTCATGCTTCGTAGTGTTGCTTCAATCAATTGATGTTGTTGGCTCGATCATGTGTCCCTGCATTGAGTACTTCGTGGTTCCTAACCTGGTCTGGAATTCTCAATGGCCCCCGTTGTGCGCAGACAAGGCAGCAACTCTCCGATTCCCACCCTCGCTTTTTCCTCGCCCCTCTACGACCCGCCGCGTCTGGCAGGGTGATCAATTATGTCGTCTTTTTGGAGTTCAAACGCAGTTTGTAATCCAGGCCCGACGCTAGTACTAACTTTATTTTAGGAGCAATTGTTTTGTTTGATTTTTCTAAAATTTTGATTCTTTAATTCCTCCGCCTAAGAGAAAATCATCCCCACTGAGACTGATACCTTTGACCAGGTCTAGTCTGGGCCCGCTCTCCGTTTTTCACACCAGCTTTCCTGGTTGTCTTCTCCACACGTCCGTCCCTCTTTCTTTTTTGTGCTGATAAATGCTGTGGAAGCCCGTGTCCTGTTCTACAGCTTCTTCAATTGTTCTTTTAATATTCTGTTACAAAACGGTATCTCTCTTTTAAACTGGGCTTTCTCTCAAAAAGGCCTGAACTCATTGTGATCCTCACTGTCCACTCGACATATCATATTTGATTCTCTACAGCGTTGACCCTTCGCACTTACATTCATCTTCGGTCGAGGTCCTTGGCGATACGCCCCGTGTCCCTTCTCTTCATCGAATCCTTGGTTCACGTTTATTGGTGTCGTTTTGATACCTTTGGCAGCGGCGAACATTACTTCGTTCTGGGTATTCATATTGCGCTCCTCGCAGTTGCCTTAATATCGCCGCGTCCCCAGTTCTTGATCCTTTACCGCTTAGCGTGCAAGTGACAGTTTTGATCCGCCACCCGTTTCGTGCAAAGATACACAACGCGTAGCGCGGCGGTCTCGTTTTGATCGCCGACGTGCGCCAATGGCCGACTCAACGCCCTCCAAGAGTGTTTACGAGGGCCAGCAAACATCCTCTTCAGACGCCACCCTCCCCGAGCATTCGATGCCCGAGGCGGAGACCAAATCCGACGCCGAGGGACACGCGAGTCCCCTGCCCGAAGCCATCGAGGGAATTCATACGGGAGTCTCTGTCAGCCAGGCTGAGGCTGATTTTGCCCAACTCCAGCGTGAGCTGTCGAGAATAAGCCGCGTGGAGAGTACCGTTACGAGACGCAGGACGACTGATGTCGAGAAAGCAGACGCCGCGGTGCCATCTAGCATCACCGATGGCAGCATCGAGCCGTTCGATCTCGAGGCCACGCTTCGTGGTGGTCTCGATGCCGAACGCGAAGCTGGTATTCGTCCCAAGCACATTGGAGTTTACTGGGACGGCTTGACGGTCAAAGGAGTCGCTGGCCAGGATAACTACGTCTCCACCTTTATCGATGGATTCCTTGATTCCATTAACGTTATATCTCCCCTAGCTAGGCTCTTCGGTCTTGGAAAGAAGGGAAGCGAAGCAACGCTTCTTGACGGCTTCAAGGGTGTCTGCAGCCCGGGCGAGATGGTTCTTGTTCTGGGTAAACCAGGTTCCGGCTGCACTACGTTTCTGAAGGCAATTGCCAATCAGCGATACGGCTACACTGGTGTTACCGGCGAGGTATTGTACGGCCCCTTTACCGCGAAGGAGTTCCAGCAATACCGTGGTGAGGCCGTGTACAACCAGGAGGACGATATTCACCACCCCACCCTTACCGTTGAGCAAACCCTTGACTTTGCCCTCGACATGAAAGTTCCCGGAAAGCGCCCCGCTGGCGTCTCGAAGGCTCAATTTAAGGAGCAGGTCATTACCATGCTCCTCAAGATGTTTAACATCGAGCACACTCGTCGTACCGTTGTCGGTGATCATTTTATCCGGGGAGTGTCTGGCGGCGAACGGAAACGGGTGTCCATTGCCGAGATGATGATCACTAACGCTTGCATTCTGTCTTGGGATAATAGCACTAGGGGTCTGGATTCGAGTACTGCTTTGGATTTTGTCAAGTCGCTTCGAATCCAGACCGATCTTTATCGAACGACTACTTTTGTTTCGTTATACCAGGCTTCTGAGAATATCTACAAAGTCTTTGACAAGGTCCTCGTCATCGATGGAGGAAAGCAAGTCTACTTCGGCCCAGCAACCGAGGCCAGAAGTTACTTCGAAGGTCTCGGATTCGCCCCTCGCCCGAGACAGACGACTCCCGACTACTTGACTGGGTGTACCGATGAGTTCGAACGAGACTATGCCAAGGGGTATTCGCCGCAGAATGCTCCCCACAGCCCCAAGACTCTTGCCGAAGCATTCGAGAATTCGGTATATCAGCGCAGACTGGACGATGAGATGGCCCAGTACAAGACCAATTTGGAGGTGGAATCACAAAAACACGAGGACTTCAAGGTTGCTGTGAAGGAAAGCAAGCGGTCTTCGCCGAAGCGGTTAGTTACAAAACTTGCCCATTTAGGAAACGAATCACTAACCCTTTGCATTCTTCAGATCCACGTACTCTACCGGTTTCCACATCCAGGTTGCGGCTCTCGTAAAGAGGCAGTTTTATCTCAAATTGCAGGATAGGATGGGCCTCGCTCTATCATGGCTTCGGAGCATTGTTATCGCTATCGTACTCGGAACTCTCTATCTCAAACTCGGAACCTCTTCGGCGAGCGCGTTCAGCAAGGGCGGTGTGCTATTCGTTGCTCTCCTCTTCAATGCTTTCCAGGCCTTCTCGGAACTTGCCAGCACCATGTCAGGGCGGGCTATTGTTAACAAGCACCGGACGTACGCGTTCCACCGGCCATCGGCGCTCTGGATCGCACAAATTCTCGTTGATCAGGCCTTTTCTGCGACGCAAATCATGATTTTCTCTATCATCGTATACTTCATGACCGGATTATACAGGACTGCAGGCGCCTTCTTCACGTTCTACCTGATGATCTTGTCTGGGAACATCGCGATGACTCTTTTCTTCCGAATTGTTGGATGCGCAAGCCCAGATTACGATACAGCCATCAGGTCTACGGTTTTCCTCATCACTTGTTTCGTCATCACATCCGGTTATTTGATTCAGTATCAGTCGCAACACAAGTGGTTGCGATGGATCTTCTGGGTCAATCCATTAGGCCTGACGTTCAGCGCCATGATGATGAACGAGTTCAGGAGCGTTAAACTCACGTGCTCAGCAGAGTCACTAATTCCATCCGGCCCAGGCTACGACGACATTGCCTACCAAGTATGCACTCTTGCCGGTTCCGTCGGCGGTACGGCAATCGTGAAGGGTGCGGATTACATCACGAAAGGGTTCTCATACGACCCCGCCTACCTCTGGAGGAACTGGGGTATCGTCTTTTCTCTCATCGTCTTCTTCCTTATCATGAATGTGGTTCTCGGAGAGTTTATCAGCTACGGCATGGGTGGTAACACTGCAAAGGTTTTTGCCCGTCCTAATGCCGAGCGGACGGAGCTCAACACGGCCCTAATTAAGAAGCGCGATGAAAAGCGAAAGGGGGAGGCTGTTGAAGAATCTTCGGACCTTTCAATCAAGTCGGAGAGCATTTTAACCTGGGAAGAGCTCAACTATGATGTCCCTACTCCAGCAGGCACCCGGCGGCTCCTCAACAATGTTTTCGGCTACGTTCGTCCCGGAGAACTCACGGCATTAATGGGCGCTTCCGGCGCCGGCAAGACGACGCTGTTGGATGTCCTTGCGGCCCGAAAGAACATTGGCGTAATCTCGGGATCTGTGCTTGTCGATGGTGTACAGCCAGGCAAGCAATTCCAGCGAAGCACCTCCTACGCCGAGCAGCTCGATCTCCACGACCCTACGCAGACGGTTCGAGAAGCTTTCCGATTCTCTGCGGATCTCCGCCAGCCCCTCGAGACGCCCCAGAGTGAAAAGTATGCATATGTTGAAGAGATCATTTCCCTTCTCGAGATGGAGGACATTGCGGATTCGATTATTGGAACGCCAGAGAGAGGTCTCACGGTAGAACAACGCAAGCGTGTAACTATTGGCGTCGAGCTTTCTGCCAAGCCAGAGCTCCTCCTCTTCCTCGACGAGCCTACTTCTGGTCTTGATAGTCAGAGCGCGTTCAACATTGTGCGATTCCTCAAGAAATTGGCTGCCGCCGGGCAGGCTATTCTCTGCACGATTCACCAGCCGAACGCGTCACTATTCGAGAACTTTGACAGACTCCTCTTGCTCCAGCGCGGCGGACGCACGGTCTATTTCGGAGACATCGGTCAGGATGCTTACATCTTGAGGAGCTATTTGAAGAGACACGGTGCGGTTGCTGGCAAAACTGACAACGTGGCCGAATTTATGCTCGAGGCCATTGGTGCAGGCAGTTCCCCACGAGTCGGCTCTCGTGACTGGGCAGACATTTGGGAAGACAGCCCCGAGTTCGCCCAGACGAAGGAGACCATCAAGCAGCTCAAGGAGGAGAGGGTCCGCGCTACTGCGTCCGCCGTCAAAGACACTGAGAAGGAATACGCCACGCCGTTTATGCATCAGCTCAAAGTGGTTACCACTCGCATGAACAAGGCTTTCTGGAGGTCGCCAAACTACGAGTTCACCAGGCTGCTCAACCACCTGATTGTCGCGCTCTTGACTGGTCTGACGTACTTGAATCTTGACAACTCCCGATCTTCGCTGCAGTACAAAGTGTTCGTCATCTTCCAGGTTACTGTCCTACCTGCTTTAATTATTGGACAGGTCGAAGTTATGTACCATGTGAGACGCGCCATCTTCTTCCGCGAGTCCTCGTCAAAGATGTATTCTCCGTTCACCTTTGCCGCATCTATCGTTATTGCGGAGGTTCCTTACTCAATCCTGTGCGCCATCATCTTCTTCTTGCCCCTGTACTACATCCCAGGGTTCCAGCACGAGTCCTCGCGCGCTGGGTTCCAGTTCTTCATGATTCTCATCACGGAAATGTTCTCCATCACCCTCGGCCAGGTTGTCGCGTCGCTTGCGCCGTCCGCGTACATGTCAGTGCAGTTTGACCCGTTCATCATGATTACATTCGCGCTTTTCTGCGGTGTCACGATTCCGAAGCCGCAGATGCCTGGATTCTGGAAGGCGTGGCTCTACCAACTTGACCCTTTCACAAGACTTATCTCGGGCATGGTCACCACGGCCCTCCATAAGCTGCCGGTTGTATGCAAGCCCCATGAGCTCAACAACTTCAGGGCGCCGGATAACATGACCTGTGGCGAGTACATGCGCAACTACTTTAGCAACGGAGGGTTGGGGTACCTCGTCAACGAGGACGCCAGTGACTGTCAGTACTGCGCGTTCCGTGAGGGTGACCAGTTCTACGAGACTCTGGATCTCAGCTTTGGCCACAGGTGGAGGGACTTGGGTATCTTCCTCGCTTTTATCGGCAGCAATTTGATTATCCTCTCCCTTGCGGTAAGTAATGAGTGACTGCAAAGGCTTAGTGCGTTCGAGCGAAGACTAACGAGGTTTTTTTTCTTTGCAGAGCCGATACATCAACTACAACAAGCGATAAGGGTTTCTGCTTCCCTTCGACCGCAAACGGAAAAGCCATTCTCTCGTGTTGTTAAATACAATCTGCCCTGTATCTCCTGTTCTTACAGAGGGTAGGGCGTCCTTTTTATTCCCTAATTTTTTTTTCTCGTGTACATTGATGGGTTCGAAAAGTATCAGCGGCGACTCATTTTGGGGGGAAGTTCATAGGATACGAGGACAGTTCATGTTCATCTTCACTGCTAGACAAAAAGTTTCATAGGAGTAATAAAGCCTGAATCTTACGATCTTCTTCATTCGAATGTTAAGTGCCCAGGACTCGGTCCATGGCGGGAAAGTTATCACACGGACTAGTTCTAATTCACATCTTCAGCCTTCTGGGCTCTTGGATCAGTATTCTGGCATGAAACCCTCTACGATGGAACCGCGTGTAAGGCCATGCCTTCCTAGCTGCTAAAATTGGAACAACCGGGTATGGGGCCGGTTGGCATCTTACTTAACGGAGGTTCTGGTAGACTAATACATGGATATATGATTCGAGGATGGAAGTGTGGCCGCTTAAGGAGTTGAACAGTCTCGGGAGTGGGCTCGGAGGGCTCCGCCCAGGCGGAATCGAGCACCTCGTCCCTGATGCCCCGTTTCTTAGTGATGGGAGATATGCCCAACTAACAGCGTCTGGGTGGCGTTCCTAAATCAAACATCCTCGATCCTCTATTCTATGTAGGCGCTCGCCTGCCCTCTCCGCCCAAGTCTTAGTCGCATGGTTTTTGCCGTCGTTCAAACTTGATACGAAAGGAGAAGCATAACCAAGCTGGGTGCTCCTTCCCATTTCAGTTTCTTAAAGTGAGGAAGGAGCAAGACGTCTATTTCATCACAATCTTATCAAGGAAGGAGCTATCATACCTGGTTTCCTCTTGATGTGATTCACTCAAAACATTATTTTCCTTTGCTCCAGCAGCAACTCTCTCCATTTAAATGATCTCTCAACTATTTAAGCACCCCTTCTTCCCAATACAAACATTCCTCTTATTGTTTTCCTCCTGTGCGCACTTCACCAATACAACACGATCAACACATCAACACATCAACGAGATCACAAGTATACCTTGACCTCGTCAGTGCAAGTGACTCTGGGTCATCTGAAGGTCTGCTAACACGTCTGCCAATCGCAGGCTCCTTTGTTTCCCTAATTGTGGTTCGTTTCGATAAACAAACATGGATCCTGGGGAGGACGCGGAAGAACCGCAAGTCGGATCCTCAATTCTCAACTCTCCCACTTCCTCAACCGAAGACGATTTCCACAGCATCCCTTCCAGCGTCGAAGATCATTCTGACGCCGATTCCGATTCCCACAACACCACTTCCAGCACCGAAGACCACTCTGACGCCGTCAGTTCCATCAATCTTAACATTCCCGCCCCTACTAGCATTGATCAGGATAAAATGTCCTCCGGCAAGGACCCCCTCTTGACCGCCGCCGATGTCGACGAGGCCTTCCACGCCTTCGAGCAGGCGAGCGCCCTCGGCAAGCTCACCATTCTCGTGACCATGTTGGAAGAGTACCGCGAGCTCAAGAAGAAGCTCAACACTGCGGAGGAGAAGAACAAGAAGTGGCGAGAGGTGCTCGACGAGGACGAGGATAAAGTTGCGGAGAGCGAGATGCTCCTCAAGCAGGAGGAGATTCGAGTCGGCATTCTCGAAGCTAAGAATGCCGTCGTCGAGGCGAGGCTGCGGAAGGTGTGCCCCGAGGCCTTTGACACCGAGGGTCCTAAGGCTGAGCCTACTGGCTTCGAAGTCACCGAGAGCCCCAAGGTCAAGCCCAGTGGCACCAAGCGCTCCAAGGGTTCCAAGGGTTCCAAGCGCAAGGCTAGCGGTCGCAAGCGCTCCTAGATTTTCGAATTGACAGCACAATTCCCGGTCGAAAGTCGCCACCCACGCCGAGGTAGCGCGGTTAAGTCAGCCCAGTGGTTGAGAAGGCTACTCACTATCGACAAAGAAAAGGTTCGTCTTCCTGCTTCCCGTGGAGAGGTCATTCCACTCGCCACTCTCTGGCTTGTTTCCATGCTGACATGCCCATAAAGAAGAAAGGCACCGAAAAAAAATCCCGAAGCATATTCTGATGGGCTAGTGCCTTGTTCGCGTGAGGTTTCTCAGTTCCCAATAAATCAGTTTGAAGCCCATTCCTCCCATGCCCTGTTTCGTGTGTGTTAAGAATTTGGAGAGTCTCGTCGATTCTTCGAAAATTTGATTCCACTCTCGCGATTGAGGTCGGATGGCCGTGTTTATTATTATAAATTCTCGTGGAGGAAAAATCGATCCCAATGATACAAGCAGAGGGACACACATCTGGCCTCCAAACAATGAAACGTACTCCAAACAGGCGTGAATATCTCATAGCCAAACAGTAACTAAGATCAAAACAGGTGAAGCGAACTGGTTGAGAACGTGATGGGTATCCTTGCTGCCCCTATTTGCAATTCCATCAAAGAGAACTCAAGTGAGAGCAATAGACGCCGAGACTCCATTACATGCACATAGCCCGTACACATAGCCCGATGCAAATAAAAAAAAGAAAAGAAAAGAAAGACCAGACCAGACCATTCTCCATTTCCCGCCAAAAGCCAAAAAGAGTCGATTTAGCTTGGGAGTTGCGCAACGTTGGATTGTTGCTGTTGCTGTGGCTGTTGTTGATACTGATACTGATACTGCTGCTGCTGCTGCCTCTGCTCCGCGACCTGAATATAAGGCTGCTCATGCGCATAATTCACCGGCTGCGACTGCTGATCGACATATGGCTGCTGTCCCGGTTGTGCCATCTCGTGCACGATATTCCCGTCCTGCGCGTAGTACCCGCCAAACTGGGCATTCTGATCCTGTTGCTTCGAAGCGTCGGGAAGAGGGACGGGCGCGTAATTGACCATGGGGTAGGCGGGGGGAGGGGCGGCGGATTGGCGGGCGACGGAGGCTGCTGCTGCTGTGGCGGCGGCGCGGTTTCGGGCGACGAGGCGAGATTTGCGCTTTTTGTAGAAGATGAAGCCGAGGATGGGGACGATAACGAAGAAGAAGACGACGCAGACTGCTATGGCGACGATGTAGCCGATTGCGAGCCCTCGGGCGGCTGTTTGATAGGACGACGAGGCCATGTTTGGGCCGAGTTTATTTTATTTTATTTTATTTTTGGCTCCTTTTCTTCGAGATTGCTAGATTCGATTCACGGGGCGGGCGCTCGGTCGATCGAGAGTTTTTCGCTTGGTTGAGGCGACCCAATCGTGATGGCTTCTCCTCGGGAAACAGTGCTTGCGCAAGGAAGAGGGAAAAAAAGCGAAAATTTCCGCCTTCCTGGAAGCGAAGAGTTAGGACCAGGATTTATGACGGAGGGGATTGGAAGATTGCAAGGAGCATAATTCCCCCTCTCCTATGAATCGACAAGGGCCAATGTTGCATGGCTGGCTTTGTTGTGTTCCATCGGGCTTAAAGCTGAGCAGGAATCCATTGCTATTCCGCCCCCCTGGTGAGCCTTACGGGTAAGACAAGGGGCCAAGACGAGACACAATTCCTGACGCTAATCCTCTTCGGGGACAGCTGCATGACGGACTGCCATCGTTCTTCGTGTGAGGAGCCCGCTCTGCACAGCCCCCCTTTCCCTCAGCCTGGGGAGGATGAGGGCGATTGGAGGCGGTGTATTTCCTTCTGGTGGTCAGCTGGTGATCTTGGGAGCGGAGGATTGGAGATGCTGGGTTTGTGGATTGAAGCATGAAGATGGAAATCGGCCAATGGAGATTTACTAGGATGCGATGCTGAGGGAAAGTGGCTGGGATTGATTGATTTGATGGGATCCATTCTACGGACGACCCGCGAGATCTCCTTGATGGAGAATTGCCGCAGCCCGAGAATTGGATGAAGATAAGGGCCGAGCCGGGGAACACCACTCACTTTCAAACCTCTATTGACTTCTTGATGTCGAGGAGCTCACAGTGAGCACTGAAGCCGTTTCGTGGGGTTACTCCTCCTCATTCCAAACTTTTCGTGCCTTGGCCAGATCGAGGTGGCGTTGCTCCTGCATATTCCTTCGGCTCGGTATCCAACATTTTGCTGCCAATGCACCCCTCTCGTGCGACGAGACACAAACGGCTACTGTAGACATGGATACTGACGTTGGATACCTTTGCAATGGAAGCTCGGACGATCAATTGACGAAGGGGGAGAGATAATATTGACTTGAGCTTTGGGATTGACCATTTATCGTCCTGAACAGCATGCGGTCGCGCTTGCCTAGAAACATCGAGACCTCGACAAGACTTGCTGCGCTTTCTCATCGTGTCGATCCTTCTCCATGGTGTAGCGTCGGCTAGACCGGCTGGATGTCTGCGATTTGAGCCACGGAAGGATCGCGGTGGTTGTGCCCGAGTATCGCGTTGTTGTCTCATCTGTTCAGTAATCCTTCCTTTTTCTCTTCTATTTACTACCACCACGCTGAGATGGTCAAGTCTGCCCACCAGAGGACCCGCGCTCCTGGGATACTCGAGATAAACTCCGACCCTGGCAAGGATACAAAGGCTGGGAAAGAATTGATCTAGTTCTCTCGGTTTGATTACTCGCCCTTGAGATTCTGTCGAGTGTAGGGACCAGGGTCGGCCGACCTTGTTAGTCGATTCTGACCGAGGAAATTCAGCCCATCTAGACTTTGCTTCAAGATACAGAAGCAGTACGAGAGGCAAGTTGAACTCCGAGAACGCCTCACTGTGGTATCCTTGGACATGACTGAGGCCCAGCTCCACCTAGACTGCACCATCTCTGGAACCACTCACCAGATGAAAAATGCGATCGAAATCTAAGAGGACTGGGACTGCCCTACCGGTAGAACTATATCAACGGATCTCATTCGTTACCTCCCCAGCGAAACTATCGGATCTCGGAGTTTGAGATGGTCAGGTTTATCGAAGCCCTGTGTGAGTGTTTCGGTTTCCTTTTCCATGTACGGGAACATCCGCTCCCACCAAAAACGTGTGTATGTACAGTCGCTTAAATTGAGGGTCACCCGGTGGTATCGGACATTCGCAGAGAGTGCCGGGACCGAGACGGGGAATCTGATAGCACACAAGATGTGATGGTATCAACATTGGCTAGCTGGCTTCTCTGATGGTGAGGGATCACCGATGTAGTGCCATGGCTCGAGACCCTACATTATCGCCGATGAACCCGGCGCCAGGTTCACGGTGGAGAGACACGACGACGTGGAACAGTCTCTTCAACTTTAAATGGTGTTCTCTGACCGACAAGACTCTTTTCTAGAACGCGCACTTCGCTTTTATTCATCATACGAGAAATTACTTCTGTAGCTTTACCAATGTATGCCCTCAGCCCTGTTGAATCCGCCAGAATAGCCTCTCCTGACAAACGATGAAGGGGAGAGGATGATGTTTCATCATGGTAATCGCGCCTTCCGCATCTTCGCCCATTCAATCTTCAATCTCCGAGCCCAGAGTAGCCTTAAATACCAAAACGAGCTTAGAATTTTCCAATAAGTAGGAAGTTGGGAGATTCGTGGGAGTCACTCGGAAACGCACGGCGGACGAGAACCACCAACCTTTTTCCTTTGGCCTCTTTTGGTCCAGTATTTCCTCTTCTATCTTTCCAATTCGATGTCCTGTCAATGATAGGTTTTCAATTTTATTATCATCCTCTTGAAATCTTGAAATGCCTCTGACATCTTGGAAAAGTGTCATGCAGACTCAATCATCACCAAACCATCAAGTGACGGAACAACAGCCTCCCTCACAGAAGAGAATGCAAGCAAAGGGACTACATATTTCACAGGTGGGCTTCTCGTGCGCCCATTCCCCCGAGACACCTGACAGCGTAGATCCCTTTACCCGTTATTCTCGACACCTGGGATTAATTAACGGGATACCCCGATTAGTCGAAATGATGCCCAGTTCAAAGAGACCCGGATGAATGCCATGGATGAAGTCGCCACTTCTTTGGGCGGTAATATCGGTGCATCGAAGACCGGGTCGCCTCAACTTTGCGTCCCTTTTCAACGTGGCCTCTGGTCATGGTCGATCGAGCTGTGCAACACTATCAAAAAGAGAAGAAAAGAAAGCGGCCAGTAACTGACCGTGTCCAACGGAATAAAATGAAGAAATCAGTCCAAATTGCCCCAAGAAGAACCTAAACAACAGCCGCCTACTATTTCCTTACCGAGGATGGAATCGCACACGGCGAGGTGGAGACGCGCAGCCGTCGATGAGGAAGGTTTCCGCCTCCTCCGGTCCCCCGGGACCCAAGCGTACGAGGAAGAGCGCACCCCGGCAAAGGTAGAACCGATGCTACCAGACGAACGGCGGCGGCTTTGCTTCCCCCGGTGGGTTGCTGGTCCGCGGGAACCCCGCCGCCACGTCGTGAGACCAATCTTTCCCGCCCTTCAGCAATGGCCCATCAGTCTCCTTGACAGGGCTAGACCAGCCATCAAGGCGTCCGTCACCGGCGTCTTCTTCCTCGTGTGGCTCATCGCCTTCTTCTACCCGTTGGCCTCTTCACACAAACCTTTTAAAGACGGCGACGAGGAATATGTCCGCAACCTCAACTGCGACGATAGCCTCTGGTCCATCTACGAGTGCGGAGTCGACGGAGAGCTGTGTCGGCCCTTCACCGAGAGCCACTTCTCCTTTCGTTGCCCCGCGAATTGCGCCGGCGCGGTGGTGTCTACACGTCCCCATCCTGTCGGCGACCAAGATATCATTGGCCAACCCCTCGTCATCGGGAGTAACCCGTTTCGCGCAGACTCTTACATCTGCGTCGCCGCCATCCACGCCATCGTCACCTCCAACGAAAAGGGAGGCTGTGGCCGCGTCACTCGCGTAGGGAGACACGACACCTACGCCGGCATAGAAAGCAACGGCGTCTCGTCGATCGAATTGGACACGTACTTCCCCTTCTCGTTCACGGTATCCCCAGATCCCTCCATACCCTGCAAGGACCACGAAGACCCCCGCCACCGACTCCTCGGCGTGTCGGTGTTCTTCCTCGGCGTCTTCTCGCTCTTCGTGAGCTCCGCCGCCTGGCAGTTCTTCGTGGCGTTCACGACGGCGTTTGCTCACGTCGCTCTCGTTTCCGATCCGGCGCCAGTTTCGTTCCGCTCCACGGCCGTGCTTCCCAGGAGGATGTCCGATTTTATCCAGGGTTTCCTGCCGGCGCTGTTCGTCGCCGCTGTTCTCTACAGAACTTGCGTGAAGAGGACCATCGACGGGCTAACGGCGCAGATCGAAAAGACGCTCTTCTGGACAGGTGGGCTATGGTTCGGTGCCATGGCCAATTACACCTTCGATTGGTTCCCATTGGAGAACTTGTCGGCCTACGAGCTGACGAGAGTCTCAAAGGCTACGTTCACCGTCGCCGCGGTCGTCGCAGCGGTCGGATTCCTCGCCGCCTGGCTTCTCTACTGCCTCTGGACCGAGGGCCGCTTTGAGCGCTACATCCTCTTCTACGCCGTCTCGATCCTGGCGCTCGCCGCTCTGTCCTGGATCCCCGGAACCGGTGTGGAGATCAATCTACACCACTACATCGTCTCGCTCCTACTTCTTCCACTGACAGCGACACAGACCCGGCTATCCCTCGCAAGCCAAGGTGTCCTCCTCGGACTCTTCATCCACGACGTAGCGCACTCGGGCTTCTCGCCCCTCTTGGAGCTAACCGCGTCTCTCCCCATCGCGTACCCGGTTCTCCAGCTACCCACCGTCATCTTCACGCCGCACGGTTCCAACGTGACGCTCTCCTTCGAACCGCCCCCGTCGGAGTCAAGGTACGATGGAATCAGTGTCACGGTAAACGATGTGGAGAGGTGGCGCATGCTGTATCCCGAGATCGGGAAGACAGGAACGAGCTTTACGTGGAATTGGCCGAATGACATCAAGTATGACGAGTATTTGAGGTATGGGTATATTCGCGACGGCAGGATTATAGGGTATGGACCTGCCGATGCGTGGCTTTCGAATGGAACGTTTGTTGGGCAGGTCGGGATTGTGAGGCCGGATGAGGCGGAGGAGAATCCAGTCGGGGACAACGAGGAGGAAGAGTAAGGGAAGTTTGTAACAGTGCAGCGGCGATGATCTTTTTTTAACGCGTTGTGTACAATTGAGCATTTCTTCAGATTGTTAGTTCTACCATTAGCTCCAGCTTTCTCACCAATAAGTTAGATCTCACTTCTTCTCGAATCTCTCCGTCGGCGAAGGCTGCCCACCATCGGAATATTATCCTGCGGCATGTCCAATATAATACGCCAAGAACTGGGGAATGGTGATGGATTCGGAGTCTTATGCCCCAATCCCGCCCGTTCGGACAGCAATCTATTCCGGGCCCGCGTATTAGTGGAAAATCAATTGGTTAAATATGGCACAGGTCTTGGCTCTTAAGCCCAGAGGTAGAAAAAAAAAGTAAGAATTAAAAAAAAAAAAAAATTGGAAACCCTAAAATACTACCTACCTTGTCGACTAGGTCTCCTGTGACGTGATTTCTGGGGTTGCGCAATTGGAAAAAGACGTTCAATCGCCGAGTTCGGAATTCCAAGAGACTAAATCGGAAAAGGCCCCAATTGAGCTTCTCAACCTCTCAATAAGGGATCTCAAACCTGGTCCTGTGGTGGAGTTTAAAAACTGATCTCGAATTGACTTTTCACGATGTCTCCCGCGCCGAGAGCTCAATCTACCAATCCGGCCTCCTCATACCCCGCCCGGCAAATCGCCTTTTACCAGAGACCTCCAACTCTACCCGTCTTGTCCTTTTCGAACTCGGCCGACAAAACATCCAAAGGAACTATAAATTGGCTTCCGTGACCATGCCACCTCGGGCACCCATTCGCTCTCTCTCCGGTAACCTAGGAGCTAGATGCTCATCCCGGAGCGAAGCTAATCAGCAGCCGCCATGAAGCTCCTCCCCCGTGCCGCGGCGCTCGCAGCCGCCTTCTTCTCACTTCCGGCATTGGCCATCTTCGAGGAGACGCTGGTAGAATTCCGGCCGTCCAGCAGCTCCATCGACATTACCACGGCGCCAATTGTGCTCTCGTCCGATGACTGGACCGGCGTTCACATCGCCGGCGGCTCATTATCAACTGATCTCGAGGCGATCACGGAACTGAGCCGCGACGTTTTGAGCTACTCCGTTGACGAGGCCGAGGAGTATCTAGCAGACTTGACCAGTGTGATCCTAACCGGATCGGCCGATTCTGCCCTGATTAGGTCTCTTGTCGACGCCGAGCTCCTTGATATATCCGATATCGAGGGCAAGTGGGAGTCATTTAAGACCGTGGTGGTGGACGCGCCGTTCCCGGGAGTGGAGAGCGCACTGGTTATTGCGGGTAGTGACAAGAGGGGTACCATCTTCGGCATCCACACGCTTGCGGAGCAATGCGGCCAGTCACCGTAGGATATTTCGTCATCCTTTCTTGTGAACGTCCGAACCTAGAGAAGACTAACCTAGAGTGGTAGATTCCACTGGTTCTCTGATGTCCCGCCCAAGAAGCACGCGCAGGTATTCGCCCTGCGCAAAACAACGACTCAGGGTGAGCCCTCCGTCAAGTACCGCGGCCTCTTCATCAACGACGAGGAGCCCGCGCTGAATACCTGGTGGGCCAAGTACAACAACCAGACTAGATATCCGCTCAACACCGAGTTCTACGCCCATGTGTTCGACCTCCTGTTGCGCCTCAAGGCGAACTACCTTTGGCCCGCCATGTGGAAGTCGTGGACGCCACCTCCCGGCAACATCTTTTTCACCGATGATCCGGGCAACCAGCAGTTGGCGGATGACTACGGCATAGTCATTTCTACCGCGCACCACGAGCCCATGCAAAGGGCGACGAACGAGTGGGATGAGGCGGTCATGGGTCCCTGGGATTGGTCGAAGAATAGAGACAACATCACAGAGTTCATGGAAGCCGGCATCGAGAGGGCGGGCAATAATGAATCCTACTTCACGATTGGCCTGCGGGGTCTGGGAGACGAGGCGGCGAATACCGAGAATGCGATCGAGATGTTGAAAGACGTTTTCGATGTGCAGAGGGGTATTATCGAGAAGTATCACGGTAGCCCTGACGCTGTGAATCGTGAGTTGGTCCCTGCAATCTTGGAAGGGCGGGGCCTTTATCGCTAACACTTGAGCAGAGGTTTGGGCGTTATACAAGGAGGTTGCTTCATACTATGATGCTGGCCTTGATCCGCCCGAGGACGTGACTCTCCTCTTCCCCGATGATAACTGGGGTAACGTTTACCGCCTCCCGACTGGAGACGAGGCATCGAGAAAAGGCGGAAGTGGCGTAAGAAAAAAAAATACCTGCCATCGGTTTCTGATTGATGAATCTGACCTCTGCGCCCTAGGTGTACTATCACTTCGAATACGTCGGTCTTCCTCGGTCGTACAAATGGGCCAACACCAACAACCTCGCCAAAGTATTGAAGGAGCTCATGCACTCCTACCTCCGCGGCGCCGACCGCATCTGGATCGTCAACGTCGGCGACATCAAGCCGATGGAGATCCCCTTCGCCTTCGCCATGGACCTCGCCTGGAACGTATCCAACTTCAGCTTCGAGAGGATCCCGACCTACCTCAAACTGCTGGCGACGCGCGACTTTGGTGCCGACTTCGCCGACGAGATCGCCGATATTCTGCTCGAGCATAGCCACCTCATCGGCATGCGGCGATTCGAGCTCGTCACATCTGGGACTTTCTCGACGCTGAACTACCACGAAGCAGAGCGCGTGCTCGGTCGCTGGAAGTCCCTCGCCGAAAGGGCCAAGGTTGTATACGAGCAGCTCGACACGCAGACTCAACCAGCCTTCTACCAGCTCGTCTACCACCCTGTCGCGTCGGGGACCATCTACTACTCCGTCATGGTTGGCGTGGGCACGAACTACAAGTATGCGCTCGAGCGGCGAAACTCAGCAAATACAGTCGCTCGACAGGTCCTCGATGATTTCGACGCCAGTTACGACATGGTGGAAGAGTACGACGCCATGCTAGGAGGGAAATGGGCCAACATGATGTCGCAGGCGGTGTACGACGCCGCTTGGCAGGAACCGAAATCGTGGGCTGGACCAGCTCGAGACATGCTCGCCAACCTCTCGTTCGTGCAGCTGCGCCAAGATATGCAGTTCTCGCTTGGCAACCTGGGGATTTACGCCGAGGGGTCGACGAGCCCAATTGAGCAAGGGCGTTGGGCAGAATCGGTGGATTCGTCAATGCCAACCACGGGGTACACGGCTCTACTCCCGCAAATGGATCGGTTTGGACCCCGCGTTCGTTATATCGACCTCTTTGCGCGGGGAGATTACCGGGTCCCAATAGACTGGGAGCTCGAGGAGATCCCGGTAGACTTCATCTCCATCAGCCCGGCCAGGGGCACTCTTAACCGAGACAAACCCGACGAGCGCCTCAATGTCACCATCGACTGGAGTTTGGTACCGGACGACTTCGACGACACCGTAAACATCGGCATCACTTCGACGCCCTCACGATACCCCTATTTCGACCTAATACGCATCCCTGTCGTAAACACCCAAGTGCCCGCGGATTTCAAGGGCTTCCCGGAAACCGCTGGCATGATTGCGATCGAGGCGCCGCACTTCCAGCGCTCGTCGGCCATCACGCATAAGAAGAAGGACGAGCAGGATCCAACGGTCAATTTCTCCGTTTTCCCACACCTCGGGTCGCGCAGCGAATCAGGATCTATTGGACTGCGACCGTTCGCCGAGGCTCGTCAGGTAGACAACGCCGCGACTTCAGCTTGGGTAGAGTACGATATCTATCTCTTTTCAGACGCAGAGGCTGTGGAGGCAACAGTGTACATCAACGGATGTCTCGACACCGACCCGCGACTCCGGATGCAGTTCTCGCTAACTCTAGGTGACGCGCCCGCGAACTTCACCCGTGTGCTGGGTGATTACATTACGAACCCCTACGCTGGGGACATTCCACCAGAGTGGCTCGATCACGTAGCGGACCAAGTGTGGACGAAGAAGGTCGACCTTGGAGGTCTAGAAGCTGGGAAGCATACTCTGAGGTGGGCGGCGAACTCACCCGAGGTCTACTTGGAGAAAATTGTCCTCAACACGCGGGGCGGCGTAAAGGAAACTTATCTTGGGCCTCCAGAGACTCGACTCGTCGAATGAGCGTTTGAGAAACACGGAAGGATCGGGGAGAAAGGCGGTGGTCCCGTCGCCCTAACGTGTAACCCTCGCTTGTTAATGGTTCTTCTGTGCATGCCACACCCCTGATGAAATGCAAGATATTGGGAAATGCAAGATATTATTCCAAAATGGCCAGGATTGCGCTGTATTTTGTCCTTTGCGGTTTTTTTTGTCCTCCCTTTCCAAAATCGGGTGACATCTCGTGATGTCTGACCGACATGCGTGGTCTGGCAGGGGAGGTCGATGATACCGAAGCTTCCAATGGAAGACTCCTTCGTTCTTCCCGTGTTCTGGGTGTCTGAGCTCTGACCTGAAGCAGTTCCATGAGCGAAAAATAATCCCAATATCCAAAATATCCAGGGGTGGCCCAGCCCCGGGGAAATGGACGGATGCGGAGGAAGCCTTGCCTCTTCAGGAAGGCTATGGAATTGGATTTGTGCTGAAGAAGGAAACAGAATTTCGATGATGGGGTGATTTCGTGCTTGTGCAGGGTGGATAACATCGATAACAGCGATAACAGGGCTGGTACAAAGTCCGACGTACCTTCGTAAAGCCTTCGTAAACCGTCTCGGTGGAACCGTTTTTGTCGCATCCGGAATTTGCCTCGATACGAAGCATTATTGCTTGATATTGCTATTATTATTTTGGAAGCTCCATGAGAGAATAACTGGAATGCTCGAGCGTCGCGGCCAAAGCAACGAGATTGAAAGGGGCTCCCGGTTTGGGTTTACTTCGGGTTTCGGGTTGAAGGTGAAGATGGTCGAAGTATTTCGTACAAGCTCCAACCTCTAAAATAACAATATTACGCAGGAGCTGTACTAAGGTACTTCGTACAGAGATCGTGCAGGCACTGCAGGGCAAGAAGCCAGTTCGTAGCTTCCGAATACGTAAGAGCTGGTCGCCTGAAGATCACATGGCCAAAATCCTTGCCTCGACCTGAAGGCAGGAGATTCCAGAGGGAAGGCGGCGCTCTCTAGCCTCTTGCGTCTCCGAGGACAAGAAGAGGACAAGAACGGACAAGAACGGGTTTCTCGGCACTCGCAACGTGGGGTAGCTCTCTCCTATTTTCGTAGCAGCTGGTGCACGTGCACCATTTGGATGAACAGCTTGGGACGTTCGTACCCATTTCAGAGGCAATCAGAGGCAATCAGAGGCTCCGCAGAGCTCACAACGACGGCCAGGGCTTAACACAGGGTCTGTTTGATTGGCGGACAAGCTTGCACAGCTGGGCTTCTCCACTGAGGAGCCCTGCAGTTGATGCTGCAATGCCTTGGCACCACTTTTGACTTGTTGCTAGCACTCTGCGGCTATGACGCCGACCTGCACTAACTTACTTTTAGGGTCCACCAGCTCTGACTTTATTTGATGCCGCCTCGCTTATCATTATCAGCATTGCAGGTATTTGCAGGTCATTGCAGGTGCAGTCGCTCAGACTTGCAGAAGTTGCAGTTGACGTTTGGAGGAATTCGGGGCACGCCACAGGCCACGGGCCACGGGGGATCTACGAGTACTTCAAGTTGCCACCTTAAATTGCAGAAGTTCGAAGTACTCCAGTACTTCGTCGTATCGATATCAGAGCAGCGAACTGAACACCTCATCTCAACAATAACAAGGGGGCAACGGTTTTTCCAGGTTCCACGTTTCCCTGTTTCCACAGTTCCACCGATCAAGGCGCAAGAGATCAAGAAATTAAAAACACTCTCCGAGTAACACCACAAATGGATTCGGCGTCGTCGTATCTATCTCGGGGACAGGGTGTGCCTCTCACCACCGTGATTCCACCGCCCGGTCGGAGTTGCATGATTACGGACGAGGACTGCGCGATGCCATCGGCGTTTTGTCTTATTCAATAGAAATTCGGTTGAGGCGCTAATTGGTTCACGTCGGTTCACCCATCTATCCGTCGTACTGTCCTAGTCCCCAAGTTCCCTAAGCTCCCAAGCTGCGCAGGAACCGTCCTAACCGAAAGCTCGATAGAGGGAGAGAATAGACGAGAGAAAAAAAAAAAATCGAGGTGCAGCTCAGTGGCAATCAGTCAACCCTTCCTTGGTCGAACTCTGTGACAGCCCGCGTCGTTCCCGGGCAATCCTGCCATCCCAAAACCTAGTCGACACCACAACACACGCACACCCACACACCCAATCTGCAATATTGAAAGTACGGAGCAATAAGAGCAATGCTGCGACAGACGTGACGCTCTTCGGACGATTACCCATCCATCCTTTTTCCCTCCACCCGCGTAATGTGGAAGCTGGCAGGGCCCAGTGACGCGTTTCCCGTTTCAGCGAGCCACCACCTCACTCGTTCCCTCGCCGGTCCGTCTCCCTCCTCCCGGTGACCAAACAGAGGCAGATATTACCAAACTTTCCCCATAATTATCGTAGATTACTTGGTAGTCGCTCCCATCGCAGATATCGATGCTACCGTCCCAGCTGCTGTATTGGGTTGTTACACCTCGTTCCTTCCGTCCCGCCATCTCCGCAAGGCTCATCCTTGCCTCCGTGTTTCCCGTCTCCCTGTCTCGTAGTCTCGTCATAGTCTCGTAGTCTCGTTTGTCTTGTAGAAGGTAACATCACTCTCTCTGCCTCGTCCGGGTTGCCTGTGTTACCTCCCTCCTGCCTCCCTGTTTGTGAGCAGGAGCGATCGCGAATCATGTATCATCACGTGGAGCAAGGGCCAGTGAGAGCAGCCATGAGAGTGGATTGCATTGCTCTTATTGCTGTTTGCATATCTTGTTACTTTTTTAATCCCTCATCGCTCGAGTCGTCCCCTTGTCCCTTGTTCCTTCCTATGCACCTCACCCCCCTGAAGCTCCAGTCACTTGGAATTAGTCCTGCAGCCTTCCGGGGCCTCCCCCTACCCCTCTTTATTAACCCCCCGTCCACCTCACGATAAGCGGCTCTGTTGTTCGTGGGTTTTTATAAAGATCCGAAACAAGTGTCTTCCACTTTCGTCCACTGGCAGCTGATTCCTACTTTCTACCTTCTTCTCTCTCCAAGACGCTATCATTCTCTTCGTACTCTCTCTGTACTCTCTCTCTATCTCCATATAACCCACCCAACATCACAAGCCAAAATGACAACCCTCGAGGAGCATGTCGTCAAGGCGTCGGAGCGGTATTCCAGCACCTACAAGTCTGCCGGCTTCCGCTCTCCTCCGACCAAGCACTTCACGTTCGTGACTTGCATGGACGCCCGGATCGATACCCATGCCGCCTTTGGTCTCGATATTGGTGATGCACATGTCATTCGCAATGTAAGATGCCAGATCCAGATCTAGATCCAGACCCTCTCTCCTGCATCTCGACAGCTATCCATCGTTGGTTTGAAGAAACGCATGGCGCTAACACATGTTATCTTCTAGGCCGGCGGCTCCGCTCGAGATGCTCTCCGAAGTATTGTCATCTCACAACAAATGATGGGTACCAAAGAGGTTGCCATCATCAAGCATACCCATTGCGGAATGGACGGCCTCCCCAACGAGAAGGTCCATGCCACGGTTCTCAAGAACCTTGGGTAAGAGAGAAAAGTCCCCTGCTTGTTGTATAGGAAACAATATCTAACCAAGGATTCGTTTTGGTGCTTCGCAGAATCGAGGCCATTGGAGAGCTCAAGTCGAGGAACCTGATCGATTTCCTTCCCGAATCCGACGGCATCATCCAGGGCATCAAGGACGACGTTCAACTCCTAAAGTCGTCCAGCCTTATCGCCGACGACATTGAGGTTACGGGATGGCTCTACGACCTCGATAGTGGAACCACTACGAGGGTCATCTAAGAGAGGGAGACAAGAGAGAAGGGAGGTTAGCCACAGGACACAAATCATGGTCGGCGCTGGCGAGTGATGTGGGAACACACAAATGTATTTTTGAACAACGTTTTCTTTTTTCTTTTTGACATCAATCAGGGACATCACATTGGTTGGTTTTTCATTTTCTTCCTTTATTTTTTAGGGGCGACAGGGGCGCTTGGCTTCAATTTGTTTTAGGGTCCTTTTATACAGGCTGGTTGGTGGGGGGGAAACCTAAAACCAACCCGGGGAGCATTTTTTTTTCTCTTTTGACAGGACAGGACAAATTGACCCCGTTCATGTGAGCTTTCCTAATGGTAGCATTGCATTTCTTGTTCTGAAGAAAGCTAAGCTGGCTTTGGATCGACGCGCTAGTGAGGATGAATGCCAGGGTCCCCCAAATCCTATTGCCACCACGGCGGACAGAAGCCCCGCAATTTTGAGCTGGGAGTGGGATGGATTGACATTGATCAATCCGTTGAGAGATGTGATGGCCCGGGGGAATGTGCGAGATGAGGTCTTGGCATCTTACGAAGGGCGATTTGGAATGCTCAGGTGAGGTGCTGGGGGATGGATATCTTGGGGACTTTGTGCAAAGATCGACTGACTCGACAGATACGAAGATTGCTTCCAGCGACGATGAGAACGATATTGAAAGAATGGATTTGCCTTGAACTATCGATTCGACGACACGACGGGAAGAAAAAAAAGAAGGGGAAGGCCCACTCGGGGATCTTGCCCTACCACTACATTGGCTGATCTGATCTCGGAAGAACGCCAGCCCCAGATCCGCCTTGGCCTAATCTAGCTCAACCAGCCAGCCAGCCAGCCAGCAAGGCCACCATCTCCGCACCCGCTTCAGCTCCTCTGCCGTTGAATACCGAGTCGCTTCTCCGCTCGTAAAGGCGAACGGGGTCGTATTAACCTAACCGCCCACGCCATCGCCAAGTCCCCGGCGGTCAAGCATAACGAGTAGCTCGCTTGATTCGGCTTTACAGAGGAAGTTCGGTGTGGGGGTTCGATGTTTCAATTGTTCAAGGTGCCAAGTTCGAGCCGGCAGAAGAAAATAAATCCGAATGATAAGGGTGTGTGTGCCTGGCAACTTGACAAGTGTGAGCTCCGCTCTCATTTTCCCCAAACCCATCGCAGACCCGCACAGGAAATTTGCACCGAGCAATCGAAAGCACACGAACAAAACGTCGCCGAATGACACTAGGACGATGTTCTGGGGGCCTCGCAAGCCGCAAGCAGCCAAGAGAGCGGACTTGGCACAACAAAGGAGTTGGCCAACGGCCTACGAAGCAAGCTCTCCGTCGTTGCCTTTGCCATATATCCATCACTACTTCGACGAGATGTCGGTTCGACTCCGGGCTAGGGCATGATTGGAACTCCTTTTTTGTGTCATTTTCAAAATCATTTATTCTTCCTTTCTTTTCGTATCGATTCCTTCTTCTCTTTCCTTCCTCTTCCGTTTTTAATTGTCATTTTATTTATTTATTTATTTATTAATTTTTTTTTTTTTTTTTCTCTTTCTCTTGGTGGTTGTGGTAGTGGGCAGACTGTTGCTAGCTTTCCGAAACACTGGTTGACTCGCTCGCGGCTCTACTTTAGGAACTTTGGTGCTCTTTGCCACGTTTTTTCCCTTCTTATTTCTTTTCTTATTGATCCCCCTTTCCCTCCAGGATTTCGATTATTTTCCATCCCCCCAATTTTGTGTAGGCTTATATCTATTTATTTTACGTGTCATATTGCCCAGATTCGAGAGGAACGAGGAGCAGCGGATGGACAACCAGGCCCGATCCTACTCTCGATCTCCAGCGTTATTCATCAATGCATCGACGATGTCCTTCCAAGGCTGAGCACAATTTACGAAGGACTGTGCCGCAAACCTTAAATTAATCCCGTGCCGTTCGCACGCTGGACAACCAATGCGACGACCTCGCCAAGACCGCCCGAGTCGGGGTCTGCCTCTTATCGACGAACTCTAGATATTCCTCCCTTGACACAGCCCAGAGCCTTTATACATATCCCCCCAAAGGCCCTCGTTAGATGTAGGCGCAGCGTCTGCGTGAAAAGACCAGCTATTTTATTTTGCTGTAACACAAACAGTGTTGGTGTGTGTGGTTGGGGCGTTGTTACGAAGAGGTCGACATCCCGCTCTTGCTTCGTTTATTGTATCTACGCTGTTGACGGAGGAGAAGCAGTAGCGGAGGTGAAGTAGGTAGAATTCTGGATATAAAATAGATGGGCTTTCCTGCCTACACCCGACCAGTCTCTCCGGTGTCTGATCGAATGTAACTTCATTCTGCTTGGAAAACTACTCCAAATTGTCGCATCTGTATCTCATCGAACATCAAGAAAACAATGACTGAATTCTCGAATCCCATGTACGTCGTCTCGGGAGGAGGCCATCACAGGACTTCTCCATGCCCACGCTTACCTCTGCAGAAACCTCTACTTTTACCTGCCCTCGGAGCGGTTCATTCTCGTCGCGGGCGAATCCTATCCGGAGACTCTCCAGGACGCAGCCTTCATCATCGTTGGCGCATCCTCTCGCGTCGCTATTCCCAACAAGCTTCATGTTCTCAGGAGAGACAAAGCCGACGGCGGGTTCAAACCCTTGCTCGCAGTCTCCGTTACCAAGGAGTCCCATCGACTCGACATCTCCACACACGACGAGACAGCCGACGCAGGTATGTTGGACTGTGGACATTTCCGGGAGAATGACCCATGCTCTCGCTCTTAGACACGCGCTGACCGTGCCTCGACAAATATATAGTACCTTTCGATTCCATCGAGGCACACGTCGAGGATCTTGCAAAGAAAGCGAACACGAACGAGACCTCAAAGGAAATCGCTGTTTTCCACGGTCTTCAAGCGGCTAGTACCAAGGCTGTGAACAAAGTCCCCTTTGCATGGGAAGAAGAATACCCAGGTCTAGATGGGCCGGCGAAGCCCGTGAAGTACAGGTGGGAACCAGTTGAGTCTGCCCTACATCTCCTTTTCGCTCCGTTTTCTCCTGGCGGGACTTGAAGGAATAGAAACAAACTAACCGTCTCTCCTTCCCGCAGGGAATGCATGACAAAGTCTTCGATGAGAACCAGGGACAAGTGGTCCTAAAGAGCCACTACTTTCCCTCAGTGAGTGCTATCCTTGGCGGGGCGCACTTGTGGGCCAACTTCCTCGAGAGCTAACATCTTCCGTTTCTCCCGGGGCGGTGCCATCTACACCCTCGAGCCCCTCAAACCAAAAGCCACAGCTAAAAGCCCCGAGCCCGGGCCGTATCTTGATCCCACCAGCGCACCTTCGATCATTTGCAAAGCGCTCGTCATGTACTTGTATCACAGCGACTGGTTCCCGAGCGCCAAGGGATGGAAGGAAAAGGCCGTTGACCCGGAGGGAGCTAAGCCGTCGCGCATGATCCCGAAATTGATCCTGCTCAGCGCGGTAGGAGCTGCTTTCAGTTTTTGATCGTGATGGGATTCCGGGGCTGGGGAAGAAATGTGTTCCGCAAGAGTTGTTCATCAGTGTGGATCGGAATTTCAGGGCGGAATGCTTGCAGTGATAACTACCGTTCGAAGGGAATGGTGCCTTCACCACACCGCTGCAATAATGGTACAGAGAACGTGATCATAGAAATTCTTCATTATATACAAATACCGTCCCAAAATCTATACAATTGGAAAGTCCTCTTCTCTATCGTAGCCACACTACCCGAGGCGCACTCCTCTTCAGAAGTTGTCCCCCCTGAACACAACCACCTCATCATCACTTATTCCCTTGAGCAGCAGCAAATTGTCGTTGCAATTCCTCCACCTCGCGCTGCAGGGCATCCAAGTCAGCCAGAATAGCACCGGCCTGACCATTATCCACGGGAACAACATCTGGCGAGGAGGTTCTCGGCGCCGCCACCGCCGTCGCGCTCTCCGATCCACCAGACGCCTCATCGACTTCCCTAAGCGTCGGGACAGCTGCATGGGGCCCGTGAACAGCCTTCTCCTCATCAAGGCTAGATCTCCTCGCATTTCCGGGCGTCAGTTCCATACTATCACGACTACTGCCACGGTTCCGACGAGGCGGTGGCGGCGGTACGAAACTGGCGCGTTTCGTCACGGTCTCGATACTACTCGTACTCGACTGACGTCTCGTCGAAGCGTTCCTCGTCGGCGGCGGAGGCGGTGCAAATTTGGGAGAAATGGACGAGGGAGCGGCGTGAGAGGGTGGATGGCTTGGTGTCGTAGCTTGGGGGCTTGTCGGGTAGTGGTGGTGGTGGCTGGTATCTAGCATAGCGATATGGGGTGTAGAAAGAGACGTAGAGGTAAATGACGGGGTGGATGGCGAGGTGATCGAGTTCGTCGACCTGTGCCCTAGGGCCGGCCGGCGAGGCGGAGGCGGCGCGGGAGCTAAAGAGCGGACGCTCTCTGCTCGTGAGCGAGTAGATTCCGCTGACGACTTGCGCCGGAGCTCGGGCATCGTGTGTATAGAAGCGGCTATGGTGCTACCGCCGCCGTGACGTTCTTGGATAATGCTTTCTGGTCTTGGGCGCCGAGGTGGGGGTGCAGGTATATGTTTCCTAGAAGAAGGAGTAGCCGGTGCTTCGTGAATGGCGACGGGGCTCGACGGTTCAGACGTTTCAGGTATCTTCCCCGCAGCCTCTCGATCGAATATCGATTCGGGATCGTCATCGCCGGGTCGCCGCGCCGGAGCGGGCGGAAGCGGCTTATTCGGATCAGACGGCGACCGCGCCAACAGAGGCCGCTCAGCGCTCAAAGTATTACCCCCGAGTTCAATCTTTATCAACTTTCCATGTCGAGAGCTAGGTGGTGGGGGCTTTTTCTTCGCCGGCAGAGGAACCGGCTCGCTCGGCTTCAGTGCGGAACGTTCCTCGCGATCGAGCTCAAGCGACGTTCTCGGGGTCTCGGAAGAGGCGGGTTCGGTGGTGATGTCCACACTGTGGTGGGAGTGCTGCGGGCGGATGAAAGGCGGAGAGTCTAGCACCGCGTCCTGTTTGCGCGAGGTGGAGGAAGCAAACGACCGCTCGGGGACCGCATTATCCCGGGACGCCGGCGGGGTATCGGCCGGTTGGCCGGTGAGGAGAAGCCTGCTGAAGGCTGCCACGTCCAGCGCGGCCTTTCCCGGTGTCGCCGAGGCAGAGGTATTAGCTTTGGGCGCGGGGCCGGTTCGTGTATGCTTATTCTCTAAATCATGCAGGGTCCTGCTGAATGGGTTTCGTGGGGCAGCTCCCGGCCGAGCCGGAGGTTCGTCATCGTCATCATCATCCTCGTTGAGGACGCCGTCGGCGCTCTGGAATGGGTCGGCGTCTAACCTTAGCTGGTCTTGTACAGCTCTATCGATAAAGGTAGGGGTGTCGGGTTCCGTATCGGGAGATCGGGGAGGCGGCGTCTGAAGGCGGACGTGTTTCACGGGTTTCGTTTTCGTCTTCGCTGGCGCTTTGGTAGATGCGTCGTCGGTACTGGGAGTGGAAGCGGTGGAGGCGTTGATTGGGATATCGTCATCAAAGAAGCTAGCTCCCGATGGAGCCACCGGACGCAGGTGTAATGCGGGGGGCGCATGGTGGGGAGGCTGGCCGCCGGTCCTCCTGAACGGATTGTTCGACTTGGGATGGAACTCGGTAGACATAGTTAGAATTCGGGGGAGAGTGGAAGGCCGATTCGGGAGGTATTAAACGTGCTCAAATGGAGAGCGCGGACAACGCGGGGTGGGAGAGAGACGAAGGGGGGAAGACAACAAGAACAAGAGCTATGGTGGTGCCATGACAGGTCGGGTTGACCGTGGAGTGGGAGTTCGCGAATGTCACGAAGCAATGGGATGGAATGGCGGGAAGCTGAGGTCGATCGGGGGTGGTGTCGAGAAATCGCCAAGATGGGCGAAACAAGGCGTCGAGTGGGATGCACTTGGTTCCTGACAAGCCGAAGATACGAAGAGGCGGCCCGTGACTGTGACTGACCAGATTGGGCCAAATGCGTCAACTGTTGGTGCTTCGATTTGTACCTGCACAGGCTGCACAGGCTGCACTCAATGGGCTTGGACGTTGCACGTTTGTACGTTTCCTCCCCCCCGCAGAAGGCCACTTCGGTCATTAACGTGGTGCAAGTTCGGCCTGGTTTTGGGGCTTGCGTGGCCGGAGTGGACCTCGAATGGGGCGTTCTGCAGAGGCTATCCAGAGTGCGTGCAGTTCAGGTTGTACACTGCCTCAGTACGTAATTACTGGTGTCCATCACACTAACTCGGGTACAAAGCGGTCTGTGCGGGCGATACATTGGCCCTGAACTCCGGTCGGCTTCAGAGGGGCTGTAGGCAGCTGGCGGGCAATGGTTAGTGGCTTATCGATCAATTGAAGTCTCAAATCATCACCGACTCTCGCCTCTTCGTGCCCCATCGCCAACAGCACGCCCACTCCAGGCAGCAGCATTTCTCGGCCCAGGCTCGGACTGGTCAATGCTAGGCTGTGTATTTTACTTTCTGCAGAGATTGATGTGCGTATTGACCTCGATTGTGAGGGCCCCGTCTTGGAGATACATCAATGGCCTCGGCAGCTGGCTTCTCAACCTATGCTCAAATGGATCTGGTATCTCAATGTTCCTAAAAACCGAATTCAGGATTGCTGATTGTGTTAGGCGAATGATCATTGATGCTTTCTAACAATAGCCTGGTATGAAATGAAAATGCCTTGACATGAAACCATGTTTCCCGAGGTCGTAACAGCGCGACCCGCGGTGCCTACCAGGCAAGGAACCCCATTGTGCCCACGATCAGACCCAACCACCAACCTGACGAGCGTATCATTGATCCAAGATTCTTCTTGCTCCCTTTCAGGAGGATTCCCGCTCTCACCGGCGCCGCATCGCAGCTTAAATCACCCAACCCGGTATCAGCGGCACCCAACAGCAGCTCCATCAGCCCAGCACCAACCTGTCTCATGTTATCGTTGAAGGCACCAATGTCCGAGTAAAACGGACACTTCCCACCAGCCTGCCGCCCAAACTCCACCGTGAACCCATGCGTGAGACCGTTCGCCTCATCAATCATGTGTTGCGCAGACATCCAGTCCGACAACGACCCCGAAGAGGGGTACAAACTAACTGACTGCGTAGCCTCGACATGTCTCCCATCCACGGCGCTGTTCATCGCGTCGGCAATCCGCATGGCGACGAAACTGTCATTCTTCCAAAGGTCCAGCGGCATGTACGACCTGTACTCCTGCCCCGGCTGGTCGACTGCGAGACCGCGCTTGCCGTCGTATTCCGGGTTCAGGAAGTTCATGTTCGGGTCGGTGGCCTGGTTGTAATCGTCGCCCCACGAGTAGAGGACAAGACCCGCGAAGGAGTGCAGGTCGAGCGTCCAGGCGATGGCCGGGTACTGGTCCATGACCCACTTGACGTTGCGGGCTTCGGGTTCCGAGAACGGCTCGGTGCCGTGATACGTCTCGTGCATCGGGTTGTCCGACGCTACACTGATGGACGCAATGTCGACAAACTTGGTCTTGTAATCCCACAGGATGTCAAAGTTGCGGTTGAGGTCCACCGCCCCCGCCGGGTTTCGGTTCTTTCGCCAGCAGTCGTTCTCCTGCTGGTCGTGAGCGATGCCGTCCGGGTTCAACATCGGCATGAACACGATGCCCGCCGAAAGCGCCTTGTCCACGTCTTCCTTCGTAAATGACCGGCCCCCGTAGGCGACTCCCGTCCCTTCCTTTTTCGCCCAGAGAAGATCGGCGATGAAGTAGACGAGATTGTCGGGCCCGCCTCTTTCTCGCGCGTGGATGCCCGCGGTGAGGAATGTTTTGTACGACCCGCTGCAGTCCGCGCTGCCCACTTTAGCCCCGAACATTGTCGCGCCGTCGTGCGTCTTCTCCGGCGCCTCGATCAACTCTAGGTCGAATTCCTTCACGAGCGCCTCCACCGCCGCCCTGATTTCTGTGGGGTTCATAATGCTCTCCATGGATGAGCCTCGCGGCTGCGTCCCGAGCCCCCGCGGTATGTCGCCATTCTCCCATCGGTTGCCCTCGCCGATGGGCGCTGGTGTTGTGACTCCGACCTGGCGCTTGAGGTTTTCAGGAGGCGGTTGACCTTCGAGCTCCCATGGCAGGAGGCAGGCATTCGCGGCCACGTAGAGGGATATGAGTTGAATCCAGGCCGACTTCATGGTGAACAGGTTCACTCGTTTCACTTTCTTCTTTTCCACGCTTTCTCTTCCGTTCGTCTGCACCTATGGTGTCTAGTAGAGTATAATTCCGGAAGGCGAAAAGGTTGTGGAATCTCTGGTTGAAGGGGCCTTTCCCTGTAGATAGGTAAATGACAACTTAACACGTACTCATGGGGGATCGCATTTTGGGAATGAATTTCGATTTCTGGTAGGAATTGGGCAGTTTCAAAATGCCGCTGATCTGCCTTGCCATTCCCTGCTGATGACCTCTCCCGAAACGTCAACGGATGCCCTTGCGGATTCGGGACCAACAGTCCTCCAAGGGAGCGAGTAAAATAGAAAAAGAAAAAAAAAAATGAAGAAAAGAAGGTGAGGACAATGCAAACGAAAGAGTTGGCCAGCCATCAGTCCTTCTCTATTTGAGGATCCCGCTGGATGTGCTTCGCCGCACCACGCGGAACACGAGGCATCTTCGCCAAGGCCGGGGAATTGCTCCCCACACAATTGATCTTCCTCGAGATGAGGTCCTCTCGAAGACTCGCATTGGATATTAATTTGCAGCAATGAGTACGTGTTCTTATCCCGCCCCTACTAATCGGACAATAAAAGTTGGTTGTCCCTGAAAAATGGGACGGATGAATTGGAATTGCGGGTGTTGGCAGCGCTTCCCCTTCGGCAGAGCCGGCACTTGCCTGGACTGATCTCCCACCACCGCCGGTCGTGCGTAAAGCAGGACTGCAGATCAGCTAATCTTTGAGGGACGTCATTCACTTTTTTTTTTTTTTTTTTTTTTTTTTTTTTTTTCTATCTATTTTTTTCTATTTTTTTTTTTTTCTATGGTCAGGAATTTTGTTGAGATCCGACGTCCTCCATAGTCCTGAAGAATACGTGCCGCATGGGTTGTACGGCTGTGCTTGTCCTCGCCTCATGGTCGCATCAGGCTGGGTGGTTAACCTGGCCTGATCGGAGCAGGACTAGGCAGGCTCAAGTGCTACCTTCAGACCGGGGGAAGTGGACCATTCTTGGAGGGTCTACTGCATGGAAGCGAGATAAGCTCGACGTTGTGTGTGCGCGTGTGACCGAAGACTCCTCAATCGTCTCTATCTCGAGGAAATAGCCGTGCCAAGTGGGAGGAGGGGAGGAGAGAAGTGGCATGTGGGACTTGGAGACCTGCCCGTTTCACGGTTCATGACGTTGAGATTTCCCAACTGAACCTGCTCTGTGAACATGACTCGATTACGAAGGTACACAGGGGCGTTTTAGCATATCAGATTCGAACCGCAGTTCGTGTACGAAGAAATATCGAGGCGAGCAGCCCAAGAAGGAAAAGGAATTTAATCCCAATCAGTCATTGATCAATGTGAAAAACACACCACAAGTGCGCTGAATTCTAGTGATACCAAGACCCAAATAAGGACCGCACTGTCCTCCACCCTCTGATTGGATCGCCAGATAGTTCGATCGAGGTCAAATTAGCCGCCAAAATACAGTGTTAAAGATAGCCTCTCCAAATGGGGCACTGTGAACCTCACACCGAGGCTCCGGATCCACAGCATCCTCGAGTAGCTCATGTCTCACCGCCGTCCTTCACCGAGGCCTTCGACGCACGGACAGTCCAGATAATCTTAGCCCCGTGCCCCATTTTTGATGCTTAGCACCCTCTCACCTGCCCCTTGTGGTCAGGTGCTTTTCCCAGAACCCAATGAGCCAATCCCACTCTTAAAACTCGCAAGCTCCCCCCCAAACACCCCCAAAAGACCCCGGAGCTCCCCGCCAAGCTTGGCCCAAGCCCTTGCTTGTTCCGAAATATTACCTAAACAGGGACGACAGACGTTATTGTAAACAAAGCAAAGCTGAAGGTTGGCCCCAAGTTGAGGGCAGAAGCGCGTCACGGCCCAAATCCCACGATGCGAATTGCCACGAAAAATAAGTGCACGCTGGAAGCAAAAAGTGAAGCCGAAGTGCAAAGTTCTGATTCCATTTCCCCTCCCCTTAAAACTGGTATAATTACAAAAAACACATCCCATTTCCACCCGTTTCCCTAATCATGCCATCGCGCCAACCCAATTCTCCTTCCTCTGGTTGCAGGGGATCCGGATTCCCAGTTCCTCCGTCCAGAGTTAATTATAACATTGTATGCGTCGAAGCAAATCTCCCCTTCCACGCGAAGGGAGGGTAAAACTGGAGGTCAACCACCTCGAAAAGGCAGGGGAAACGAAGGAGTTTTGCGCGGTTCGGTGGAAGAGAGAAACATCGCCAGGCGCCGCACACACGAAGTTGTAACAACTGATTTTTGAAGCGCGTTTTGTGTGTGGGATATAAAAAAGGTAGTGAAAAGGAGGACGCCGCTTGATTGTAACACACGCCGAAAAAAACCGAGTCATTTCCATCTGCCCTCCAATATAAAACCCGCCCATCTGCCATCGAAAACCCTTAAGACCATGAGAGATAACAAGATACCACCGGAACGCCAGTCATCATAAGAAACAGCGGACCAACAAAACGAAAAACGAAGTACCAAGTAACGTAGACATCAAGAACACACACCTTTCATCTTTCAGAAGGGTGAATGCCTCTACGCCTTGGCAGCAGCAGCCTTCTTGGGCGCAGCCTTGGGTGCCTTAGCGGTGCCAGTCTTGGCCGCCGCCGCCTTCTTGGGGGCGGCGGGCTTCTTCGTTACGCGACCGGTCTTGACCTTGTCCGCGGCGGCGGCAGGCTTCTCGGCGGCCTTCTTGGGAGCAGCAGCCTTCTTTGGCGCGGCAGCGGCCTTCTTGGCAGCGGGCTCCTTCTTGGTGGTGGTGGCCTTCTTCGCCGCAGCGGCGGGCTTGGCGGCGGCCTCCTTCTTGGGGGCAGCAGGCTTAGCGGCAGCTTCCTTCTTGGGAGCGGCGGGCTTCTTGGGGGCGGCGGCCTTCTTCTCCTTGGGGGCGGGCTTGGCGGTCTTCTTTGCAAGCTTGGTGCCACCGGAGGGACCTAGAGTAAAGGAGTTAGGACAGGAGCGCGAAGTGAGGAAGCTGTGGCGCAAATGACACGCGTGACGTGCGACTCACCCTTGGGTTGTTGGAAGACACCCTTCTCGACACCGGCCTTGAGCGCCTTGTTGAAGAGCGAATCGAACATGTTCTGCGACACGGCGATGTTGTTGTTCTGGCGGACGTATTGCTTGAGCTTCTGTCGGCTGGAACCGTTTCGGTCCTTGAGCTGTAGCCATGGAAGAAAAAGCGCGTTAGTACTTCACGTTCCTTGTGGGTGGGGTGAGGCTTCGTCAGGCTTGGCTAGCTCGCGCGTCGGTCGCTTCGAAGACGACTCGGTCGGGCGGGCTAGTCGGCGCGTTTAGAATAAAACATACCGCGACGATAGCGTCCGTGATCATGTCCTGTTAATTTGACTGTTAACATTCAAGTTCGAATGCGCGACACAAGTTATATCGGGTGAACAAACCTGGTAAGTGCCATGGCTAGGCTTGCTCTTGGGAGCAGCGGTGGAAGCGGCCTTGGGGGGCATTGTGATTTGGTTTGTGCGAAGTTGGGGTGTTTTAAAATGGAGAGTAGAAAGCAAGAAGCTTTTTTGCAAGTCGAGACTATTGAAGTCGATTGAAGTCGGCGAAAGATTCGAGAGAAATACGAGTTCGATTGCTTTTGGGAATAAGATGAAAACCGGAAGGGAGGAGAAGAAGGGGACAGAGGCGGTGCGCCGGGCGCGTGGAGGGGGATGGGGCTTGTTTATATTCGCTAGCGGGGGGCGGAAGGCAGGTGCGCAATCAGTAAAAAAATAAAAATAAAATGGGGACCAAGACCAGACCACCACATTTTCCACCAGGAATTAAATAACACCCTCCCGTGCTCTCTCTTTTCTCCCTCGCCGTCGTCTTCAGTCAGACAACGCAGCATTTGATCAAGTGCATTTGATTGACGCTCCCTCGCTCATTTGGTACAAGTCACAGCTTTCCAAGTGTCATGTCTGGACCCCGTTCCACCCTCCATCAACGGATCCAGGTCAGACCCCCCCTCGATCTTCTTATCCGCTTGTCCTCGCCGTCTTGCTCGTGCTCGCTCCCTATTCTTTTCTTCCCCCTCCCTTGCTTTCCTTTCCTTCCTTTTCTTCCCTTTACCTCGGACTCGATCGGTCCATCCCCCCTTCCGGCTCGTTTCATCAACGGATCTTGCTGCCAGGACCTGCTCCCCAAAAATGGAGCTTCCTGATATGTACCTTCGTAATTTCCTCCCACGGACGTAGACCGCGTCCGAGGACAATTGTATTGAACTTGAAGCTTGTCCAAAGCGACGTAATCGCATGCGAAATGCCCCATTCTTTCCTCGGATCTCTCTTACGCTTTTGCCTCCTGCCCCCGAATGTACTCTCCGGGCCCCATTCGCACCCCCCAGCTTTGAGGGTTTTAACCTTTCTTCGCTGCTCGTCTGAAGCTTATCTCGCGTCAGCTGGCTAAGCTTTCCAGCCCCCGTTCACTCTGGCTTCGAAAAGCCCCAACAGGCCTCGAATCATTTAATCCTTGATTGATCAATTTTAAATCGCCTCGTGAAGCAATGGTTATGATTAGGCGGCCTTGTGGTCCAGTCTAGTCATGCCCTGTCCTCTACGCCTGCCCTCGCTGATTATCGCCAGGCTCGTCCTCCGCTGTTGTGCCGCCACATCTCCCTCAATCTCTCTCTCTTCTCCGTCCGCCTCTCTCCCACCCTCCATCACTCACTCTCCTCTCTCTCTCTCCGCCCCTACCCGTCAGTCACCTCATGCTCTCGTCCTCTTGACCGCACAAATATCGCTTCCTGACACTTCATACCTGGTCCTCTCCCCATTTTCTGATTGGCCCGTCACCCTCTTTGCAACAACACACCTCGCCATCTCTAGCTTCCCATTTTCTGCCAGTTCCTCCCCGCCCAACCTGGATGATTTTTCCAATCAACCCACCATCCCCCGCGACACTTTTCTCTTTTCTGTTCCCGACAACTCTCGTTTCTTCCCAATTCTCCCCCCTCCTTCGTCTGTTTCCATACCCCCCCTTGCATTACGATGCCATGTGTCATTTCTCGTTTCACCCGGCGAAGCTTTCATGACTTTCCACCCCCGTCATTGCCCGCCACCTTCCGACCCGAATGATGCCCGTCCACGCCGCGTTCAACCACGACTTGCCAAATTTGCACATAATCCATCCACATCTGCCCAAGCACCACACTTGTCGCATTCGTAGTACGCAATTATTGTAATATTCGCGAAAATGGATTTATTGTAAACTATGTATAGTTTTTATTTCTCTATCAATTCATGCCATGTGCGACAATGCGCTCCGCAATTTTTGCCGCGATATAAAGGTGCGAAGTTGTCGGGTGCATTTTTGAGCGGGTCTGTCGGACCTCGCGTTCGGAATCAAAACATGAAGCTATCCAGACATCAGCACCCTGCATCCGGAATCCGTCACCACAACCCACACAAGTCGAAAATACTAATTTTTAATATCGAATTATCGAGGAAATACCTTATATTTTATATTTTTGTGTTCAATTTTTCGGATTTCGCTTTGATTCGCAAGTTCGGTGTAAGTGATGTTCTCGCAGCCCCGCGACGGTCGGGAGGGGAAAGCGATCAGTCGTTTTACCTTGGCCTCAACAAAACCGAACCGGTCAGCCATATCATAGTCAAATCGACCTCTTTATAAGTTAAAATTGGGCCATTCATTTATTTTTGTCGTTTTAATGTTTTTGATCTACATCAATTGTTCGAATGGGCTGGTGAGCTGCGAATTTGCCGTGCGGGCCTTGCAGGGTTGGGAAACGCGATCGCGTTTGTATGCCAAGATGTCTCCCAGTGACTTCGCATCCGAATTCCTTGACACAACGTTATGATTTTCTTCTTTTCTTTGTATATACGGTCTCTATTACATCCCGATATTTGATTTACCGGATTATGAGCCATGTATTCCGTGGTGAACCCCGTCGCCGGAGGACATGAAAACATAGGGTACTTCTTATCATGCCACGCGAGCGAGCTACCTCTGACTCGACACCTGGAACGCTTCTTATCCTCGAACCCGTTACCGGCTGCTCTTTTTATTTTTCTGGGCCAATTCCTAACTATGATACCAAAGTTCACGAGTAATTCTGTGTGTTGAGTCCGAACCGTTCGTGGAAAACCGGCCTTCTCACCGATACGCCTCATGTCAGGTGAGCAGTCCCGCGTCCCGAGCACAAGCCTAAGTGCATATCATCCAGCAAGACACCCCCAATTTCGACTCAAGTTGCTCAAAAAAAAACCCAAACAATCGAATAGCCTCTTATGAACAGATGGATATGCTCTATTCTCCCAACACTGTCCGTTGGCGCCTTGGGCACCGCATCAGCCTGTCGCGACGTGGCCAACGGGCAGGGCGAGCTGGAGTGGGACCGGCCGTATCTCACCCACCCAGGAGCCGCACTCGGCGTTCCGGACGTCAAAGCTCCATACTATCAAGGTCTTCGGCTTCCTCGATAATATTATGCCAAATCCCCAACCACCGGACCCCGAGCGTGGCCAGCGACGCGTGCGAAGCCGTCGCTCGCATTGTTGGGATTGCGTACTCGTCTTTCTCGGATGTGGTCGAGATGCATTACATAATCGAGGCGGATGTCACATGGGTCCAAGGCGAAGGGGAGCGGGTGTCAAGTGGGGAAGGAAGCTAGGACCTTATCGACCAGGCCCAAATTTGCTCTGCGAGTGATTTGGGAGAGGGGAGGGGAACTGATTGCCTTGTTAGGCTTGGTGTTGACGCACTCCATTTTCGTTTTCTTCACTGTGCGTCTCTACGTTTTATTGCCGCATGACGAGGGACACCCCCATCCGACCGAGACCGAGTCTGTCGCCGTTGTATCATCCTCCTGCGATTTGTGCGAGTTTCTACGAGAATACACTCCCTTTGTACCTCGATCCGCCCTTATTGTGCATTACGGTCCCCCAAACAACAGTCAATCAGACCGAAGGTTCTTCGGGTCCTCGCCCTCGACAAATAAGGTGTAGTCCTCGGTTTACCCGAGAAGATGCTCATCTGGGCCTCCCAAGAACCACCTGGTTCGAGCAGGTATATAGTCGAAGGAGCCCTTAGTAGGACTCATTGGTCTCTTCTCTGAGGGTTTTTTCCCCCGGATAGGTATATAACCATTTCCGCTCGGATACAGCTCTTGAAGCTAGTCTGAAAGGGTTTTCCAGTGTTTGGACTACTTCCCGGGAGGTATAGCCTCGTCCGTGACAAGCCGGACATGTTTTTAATAAGCCGTTGGAGATCATCTGCACTCACGACGTCGACGAGTTCAATTTCGGACTTAAGGTCGATCCTCGATAAAGAGTAGACTTCAGCTTACTAACTAGCGCCGGTAATACAGCCAGAAGCCTCGCCAACCTCCAGTCTTGACGATCATCTATTCTCAAGACTTCCACTAAAGCTCATCTACAACGGTCCCCCTTCCACTCCTTATTACCTCTAACTCTAAGATACTTAACATCTCTTACGGCCCTGAAACCAAAATCAACTTCAAGAAGCGGAAACGGGGGAGGTGAAAATCTATGTTTTCTCTCTCCCCCACCCACACCTTAACTCCAGGGCCCCCTTTCCTATCTCGCGTTGGACCACTGGCTCGCACTAGATGGGTATCTCTATTGCAGCGGGATATTTTCCGTTTACTCGGTCCCTGGGCACCATATTTCAAACCGCTGCATGAACCAAATATCGTTAGTTGGTCGTCTGATGGAAGTGCAGGATATTATCATCTCTTGTATGACTATCACGGGTTTTGGGGAGACTGCTAGCCGGTAAGGAGATGGTTGAAGAAGGACCGTCCTAGTGGTTTGTGGTTCTGCCACTTGTCGCCGTGTACTTCGTGGGCCGTGGCGTCAAGGACCTCGCCCTTGCGATCCTCAAACGTCTTGCCGTAGACGATGGATGAAGAGAGAGATTCACCCTCGCTGTCCATGGAGCCAACTATGTCCTCTGTTATGGAGCCGTTCGTTCTCAAGCACTGCTGGCGGACAGGCCGCTTTTGAGAATGATTTTACGCAGTATTATGACAGGCCTGAGAAGCCCCAGGGAGATTGGGAGCTACCTCGTCGAGCTCCGCCAGCGTGGAAAGCCTATACCCTGTGAACTAGTTTATGTGGAAGCCCCCAATCGCACTGATGAGTTCTCGCTCCGGAATATGCGTGGCATGAGCGCTGTAAACTCACACATGCATTTTCACCTAGGAGGTATTCTGCAACGGCGGGTGATGGCCTGTCCTCTTCCTTGACGCTCCCCTGGGTAAAGCGAAGTTGTCTAGCTTATCCTGAGATTGCTTGAGCTTTCTCCACTGAGGAAGGGGAGACTGAAATGGATACATCTTGGACATGTAGTATTCAATGTACTTGGATGGCATTGCCCTCAGTCGCCTCTCTCCGCGGAGCACTAGAGCCTAGGGCATTCGAAATTGAGAGTTCCCTCGTACCGCCCAATATCTCGCCCGCAAAGGAGTACCCGGGGCAAGCATTTGGTCGGACAGGCCCTATTACATCTGCAAGTCTGGTGTCTACCATTACCTTCCTATTGTTTGAATAGGGCTTAATAGAAAGAATACTCACGACTACTACGTCTTGTGTGCTAACCTTGTTCTTATTCCCGCATCTTTCGCCTTCAATCTCCTTCGAGATTAGTGAGATACAATATGCAATATGATCCTGGAGATCAAAGCCTCAACGGCCGGGGCCGCGCCAAGCCGCCCTCCACCCACTCTTCAAACTTGGTTCGCCTCCACTTTCAACCCCTCGACTACGTGATTCGTCGTCGATATCACTACTCTCGCAGACAACCTCAATCTTGAGCAGTGTGTTTACAATCTCGAAATCCTCTCCTGTCGACGTCCCTCGCTTTTTGAGTCCAGGGGCAACAACTAGCCTCACATAGCCGCCCCTGTCCCTATGACTACTCGATGGGGATATCTCCATCCACATTGGATCGAATTCCCTCCCAACGCAGTTGGAAAACCAAGTAATCTCGGCAGCTTGTTTGTTAATTGCTTTGTCGAGATCCGTAGCCTCCCCAACGACCCGCGTAAGATTCTCCACAAGATGTGTGACTTCTGATCCTGAGAAGGGGCTCAGCGATTTGCACATCTCCTCGATTCTCCTACTATCGTCTGAGCCTTGGATTTGATCGTTGTCAAGAAGAGCACTTGTCGTGGCTTTCCATCGTAAGTATCTACACTTCGCTTCCACATTTTGGCTGTGAGGTTCTGGTAGCGGGATCAACGTCAGTTCGACTTCTCTCGTATCTACTAAGTATGGTGCTCGGGAGGTGATGGCGCGGCATGCTTACCGAGGACCTGGCCTAGATTAGCTATGGCGACGGCCGCTTTAGCACCCGCCCAGCGGAACTGGTGGAATATGTTTCTAGTTAAGAAAGACCACACTAATGCCTGCACAACCACTGGGCGCCAGTGCGAGGACTGCATGCTTTTCTCGAAGTGTTCGAGAGGATAGCCAACAAGTGATTGTAAAGCTGTTAAAGCGTCTGTGGAGCTGACTCTCCTGGATCTGGCAGGCTTGTCTGCAAAATGTTGATAGGATAAACTCCGAATGCTGAACCGCAGTTGTTTCGCTTTCCCTGCAAGTCCCTCGTCCGTCCCTTCGTAGTGAACTTGGCCCTGCGCCCGCAGCTTGTTTAGCTCTATTGTTGCCTGTTTCCAATCTTTGAATATCTCGTCCGCTTCTTGCTCCTTATGCTGAAGATCGACCTTTGTCCGGCGATGCAGCCGTCTCTCTTCGTCCAAGTCCTTATTGAGACTGTGGAATTTTATCAGTAGTCCTTCGTAGTCGGCGACAGATGCAGGATCTGGCGGTTCGGCTATCCCCCGGTGATGGTTGAGTCTTTCTCCTGGAACCTCGGTCGCTTCGGCGGTCTCAGCGTGCAGGTGGTCAACGGAGCCTTGGCGAGAGATAGGACCAGGGCCAGCGCTACCTGCGCTCCCAACGTTCCTGGTGGCGATACCTCTCGCATCTTGACCCTCCATATCAACGTCACTCTCACTTCCGTTTCCTTTAAACATTGGGCTTCGAGAGGAAGGAGTCTGTTTCCTATTATTAGGCTTCGAGGAGGGTCAACAGTTGTAGTAAATTCTGCCTGCCGGCTTCTACTTAATGTTTCCCCCAACGCGTGGCCCCCACCCTGCTCCTCGCATCTCTTACCCCGCTCGACACTGATAAAAGAAGGGACTCGGCCATTAAAACACGACAGTGTTGGGTCGTACAAAGGTACAGAAGGGAAAGAAACCTCACCCCACCTATACATGCCACGGTAGAAAAGTAAGTATCTCTACCTTTCATGCCCAACGATTGCAGCCTTCCCACATCTAACCTACTAGGCCCACTCGCCTCACTGCTTGCAATTCTAAGTCTACCCTCCGATTTGAAAATATGATCGGTGTGTGTGGTTGAGTTGTGGGAAGAAAAGAATCACGGTCTTTAGCATATTGGAGTACCGGAATTATATTGGGAATAAAGAGTAGAGGTACTGGTTTTCCTATCTTGGCATGTATATTTTGGTTTAGTACTTCGTACGTTGTGTACACAGCTACCGTCCAACACTTTCGTGCTTGAGCCAGTCCCTTTTATATTTCTCGACGAGTCCTGTCTCGGGGCAAGCGTTTGGGCCAACATCCGATCTTCCGTCACCCTGAATCCCCAGCGTCACGATCCCCACAGCTTGGTTCACCTTAAACAATCCGTAGCACTTACGCTCATGACCCTCACCCCGGTGCTATGTCTCTGTCTTCATTAAACGCCGCAGGCAATTTGACACTGAAGGACATATCCTCCCGAGTCAAAAAATCAACCAGGTCCAACCTTGATGATCTCTTGGTCATAGGTATTGATTTTGGCACAACGTAGGTGTACCTCACAAGTTTACGAAGGAGTACCGGCTCATCTGGTTGGTCATTTTTAGATACTCGGGAGTTTCCTGGGCTACTGTGGTAGATTTTGAAAATGACCAGATCAAACTCATAACTAAGTGGCCTGGGAATGGTCGCGAGGAAGGTAAGGCCCCGACTGAGCTTTCTTATGAGAATGGAAAGGTGACGTGGGGTTACAACATCCCCGCTGGAGCCGAATCGGTCCAATGGTTCAAGTTGTTGCTTCTACGGGATGAGGACCTCAAGCCAGAGGTGCGCGAGTCTGAGCCTCTCCTGCGAGCGCGCAAGTATCTGCGGCGAAATAAGAAGTCCGCGATAGACCTCATCGCCGATTATCTACGTGGTTTATGGAAGCATACCTTAGAGACTATCAGCAGGAATCGTGGCCAGACCGTTCTCAACGCGCTCAGATTCCACGTCGTCATCACAGTACCGGCCATCTGGAAATCATATGCTCGCCGGGATATGAAAGCGGCGGCGGAGAAAGCGGGCATTCTGGACATCCGGCGTGCCGGCCCCACCACTCTAGATTTCGCCCCAGAGCCGGAGGCCGCCGCCTTAGCTACTCTCGCAGAACCTGGGCGGTCCGTTGGCACGGGAGACGTCTACGTCATCTGCGACGCCGGGGGTGGGACCGTTGTAAGTGACCAAGAAATGCATCAAATGGTCTGATGCTGTGTTAACACTCGATTACCTTAGGATCTGATTAGTTATGAGGTCCGCAGCCTGTTCCCAGTAGAGTTGGCCGAAGCTGTCACTGGGCAAGGTAGGTCATACCAAGTTTCAGCAATCTAGCCACTCTCTAGATATATTGAGGCTGACATAGACGGGATTGAAATAGGCGGGCTCTGTGGCGGCATTTTCATAGACGAAGCCTTCGAGGAGATATGCAAGGACCGGCTTGGCCGGCAGTGGAGCAAGATCAGTCCAATGGGCATTAAAGAAATTATGAAGGACTCATGGGAATATGGAATTAAGCCACAAGTTGGGTTCAATGATAACGGCACCACATACGTGGTTCCCATACCGCACGAAGCCCAGCAGGGAGGCAGCCTGGACGATGATAGCAAGAGGCCTATCATCAAGTTTGGGCGAATGCACTTTACCCAGTACGTGGAAAAAGCATGGATGAAATACACGTTTTCCTGCTGATTCAACTAACTCGTATTCATCGACCAGCTCTGACGTCCGTCCAGCTTTTACGGAAACAGTCAACCGCATCCGCAGTCTAGTTGACAGCCAGATCCGAGGGGTTAAGAGGAAAGGTCTCTCTATGAAGGTGGGTAGTACCCATTCTAGTAATATATCTAAGTGCTGAAAACTCATGCCAAATCCAGAATATTATCCTTGTTGGAGGTCTGGGCTGCAGTCCTTATCTCTTCGAATGTCTCCAAGCCGCATACGCAGGTCAGAACATCGAGGTTCTACAATCCGAGGGTATTCGACCGTAAGTTTCGAATACTTGGTTATAAGATACACACGTCATTCGCTTACAGTAATACTTGTAGCCGAACTGCGATTTGTCGCGGAGCCGTTTTCAAGGGCTTCTTGGACTTACCACAAACACCCGGAAGCGCAACAGATACGATGCATCTGGCCCACGTCAAGAGTCCCCTCTCGGTTATATCTACCGTGGCTAGGCAAAGCATAGGCATGATCTATTGGGCGGAATTTACTAAGGGCGTCCATTCCGAGCTCGATAAAATCTGGGACGAAAACGAGGGTATCTTCAGAGCAGACAACCAAACACGATGGTACCTCCGAAAGGTGTGTGCTTCACTGGACTCACCCATGACACCTTTAAGCAAGTTTAATACTGACGTGGACTATTTGTAGGGTGAAAATGTCTCCAAGAAGACGCCCGTGAAAGCTACCTGGTATTACCGTTATAAGAACGAATCCGAGTATACTCGGTTAGTCGGAATCCGGATTTGCCAATGTGATGATGAGAAGCCACCTTCACGGGTCACCTCGAGTGTGAAATCCTCGTATACGATCTTCGTCAAACACGAGATTCGTTTCGATTCACTTCCGTTCTACTATGCTCCCAAAAGCGGAAATATGCTGCGAGAATTAAAAGTCGAAATCGAAATGGTACCATCCGGGGCGTCAGTGGAATTTAAGGTGTATTACGCGGGCAAGATGTTGGGATCACAGAAGGTAGAGATTCACTCTGGATAGCAAGTGGCTGGCTCGGTCTTCCTTTGTGTCCATGCTATCAATGTTCACCTACTAGACTGGAAAGGACCTTATTCGCAGTGAAAGAGTACCAAGACCAATGTCTTGTTCACTAGGATAATTTTGGTGTCCTGTGGGACTGCTTCATAATTATATACACTTCTGCTTTAACCCAGATCATCACCATACTTCACGATATCGAGGGTTTGCAATGCAAGAAGCAGCGAGGCCATAAACCTTAATAACACATCCATCAATTGAGAATGGACAACCTCTGCGTGGTTATAGATCCAGCAGTCTATGAACACAGGCAACTGCCGAATCTTCGTCCCACTGGACAATTTCTCTATGCAAAGGCTCACCCAGCTTAATCGCAACTAGGGCACTATTTCCGCCTTCTGTGATTCTAAAAGAAGTTGTAGCCTACAGCGGTGGTCTTGGTCCTCATTTGGTCCCAAGAACCTCATACCCAGGGAAAGTGGCGGAGTAGATACGTTCTTATCATTGATCCTCCTCTCTTCGGCTTCCAACACGCGAAGAAACGTCTGAAGCCGGGGTTCGTAGACCTTCATCCACTGAGTGTACCTGCCAGGCCAGGATTCTGACTTGAGAAGGAGCAACTACCACAGCGGGTTGAATATAAACTCTGCTGGGGCTGCGTACGCAAACTCCCAGTCTATTACACCGACAACACGGAGGTCCTCATCTAGAATGATATTGGCCGGCCTTAGACCCTGGGGAAACAGCTTAAAATCGCCCCTGGAGCGTCCCCGATGCGGCCAGAACTTGTTCTCATCAGCAAGCCTCCGGAACAGCTTGCGCGCGACATATTTATCACAGACATCGTCGCCACCTTTCGCTACGTCGTTATACTGGAGCGCGAGCTGAGCCATGTGCATATCCGCAATGGCGCCGTATCATTCTCCCGCCGCATTATAGACCAGGGACGATAGCACACACGTTGGCATAGTCGTGTGGACAATCAATTCGTTCATATTCATTGTCAAGGGCCTCCTCTGAACAGTTATCGAATCACCCTCGTGTGCTTGGGCGAGTGAGCCGATTCGGGGGAATTTGAGCGAGGAGAGTTGCAGGAGGATGTTGGCCAAGGGCGACTGTCAATTGGACGCTTTAGATCCAGTAGCACTCTAGACATGTTCTGATGGTGCTCAATATAGTCCATAACGATGAACGGTCCGAGACCGGTCGGGTTTTCTGCGGCGGTGCCGTAATGGTAGATCTGGGGAACAGGTAATATAGAAGCATTCGCAGCAACGTATCGCATCGTTTACACTTTGTTAAGAACCTTTTCGTCCAGAAACGCAACGAGGCCTTGCAATAGCCAGTTTCTTAATTTGCGCAGTCTGTAAGGCCAAGAAGGAATACGTTTAATTGGAACTCTCATTATCAGTGAGGTTTTATCTTCAAATTCCAACCTGTACACGACATTGTAGCCGCCCCTGACTGCCTTGTGCATCGATTCCGGTTTGACATCCTTGTACTTAAGCATGAAATTGGCGACCTTACGGTATGTCTCGTTAGCAGAAATAGACGCGTACCACGCGTCGCTATCCTCTTCAAGCCTCTGCCATATGAGGTCGTCCTTTTGTGCGGAGAGATATCGGGATTTGCTGGGCATATATTATAGCGACCTCTTGGATCTAAACATCTTGGGTCTAAACCAGATCTTGGAAGGGGAATTAATTTTTAAGGTCTTAATTCCTCAGGCCACCGCCCCTATCCCTGTCGGACCCGATTCAGTCCCACGGTTTATGAAGTGGTTGCTTCGATCGTCGATGGGAAGAGGACTTCGAGGTAGAGGTGTTACTCGTCCGTGCCTGTCCAGCGGACATACCTTAGAGACCACCGGTGGGAGTCGTGACCGGTCCGTCATCAGCGCGAGTAGACCCCACGCCGCCAGAAGGGTGCCGTAGAAATCGTATACTGACTAGGGTACGGAAGCGGCCGGGGAGAAAGCGGTCATTCTGGATTCCGGCGTCATGGACCGACCCACTATGCAAGATTTCGACTGGAGCTAAAAGCGGCCTATCATCAAAGGATGGGCGAGTACACTTTGCTCCGGAAGTGGAAATTTTGGATGAAGTCTATGTTTCTTGACTCACAACTAAGTCGTATTCCTTTCCTGGCTCAGACGTCTAAGGTTGACGGAGACGAGCCCCAACATGATGGATGACAGTCAAGCACTTTCGCAGTCCAGTTGACAGCCACCTTTACACCTTTAGCGTTACTAATGTCACGGTTTCTCAACGTCCAATAGGAACACTAGCGGGGATAGCTCAGTTGGGAGAGCGTTAGACTGAAGAAAAACTTCGGTTTACAAAGACATCTAAAGGTCGCCGGTTCAATCCCGGCTCACCGCAGCATTTTTTTTTTCCCTCACCCTTTTTTCCGTTCATTTCTATTTTTTTTTTCCCTCCTCTTCTTCTTGCTTTTTCTATTTAGCATTTTATTTATGTTTTATTTTCTCTTTTCTTCTATCTTTTCCTCTCCTTTCTTTCTTGAATCGAAAAAGTAAAGTTAGAGTGTCTATCTATAAAAGCAAGTGCAGAACCTGCCACCGCGCTAGAGCACCGATGATTATCCTATTTATTGGGCATGAGTTTTATTGGACGTGAGGGATTCTGGATATGGGAGCTTGCAATCATGGGTAACAGTTGCAGAGCGAGCAACGGTTGCAGGAGAGGCAAAGGTGGCATGACGGTTGTCCATCTTAATACCCGTCATCCCTTCTACTGGGCCCTCCTCTTGATGTTTTAGGACACAGCCAAGCTGAAATAGACGCCTAATATCGAACTTTTTTTTGTCCCCTGGCTGGCCCACGGCGTCCGCGTCGGTTTTCCCCGCTCTCAAGCTATTTGACAAGGAGCTTGCTTGCTTCACCTTTCTCGTCCTTCGCATCTCGTATGAATGCCGTCCTCCACTCTTCTGCGCCTTTTTCAACCCCAATTCTCTGATTCTTATCCAATCTCACTCCCTTGATTTGTTACCCATCTACGCCTTTTCTATTCAACCCCACAGCCTAGCCGCCATGCCCGACCCAGGCCTCTACACGATCGGCTGGGTCTGCGCCACGGCTATCGCGCGAACAGCGGCGAAATTCATCCTTGACGAAGTACATGATGATCTCGACGCCACGCTTCCGAACGACACCAACTCGTATCTCCTGGGAAAGGTGGGAGTCCACAATGTTGTTGTATGCGTTCTGCCGTCCGGGGAGTATGGCATTTCGACTGCATCGAGCTGCGCGACAAACATGCTTCGTACGTTTCCAAATATACGATTCGGATTGATGGTGGGGATTGGTGGCGGAGCCCCGACGCCTGAGGACCGTAACCGTGATATTCGTCTTGGCGACATCGTCGTCAGCAGCCCATTCGGCGGTTGCTCGGGTGTGATGCAGTACGATTACGGGAGAGCTATTCAAGGTCGGCATTTCCAGACGACCTTGTCTCTCAATAATCCTCCCCAATTCGTCAGATCGGCCATGGAAGCCCTCAAATCTGAATATATGGCCGGCCAGTACACTCTGCAGGACGAAATCGACAGAATTCTGGCAAATAATCCAGAAGCTACAGAGGACTTTGAACGTCCAGACAGCTCTAACGACCGACTCTTCGAGAGCTACGTTCTTCACCCTGGTGAAAATTGGGTGGCCTGTATAGACCACTGCGCCAAGCCCGAATCGAATATGAAGATACGAAAGAAGAGGCCCAAGTTTTGGGAAGGTAAACCTAGAGTCTTCTACGGCATTATCGCTTCCGCAAATCGGGTCATGAAGGATGCGAACGTACGAGACAAATTCGCCAGGGAGAAGAATGTTTTGTGCTTCGAGATGGAGGCGGCAGGACTGATGAACATATTTCCATTCCTCATAATTCGGGGCATATCCAATTACTCCGACACTCATAAAAATGATGATTGGAAAGCGTATGCATCCTTGGCTGCGGCTGTTTACGCCAAAGACCTTCTTTCTCACATACCACCCCAGAAAGTCAAGGCTCAAGAAAATCTGAGCCAACTTCTTAATGGTCAGTGAATTTCTCCCCGCTTGGGCAGCAGGCTTTGATATTAATCCCTCATTCCTGTATTATTAGACATCAAGGGACGCCTCGAAGAGGAGGACAAACGAGAGATCCTAGCCTGGCTGACGCCAATCGACTACACATCCCAACATAATGACAATTTAAATCGAAGAGAGGGTACGATTGGGGAGTGGGTTCTAAATTCTCAGGAATATCGAACCTGGAAAGACGGAAATAACCAGACTCTCTTCTGTCCTGGAATCCCTGGAGCGGGGAAGACGATTCTCTGCGCGATGGTCATAAATGACCTTTTGGCTAGCCGTCATGATGATACAAGTGTGGCATACATCTATTTCGATCGTGAGGAAAATGACGTGCAAAGACGTGAAGATCTTCTCGCGAGTCTTTTGAAGCAATTGGCTGCCCGAGATATTAAGCTGGTCCAAGAGCTTTATGACCACCACCAAGAAATGCAAACGAAGCCCAAGGCGCCAGAACTGTTGCGCACCCTCGAGCTCGTCATCCAGAGATACAAACAGACCTTTGTCATCCTCGATGCGCTGGATGAGTGCCAGACAGCAGAAAAGACCCGTTATCTGTTTCTAAGAGACCTCTTCGAGATTCAAAAAAGGTGCGGGATAAAGTTATTGGCGACGTCGAGGTTTGTGGTGGATATTGAGGAGCATATCGAAGGGCGCTCCAAGCTTGAGATTTGCGCACGTCCTGCTGATATTGAGTTATTCCTGGCTGGGCCGTGTCAAGTTCACTTCTGAGGTTTTTTAGAGTAGCCCTCAATATCACGAGGGAATTGTTTACAGCTATTCGGCGTGTACCCGTACTCATCATCCTTCGCGGCCAGCGCTCCGGGGATTTCCAGACTCCCCCACGAGAGTTCTGTCGCTCTTAAGGTTAATATATCTCGTCGATAATGTTCGGAGCGAGGAGTGGCGGATCCACTCGGCGGATGCACTCCTATATTCTTCCAGGGCGCGGCAGGTGACTTGCTAAGAGAACCTCTGGGTGAATATTATGCAAACGGTGGGTTCTTACGACAGGCCATGACTGGAGCGGTTTACACGGTCAATAATCGCTATGGCCGATTTATTTCACCTGACGATGAAACCGGGATTGCCGCTGTCGTCTCTATAAAGGAAGAAACGGGTTTCCATGAATTGCCCAGAGAGAGCGTGGCTCCCGAACTCTTGCAAGATGCGGTCAGTTATTTCCTATTGCGAAAGTCGACCCTGGCTTGATGGGTAAATTTGATAAAACACCGCTCGCGTATGTAACTGCAGGTGGCCATGCCGAGATCGTTAGGTTGCTGGAAGGAACGAATGTTGCGTTTCCCTTATGGAGTAGTGCAGAACACTGGGCCGCGATGGCACTGCGTTGGAGAAGATGTTGCATGTCTTAGGCGCAATCTCCCTCGTGGCGTTCTTCAAAGTTAGTTGTCATGTCACGTTTGACTCACTTACAGCTGAGCCAAACAACAACAGGAAGATGTCCCAAGACTGTGGCTGAAGAAGATTTCCAATCACAGAAGGGAGTTAGTAGCAAGCAATAATTGAATTGCTCCGAATATACGATAAGCATTGATGGTAAGAGGTTTTTGTCGCAAGGCTGGGATGTCGGTAAATATTGTTCAAGATAGTTTATGTTTAGCAGGTCATAGAGAGGTATCGAGACCCCTTTTATTGTCCATGTTTAAGTTGACTTGATCTTAACTCAGGTATCTGGTAGGCTTCTCCTGAGACCTCCAGGTAAGCTCTACTTCTCCATTGGGCTTCATTGTGCCAATCCTTGAATAATCCCGGCATTGTCATTGGGCGACTCTTATTCGAGCTGGGTGACATGGTCTTCTAAGTCATGCATGCATGAAGCCTTTACAGTTGGGCAGGCTCGGAGCTGCGCCCCGACTCCTCTTTTTTCCCCCTTCAGCCAGCTTTCCAACGGCCTAGGGGCTCATTCTTCTCGCTTTATTGACGCCGTGCCTATGGCCTCTCACCCGAAGGCTACCAGAAGCAGGAGCAATATTACGGCAGAGTTAGCACAGGACTGGATATCGCTAAACAAATGGATCCGATAACGTCGCTCGGCGTCGCAAGTACCGCAATTCAAATAATCGACTTTGGAGTGCGTTTCCTTTCGCAGGTGAAGGAGCTGTCGGACTCGGCCAAGTTGGACCTCGACGAGTTCGCGCCCTTGCGGCAAGAGGCGACTCAGCTCCGGTCCTTGAATGGGATCCTCATCGACGCTGTCAGGCGGCGTAAAGAACTTCACGAGTCCAACCCCATGAAAAGGAGACACTCAGCATCTGCGCGCAGTCGAATGACGTTGCGCGTGACTTGATCGAGAAGCTGGACCATGTGTCGAAGAGTAAAAAACCTGGCAAAGCGGATGCCCTAGGAAGGGTGTTAAGAGCGATGATGGGACGCAACGACATAAAGAAACTTCATGCGCGGCTTTTGAAGTTCAGAGATAGTCTCGTAACCACTATCCTAATCAATACCCAGTGAGTCTTCGCCACGGTGGATATGTTGCTACCACCGAGACCCCTCCATTTCTCAGCTACGCTGTTGTGTGCCGTCTTTGAGAGACATGGGCTAATAAATGCCACTCAGATAGGAGTTGGTTAATCTTTCTGACCAGTCCACGTATTCTCCTAAGCTGGCCTGGGATGAAGCGCTTACTCTTCAGAAATGGGTTACCCAGCAGCGCTCCTACATGGAGAATCTGCACGCACGACTCCTGACTGCCGTGCAATCAAGCCAACATCTCGTGCTCCGTAGTCTCAGCCAGCAGAAGTGGGATGGGCTGAGAAGCTGGGATGACTCGCCCGTTGTGCAAACTTTGAAAACGTCGCTTCTGGAGAACCTCGAATTTGATGAGATCGCCGAGCGCCAAAGGAGGATCCCCTGCGCTTTCGATGACACGTTTGAATGGATCTTCTCCGACCACAACAGCGCGGCCACGGACGGCGAGCGGACCTGGAGCAGCCTTAGCAAATGGCTTGTTGAGGGCGACGGTGCAAGTATTTACTGGATCACCGGGAAAGCTGAATCCGGCAAGTCCACCCTCATGAAGAAGCTTTTCCAGGACCCTCGTACTGAACGTCTGTTGGCGGAATGTGGCGGAAGCGTGCCGGTTGTCACAGCCAACTTCTTCTTCTGGTGTTCCGGTACGGAGTTGCAGGTGTCTCAAGAGGGCCTACTGCGAACTCTTCTCTACCAGGCCCTATCAAAGAGATTAACCATCGGTCCGAAAGAGTCTTTACCCCGTCAAATACGCCTTCTTCATAGACGGCCTGGACGAATTTTCCGGCGAACCGTCGAAGCTCATCGCCCTCCTCCGGCGCCTCGCAGCATATCAAAACATCAAGATCTGCGTTTCAAGCCGGCCGTGGATGGAGTTCGAAGACGCTTTCAAGAAGCAACCGAATCTAATGATGCAGCACCAGACAGCGCGCGACATTGCCCATTATTCCAGGGAATCACTATCAAAGAATCCGGCATTTTGCGAAATCGCTACCTACGATCCGAAATACGCCGAAAATCTAATCCAAAACATCGTCACGAAAGCTTCCGGAGTCTTTCTTTGGGTCGTTCTTGTTGTCTCCTCCCTTTTGGAAGGATTGGCGCAGGGAGACCGTCCATCGGAGCTGCAGATGAGGCTTGAAAAACTCCCGGACGAGTTGGACGAGCTGTTTACCAAGATGCTCCACGGAATGGAGGGCCAGAATTTTCGAGACGCCTCTCACATTTTCCGCATCGTGCATGCCGCAGCGGAGAAGCCGTCTCTGCTTGTTCTCTCCATCGCCGACGACGACAATGTTGGTTGGGCCCTGGAACGAGATGTCGTGCCTCTGGAGACGGGGGAGTTATGGTACAATGCTGTCAGGATGAGACGTCGACTGGTAAGCCGGTGCCGTGTTGCTGCTCGAAGTAGATGTCCTTCTCCCCGACACTCTACCGTCGGACTACGTCTGGACAAACCCTGATCCTTCGCGTAAGGGGCGGGGGTCGGTAGTTCCCACGGAAATATTTGATTCAGGCCCCCAACGCCACATATCCGCTAGTGATATCACTGTGGATGACGGATACCTCCTTGCAGCGCCGAAAGTGGATTATCTGCACCGAACTGTCAAGGATTTCCTCCTGTCGTCTCCGGTCTGGGACCGTATCGAAGCCGCCTGCGATAGTGGGTTCGACCCTCACAAGGGCCTCTTTAGAGCATACTTGGTCCACCTGAAGACATTACCAGAGGACAAGCTGCATCCAGTACTATTCGGAAAGCTTATCAGCCTCTGCATAAGTGAATCGCGCCACTTTGCTCAAACCGACACAAGCCTCTACGTCCGCTACCTCGACGAGCTGGATCAAGCCGCCGTCAGCCTCACGTCCAAGAAGGGTAATATGGGAGTCACGTACATTAACCGATTCTGGAAAGAGGGCAACCACCATTGGGCCAGCACCCTATCCCGTTCCAAACCCACAGACAACTTCCTCACGGTAGCTGCGTGCTGCGACCTCGTTGAATACCTCTCGGCCAAGTTTGCGGACAACCCTCCTTCTCGTGAGCTCGCTTCCGCGTTACGGGCGGATGTTCTGACGCGGAGCGACATGCGTAGCATCTTAGAGGGCAGGCGCAGACGCGGCCAAAACCCATGCCAACAAGTTTTAGAGCTGCTGTCTCAATACGATACGACCAAGGGGAAAGGCCCTCTAGGCTCCAACCCGTTCCATAATTCTCGAGAGTCTCGCGGGCCCCAGCCGCCTGAGTTCGATCCCACTGACAGAATGCGTCGTGCAAGCATCAAGGGTGTATATAAGGGTCGTAGGGGTAAGAGTCGATTGTATCAATGGGAGGAACCCACCTCGGGGGAATCCACCTTAGAGGAATCCATGGCAGTGAGAACGAAATTTCTCAAGAGGCCGCTGCAGAAAACTATCAACTCTAGGTCGCGGGCAAGTCTCACTAGCGATGTCCGTGCGCGGTCTGATGCCTTTTTCGCAAACGGCATCTACTATCCCTCGCCCCGCCATAGCCGAGATGTTCTATTATTCAGAGGATCCGAAAACAGACCTCATGTAGAACATGGCCCATCGGGTTTGAGAGGAAAGATCAAGAAATGGTTGTCGGAATATGGATACGGGCGAAGCAGGCAAGCCGTAGCAAGGGCTCCAGACCGGAACCCTAGAGTTGACAATTCTGCGCCACTGCTACCAGTGCTCGCTCACAGCACCATGATAGGTACAGGACAGTGAGGACACCAAACCCACTTGACCGCGCCTTCTTATCGCTGCTTCCATCACGAGTTTGGATTGGATGAGTGTGAGCCGAGGATGGGATCGAACTGGCTTTGCGCAGAGCCGACCGAATTAATTGAACGGAGCTGCTGGGGCGCCTCCACCCTGAACCGCCACATGGGAGCGAGCTTCTTCTAGTCACATATTCGGGTTGGTAAGTTTGGCGAGAACTGATAGGGTCAGATCGTCATCAGCTTTGTTTCCCATGGCCGAAATACAACTACCAAAATGCGGATGTTCTCTGTTTTTTCCATATATTCTAATATGTCTACACGTATTGATTATCGGAAGTTCGGAACCTACGGCCTTCTCTATTCCATTGGCTATGGATGGCCAACAAACACTGATAAAGGGGGAAAAAAAACTCGGCACGCGTCAAGACAAATATAGAAAGAAGGCAGGCTGGTCGAATTATGCATCGAGGCTCTGTGCCTCATACATGTTTTTGTACATATCACTGGTGATCAATAATTCCTGGTGTATACCAGTAAGAACAGGATGAGTTTGCCGTAGCTGAGTAGAAGAATGCGCGCGATACGACACGAAGCCTTCGCACGGCGCCGCTACTACATTTCATAAGATAATGATAAAAATGCTTTTGTTTATATACATACTCTGTAGACCCTGAGTTCTCTATTGCCCGCATCTCTCTCTCTCTTTTTTTTTTTTTTTTTTTTTTTTTTTCTTCTCCTTTTGGCACTTTATCAGACACCTTAACACGTCCCACACAAGGCACCATATCCCATATTCGACTTAAAATTTAAAACACTTGTGCCCTCTTTAAGTGACGGTTTCGTCTACGCTAATAAATGGCTCTTGCTGTGGTTCCGGGGGAGGGGGGTTTAAATTGTCGATCGAAAAAAGTCTCCTCGCCTGCTTCTCCATGTGCTTAATGTGGAATGCAGAGACCGGATTGGGCATCTCGCGCATCACCTTCTGGACCTGTTCCAAAAGGTAAGGTCTCGGATTGCATTCTTTGTGGTTGGCCTCGGGATTACTCGTGTCCGCCTTTCCAATGTCGTGGATGACGAGGGTCGTCAACTTTTCGTACAATTCCAACAGGCTATAATCTATGTCTTGCGACTCAGGAAGGGGCCACAGACCAGCTCGCGTAAGACAAAATGTCATGGAGCCGAGAATCATGGATTCGCATCTGTGGTGGCCCATCCAGGTATGATGTCGACACCATCGCACGCGCTCGTCGACGACGATCAGGTTATCAGCCATCTCGCGGAAAATATTCAGGAGGGCCTGGGAAGATTGAATTCGGATAGCCTCGATCCTTTCTGGCGATGAGTTAGTTTAGCCCATCCCTGCTTTCGGAATTCGGGGCGATCTGATCACTTACCCGTGATATCCGGTGGCGTCGGCTGGCTCAAAGCGCGAAACGACTCTTCCAGCGCAGTGCTCCCCAGCTCCATCAACATCCGGCGGGACACAATGGTGAAATCATCCGTCCCGCCAAACTCCCACGCTATCCAAAGGAATTTTGCCATCAACCCCCCTTCATGGCTTTTGACGTCGTTGATATTAATAAAAGCCATCCACCTATCGGTCCACGGCGCAAGGGACTTTGTAGCATCGAAGTAGTTGGTCAACACGGTCAGATTGAAAAGGTCGTCGATCGAGACGCGCATGGGTACTTTTTGAAAATGCCCGTGTATAATGTTAAGGAAGAGCTTCATCGCCGCTGGCCTCTGATCTGGGAGTTCAACTGTCCAGTCTTCCTTTTCGGGATCGGTGGGTTTCGCTTCGGCGAATTCGCCAAAGAGCATTCAGTCAAAGACAGGCGAGGCACGAGCCAGGGTGAGTGACGAAGTCAGAAAGGTTACAGGTTCTGCATCATTTTCCACGAGTCGTAGCAGCAAGTCGCCGCGTGGGTCCATCTCAATGATCGGAGAAGACATGGCTGTTGGGAAGTTCGAGATGGCTTTGGGAGTATGGGAAAGAAAAAAGGATTCAACCGGCGCACTGAGGCGGCGTCTGGATTTATATCGAACGCGCTTAGCTCCTTTTTTTGTTGCTCTCGAAAGCTTTTTGCGGGTCCTTTCGCCCCTGCCAAGCTCCGATCTCGTATTTTCCGCCAGCTGTGAGGCGATGCTGAGTCTCGTGTTTGAAGTAAAGCGCTTTAAATAGAAGAGCGACGTGGTCCAAGCTAGGCGCTAGGGCGCTTCGAATCGCGTGAAGGAAATGCCAGCCAATTGACGCTTTGCAAGCGCGCTTATGCTTCGTATTCAGCAGCTTGTCACCTTCGCGACAGGCGCAGCTCGGGAGGATTGTCAGCCTTATCCTCGAGTTTACATGGACTAGGAATAGAGCGTAATCAATTGTTGCGTGGTTTATACACGAGTGAGTCCATAGTAGCTTCACTTAGATCTCTGCCAACATCTCTTCTTGGCCTGCAGTCCCCACTCTCTTTCCTTACCTTCACGGCCTCCGCAATACGGCTACATCTCTTTGGGTCCTCTCTCACCCTCGGCAACATTTCTTAGAATACTTGAGTCCTATTGCTTTACTGGCAGTTCAAGTCGAAGATCCGGTTTAGCTGCCAAGTTGCCCGCAAAAGTTTCTGTCAAGTGTTCAGAAAAATACAGCTTAGAAGCTGTGTGAAAGTGAGAGTGGATGACCTGGGATGCGCGGTCCGCCTTACCTTTCGTAAGCAGCAGTTCTGGCACTGGATTGGCTTGTTAGCGTATCATTCCCTAGGTCGCCGCGCATCCTATCTTCCGGGAACTTGCAGCTCTTGGAACAATAGACGTGGTCGTTTTTGTGTTGGGTATATGAGGTCCAGGAGTTGTCGAGCAAAGGAGGCGATGGAAAGACTTCATGGACCTGCGAGAGGATTTATGGACAGGACGCGCGGAAGCCATGCAGCCACGGGGGATACGGGACCCGACAAGGTCGCCACGCTGCGTGTTCGCGGGCAACAACATGGCCACCATTGAACCTAAAACCCCCCACTGTCCGATCAAATTGTCATAATCGGCAATGGTCAGTCTGAGCGGAAGATCGGAGGAGAGTCGATGCTGGGCCTTCTGGCTTTAGTGATATAGCGAAGCTCTTTTCCGCCAACACGAAAAGATATCAAGCTAGTCTCATTGGGTTCTCACCCTATAAATGCTGATAAAATATTCAGATTTCACAACAATGATGTCATCTACTCCGCGATGGCCATCTCCCTGCTCCCCTTTGACGAAGGTAGTTAATGGGAGGCTGAAACTCGCACCAACCAAGGTCAGGTGCCGCGATGCCATAGCCAATATCGCTAAGCATGCCTTCGTCATAGCTCATGCTACCGATCTAGTCAAAGTCGTGCGTAAGGAAGTGGTTCTCCTCCCGTCGAATGAACGACTTAGTAAAGAAGCAGCTGTATAGTAGACGTTCCTCGTTGGTGGTAGGGCTGGACGAAACATCACATAAACGCAATCGCCCCTGGGTGATTCTGCCTGCACCGTGCGCTTCTCTTTCGGCGGGGTTAAATGGTCTTAAAGGTAGCTGCTAGGGACGAAGCCGATGGTGGTGTCCTGGCCTTTTCCGTACAGATCGGCTCTCACGGTGGCACACGTCCTGGGCGAGGCGAAAATTTCCGAGTTCCGTTTCTCAGTCTCGTCGAGGCATTCATGTTGGACCGCGCTGTGAATAATGAATGCCTCTAGCAGCGCTGAGATTAAACAAGTAAGGGCCGATGGTCTAGTGGTATGATTCTCGCTTAGGGTGACACCCTATGCTTATATGCGAGAGGTCCCGGGTTCAATCCCCGGTTGGCCCCCAATTCTTCTTTTTGTAAACCAGAACTCTGATCTTCTTCTTTTTTTTTTTTTTTTTTTTTTTTTTTTTTTTTTTCAATTTTGTTCTCATTGCATTACTATTTCATTTGATTTTTATTTCTTTTCCTTACCTTCTTGTCAAGTAGTTGTTGTAGGATTTAGCAACTCGTGGATATTGAGAGAGTCTCACTTTGCCAAAGTCGAATTCCACAACTTTAGGAGGGGGCGGAGTTGATCGCCCGTAATTTTAGGGCCCTAATTTTACTGGTGTCCTCCCACACACATAGGGTGGTTTAAGGTAGGCGTGGCGGCGGCTGCGCGGCTTGGGGTTAGTCTCGGGTGCTGGAGTTAATAGTGTTCGTTCCAGGGTGTAGACTGTGCGCCCAGATAAGAAAGCCGCATCGAGGACGAGGAGTCTTTGGCGCGAAGATCATCGAGGAAGAATGCTGGATTCTGAGCCACTGGCCCCCGTTCAAGCGTCGGTGGACCTCTTCTGGTCCTATATCATTCGAAATTCGGCTGCGGGCTTTTAAATGAGGCGGAATTGGTGCCATCCCGAGAGTTGGTGGTATTCAAGATGCGCCACAAGATATTGCATCGCGGAGTGTGGAGATTAAACCCTGATCGCGAGTGGCTGGCTCGGGTTTCCTTTGTGCCCAACCATACTATCGCTCTTCACCTTGTAATAGTTTGGAAAGAAACATATTTGGCGTGGATGAGAACGAAGGCTATGTAGGAGCTATTTATTTACCCAGCTTTGTTAAGCAGATATATTCTACCCATGTCGACCATGATAGCAAGTAGACGCCGTGAACTGACAATGAAACCCATCTTCTATCAAACTTAATGTACACTATAATAATGCGTCCCTTCTATCATCCGTGTCCTCAGTTCGCCGAGCAAAACCGTCGCCTCAACGAGTGACCAGCACCCGAGGCGTCCAACGCATTTAGTTGCTCTTCCAACTCATCCAGCCGTTGTGCGATAGCCAGAGTCATGCCGTCTGTTTACTCGCTGTTAGCTACATAATATTATCTGGGATTCTTTAACCAGTGAAACAAACCTTCGGCATGCCAGAGAATGTGGCAGTGAATTGCCCATACTCCGGGGTTGTCCGCGCGGATACGCAAAACGACGTGGGAATAGCCTGGGACGGTTATGGTATCCCGCCGTATTGGGTTCTCTAGGTTCCAGATCGTACGGCCGTCACCGTAGTCCTTGTTTCCCCAACCAACTACTTGGAAATTTTGACCTGGAGCGTTGTAACATTAGTACTCCGTGGGGATTCCAACGATAGATCAGGAACGAAGTTATAATACCGCTAAACGGGCAATTAGTTAGTTGGTTGGTAACCATGAATAGAGGGTGCTGGACGTTTTGACTTACTGTAAGTGGAATGGGTGCATCATCATGTTTCGAGAGTTCACAACGATCTGAGCTCCCTTGTCTGCATCTTGTGACACGAGGATCACTTGATCTAAGCCAAAGTCACCTTTACGAGGCCCCGCGTTCGCGTCTAGATTCGATGAATATTGCTCTGTAACATTCCAGAGAGTTGCATCATCCACAAGTGGCTTATAAGCCGTCTGAGTGAAGGAGAAAGAGAGTTAGTCGAGAAAAGGAAGAGCGGTGGATACTTCCTAGAGTAATAAATTACCTGGTTGATGACGGTTTGAATCCTATTATTGATGGAATGTCGTTCGAACGAAAAGTAGTGAAAGTTCCTCTCGCCTACTTCGTAAGCCGTTGCTTGTCTGACGGGTTTGGCAATGTCAAAAGGTAAATCGTCACACTCCTGACCCCAGGGTTCATCGCCGAAAACGGAGTTTGACTTGCTCTGCAGGTCCCAAGGCGAACCGATGACACCGGCATCCGCATTTATGTCGTCATACGATAAGATTCCTACAGCTTCATAGTTAACGCTGGCTAGCCCTGTAGAGGCAGCCCTCGGTAAGTGGAAGCAGGATGTGGCGGCCGTGGCGCGTAGGAGATAATTGCCGGCAGTCTGGTTCGCAGAGACGAGGACCGAGTACTTCTGGCCAGGATTTACGAAGATTCGCGTGGTCGCGATGGGCTCGACTTCCGTTCCGTCTATCTCGACGATTTCTAGCGTATGGTTGTCGATTGTGACCCAAAACGGTGTGGAGGTACTATGGCTAATGAGTCTAAAGCGCGTCTGGTCACCACTCCGGATGCGAGTGGTGTAGAGCGAGCCGGCTGCACAATGCGAAGAGGCATCGGGGGTGAGGCTACTAGGGTCCATGCTCGGAGGAGTAGAGCAGTTGGAGACGTGGACTCCGTTCATGAGAATGTTATCTGGGGGAGGTTCCATGCCCGCCATCATGGGACTCCAGGGATGCTCGGGGCCCAGATATAGAGCGCTCAACTACTCAGATGATTAGAATTCCGGGCACAGCCACGGTGGTGATTAGCAAGGGTAAGGGGGTAAAAAGGATACCTTTTCCGCATCTTCGTGGAAGTGATCACCGAACATGATGATCTTTTCGTCGTCGTAATGTGGGACCTTCTCATCCGGGTCGTGGATAATCTGGGATGGGGTCAATGAAATGCGATGGAGAAACCACAACAAAAAATTTTCTCAGGGGAGCATGTACCAGAGGTCCGAAAAGTCCGTTGGTATATTGGACGGATACATGAGAATGATACCAAAACGATCCGCGTTGGCCTGTCACGTTGAACTCGTAGGTGAAAGTCTCGCCAGGAGGTATGCCGCACTGCGTCACGCCATGGACACCATCCATCCAATTCGAATTCCTCTGGTCTATCCCGTGCCAATGGATCGTAGTGCTCTCCTCGGGCATCTGATTGTTGACGGTAATCCGAAGGATGTCGCCCGTATTCGCCTCGATAAGAGGACCTGGGGACTGGCCGTTGACGAGGATCATTGGTTTTTCGATACCATCAGGGGCGGCAAGCTGGCGGGTAACATTAAATACGTATTCGCGCGTCTTGGGCACGCGAGAGATAATGAAGCCCGTGTCCAGCTCCAGTTCGGCGGAATTGACGATGGACTCCGCGATGCCGCTGGTGCTACCAGGTTCGGGGTCTCGCGATTGTTGGCGAAAGAAATAAGAAAGAAGGATTCCGGCTAGGATGAGGAGGATGATGCAGCTGAGCCCCAAGGATACGCGCCAGGCGTATCTCCTTTTCTTCCCGCCCCGACGGTCATCTCCCAGCTCCTTCTCCTTAGTTTCGACGTCGGCGAGAGGGTCCTCGGAATCTAGACTATATCGGTCCGGCGTCCCGCCATCCAAGGGTGCAGCAAGCTGCAGCATGGGATACGCCTCGTCATTTTCGTCGTCACGCCGGTCGTCACCGAAGCCAGACTTTAAATTCATCCTCGTAGTGCATGTGGGCTGCGCGGAAAGGGCTGGTAGAAATTTGGTAGGTTGAAAGGCGCGACGCGGAAGAAGAGGAAATGGAAGAGGTGGCATAAGAAATTATGGGCTGATTATATTGGGCTTAGTCCTTCCATGTTGCATTGAGCATGTTTCGTTTCGGGTGGCGATCTCATATTTTTGGTGCTGGAAGCGCCACACACGGACGCTAAAATTAATTTAAGAAAGTCGCCGACTAAACTGAAGTGATCGGAGACTTCTGCTCCCCGATCAGCGCATCAATCATGCACGTATATACTAAGTACACGTATAATTTTTTTTTCTTTTGGAATGGGGAAAATTGGCTAAGTCTTCTTCGGTTGTTCATCAAGGTACCTTGCATTGTGTGAGAGTGAGCGTCATGGCCGAATTTGGTCAACGGGCGCCTCCAGTATCAAGAAATAGTGGCCTGCGATTGGAGACAGAGGAGACCACTCGGAGTCTTGGGCGTTTCAGGACAACCTCTCGAACGATAAATTGGGCCTGTTGTTTGGAGTCTGGCTGGATGTAGTGGCGTGGTCGTTGGGGCCATGGCTGGGCGACCTGGGCACTGGCTGCCAGCTGAAAGGTCTCCGTCTCGTGAATCTGTCAATCCAAGTGGATCTGGCGACAGATCAATTGATGGTGGCTGCGTCGTTGGAGTCGAGCTGTCACTTAAAAAAAAAAAAACCATCAATGATGAGACCAAGTCTGTCCAGCGTCAACTGAGGGGCTTGTCCTGGCCAGCTCGAGAATTGCGCAGGCGATACAGCTTGAGAAGATTATTGATCTGTCAGCACATGGAGGTGTTCCTTCTCAAGTGTGAGAGTACGCACACCAGTATGGGAGATGGTACTGTACCTATTACCCCCCCAACTAGAGTGGGTGTACTGTTACCCTTTGCAGAGGGTCCTGACTCCTCAGTTGACCTTCTCTTCATCCTGGCGAGGCGGGATAGCAATCACTCACTGGAGGCATTGTCTAGAGATCGTCACTGGCGCTCTTGCTGTGAATTCATTGATGCATGAACCTATTTTCGTCGCGTCATCAATGAGATAGGAGAACTGGCACCTCTCCATTGCGACCTGCGCCACCCCCCTGTACCCCCAAGAAGCTTGGCTGCCGATTCCGATCCCCCAAGCTAAGGTTTTGGCAGGGAGCTAGTACTGAACGAAGAACGAGTCGGGGAGCTGAAGAGCTGAACCAAGCTCGAGCTGTGCGCGTCATTGGTTGATCCCCCTCACCATACGTACGCAGATCGAGGAAGGTGAGATCGAGTGCGGGGTCCTCGCCTCACAATCACATTTCTTGTGTTTTTACCGCTCTGCCTTACTTCGTAAAAAAGCAGGGACGATCGAGATAATCAAGCCCGAGAACACCAAATCCATCATCGCGAATCACCGAATTTGATTGATTTCCTCTGCCGCGTCCACACATCCCTCATCCACGTCCAACTCACGTTCAGAATGTCCGAAGTTCAGGGCCTTGCCAACCGCCTCGGCGGGATGAACCCATTCGCCAAAACCAAAAGGCACCGTGACGAAGACGATGCCGGCGATAATATGGACCTCAACGCTGTCGCCGGCGGCGGTCACTCAGCTCGCGTTATTGACGCCAAAAAGAGCTCTCTCCGCGTCAGCAATGCCTTGAAGTCCTTCATCGTCAAAGAAAATATTCTCAGTGAAGAACACGTGGGATTCGATTCCGAGGAGCATACGCCGGCTCTCGTGGCCCTCCTTACCAAGTCCCATATCAATGTCCCTTCCTCGGTCACCGATCCGTCCTTCACGCTGCCGGATTATTTTGTCAGCTCCAGCCACAACACATATCTCATGGCCCATCAACTCTACGGCTCTTCAAATGTCGACGCCTACAAGACTGCTCTCAGAGCTGGTTCGCGATGCGTTGAGATTGACGCTTGGGACGACGATGATAACAAGGATGAGCCCAAGGTTACTCATGGCTTTACTCTCGTGTCTCACATCCCTTTCCGTACCGTTTGCGAGGCTATTCGCGACATTGTTGATGAGGAGGCTGCCGAAGCTGAGAAGACCGGCGGTCCACCCGCTCCCCCAATTCTAATCTCGCTGGAAAACCACTGCAGTGCGCACGGCCAGAAGAGACTCGTCGAAATTTTGAACGAAGTCCTTGAACAGCGCCTCTTGAAAGCCCCAATCGAGAAGGGTAGCGATGGCGCAGATTACGACCCAGCTCAGCACATCCGTTTGAGGGACTTGCAATCTAAAGTGGCCGTCATCGTCGAGCACCACCTTCAGGACGAAGCCGCCGACAGTTCCTCGTCGAGTGAGAGCAGCGACAGCTCCGATGATGAGGAGCATAAGGCTCGCGACGAGTACAAGAAGAAGAAGAAGTCCAGTGGCTCAACCGTCATCATCCCGGAGCTTGAAGCTCTAGGAGTTTACGCCCAGTCTGTAAAGCCGGGAAACAACTCGTGGTTCGACCCTGGAGAACTCATCAATGGTCCCCATCACCACCTCATCAATGTATCCGAATCCGGTCTTCGACAACACCTGCCAGCGGGGAACGCCAAAATCGCCACGCATAACTCAAAGCACCTCATGCGCGTGTACCCCAAAGGTACTCGGATTGCGTCTAATAATCTCAAGCCAGTTCCGTTTTGGGGAGTTGGTGCTCAGATATGCGCCATGAATTGGCAACGGTTCGATGCTAGCATGCAGATCAACGAAGCTCTGTTCAGCGGCACGGCTGGCTATGTTCTGAAGCCGGCTAGCCTTCGCGAAGGAGGCAGCGGCCTTGCCACTACCGGCAAGAAAAAGAAACTCAGGCTTCATGTTGCCGGAGCCACCGACGTACCAAATCCCGCCAAGGACAAAGACGACGCCAATGAGCTGCGCCCTTATGTCAACTGCGTTCTCGTGCACCCCGATGACCACAAGAACGAGCCTCCCAAGCGCAAGACATCACCGTACAAGCAGCGCAAGCTTGACTTCTTCCATCGGGCCGATAATCCGCCGCCAACCGAGCCCATCTGGGATGAAGTGCTTGAATGGGAGTATGACGATAGCGAGCTTGTGTTTTTGAGGATGCTTGTGAAGGATGATAAGAGTTTTGCGAAGAATCCGATCTTGGGCGTGGCTGCTCTCAGGGTCATGTATCTTGTTCCGGGCTGGAGTTTCGTGGAGATGTTGGATTTGAAAGGGAGGGAGACGCCGTGTAGCGTGCTTGTCAAGTTTGAGGTTGAGGATGCTTAAGCGGGTGATCGAATGCTTGAGAGGACTTGTACTGCTTCTCTTTTCCGTTTCTTATAAGATTTTCTCTTGTCTCTTTCATTTTGCTTCGGCCTTTCCCCCCTTTTCGCTCTATAGGTGGGCAGGTATATTCTCAATGGGAGTGAATCGGATTCTTTATGCGGATCCAGGCTTAATTCAAGTCAATTGTTTCTGCTCAATGTCTAATTTCGATGTGACTTCCTGCGGCTCGGGGGCTGCTTTCGAGCCATGAAGTCCCGGCCTGGTATGCCCATAATGACTATATCCTGACTGGCTATCGCCCAGTAACACTCTCCACGAGGCTCTGTCTGGAGAGCCTCAGATGTCTCCACAACGAGACTGTCAACATCTATTCTCACTTATTGCCTGCTTGTGCAGCTATCGTGGGCAATTTTTTCTTCTACTTCTATTTCTCAACTTCTTACCCGACCGCGCCATGGGCTGACCAATTCGTATTTCACATCTACATCACAACGTCTTTCCTCTGCTTCGGCATATCATCTGCGTATCATACTATGCTCTCTCATTCGAATTCATACGCCGACCTCTGGGGCCGTCTGGCCGTTTCTTTGGTACACTTATCGCCTCTGAGACGCTGGCCCTCCTTTCGCCATGAACGCGAAGCACACGCCTAATCCTAAACCCGCGAGTCCCATCCCCATTGTAGAGAGCACCCCTATAACCCCGAAGTATATCCTCTGAGCTTTCGCCATCACCATGAGTATGAACCTCGACTGTACCGGCGAATGCCACACCAAGTGCGATCCCATAGTTGACGACCGTATTGACCAGGCTGGCACCAATACCCTGGTGTTCCTTGGCCATAGAGTCAGACATGATTAGGGTGGCAGCAGGGAAGGTCATGTCCATGCCGAACGGCATAATGAGCATTGAAACGAAGATTTGTCCCCAGTACACTTGATCAGTGGGAGCCAAACCAGTCAGGATAGAACCGGCGGTGAAAGCAGCCGGGGCCATCGTCATGAGAACAGCCGGCTTGACTTTGAAGGGCCCTAGCAATTTCCCAGTAACGACCGCAGCGACTGCACCTGCGATAGCCGATGGGGAAAGCCAGGCCATTGTTAGCAAAGGTGATAGATTTCGGATAGTTTGGAGTATCTGGACTAGATAAAGAATCCAGATTCCAAAGCTAGCCCATCCACACACAACCGCTGCCAGGACAAAAGCGACGTCGGCATTCACAGCGTCGAGTGGTAGCAGAGGCATCGGGCTGAGCCTAAGCTCTATCAAGGCAAATAATCCAAAAAGCAGAACACCTAAGACCAGGGGAACCAGAACGGTTGGCGTTGCCCAGCCGTCAATAGGAGACTGTGTCCAGGCAAAGTTGAAAAGGACCAAAGAAGAGATGCCGATAAAAGCCCCAGGCAAGTCTAAAATCCGAACCCAGGACTTCCAGTCTGAGGCATGGACAGTCTTTCGCGGCAGGTTTGGGATGACGTAGCCAGCCGCTACAGCCAGAAGGGCTAGCCAAATGGACATCGCCCAGAGCGCCCATGGCCACCAAGTCAATGTCAGTAGCGAGGCGAGCGCGCCGCCAAATACAGAACCGACAGGCGCCCCCGAGCCGAAGAGGGCGAAAATCATCGCCTTGCGGTGGCCAGGTGGATAAGTAATTCCAAGGATGGCCAAGGCGTTCGGGAGGCATATAGCTGGTCCGATGCCCTGCAGGACGCGAGACACGACGGCAAGTTTATAGTTTGAATAGACACTCAGCCCGGCGACGAGGGACCAGAGAGAGAACCAGCTGAGGCCCATAATAAACATCCTCTTGTATCCGAACACATCGCCTAGCCGTCCGGAAAACAAGATGAAGGTTCCCACGGTGAGAGAGTAGCCTGCCACTAGCCACGCTAGCAGTGGCGGGCTAGTAACGTTGAAGCTTTGACCGATTGTGCGAAGAAGAAGCAAGGTTCCCATAAACGCGGCCTCTAGTAGTGTTTGGAATATCAGCACGTCGAAAAAGGAGCGTCGGTGGGGGGAATGAGTTGGGAAGTGATTGGTTCTTACGAGTCCAGACCTACGCCATGCACACCAAAGAGACGAACAACATCTCCCGGGAACGCGAGAGTGACTCCGAAATCCATGGCTCGATGACCGGCCTCTGCCGGGCTAGCACAATCTCGATGTTGTCCACACCAACGACGGCTCGAGTATCTGCGGCTGTTTTCTTGCTTGAGAACATAATGTAGTCCGGTCACGATCCTCCGAATTGTATGGGTCAAAGAAACTTGGATATGTAAGAGCTGTGCCAGATCAAGCAGGAGGAGGATTCACGCACTACTCCTTTGGCCGTTCAGCGGATGCAGTGGCTTGTTCGAACCTACGGCCTGGAGAAGGGATGAGAGCATATTAATAAAACATTACCAAAGCGCTCACGCCATCTCTGGTCCTACCAACCCACGCATGGAAAACATGGAAAAGGACAGGAGCGAAATGCAGATATAACTAGGCCCTAGACTGCTTTAGGCCTTATTAACCGCCAAGGAATTTTTGGAGCTTGGCCAGGAGATTAATTCCTCGGGAACCACCATGTGGGGAAGGAGATCCTTTCCAGAAAGGGCCCCGCATACTCCGCCAGATAGCTAACTTACCCGCTTCCGTGTCATCCGGTTGGCGCATGGGGTGGCAGTTGAGGTCGAAGGGAAGATGCGAAGATGTCTCGTTGCGCCTGTAGCCAGTCCCCAGCAGGCGGAGGGGAATTCAGGCACGCTTCTTGACTCAGCAGCATCTTTGGAACACTCACACAACTTCCATTCGTTTTAAAGGCTGATGTCCGCGAGACTGAAGCGTACATGGTATAAGAGCTCCCAATATCTTTCTACAACGCGATAGCTATCCTGAAGTGAAATTGCTGTAAAGGTAAGAGCAGGAACCGACTATGTCATTTCTATTCTAGCATGAATGCCTCTAATACCCATATCTCTGTCCTAGGCTCTCCACGAACTTCCCTCACTGGCGTATCCCACATTCGTCATTTGCTTAGCGCCGATTCATCTTCCGCCTTTTCCCTTTTCTCCCCCCACCAGTCGCAACAGCAGCAGAGCGTATTACGCGACCACCATGCCCAGCCTCGACTTTGACAGCGGCGCGGCCGACTACAAGAAGCTTGCCGAAGCTGTGAACCATCGGATTGCTACCGCCGCACTGAACCATGTGCCGCAGCCAAAGCCAGGTAGTCGCATCTTGGACTTGGCTTGTGGTACTGGCGTAGCCACTAGCGCCGTGATGGATATTGTCAACGCCCAGTCCATCAACCCTCCGCCAACCGTGATAGGTATCGATATCGCGGAAGGTATGATCAAACTTTATCAAACCAAGGTCAATTCAGAGCAGTGGAACACAGTTTCCTGCAGGGTCCAAGACTGTCAGAACCTTCGGGAATTCCATGATCAGGAGTTTCAAATGGTTTTAATGAATTTCGGCATAATGTTTATGCCGGACGCGCCACGCACCGTCCAGGAGATATACCGCGTGCTGAAGCCCGGAGGTCACGCGGTGTTCACAACGTGGAAGAAGAATGGCCTTGCCAACCTTCTGGCACGTGCAGCCCTGGCTGTTCAGGCTCCACCGGCCGACCTAGCCCCAAAGGATGAGTGGCAGACGGATGAGAAGCTCATCTTAACAGTACATGTAGGTGGATTCAAAATGCAAAATATCCAGGTCTTTGTCGAAGAGGAGGTTTGGGAAGGGGGGAGCGCAGACGGCATTGTGGATTCGTATAGCACCCCTTTTTGGAATGTTCTCAAGGATGGTACAGAGGAGTCTAACGTAAAATGGAGAAAGGCTGTTAGAAAACAGTTAACTCCTGAGGAGAGGGAGTCAGGTTCGATTGATATGATAGCGTGGGTCTGCGTTGCCGAGAAGGACTTTTGATCACCGGGGGACCGGGTTCAAGTGATTCATCGTTACCAAATGTAGCTTATGAGAGTTAAGTATTCCGATATAACTCTTCCTAGCTTGTGGGGTTATCTTGAAAGGAAATTTACAGTATGAATGCAGGGCAACCTCAATTTCTCTCATCGTTTTGTTGCGACCGGAGGAGATGTAGATGAATTTGCGCCGCGCTAGAGCACATGGTAAACCATTTCGTAATCATTAATAACTTATGCTCTGCAAGTGCTCCGAGGCCGAGCGGCACCGGAGGAATCCCCACCCGAGGCCCTGGCCGCCCGCCATATCTAAGTTACACCCAGCCGCCAAGAAGTCGTCGGTGTCTAACAGGGACTATGATTCGATTGATCCCGTAATGAACGCCGATGATATTCGTATCTTATCAATAACTATAAGAAGAAGAAGTCTACCCGGGTTGAGCATCTACCTTCTCAGCTGCAGTTCATATTCCACATCCGTCTTCAGCGCGATTATCTTTTATTCTTTGGCTGTCACACTGACACTAGCACGCCATGATGTCATTGCACCCGGAACTTGCCACGGTAGGGAGGAAGCTACATGTCGGTGTTATTTTGATGGGAGGGTAAGTTGATTTGAAGGGTTTTGCTATGGTGGTGCTAGAAGTCCCCAAAGCTAATAGACGCGGTGCTAGCACAACTGAAATTCTCGACGTTGCTCCCGTCGATATGATCTATTCGTTGAGCAAGAATTTCATTGACACGTTCCCGGGCGATCTCTTTTCCCCTCATTACAGAGCCCAAGCGCCCGATATTGAGGTTCACTGGGTAACCGAGGCGGGAAAGGCGGCTCCTTCTCGCCTGACAAGTAATATAACTTTGTTGCCTACGGTAAGATACTAGAGCATGTTTGAAAGAGAAATTTGCTAATGAACAAAAGGATTCCTTTGAGACATGCCCCCGCCTAGACATTGTCCTCATCGGGGCTAACAATATGGGTTACACCCCTAACGAAGCTGAGCTGGCTTTCGTACGGAAGAGCTTCGAGGAGTGTGTCGCATTCCTTACGATCTGTGGCGGTGTTTTCGTACCCATGGTGGCAGGCCTCCTCGAGGGAAGGACAGCGACAGGGCCGCGCATGATGCTTGGTGAGCTTCGAAAGCTATCGCCCAAGACGAATTGGGTTGAAAAGCGGTGGGCGAGAGACGGGAAACTCTGGACGAGCGGCACGCTTCTGAATGGCACCGACCTTATGTCCACATTCTGCCATGCTGTCTGGGAAGACCTTGGTGACCCCTCTTTAGTCGCGTACCAGGCTCAGCTTGCTTCGTGGCCGAAGAGAGATGTAGACTACAAAGACGAACCGTGGGAGGTCGACTTGGCATGATGTGCGTCTGCATTTTATGAGAAATGGACCATCTCTTGTGGTGGGACTGTCCGCGGTATAGAGACACTCTCCTCTCTTTTCAGGACCAAAATTTCATAGGTGATTTGAATAAATCTTTTCGCGTGGTTTCGAAAATCTCCCCTCTTACGTCTTGGATAGAACTGCCCCGGAATATACTAGGCGTGAGTGAGATCTATTACGCCTGTACACAGTAGCAAAAGGGATCACATTTGAGGAGTAACTCATTCCGGACGAGCCTCTCACGCTGTTACTCCTTCGCGACCGCGATCCCCGTTGTAGCATCACTACTATGGGCGCTCCTATTGTCTGTTTCATTCAACCCCAGATTAACTATCAGCATATCCTGAGGTATCTTCCGGCAAACAGTCACATCCAAGTGATATTGCTCTTAGAACTTCAGCGACCTTGAAGAGAGAGGCGCTAGACCCCACTTGGAAATATTAACCGCCAAGAACTATTCAACCATCAGACAAAATAATGGCGGGACCATGGTACCAATCTTTCCCCCCTGTAAAGACTTTTAGACGGTGGATCGATCCAAATCCACTCGGCGGAAGGGATTAAAATACATCGGTTCCTGCCATACAGGCCAGCTCTTCACTCGTTATCCTCCGCCGCCTATTTCCCAAGGGTAACAGACTTCAATGGCGTGCAACGCAAATTTCAAGTCTCCGTTAGAGCAGACACTTACCGGCAGCCTCCTAGAAGCTGTTCGGCACTTCTGGTTCGAACATATGGTGGATGACGAGCATTTCGTCGTCCCTGACAAAGAAGATGCTGGACCGTGGTTCTCCCAGACCGATGCCTTCGACGCGGCCTGTTCGTAAGTTAGGACTTCTAGCCCCATCGTGATCGTACTATTTACATATTTGTACAGGTCCAAGTTCAGAGATCCTCTTCTAGCGATCATGTCAACAAACGCCAGCGCTGCAGATATTATCGAGGCTTCAAAGCCAAAGTCGCCTTTAGATTGGGTCAGTCTAATCGTGCTCCTTGACCAGATTCCACGAAATTGCTTCCGCGGTGCCGACGCCGGTATCGCCTATGACTTCTTCGACCCGAGGGCACTGGGTACTGCTCTGCAAGCCATCAAGGCAGGCGTTCCGGAGCATTTCCAAGTGCGGTATAGGCAGGGTTATCGATTCTGGTTTTACATGCCGCTCGAGCACTCTGAGAGAATCGACATGCAGGAGATGGCAGCTATGGAACATGAGAAGATGTTTACCGACAGTCGAAAGCTGATAGATGGTCTGATCGACGCTGAGGATACAGACGGGCTATACTACCGCGATATACTTCCCAGGAGAAGGAAGCAATTCGAGACTTGGGTTGGTATTCTGCGAGGAATGGATGAGCAGCATAAGGGTCTCCTTGATCGGTTCGGCCGATTCCCTCGCCGCAACCCAGCCCTGGGTCGTCAATCGACACAAGAGGAGCGCGAATACTTGCGCGGGATGAAAGGCTACTAAGCTTTGGATTTGCGTGTAAGCGTAGCCAGGTTTTCCCGGCTTACAAGCGGCTTTTAGAGTATTAGCGTCCGCCCCGTTGCGTTATCCGTGGACAGGCCTAGCTATAGGGTTGGGAAGAAGGGGGGGGGGGGGGGGGGGGGGGGTATGCATGGTCATTCCATCCATTAATATTGTTCGCAAACCCGGACTTATATTACGGGAGAGCTATGGAACGATCTGAGTTGGAATCGCACACCACAAGCCATATCTCTCCTGTAATCTTTCTGATCAGCTATTTAACCTAATCATCGCTCATAAACGGAACGCCCAGAAGTCTATTGTCATCCCCTCTGTCAACAGTTTGTGGTCCGTGCGCACCCCTTCTTTCAGTTGCTCCCTGATTCCGGTTGTTTGCGCCCGCGTGGTCTCATGGGGTTCTTGCTGCAGTCCACGGCCTTCTTTTCTTCCTCCTTATGCTGTTGTTGCCCGATGCAGGTGGCCTGGGCTGTCATAGCTGGCTTCTGAATAATCGATCAGGGATGGGGCAAGTTAGGTCTTCTAGTTGCTCGCAGGTACCTTAGCGGGCCCCTGTCACGGCGTTGCAGTGGAAAGATGAACGCGGTTCCAGATGGGGCCTTCTTGAGATGAGTTGAATATCTAATGATTTCTAATCATTACAGGTGTTTCACGCATAATGATTAGTCGGGAGAAGGCATATACGATACGAATAGAACCTATCTACCGTGAGACTTCGTAATGGGTGACACCGATGCTCCTCTGTCCTTGAATCGGTAGTTAAGTTGCTAGTACTAATACTTAATTACAAGTACCACGAGTCAAGGGAGAAAACGGGATCGACATACTTCGTAATCCGGCAAGGCTTGGCGGATAATTTCACCTAAAAAGGTTTAGACCCAAAGCTACTTAGCTGATGGTGGCAGCGTCATAACATTCACAAGCTGTTTCCGGGATGAATAATCCGCCAAGGATAAAACGCCTCCATCAGCAACCTCTCAGCACCTCCTTGCTGTAGCCCACACGTCAAAGGTAGGGAATGCAAAATGAAAGTTCGGCAGTCGACGGTGTGCGATGCATGCAGGTCGCGTAAGCTAGGGGTGAGTAGGCGTTGCCGACGAGGTTCGTCCGCCTTGGCTCACTGTTTCTGTAGTGCGACGGAAAACGGCCTGCATGCTCCCAGTGCCTTCTTCGGAGCCGACAATGCCCTGGCTATCAGACCAACTTGATCTTCAGACCTCCCCTGGCGCCAGGCATGTCACCAGCAACGCAGGGGTCTGGAAGGAAGAAGAGCAACTGCCTGAAACGCAAGAACCGTGCTAATTTCCGAGACAATTGCATTAGGCAAGGCCTGGCTCCGATCCGTGCGGTAAGTTGGCCACTGCACGATGTCATTTCCCTTTGCGTCCAGAACTTTGTTCCTGCAAAAGAAGGCTCCTCTACCAACCCAAGCGTGTCACAATCTCGAATATGCTCTTGGGTAGAAGTGCTTCCTGAACTAGTCGGCGGAGATCACAACGTTCTTCCATCTTGCGTCCGAGCCCTTGCGCTGTCTATTGTGGCCATTGGCTGTCACGGCCGGGCACTCATATGCGACGCCTTCGAAGCGCAGTCTTCGGCGCTCCGCGCCCTACAAAACGCCATCGGCCGCCCTAACATCCCTCTTTGCGACGAAGTGGCTGCAGCTATTATGTGTTTGTTCTTAGCAGATGTATTGCATCTCATCAATATCTAAGGCACAGCCCTCTGTCTAACACGTTCTTATTAGACGCTGCTCCCCACGTCATGCCTTAGCTCCAGAGTTCATATAAAAGGCGTTAGCGACCTCATTCAACACTGCCAGCCCGCGTTCTACGCTTCTGGAGTTCCGGGAAGACTCTTCGTTGGATTCCGACCGGTTCTTGTACGTAGATTGACGCCGGCTTAGCGAGTCGTCGCACTAACGAGGCAGATTCTTCACGCCTTCCTCACCCATACATCGACTTTCCTAGCTGAAGATGAATGGATAGCGGAGCCATTCCGCCTCGTTCCCGCGACGCCTTTCCAGATTCTGATGAATGAGGCGAGTGCAATCCCTTCGATACTCGAGAAGCTCAAAAGATCCAACCCCAGCAATTCGGCCGGGGCATATGTTGTGGCCCAGGACGCAGTTTCTGGTTTCGCTGATATAGTCGATCGCCTAGCTAAATGGAATCAGTCGTTCCAAGCTTCCTCTGAACATCCCCTGTGGTGGTATCGAGAAGTAGAGGGGGAGATGCACCTCCGGTTCTCGAATATCACGACAGCTACTTGTCTCACCTACCTCTGGGCCTTCTGGGTTCTATGTGTCAGCCGCATTCGACAGTTAAGGGCGGACTTTCCGAGCCTAAGGGAACACGAGGTGGGGATACACGGTCAAGTCCCCGAGAACGCGTGTATTCTCCAGGAAGTCGTTCAGCTCTCCATCTGGATCTTGGAAAGCGTGGAATTCTTCATGCAGGATGGAATGAAGCTGTTAGGGGCTTCCTCAGTTTCTTTTCCCCTTCATACGGCCCTAGAGGTTCTGAATACCGTAAACGACAGCAGCGTGGCTACATGCTCTAGGAGTTATCGGAACATCATCGAGAGGTTTACTCGGAGGGGATATCAAGATATTTTCATGTCTTGGGGTGCGGCATGAACGTTCTTCCACTTGCCTGACGCACTACCCATTCCTCCTCCGGTTTGGACGTACGTCTCCATGGCAGTGTTTATATCTAGCCTTCTAGTCTAGAGTTGAAAATGACGAGGACCTTTCGTTGGATATACTGTAAATGTATATCTGCTTATAACGAGAGATCATCGGTTGCGAACACCGACCTGCATACTCGACTTGAAGCTTCACACGATCATTTTCAAAATTCTGGATTAATTCCAAAATTTCGGTACGATTATTGCGAGAATCCATTGCACCGTCGCTAGCGATGTGGTCGGCATTGAAGACGATCACGGAGCTGTTATAGTCCGCGCATGTAGGCATAATGACAGCGTAGACGTGCGTGATCCTTGGCAGGTGGGTATCCGTCATATGAATGAAAGTGGCTTGGAAAAAGTCGCTCCTGATAATGTTATACCTAGAGGAGTTGGTATCTATATGCTCGTAGTAAGTTTATAAAACGGACATTCTTCAGCTAAAATCACATACCGTCTACAAAACCAGAAGTGGCTGAGCCAGCAACATCAGTGACAAAGTGACAAAGTGTTGTAGACATCCGCGACAACTGCAGCATGCGACTGATCACCTCCTTGGACGACCATAGAGAAGTCCAACGGCTCCTGGCTTGGACTGGAGAAGTACCATAAATCTCGAGAGAATAAGTTAGTAAAGCCGCGTCTTACAGGAAGAGCATGATTTGTCAATTACTGCCTAGACTAGCTGTCCTATCCAAACGCTGCTTGACGAAAGGCTTCTCGTAGGTGTAGCTCATGTTCTGACCAGCAGCAACTACGACAATGGTATCTACGGAGCCGTCTACGCTTAGAGACTCCGGAATTGACCTGGCCCGGTAGATTCTTGTCTCAAGTGAGATAAAGGCTAGTGTTCAATGGGGTAGGAGAGATCATGCCGCGGACAGAGGAGGCTGCCTGCCTTACACCGCACTAAGGACCAGAGTCGGAGCTGAAATGTATTTGAAAATTTGAGCCATTTTTGCCTTCCGGTTTGACACAATTACGACAATACAGAAAGAGTTACTAGCCAGTGAATCGTATTCGCTCCCACGACTCTGTATTCGCTTCCCCCTCCCCGGGGAAAACCCGGTCTTCGCGAGCATATTCCATCGAAACATTGACGGGCGGCATACGCAAATATAGCTTTATCTAGAAGGCCCGAAGTCTTAGTCGAAGGCTCTATTACCCCCGTCCGTCCAACCCGGAGATGTGTTCCCTCCCAGGTGATAAGCAATGGAAATGCAACCACCCCCCACGATGACGCTGAGATCGCACGGCCAAAATTGAAGAGCGGAGAGTTAATCGGTGTCATTTTCCCTTCGGACACTGTCGCGCCGCCCTCATATATGCCAGCGACCAATGGCAGACCATTCCGCATTTCATCCCGTCCGCCTTGGCCCGCACAACTGCTTTTCCGGGAATGCGGCTCCGGGAAATATCAAAACCGACAGGGGGTTAGAGATGAGGGTCCAGTGGCGAAAGCGGGAAAATAGTGGCTCCTTGCCTATTGAAGTTCCATGGATATAGCAATACCGAATTACCGTTTGGAGCAAATTTCGGATTAAGACGGCAAGCTTCTCCTAGAGGTAAAAGAACATTGAAAGGAAGCTTCCCTAATAAGCGAAGCTGGCCCCCCTGCTGGCGGTATCACCCACTGCCTCTTCCCTGCAGATCTCCATACCTTCTTGAAGATTTCAATTAAGCAGTACTGTTATATATATATATATATTTTTTCGCTGAGTATACAAAAACTAGTTTGCCATGAAGGTTTCTACCATTCTCTCTGCTCTCGCCGCTACGGCTTCCGGCAAGATTCTCTTCGCCGGCGTTGCAGAGTCGAGCGGTGAGTTTGGTCTCTGGAGCCCGGATTCCACTCCCGGTACCGGCTTGCCTGGGACTTTTGGCAAGGAGTATGCTTTTATCGATGAGAAGGCTGTCGATGTCTTTGTCGACGAACACAAGGTGGGCGGTTAACGTGATATCCGTGAGAGATTCAACCCGCTAATGGATGCTGTGTAGGTCAACCTTTTCCGAGTGGCCTTTGCTTTGGAGCGGATGTGCCCTCTTGAATATGGCCTCGGAGCCAAGTTCGATGAGACGGTATGTTGGACTCGACTTTGCTGCCTTGAAAAGATACTCAATCTCGCTAATGACTCTCTATAGCACTTTGGGCATTATAAAGATGCCATTGACTACATTACAGTCACGAAGGGCGCTTGTATTTCCTATCCCACGCTACCCGCCTCATACTGGATACTCGTTAGGGATATCTAACGCGTTCTTCTAGATGCCATCCTCGACCCCCACAACTACATGCGCTACAACGACCCCTCTCAACAGCCCATGACCGGCAGCGTCATCGGCAACACGACCGACGCAAAAGCCGCCACCACCAAACAGTTTGCCGAGTTCTGGACCGAGCTCGCCAGCCGATTCAAGGACAACGAGCGTGTCATGTTCGGCATCATGAACGAGCCCCACGACATGCCCACCAAGCTCGTCTTCGACAACAACCAGGCCGCCGTCGATGCCATCCGTGCCGCCGGGGCCAAGAACCTCATCCTGGTCCCTGGCGCCCAATGGTCCGGCGGCCACAGCTGGACCGAGAACTGGGGTGGCGATCTTCTTCCTAACTCGGACTTCATGCATAAGATTAATGACCCAGAGAACAACTTCGTCCTGGATGTGCACGAGTACCTCGACGAAGATTACTCTGGCACGCACACCGAGTGTGTTAACAGCTACCCTGAACACCTTGCCGATCTCACGGCGTGGCTTAAGAAAAATAACCTCAAGGCCATGATTACAGAGTTCGGCGGTTCCAACACCACATCTTGCGAGAAGCTCCTTGGGGAGGCCCTCGAATACATGGAAGAGAACGAGGAATACGTCGGCTGGACCGCCTGGGCTGCCGGACCGTTCTGGGGCCCCAACTCCCCTTGCTGCACTGACCAGGCCCAACTGGGTAGCTTGGAGCCTGGGAGCCAGGCTGCCGGTGGCGGTCCTAGCTTGTACGAGACTATTTGGAAGAAGGTATTCCAGCCCCGTATTCCTAAGACCCTTCAGTGGGAGGGGCCCGCGGTTATCAACTAAATGCAAAGTTTGGAATGCTGGATTAGGGCGGGATGTTCGGGCTTCTTGTAGATATGTTTTGTCAAACGAGCACTGTTTTGTACCATAATACAAAAGGGCCTTCTCGACGGGACACATCAATTACAGTAACTCAACCGAGCTGTCGCCCCAATCAACCAATTAGAGGGCGGGAGTATGATGCTTCCCAGTACGACTGCAACATGTATATCAGGAAGAGAGGAACTATGTAGTACATCTCTCAGAGCACAAGCATTTGGTAAAGAAAGCTTGACCGGTTAATACCTATGTATAGAAAGGAGAATTGAGAGACTTAAAGCTGTAGCAAAAGGTTCAACTCATTTATTCCGAGCTTCCACCCTCCATCACTTAAATATATACGCCTCATTACATGAAGTTCATTTCTTCCGCTTTCCTTTGCACTTGGACTCGTGGGTGTGGGCAAAATCAGGTCGTTTGAACATTTCTCCGCATTTTTTGCATGGTGTATCCAATGGCTTCAAACCCGAGTCCTTGGCCATACCTGGGTGGTAGGTCCATATGTGGCGGTCCATGTCCTTCCTCGAGCCGAAGCCCTCAGCCCTGGTGCATTTTTCTGCCGGGCATTTGAAGGGCTTCTCGTGCGTTTGTATGTGCTTCCTGCTAATTATCAGTACTGTGAAGACGTGGAATAAGTGAGAATTGCCCTTACTTTAGTCTGCTCCGAGAAGAGAAACCTTTGCCACAACCAGGCGAGTCACATTTATGTGGCTTGTCGGAGTTCTCTTTGGTTGAAGATTTGGATTTGGATGATGAGGCTTTGTTGGAGCTTGTTGGAAGGCTCTCCTCACTTCCATCCTCTTCGTCGTCATCATCGCCCTCCCTGGGCCAGCCGTGAATATAGGAAGCTGGGTCGACGAGCCCAATGTCATCTTCCCCCTGTTCGCCCTTGATGTTGGGTGTTAGCTCACTCTTTAGCTGCGACATGATTTTGTGAACGACTCAGGACAGAGGTTGAAGTGGAAGGTGGAGCGTGTGAGGATGGGAAACTTGGGTAGAAATGGAGAGGAAGAGACCCTTATATGTTCAAGTGGGGACGATGTCGGGCAGCGCTGGGTGTGGTTGGCCTCTAGCATTCTCCATGCAGCAGCATGTCCTAGCTTACCTCTCCATGTTCACCCCAGTGAGTGGGCAGTTCATTGGGGTGGTTGGCGTAGAGTGGTCGAAACTCGCCAAATTGTTGGTCCCCCTCGCTGTCTTCGTCTTCTGGATGACCCATAAAGGGATTGCGTCCGGTCAATTGATGATTGTCACCCATTTTCGTAGTACTCGTGCCCGTAAAACCTGCAGAATGTGTCTAAGTAGCCACTGCACACTGCACGTTCTGCATTGTTAACCATGGGATGTAGGTCTCGGGGGGACCTCAAAACGGCATAGTAGCCACATACCCGGTTGGAATTTCAGGTTCAATGATAGGGTGCTTGCTGCACTTCAGTATTAGGGGAAGGGAACTATCAGATATCATTTCAGGATTTCATCCGGTGCCGAGTTCGGGGTGAATCGGAGTCGAGGTCAGGCACATGGCCAAACAAGTGGTTTGGGCATGGGATCCTTTGAACTTACACCCGGTTCGAAAGGGAAAGGAGGTTCCAGCCACGGTTCCCCGTGAAAAGACAAGATATAACCCGAGGGGAGGATTGATCGTTGTAAAGTTTTCTATGAGAGGAGGCGATCTATGATGCTTTTGGACTCTACTTCTGAGGGTCTGGGGAGTTGCGCTTAAGGCCTTGGACTCAAGACGGCTTCCTCTCCTTTTGTATTCCAAAGAAAGAGCCCCAAGAGCAGACTTGAATCCCCTAATGGAAAGACTATGGTGTCCCTCAATGGACAGAATCCGCCAGATGCGCACCGCGAGGCCTCGTAAAGAGCCCCAGCTTTGTGGCGGAGGCATCCGGTTTGCCTTTTTCACCAGATAGGCAGCATCACTAGGAGCCCATCGTGAAGTCCTCCGGTATATCGGCCGCATTTTTGGCCTCCCAAAGGAAGGAAAGGGAAAGTCGCCTTATCGATGTTCCTCACAGATCGCAGGGATATCCATCTACGCACTTGCGCGTGTAGAGCAGGATGTTTACAAAAGAAGGAGGGAGAGAATGGTGGACCTCACCGGTCGATTTAGTGCTGGGTGACAGATGTGATACGCGTGGGCGGATTCGTGAAGGCGAAAGAGGTTGGCCTGTTGCATATGAATGTGGCAGGGCATCCGGATGAAAAACAGAATGAGCGGCCTAAACCTCATGCCACGTCACAAAATGGCATCACCGTGGAGTAGCTGTACAGGAATCGGATGTGCTTGTTCATCACTTTCGCCAAAGCCGCGGGCATCTTTCCATCATGGATTTTCCGAGTCTTTACTGAGAAACCGGTGAGGTTTGGGAGCCCGCTTGGATGCCTTGCGTGACTGACGCTTTTTTTCCCTACCAGTGAGATGTAGTTTTATGAAAATGAATGATGTGCAAATTCGATAGACGTTTCTATGAGCGGTGTGCTAAGGGAGACTGGCCCGAATTCTATTAGAATGAATCGTGAAGGTCCATGTCCCGTTTACATGCCTGGCCGCCCGTTCGCGATTCCCACGTCCTGTCCTCCTTGATCCTCCACGCGATTTTCTGCCACGGTGATTAAGATCCACAGAGTCCGGGTTAGTGGTTGGCCGAAAGCTAGCCGTTTCTGAATTTCTAGAACCATCCCTTCCGGGCGACCTGCATGTGTCACCCGAGAGTACGTAGCTGTATGCAGCAGGCCAACGTTCTGCTCTCTGGTCGAGTTGGAGGGGTAGCCAGAAGAGGAATTCTCCTTGCGAACTCGCCCAACAAGTGGCTTGGTCGAGATAGTCGAGCGTTATCCGGGTGCCTTTGGTCAAAGTGAAGTGCTGGGTGAAATTTGAAAGGAATGGGCTGAATCCGTTCACGATCTAAGCCCATGAATGTGCCGATATGGGTCTGGGAGTCGGGTACCGAGCTCAATGCTCTCAGTTGGCGGCGAACATGACATCTCGGTATTGCTCTTTCAAATTCTCGAGCACGCTTGAATTGTTCGAGGAAAAGATCGCCTTGATCTATTTGCCTAATTTGTAACTTTTGTGTTTATCTCTGTTCCGCGTTCATGATGCAGGGTGTAAGATGGACATCTGGAGTAATTTCAACTATGAGTCCTTAAAAATAAAACCCAACGAGATTGAAGCTGAGTAATTGTCGTTTTGAACCTTGGGCAATTTAAATCTGCCTCGAAGTAATCTCGAGACTATCAAGTGGCCAAGTGAAGCCACAGCTTCTAGAAATCATGAACTGGAACACACCTCTCCTTACAACACACTCAGAATGTAATCCGAAAATGAATTATGGCTCCTTTAATCGAGGATATTTTGACTTTTAAGACGCTTACTTTAAGACGCTTACTTTAAGACGCTTACTTCTTCAGCTAAATTATTTCTCTTCGCCGTTCCGTCTTTAAGGGTGACAGGTGAGCGGAGAAACTCCGCTGCTAGCGGCTGGTTGACAGAAAGCCATCTTAACTTCTTCCCTGTTCCAGCATGGACAAGCCCAAGAGGGTGGTATGAATTGCTCACCTCGATGCTTTGATCCATGGTTTAATGGATGAAATCCGGGTGTGGGAGGACAACACCAACTCAGCGAATATTAGTACGTCTCTGTGCCATCCTGCCAATCCGTGATCGATTCCACATCTGAACTCGATGCCACTAGGGCTTCTCGCGGAGTGGTAAACGGTACGTGTATGTAGTGATGGTTCATTGTTGATAGTAGTGGCAGACCTGGAGAAATAGAAATTTTCTTTTCAATGTATATGCACAGTCTTCGCTCAATATTTAAAGGCTGGGATCTCTCAACCAATTGATCGCCTCTGGGGTTTATCTCCCATAACCTCGCGCTGATAATACATGTACAATTCTAATCCCTGTAACCATCCAATTCATTCCTAGCAAGGAAATCATCAAGAAGCTCCGCAACCTTATGATTATCCATATCGGCAAACGACACATGGGTGCTTCCCCAGAGACCGGCGTCCTCGCCAAGCTTCAAGACACTGGCATTTCCGCCCAAGTCATTAATGATGCCAGCCACTTCGCGAGCCTGTTGAAGATAGAGATGGGACTCATCTCTGTGGTCGCCAAAAATGAACTGAATCTCGTTAAGGAGGGTAAGCTTTTTGAACTCCTCCAAGGGGACGACGAAAGGTCCGAAGGGGCCGTTACTCTGCTCCACACCGTAGCCCTCGGGGTAGACAATTCCGACAGTCTCGTAAAGGACAATTCCCTTGATATTGGTCGTGTTGCTCTTCGCGACGGTCATCATAGCGCGCAGACCGGCGGCAGAATTGGTGAGGTAGATGATGCTGTCTCCGTTCATGCCCGTATCGGCAGAGATGGCTGCGGCTTCGGACTGAAGGTGGACGTTGTTGACGTTGTCGAACTCGATGTATCGGCCTCCGGTTGCTTGCTGCCAGAAGTAGTCGCGGTTCTCGACGGGGAATTGCACGTCATCCCACCAGTTCAAGGGGGATGGGCCAAAGTTCCAGGCAAGGAAGTTACTTTGGTCGCGGTAATCAGGGGCGTAGTTGAAAGACTCGCAGCTCCAGCCAGCGCGTCCGAGACGGGGTGCATCCCAGAGGTAAACCGGATAGTCTCGGCGCAGGAACATGTCCTTGAAACCTGGACCGCCATCCCAGCGATTTTGCCAGGTTTGGGTGCTGGAGCTGTGCCACATGACGATGCTGGTCTTGCGCTTCGTCCAGGGGATGAAGTACTCCATGTAGCCATGATCGCAGGTCAGGCTTCGGTTGGCCTGGGTGGGATGGGGAATGACCTTGCCTCCAATGTTGAATCCACCGGATCGCTCGAGAATGATTGGGTCTCGCCGCCCTGGCTCCGGGTCGGGGAGCTGAGCGCTGGCCAGAGCTACGAAAAGAGAGATGGCGGCCGAGAAGAGCATTGTGGATCTTGACTGTTACAACAAATGGAAGAGGGATTATACCAATCTCTTGTCGTTGTATTCCAGATGGTTCAGGAAAAGCAGTGGTGCTAGTCTCCACACCTTGGAAACTTTGAAATTGGAGAGCAAGGAGCAAATATATAGTACTATGACTTATTCTATATGGAGCGGTCAGAGCTATTATGGCGTTCTACTTCATCGAAGTCATAGACTTAGAGCCATGCTGCATCGTTTCTCCGACCGATGAGGGGATCCCAATCTGCCGATAGATTTTTGCTCAGGTACCTCATATCCAATTGATCAATCAAAACTGGCGGGATTGAGCTCTAATCAATTCCTCGACTTCAATAGACTCGTATAAGACATGTGGTATTCAGCCGCCGGATGTGGGCCAGAGACCCCCAAGCTCGCCGGCGACTTAAGCCGAGAAGCGGGGGCACAGGTTCTGATGATTACAGATGACCCCGCTGCTGACGGTTGGTTCCTGCAAATCTCCAAATCAGCGATACGTTTGGGATAGTATGTAGGATGTGGGATATATTGCCTGTCAGCTCATCCCAGAGGGTGAGCTCTTAAGCTTTGAGGTGCCGAGGCGGGAACCTTGGATCCTACCGGTGCGGAGAAGCCGCGTAGAAACGTCCCGCCATCTCCACGTCTTGCGTTCCAGAAGTCATCTACGGATATTGTGCCGTTGATACGGAATGCCAAGAAGAACATTACCAGGATGTAATGAGATGCAATACGTCGCGGATCAAGGCAGGAGACCGAGGTAGTGTCCATGCATCATTCACATCCTCGCACTCTCAGGTTGAGTCAACCGCAGGGCAACAAATGAAGCATTATCATTTATGGCTAGGTATTTGCTTCGGAGCCCATCAACAGACCAAGACCCTTTGCGTTTCTGGATTAGTCTAACCATAGAATCAAGCCTTCCGGAACGAATCTGCCCTCTTGAGAACTGCAACTGAGGTTGTCACCGCAATCACCACATCAACTTGCCGATCATCAACTACCAGAACACCCGTAGGTTCTCTCCAGCGCTTGCTCGTGAACTTGGCGACTTCAACCCTGGACTTCTCAATGACCTTGTAGAGTCTGAAGATGCCTCTCGGATCGACTACATCCCAGAAGTAGGGGATGCTATCCTTGACGAAGACGTCCTGACGCGAACGCAGTACGGGGCGGAGTTCGATTTCGTGGTCTGAGTGCTCACTTTCCGTCGGAAATGTCAATTTCCAGTGCCCAAAATCGAGAAGTGGCCCTGAGGCTTCTGCGACTCTGGCGCCCGTGCTATCAACGACCCTGAAAATGCGGGTGCTCCATGAATCTTGGTGAATATTAAGAATGGGTGGCTGATCGGAGACTGCTGTTTTCGCTTCCTCCAACGACAGAGCTTCCGAAGAGGAAACCCTCTCAGTAATATCGTATACCGACAATGATAATGCGAATCCGCTGTTCTTATTATAATAAAACGTTTTCGTAGGGAGGAGGGGTTCGTCTACATTGATCGGATAGTTTGCGGGCTGGTCTTCCTTCATGCTGTACGTTTCAATGAGTTGGATTTGTGTTGATGAATCGATCATGAACTTGCGAAGAGCGCGGCAAAACGGGCTGCGGGGAGACTGGTTCCATATAAGACTGCCGCTGCATGCTGGAGTTGCTCTTCTCAGAGTGCCGGGATTCTTCGGGATGAAGCCTTACAACAGGTCACCATCCATCATCCTTCACTGTGCCTCGGAAGAAATCGGACCTGATATGGCAGAAAGACCAAAACAATGGCGAGAGCTTGATGCAGTTAGGTATGGTACTCTGTCCCATTGGTTGATGGTTTGCGTTGATAAACCCTGAGACTGTGAGACTGGGACGGACTGATCCCAAAACCTGGCAAAATTAATCAAAGGCTCTGTCTGGCATGATGAACTGCTGAGGTAATCTGAATACGAAGTCGCGTTGCTTAAGGTCCTGACAAGACCAATAATCGCTCTTGTTTATAGAAGGGACTTTTATAGTGAGTAAACTATTCAATCATAAGGTTGCTTAGCAACATTTATGCTCATCCTTCATGGAGATTCTGTCAGTGACGTGATGCGAAGCTTCGAAAAGGGGTTTGAAGGAGTTCCGAGGAGAACTTAGCGTCCAAATTCCGCGCGATGATGAGTGAACTATTCCAGCCTAGAGTGCACCAATGCATACCTGATGGATGGCTGGCACTAATCCGGCCAAGGGCTTATTTTCGCTAGTTAGCCTTTCTATCTCCGAGGTGTGGGAGAAGAAACGTGGAGGTTCTCATGTCAGTCTGGGTCCAAGGGGATGGAAATTTGTGACCAACATTAAATCTAGCTAGTCTTTGGAGCGAGAGATCAAGGAGTATGTGGGCTTGTAGATGTGTTGGCTCCCTCCTTTGTATGAAGCTGGAAATGTATTCCGCGGTAAGACTCTCAGTCACTCTTCTTTAAATTGAATCCGCTTCGACACCATCGTAGACAATCGACTCTATCGGTTATCGTTGGCGCTCGCGTACTATTTTCACTGCTCTGTCTTAGAGTCCCCTCACTCCCCCTTATCCGCCCATAATCTAGGCAAAATCACGAAAATGTAGATGCTAGACGAAGTCGTGGAGGGGCCACGGAGGAGTTGTGAGGGATCGATGGGGGAGTCGTGTGCGCATTCATTGGTCTTCTCGAAAGCGGATTCTTGAATTAACGCGAGAACACAGCGACTATTTCTTAGCGACCACACTGACCGGACACGACGTGGGCAAGCGTTGTTTGGATCTGATTTATGATCGAGAGAGCCTGTACTTGTACGGTTTCATGACATTTAGTTACATGGATTTGGCCGCACGGGGACCTTGCATCCTTGTCCACAACTAGTTTGTGAACAGAGAACGCCTCAAACGTTCCGTACAGTCTCTCCATCCCGCTGGTCTCGTTTGGTAGAGCGATATCGCGGTACACGTTGAGGGAAGCTGGGACCGCAATTTGAGGAATTGGAAACGCTACTGGAATTAATTGGCAATAGCGTATCCTACTCATGACCATTTGGGTACCTGTGACCCGCTGGGAATCTTAACGCGGTCATGAAAAGATCGATAATCCTTCCGTTCAACTGCTGAACATGCGGGGGGCCATTAGCTGAAGGCTGAGCGCTAACCTACTTGAGATCAGAATAGGGTCTGATCTACAGACTGCTACACCTAAGAGCGTTAGTGTGGCGCCAAGCCTGTAGGGCAGAGACGAGATTAGCAACGGTGGATGTCTGGCAACAGTAGGGGTGCGCGGTGCCTGGCTAGTCTCCTTTAGTGAAGATGCTAGAGATCGGGGATAAAACGCTCAGAACGTTGGGAATGCCGAAGAACGTAAAATATAGATCAGGATCACGTCGTCTCTTTCGTATGTTCCCATCTCTTTACCAATCGATCGTTTTCTTTTCTTTTTCCATTTATAATTTTTAATTTTGGAAGTGCTCGACTGCCGCCTTTTTCAATGAAGTTCCAGACTTTCGTTGTTTTATTCACGGCGGCGGCCGTCTCGGCCCACCGGTCACCGGCTAAGACATGCAACGATACCCCTTCTTGTAAATCTTTGTCCGACCGCGATGCCAAAGAATGTCGACGACTGATCGGTAACCTGCCCCTGAGATGAATCCGAACGGTTCAATTGTCAGGCGGACTAACATCAATCCTTAGCACAAGGACACTGGGAGGTCGTAACTTCCCTGCTCCCAGCGCACACCGTCACGAAAACCCGCACTCAACGCCAGACAACCGTGGTGGTTACTAGCACTATTGCTCCCTCCCAGGCCACTGAAGCCGTTTCTACGACGAAAACGCAGACTGGTGAACCGTGAGTTGATCCCCCCCCCCCCAAGAGGAGACTCTCTTTGCTGACTATCTGCGGCCCTAGTGTTGCTCTGCCGGCGGTTACCATCTCCTCAACAGTAACAGAAGTCAATACTATCACTACGACAGATACGGTTACCGCTACTGAGTTCGAAACGTCTCTGGAGACTCAGATCGAGACGGACAGAGTCACAGAGACGGTGACTAAGTATGGGAAACGTGGCTCTCTTTATCTGTCGAGCTTCGCTGACACTGTTTAAAACAACAGCATGGCTACATCAACAACCACCGTCCCCTGGCAGCGTCCAACTTGCCAGGCGCCCGCGAAGCGCGGAATTCCTGCTGGGTCCGACAAGAAGTTGCCTGATAAGTGTTGTACGTTGATGTCTTCGATATACAAAGGCACATGATTTACTTTTATGCTTACATGCTTTTTATAGCTTGTCTTCTCACCACTACGAAGCGCGCTGCCACAGTTACGACTACTGTTACCGCGGCCAAAGCTCCCATCACCCGCACGGTCTACAAGACCGGAAGCCAGCAACCGGCTGTTACAAAGACAATTACCGTCACCGAGTCTACTGCTGGACCGAGCCTGTCTGCCCCTGAAGTTACGATCGTGGTCACTGAGGCCCTCACGCAGACCGAGGGCGCCGTCATCACAGTTACCGAGAAGCAGACCGACACTTCTATTACGACCACCACCCAGACAGAAACGGACACCGTCACTGCCGTAACCACCACCATTGCTACTACAACTCGACACCCATGCGACGACTTGGACTATATACTAGTGACCGACGAGTCATGGTCGAACCGTGACGTGGTATCAGGCTTCGTGGCCGATTCGTGGGCGGCTAGAGACTGCTGCGTTAATTGCTATATGAACAGCGATTGTGTCTTTGCCAGATTCGGCAATTCACTTTGCGAGGGATTTTTCACAAAGCGCGATGTTACTAATCCCTGCCAGTCGGACCAATGCCCGAGAGGCCTCTCTGGTGTCAACGTTTCCTCAGGTGATGGACTTGCGTATATTGTTGGCCCGTGTATGGGAGGAAGAACAAAGTAGGCGTTCGTTGAATAAGGTCAGCTTCCTAAGAACATGGAAGGCGACACGCGTGGTCCGGAGTTACCAAAACCATGGTGAGGACTAAATGCGGATGGGGTTATTGAACTTTACCTCATCGGTTCACGACAACAAACATGAGCCTTCACCTTCGATTTTAATATATGTCGTCTTAAGTCGATGACACTTAGTTACAAGCCCTTATCCTGTAATAATCTGTAATAATCGAGTAACTCGATTTCCATCAACGAAAATCAATATTTGGATACCTCTGAAACAACTTTCGGTCCTTCTCGCTATGCTTGGAACCGCATTCACCCTTCCTCGCACAGCGAATGCCGTATCTGCAATCCTGCGTTCGCTGAATAGCGCGGTGATGGTTTTTTGCGGGATTAGCTCCGACCGTCTGCCACCCATCATCATTATCTTTCTTCTTCTCTGTCACCTCGCCAGTGCTAGCTACCTCCTTGGTGCCGCTGTCATTCCCTGCTTCATCCTCTGCCTCTACGTCCTGCTCAGCCTCGACATCATTCCCCATGGTTACGTAACGGTAGCTGGTCCCTTCCACTGAAGAAGTGAAATCCCAACCACCGTAATTTGTGATGTACTCGGGCCACGAAAGAACCTTGAGCAACCTGTCGAACAGCTGCCGCATTTTCTCCATGATATTATCGAACTCATCCACGCCCTTGGCGCGGGGATATTCGACGAATAGTTCACCTCCATCCCTAGACCAGGCGGTGTAGAACACGCGCCGAAGGCTCAAAATCTTGTGGCAAAGAGAATGCTCGAATTGTTCGGGGCTTTCTTCCAAGGGATCGCGTAGGACATCGCCAAAGCAGAGAACGAGCGTTTTTGCAGGATCAATTTTCTACCCTGTCTTGTGGACCGAAAGTTGGTGAAAGAGATCTTCTCGTAAATAGAATCCAGATCGTGCAGTGAGAACAGGTCATCGGACGCATTGAGAGCGAAATATTCCCTGGCGCGAGCGAAACTCCACGCCCAGAGCTCAACTCGGATACCGCTGTCAAACACCTTTTGCACCGCCGGGCGCATGTCACGGTCCCCGGTGATGACGACAAATACAGTTTCTCCCTTAAGCCGCGAGAATTTTACAGATCTATTCTCCGAAAACGGCAGAAGAAGTTCGAGCTCTACGAGACGTCGACAGGTATCCCGACTGGTCCAAGCGAGCGACGGCGACACGGCTCGTTAGTTTCTACGCACTTGCTCAATTGCATCAGACTTCGACCGCTCAAGAGGTGCTTGAACGGAAGATACGCGATGAGGGTTCTATTAAGAGCATCACAGAACTGTTTCGCGTCAGCAAGAAATTGGCGTCCATTATTGACAGCTTCACATCGCTTGCTGCCTCCTCAGAGCGACTTACAGGTCTCCTCGCTCTCCTGGACTGCCCTTCATTGTAAGTTATTTCGTTGTGGCGTTACTAGTGACTTGCTTATCAGCTATACTAACGCAAGTTGGTCCTGATTTGGCTAGACTAGTATGTGGTATGGAGAAGTGACTCCCTTGAGTTGGCTGAGATCGCTGACCAAGTGCTGAAGATGGTGACTAGGAGAATAGAGCCGGCGGCTGAAGGATGGCAGGGATATTGAAGCCGCCTCGTTTAAGCTGAAGGATGGGTTGGTAACTCAGGTTGATGAGTTTAAGCTGGAGAAAATGGGCACCTTTTAGGAGTAGTCTTTGATAGCCTACTTCTCAGACACAGTATATATTTCGGCCACGGCTATTCAGACTAGGCAAAGTCAAGATACTTAATCTTTCTTGAGAGATGTCAGCTTCTGCGTCAACTAAGCACTCCGGATTGATGCTCAGGTACTAAGGCAAGATAACTAATGGCAAAGTTCTTGCACCAACACCATGGTTGGGCGCTGCCTAACAACCACCTAATTGAACACCAGTCTTGTTGCTGTTTGCTGCGATGATAAAGAGATACGCCGAGCATTTAAGAGCAAAGAAAATTCGACAACATCCAAAACTGCTATCCGTATCTCCTCCCCATCCCAGTGTCTTAGCTACTGCCATCCATCTACCTGGGGGAGCGTCTTAAGATATTCAAAGATAGCTTGTCCGACTGCGTTATTACCAATGCTTCTGGGGTGCATTGCCTTGATGACATGCCAAACGTCGAGTGGCCCGGGGAGAAGAGGATCCTCAAGGGTTCCGTTTGACACGTCAACAGCAATTCTGCAGAGAATCCGCTCGGCCCACTCGTCTTGGTCATACTGGATTTGGCTACATGTCCGCGCATGCTCTCTTAGATCCATCGGCGGACCGCCTCCAGGAGGAATCAAGTTTCCGGCGGGGAGCTTGTCGTAGGACATAATGTGGTGGAACCAGGACTCCTCTTGCCAGTCAGCCGGGGAGTCTTCGCAGAACCTATGGCCTTCGTATAGGTGATCCACGGGGAAAAACTTGATCTGCCGGTTCCCAGTTCGACTGAGTCTCTCGCGCACTTCTTGGACGGTTTCCTCTATCCTTCTGTTTGCCTCCCCAACCAAAGCGTTGATTTCTATTCTCCGATCATCGGAGAGGAGGCCACCCCATGGATAGAACCATTGCCAACTGTCCCCATTGCGGCAGTTGGCAGGGTTCTCGTTGAAGAACTTTGGGTAGCCGGTGACGATCAGCAGGAACCGCTTGTTCAGTGCACCCGTCAAGATATCCAAGTAAGTTGCGAGGATCTTACGACGCAAGTCAGGGATTAGCTCATCTCTGGCTTGTCGGATTGCCTCTCTGCAGCCTGACTCGCTGTACACAAACAGGCAGGATTCTGCGACGTTTCCGAACCCACAGTCATTTCCCCCGATCGACAAGGTTGCCCATCCGGCTAGATTGAGGTCGCCGTTGTTCGCAACAAGGTCAATTTGGGCCGTACGGCCGTCCTTGTCTGGCACTGAGATATCTCGGGATATCGCCCCCGTGCAGCCGACGTGGGAGATATCGCTAGATTCGAATGTCGGAAGTCCATCGAGTGCCCTCCGGAGATAGCGGGGATAAGAATTAACAGAGTTCATGCATCGATTCTGTGGATCAAACTGACTGCCCAACGGGTCTCCGGCACCGACTCCCGTAGAATACGAATCGCCGAATGCCAAAAAGCGGGTATCGGGAGGACCGCCGGCACGAAGAATAGGCCACTGAGCATCGGCGCAGCCTGTGGGACAGTATCCGCGACCGCAAGCGAAGGCGCAAAGACCGTAGTCCTCTTCGCCGGTGCTGCTAAATCCCGGCCCATTCGGAGTCGGCGGCACGATGAGATGGCCGGTTGCCACGCATTGGCATCTGTGCATGGGACAGAACCCAAAGTGGCATCCATAGTCACAAAGCCCGTCCCAACGACCGTCTCCTTGCCCTCTACCCGAAATGCAAGCCGGGAAGGCGAAAGGCGATTGTAATGGGATGAACGGTGGTTGAGGCGACGTCGAGCATTGTGCTTCCGGACAGAAGCCCCAGTTGCAAGCGAAGGAGCAGAGGCCGCCATAGTTGGCGTCTCCATTCGCTGGATATCCTGGCTTGCTAACACCGGGATCAAGGGGCGGCGGGGTCTCCCTCGGACCCATAAGAGTGCATGTGCACGCGCTCACAGGACACTATTAGGCACGAAAGGGTTAGCATCTGCACGATCCTTAGTTTTTGAGGTATTGGTATCGCAATGTTGCGTATCAGCAACTTACATATCCGTATTTGCACGTAAATTCGCAAAGTTGCCGGAATCCTCCATTATCAGTCCCGGTTCCCTCAACACAAGCTTGTTCTGAGAGACTAAGAGAAGCCCTGACATTGCTGGTACTACTCGATTGCCCGGATATGACGATAGGGTTCCAGTTCATAACGGAGTCGGGACAAGCGCTCGAGACTGCTGCTCCCGAGTTGACCGTTAGGAACGGTGCGTTGTTCCTCCAAAGCGATACGCTGACGCCTGACTCGAGGCCAATAGATTCATTGAACGGGATACTATGGTGATACAACCCGATCCCTTCTCTAGGTTCATGGTCCCATTCGTTGATGATCCAGCCGCCGACACGTAGCTGGGCCGGGCGATCAAGCAGAGCTGTGACGAATACGCGGTCGCCGAGGACGGACGCTGGGTCAAGTTCTATCTGCAGCTGGCTCGCCGTATTTCCCGTCGTGCCTCCACTATCACACGCCCTGCCTGGGGTCTGCCGGAACCCTGGGAAGCTTGTGAGTTTGCACTCATGTCGGTCGAAAAGGGAAAGGAAAGGGCTACCACATACAGGAGACGACACTTTCTCGGCCGATTGCTGGCCGCAAGTTCTTGTACGTGTCGATTACATAGGGGAGATGTACTCGCCAACCATCATGGGGCTTATTTACCACGTAGTTGAATGGCGCCCTCCCGACGTCGAATGCCTCGTACTGCCTATCGTCGAGGGGCCCGATGTGATGCGACTCACCAAAGTCGTTCCAGCTGATGATTTGCACCCACTCGGGCCTCACGCTCCACACATGCTGCCACCGATGATACCATAAATCATCCCCATTCCAGAGCCAGTTTTTGTTATAGCCCGGCAAGTTGGTGAAAAACCAAGGCGATACTGGCATCATATACGGTTTCCCGTTAAGAGCCTGGAGGTATGAAGCATCGACGTAGGTGGTCATGTCTGATACTCCATATGGCCAGGCAGCCCAACCTGTTTTTTTCATGTTAAAACCAGTCATAATCATGGGCTAAGATGAAAGTGGGAAAGCGTGGACAATACTCACTGAAAAGCCCATCGGCAACACCACCGCCTAGCTGCATAGCCGGCCCGGCCCCCATCGACGACCAGTCCGGTACAAAGAAACATCCCGTCTGCGCTTTGATATCGATCCAATCATCAGCTTGGTCGGGGCCCTCGAAGGTCGATGCAAACGGCCGGCCTTGGTGCTGCCAATGCGCTGAGTCTCGTCCATAGGTGTTGAGAAAGAAAAGCACCTCGTTGACGTCCCACGGTCCGTTGCCAGCGTAGTCGAAGGAGAAGAAGAGCTTGAAGTTGCGGGCACGCGCAGCGGCAAAGGCTCTAGAGACTGAGCGGCGGTTGTGAGGCCAGTCGTAGGCCATGTTCAAGGCAAAGGCGTCAATGTGGGCTTCCTGGGCAAGGCGCATGTTGTTCTCCCAGTCCCCTTGGCTGAGGGTCTCGGTATTACCGACCTGAAGGATTGGTGGGTTAATACACCTGAAAAGCCATCATGCAATATAGATGGGCCAAAGAATATACCATGAAATGGGCAAAGACAGCTTGTGCCCGTACATAGACGGGTGCGAGCAGTAGGGCCGTTAGGAGCAGAAGGAAACGGCCCATTGTAGCGGAGACTGCAGCCGCAGTGGTCAAAAGATGTAATAAGTGTGTATAAATAATGAGCAGGCCAAAGAAACAATATTAACAGCGCTTCACGCAGGTGCTTATGTTGAGCACTCCTGTACACGTCGAGATGAAGAGCGTCTTCGACCCTTCTTACACGGCCGGAAGTGCCCTTATTTATCTTTCCCAAGCCATAACCGCTGCGGAAGAAACCGTGAGGCTCCTTGAATCTGCGAACTCTCATTTTGGCCCTCATTCATCTCTGTTCAGTAATTTTTTTTTTCTTTTTTGGTTCGACCGAAGCTTCGTCCGAATATTGCATGGTGATGATGATGTCTTGGCAGAGGCCGTACCCCTGGAAGTTGGTCATAAGACCCTGCATTGGAACCCTAGGCTTACTTAAATTGCTGATTGAAATCAATATGTAAGACATGCGTGGGAGTTTGAAGATTCCCATCCTATATCGTGGGGCGATGGTAGTCAGCGTCGTAGTCAGAGCTGGCCAATACATGGTGAGCCGAGGCCGTCAGCGTCGTAGTCGAACGGCCGGCCGGTGCCCAGACTTTCGGACGAAAATCTCGGCCCATGTGGGGACGGGCCGCTCTTTATCAGGCCCAGGGCGCAGAGACACACAGCTGAAGGCAGGCGCTCACAGACCGCTGACACACAGGGAAAGAGATCAGACGATAAAAAGAGTGATGATCCTATCAACACCAGCTGTACTTCGTACCCGCCCCCCTAACCCATATACCGGACGGGTGATAGGATCGTAACATCCTTACCAGTGAAGCCCGGCGATGTAGTGCAGTTTCCCACTGACCATTGACTTCCCGACCTCCCACAAAGGCCGTTATGACCATTGGATCAATTCTCGAAGTTGTGCCGTTTCCAATCGGCCATTAAATCATTTCTCCTCTCCAAACACAATGCAAATGTATTCATGTCGACGCTGCTTGAGATCCTACTACTGGAGATAAAAGGTTTCAAGTGTAAATCGGCTACGGCCCCAAAAGTCCGGTTGACGGTGAAAAGGAAAGGGAGTTTTCAAAAAACCAATCCTAGACGCAACTCCCCTGTCCCAAGTTAGAACGATAAACTCCAACGATGCTTCCCAGAATCGTCATAACTATACTCGCTCTCGATGCCATTGCTCGATTGGCCTTCGCACGGTTCTCCAATGCTATGTTCGCTATCACTTGGCTCTTCGACTGACGATTCACAATCGCCTGGCCCGGCTCCTCTACCGTACTGATGCGCTACGCCGACTTCTTAATGAGCCGTCAAAGACGCCTCGCAGAAAGAAATTAGAGTCAAACTTTACAAGCGTCGTATCGAGCGAATTTAACCTAGGCAACGCGCTCTTGTTCGGCTTCCTCTTTCGTCGCCACCAAGCCGGACGGGAGTCGAAGTACACTTCAAGCCAAACCCCATCGGCGAGCAGCATACCCTCATCCTCGGCCAGACGGCTGTCAACGGAACCAATAGCTGAGCTCGCCACCTTCGTAGCTCGAAAAATGACCTCATCCTTGAGTGTAAAAGTGTATTCAGTAGGGAAGGGACAGGTTTCCGCTGGGGGGTAGGCTTGCGCAGGTGTCCTTTGCCCATTCCTTGTCTCGAATAGTTGCATGTAGGGTTGGGGTGTCCTGTACCAGAGAAGGGGTGTTGCACGCTCAGCTTTCCCCTCCAACCCCACTCAAAACCAAGATGGAAACCCTTTCCTTCTTCACACAGGAGAGATCATACTGAAGTGATGCCATAAAAGGGCGTAGACGAGGAAATCTCGCGGTATGCCCTTGAAGAACCCCAACGAGAAATATCGCTCTTCAAGCTTATCTACAATACCGGAACAGGCGTGGATAGCATCCTCGTCGAACGAGAGAGTCCTGTCAGAATAGTCTTCCACCAGAGTATAATATAGCCTTAAAGCTTCTGCAAAAGATAGTATATCGGCCAACTTGGTACCCGCGCCGTGGTCTTTTATCAGTATTGTCGAAATCACAGGGTTGGATGAATCAGCTCCTGTTAGGCCTTCCATAGGCGTGGGTAGGCTGGTGTCAATAAACGAAGGATCATGCCTTTGCTTCAAGGAATCCCTTCCTAAGTCCTTCTTGGAGTAGGGATGGGAATTGACATCGTTGAACGACTCACATGCTTGAAGACGTTGCACTGGTAGTATGCTTGGTGGTCGGTAAAGTAAATGCATCGTGGGGAGAGTAGATATTCCTGGAAGGTCCAGCCACGCTTCCCCCAAACTGACGACTCGATCTGCTCCTAAGTGCCGTTCGATACTTTTCCTTTAGTTAATACCCTTGGCAACCTGTCATGAGCACCTTTCCCAGACAGATTGATCAGAGTAGCCCAGGCGCCGCCATAAATCGCGTGGGCGATACCAAGCTGTCTAAAGACATCTTCGTGGTCCCCCTGGTCGGTGCAAATGGTATCAACCCAGAGGTGGTCTTTCCCAAGACTTTTGGTCATCGACATCGCATCCATAATGGTTCTGGGCGCATCCCGAATCTTCGAGCCGACTTCATAAGACCTCTTATCCACATGTCCCCAGATGTAACTCAGCGCAATATAATCCACCTCTCGTCTCTCTGGATATGGGACCACAGTTTGTGAGTTGATGTCAATAAACTTGATGGAACGATGGACATTCTGTCGGATGAGGGTACAGCTCTGAATATGGTGCGCCTCGCAGTGACGAACTCAGGAATATCTTTTTTAGATTAATAAATGCTTTTATAAGTTTTTAAATAATAAATAATTATATTTTATAAAAACACTTTAATAACTTTATAATTATATATTCTAATAATATTTATCTTTATTTTAAAACTTTTAAGAAATATAATAAGTAAATATATAAAATCTTATAAAAATTATAAAAAGTAAGATTATTAATGAAATTAATTAAATATTATTTTTATAAATAATAAATTAATTTATCTGTTAAACTGCGAACTATTTCGGCGGCAATCTACAACATGTCTGTACAGACGGCCGGCATGATAGGGTCAAACGTTTACCAATCTAATGACAAGCCTCAGTATCAAAGAGGAAACCGATACTTGATCACTATCACCTGTTTTAATATCCTGCTTTACTTGATTGTTAAGGATTATGTCTGGCGTAACCGCGGTAAGAGAAGGCAATGGGAAGCCATGTCCGACGACGAAAAGCGGCGATATCTCGACGCATCTATAGACGCAGGAAACAAGCGATTGGAGTTCCAGTTCGCGCATTAGCATGTGCATAGACTTGACTCATCCGTTTCAGGCTGGCATTGGTAGACAAGCATACAAACATACAAGCGAGTTGTTCAGATACGCGAGCAGCGGGGATTCAAGGAATCTGACCTCTCGAGGGGTAATTAGAGGGGCAGGGTACGCGTGGTATATATAGGTATATTTAGATATGAAAGGAGCATCGCGAAGTTTGTTGATTTTATTCTGACTCCGGAGAATAAAACGGGTCTGACGTCTCACATTGGGGGAAGAATGGCAATCCAGGTTTCGCTCTTTGATGTTTGACATTTGCAACTCCATTCCTCCACACCACAACGGTCCCTTGCCCCTTCATGAGAGTAGAACATCTAGCATCGAGCAACGACGTCCTGACCAGCAGCAACCGCATCGTCCAAGGCCTCCTGTGCCTCCAGAACAGCAGAATCCGCCCTGCACAACATCATTAGCCCTCGCTGACAAAAATTATTCTGGAAAACACCTAGACTTACGAGTTGGCAGAACTCAATGACTGGCCTAGGGCGGTTAGCCCAGCCTCGACTTCTGACCTTCCACTTGCAGGCGGAGTCTGACCAGCAAGAATGGCCTGTGCAATCTCCTGGACGCCACCCTGAGCCTGTTCAAGGGCTGCGGCGGCAGAAGCCTGGGTGGCGGGGTCCTGGATCTGCTCGATGGCAGTATCCGCATCGTTGAGAGCACCCAGAATACGGACGCGAGCCGCGGTGCAGGCAAAGTTCTGACGGGCTTGGATGGTTGCTAGTCCAGTCGTTAGTTGGTGAGATTTGTGGGCAGCGGAGAGAATGGACAACATACCTGCACTGGTGAATGCCGCACCGGAGAGGAGGACAAGAGCGGTATAGAAATGCATTTTCGCGGGTATCGAAAAGGTGAATCAAGACTAGAAAAGAAGAAGGATTATAAAAGATAGCTTGAAGAAATGCAAATGATGACTCCAGGTCATAAAGAAAAATGCGAGAAGTGATTACTCGAGGTATCGCGGACGCCTGGTAGATTCCAGTCTTTCAATATCGCTTGCTTGGGGAATGCCCTCCTTTTATAATTCAATGTTTGTGATGAAGAACGGATTCCCTTTTCCAACCTCTTTTGAGTTTAAGAATTTTCGTTTCTCGAGCTTGGATCCTTGGTGGTGCGACTCCATTCGCAAGCCCGTAGGTCCGGTTCCATGCTCTCATACAAGTGATGCGATAGGCTCCTCGGGAGATCTACGAGGCGCAAATCGTTTCAGCGCAAGGATCTTCCTCGGCACTCACTCCACATACGAGCTGGGCACAGACGTTCACAACCTTAAAAATAGCCCGGATCGGAGCGGGGGGGAATTGAAACTTGCGCACGGGTAACCTTAGATCGGAGGGTTCCAGCTTCAATAATCCCAACACAGACTGAGGAGGATTGCACGAACAAAAGCGATTCGCCCACGGGGCGAAGCTGAGATAGCTGAAACACAAAAAGTCAATGCTTATCCGGAACCTGGAGATTTGGAATGTTAAGGCCGACACGAACTTCGTACAGTTTGAACATTAAACAGCCCGCAGCCGAAGCTAAAATACATGTGGACAGATGTTTGATGGTGGCCCAGATCCTTTCAGTAGTACGTAGAAGGGACAATGACAAAACACCGCGGAACCAGATCATTTTCCCAATAGCTATGCAGGCCACCCCCGGAAAATCAACTATCACTTGCACAGAACGCGTTGAGATACTTGAAGGATGAAGTTCCCTCCTCCGTGGGCCGATAGCTTCCATCAACCCAGTCAAAGCCGTAATGGAGAAACAGACCCGCCATTCTCGCGATCTGGATTGCCTTCTTATCATGTTCCGAAATACCTCCAACTTCCACTTCAAAAGTCTTCCAAAACAGCTCCCGAAGTGAGTGATGTTGGGGATGGTAGTGCCACCCCAGATGGTTCATAGAGCCCAGCACATTCTCAAGGCCCCAGAGTGAAATTCCAAATGGAGAGATTTGAGCTTCAGCCCAGTCAATCGCGCCCGTAATGTGGCCAGTATCCGAATTTACAAGGATGTTCATCTCACAGAGATCACCGTGATTGAGCGCCAGAGGATAGGTCGGCATGAATAGCAATGGGAGCTCCGCGCAGACCCTGTCTAACTTCTCTCGAAAGCGGGAGGGGAGAGTCTGGGAAAGACGCCCCAGCTTTGACTGATACTCGCTTTGGATAGCCTGGACATCTTCTTGGGCTACGCATTGCCTTCCCTTCCACGATGCCGCGAAGAACCTAGTCAAATTAGCAGAGCTTAGCGTAACCACGGAGCTCGACGTACAGGGCATAATCAGTTACGGTGTTCGAATGCTGGGGCCCATCTAGTGTCGCTGAGATATAGGGGGTTCCAGGGAGGTTTTCCATCAAGTAGACAGAGAGTGATTCACCAATCTTTCCGTGAAAAGTATAGTTGGCGATAATTTGTCTGTGAATTTGCCTGGCTACGTCCAAGATTCTTGTATCCAAGTCTGACTCCCCATCTCGAAACTGGATAATCTTAGATTGATCCGTGCCTGCCATCACCGTGTAGCTAAATGAGCCCTGGATGGGAACAGGAGTGACGGGACCGCTGGCGAGGGGCAGAGCAAGTTGGTCACATTGCTGCCGGGTTACCGTGAGATGAGAGGTAAAAAAAATCGTTGATAGTACCGTCAAGGGAATAGATAGCGGGTTCCATTATTATCTTAGTATTTAAGACTATGAGGCGTTAAAAGGCGTAGAGTAAATGCGGGGAGAAAACGGCGAACATGAATCTGGAGCGGTCTCGCTGTCAGGGAAACCGCGGAATGCCCCTGAAATGTTGCCTCAGGTATCTTGCCAGCCTGTTTCGGAAATGACATCCTAGACGCGGGCAGCGAGATACTTCACCTTCATACAAATATTAACTCCTCCTACTTCTCAAACCATTCTCGCGGCATAACAGTATGCTCATTCCCGACCAATTTTGCTTGCCGGGCCTTTTCCCCATCAACGTCCTTGCTAAAGCGTATCCGTAGTCGAATACTTCACACCAGAGTGTCTGACCACAGACTGGCTTGGTCAGAATTATAATCTGGGTAAACCTCCGCGGGCTTGATGACTTCCAAAACAAGAATGAATCTTATCATTGCACAACCCGTTGCATTCGCGGCAGACCCACCACCGAAGATCCCATCTTCCAATCCGCACATATCAAGCTTTCAGAGCATATCATGGCGTTCATGGTCCTCTCCACGTCATCCTGGACGCGTTTCTTCCACTGCATCAATGTATCCTTTTCACAGAGGCGACAAATGTTGCAAGCCACGTCACTTAGAGCACTCGGGGTGGTGGAAGTGAGCGCTAAGCCAGGAGTGAAATTATCCAAATCTGCAGCGAAGCAACCAATAGCATGACCCCTCTTGCTATGGTTGATCGTGCATTCCCAAAGGCTAAGATAACGGCGGGCATTGCAGCGGATCTTGCTCTGGGTATTGTAGTAGCAGCCCACGCAATACGGCACAGTTTCGCATGTGACTCCCTACGTGGGTGTCCCGAAAGGTCCTATATGTCTTGACACAACCCTGATCTGATTGGAGTGAGTATGACGACACTTGATGGCCTAGTAGGTAGAAGATAGTTTGGTTATATACTCACATCGCAGACCTTGCTGTAACAAAATGAGCAGGGCCGCTTGGATCTTGAATCACAGGTGTATTCGCAAAGAGCTTCTAACCGATGCTGAGGGTCCGCGATACCGAGAAGTCTAACTTGCAGGGTCTTGGGGGTACAAGTTGCGTTTATCAAGCCAACATAGTGCACTGATCGTGTAATCGTCGCTGCTCTCTCGAAAGGTAGAGGTGCCGGCGATTGCGCCCAGCAAAGTACAAATACTGCCTAAAAAATGAAGCATTAATGAAAATATTCCGCTTCGGTTTTGGAACTCAGTCAGGCCGAGTCGAAGATGAGAGAGCTTACAAAATGGGTGTCCATTTTCAGGCCCTTGAGAAACTCTCTGCCCTGGGGAATCTGGCCAAGAACGCCGCCCATGGCCGCAACTCGCTTGTAGCGACCCATCTGGATGGGCCCAGCAAGCAACGCAGGAATGATGCATAAGCCACGGATGGTCATAGACAAAATGCTTGTGGATGGAGTCTACAATCTCTCATTTTTTTTTCCAGCAGCCTTGGTTTCGTCCGTTTCGGAACGGGACGAGGGATGGCAATTGGCGAAATGATCGAGGGTGAGAGCGTGAGACGTGTGTCAGAGGACTTGGGGTTAAATTAATAGAGGGAAGAGTGGTTGACTGAATGTCTCCAAGCGATACAACATTGAATGTTTAAATATGAATTGGTATCTGGGATTGTGTTTCTACTGCTGGATCAGATTAGCCCAGGCGAGGATGTGGGCGACTGTGTCACATCTAGTGTTCTCGGTCAACAAATTCGGAGATCGAGGCCTACATTCATGGGCCTCCACATATAGAAACACAAAAGCGTAGCAGACTGGAAGCAACCAGACGAGAGTCCAGTTAGATATCATGTAATCAAATGGGTGTCGCGACCCCGAGCTGCGGTCTATTTCTAATAGAGCTACAGGCCATTCTTGACTTTGGAGAAGTGCGGGGAACCACATCCTGTAGCCCAATCTGCTCCCTCGCTCCCTAGCCTCTGGCAACGAATAGAAGTTATCAACCGCCGAACCAAATGAAAATCCCTTTGCGCCATCACAGACCAGGAGCAATGGTACAAGTGCTAGGTAACTGCTGGATCAGAAGGTGCTCTTTCAGCGGTAGTATAGCAGAGGCCTGGGCATCAGTTTCATATTCATGACTCTCAGAGGGGCGCATTAAGCGAACGGATGTAAATTTAAGGCTGGTATTTGGTTGCAGACAGCTTGGGCTCTAATAGCCGCCTGCCGCCAGTAATACGGAGCTTGAGGCGACTGGAACTCATCAGTTACGCTATATTTCTAGTACAAACTGAAATCCTCCCTGTCATTTCTTTGCTCGGTTTGAGACAATCATTACGAGCAGGAATTTGGAACTCGGTCGGTCTGGGTTGCTCTAATCTGGATACAGATTAGCGAAGGCAGCCTTCATGGCTGTTTTCGTGGCAGCTTCTCGTGCCTTCTGCGACTGAACCCGGTTTCGCTTCGACCCTTCAGGTTTACCGATCTTTCCTGAACCACTCTTTCCACTCTCTCTACTCACCTGGTGGGACTGCCTCGACGCTCCTCTCCTGGCGAGTTCACGTAGCGCTCTGTTGCGAGCTCTCGTTTCCTGTGCCTTGTCCCACTTGGCCATCTTTGTCTTCTCTTTGAGACGGAGCCATGCGGGCCCCTCCCCTACGAGCTCTCTCAGTATTTCTTCGGTAACTTGCTCTTTAGAATAACGGTTGAAATCAGACAACAGATCGGTCGCGTCGTTATCAGAGTCATTGGAGTCGTTATCGCGATGATTCGAGTTGCTCGCGTCCGCGTCCGCATCGTCCATGGTAATGTCACCAAAGTCGTCAAGCCCATCCGGAACTCCCTTGAGATTCGACTCAGAAGGCTTGGATACTCCAGGGTCGGGCGTAGGGATCGCCTCGTGACGGGCATACCATGCTTCTAGGTGTTGCATTACGTAGGAACGGTGCTGATTGATGGCATAATCATGTATCTGGTCCACTATGCATATCAAATCATAGGCACGGCTGAACTCCTTGACATCTCCTTCCCAAATTGTCTCCACCGTCTGCTCTCCGATCTTAGCGGGATGTGCGAAGTGGGTCAAGATGAGCACCAGGATCTTCTCGACTTACACATGTTTCCAGGAACTTAAAGGCGACGAAAACCTCCCAATAAGAACCACAAGACGTAAATGCGAAAAGTTGGTACCTGTGGCTTTTTTCCGTCTGGTATTCCGAGACGTTGTTCGGGTTCCGAGCTAGGTCATCCAGCATGGCCAGATACGTCCTACAGGCGTGATAGATCTGGTCCTCGGCCGCTTCGTAACTCAGGGCTCGCTTCTTCGCCTCGTAGACAGCAAAAGGGAACACGAGATCGGTTTTCCCCCATACGCCATCCACAACAAGCCCACAATTCGGGTTGTGCATCATGGCGCCGAGTTTGTCCTTGTGGAGTCGTTTGTCGGGTTGTTTATGATCGTGTGGACAGTCGGTGATCCCACATATGAAGCCATGCTCAAGGTCATAATCATCATATGCCTTGAGGCCCAGTGTCGCATCTGGAATTTTGATTTTGACGTCTATTTCTCCATTGCTGCTCTTTTCGATAAACTCATATGGTTTCTTGTCCCTGAGTCGTATCGGATGGTTAGTCTCTCCGAACCAGACCCAAGTCTCCAACTCCTAGGATAGTTCTAATACTATACCTACATCCTTAAGGCCTCATCATCGTGAATCAACGCAAAAGCATCGTGCCAAGCACACACCTCCCAAGTAAACTCGGAGGACTTGTAGAGGTGGTTCGTTGCTGCCCTTCGACACAACTTGCTCGCGCGTTGGTCAAGTTCGGTTTTCTTCGTGTCACTCAGACCCTCTCGGTATTTTGGGATATCGAGGTTTGGGCAAAATTGGCACCACATTTCGGCGATGGGCTCAATTCGGGGGAGGGCGCTTTTGAAGGCTACCGACTGCCTGGAGATGGCGTGCATGTGGAACGGTTCGGGCACCAGCGGCATAGTACGCTGCCTCGCCTTGCGGTCTTCCATTGTTAATAGAGTCCGTAACTAAAAGTAATGATAAGAGTTGCTCAGAGACGATAAGAGTTAGCTCGTAGTTTGGCTCATGGACGTTCGTGCACACCAACAATCCCCGTGGTGAGTCGATGATATGGTCTGTAGTATAAATATATACCAACCTGGTATTAATACCCCTCACCTCTGAGAGGGAGGCAGCCAGGCCAGCCGTGGAAGCCTGGGCCTGGGCCGGGCCCAGAGGCTGTCAATGCAAACAAATCACCAACACAGTGTTTCATCAATGCTTAATTATGCATGTTGGTTCGATCCTGCGTGCAAGCGAGGTTTGGAGCCAGGGCCCATCAGAACGGCCCTGCCATCCTACCATTATGATAAGTCAGTGATATGCTCACACCGGCCTCTTTCTCGGGACTCCTAGAGGCAGACTTGTAGCCTGGCTGGGAATGAGGCACAGGGCCAATGTACGCTTTACATCGCTCGGTACAGGTTCCTGGAATGGCGGTGCTTCCCGTCCGAGAAGGCCGCCTGCATCGCAAATTTTGTGGCTGTGCCTTGATGCCTCATAGCTCATTTGACTCTTTAGGCAGTGTTGTCCCCCCCCCCGGGGATACATCTACTTTTTGGATATATCTACTTTTTTATTTTATTTTTTATTTTTATTTTTTTTTATCGAACAGTTGCTTCGCCCAAAAGATTTGCTTCAAATTTCATCTGCCCATGAACATGGTCTCCTGTTCCTGTGGGCGTAAATTCAATTCAGAGGAGGCTTTGGACCAGCATCAAGTAACCAAAGGTCGAGTGAACGGTGCCGCATTTACCTGCAAAGGTCCACGCACAGGCAGGCGTTTCGAAGCTTGGCTGTGGAAGGGCGTAAGGAAGGACCCCAAACCCATTCAGACCATCGATCTTACAAACTTCAAGCCCTTAGCCACTGCGGTCTCAAGCGCGTCGGCTTGTGAGTTGCTTTGTAGCTATAACTGGCAAAATAGCAAAGACGCAAGAATTCAGATTCCGGGTAAGGCCTCGTGGCTCTCCCTTTCATATCTCACCTTCCTAACCTTGAAAAGGGATTGCACCAATATGGCAGGATGTCCCCTTGCCATTGACTCTCCCGAAGGATAAAGGGACCTACTTCACGGACCAAAATGCTGCCCGTATTCCCAAATATCCATTCGGACCGTTATTCCGAGCTATAGCCTCAACGAATCCCAAGTTCTGCTTCGATGACGTGGATGTCGTGGTCAATAGAAATAGCCTCAGAAAGTTACTTAGCTTCTCTACCGGGCGACGACAAAGAAGTTTCCGAATCAATCTCCTCTTGGTCCACAACTCTTTGTTTATTGAGCGTTGCGAAAAAAAAACCCTCGTGAGCTTGTTCGGGGATCAGAAGGCTCGGGATGGGGCCGGAATTTCGAGCGAGCTTTTACAAAATACCCTGCTAGAGTAACGAATTGCACGGGACATCACCGAGCCTTGCGATATCAACTTGGAAACTTGAACTGCGTGGTCCAGTTCGAGGTTGATGCATCCTATGAGACGACGTCAAAGAAAGAGAGTACCGAAGAACCGACAGGCCAGCCCATGGGTCTTATGAGCATGGAATTTCTGACCTTAAAAGTGGGCAAGTTGTCCCTCAAGGCCCTGGCAGAAGACAGGCACTCAAAGGGTCAAGCCATCAAAACCGCAAACCAAATACAACTGCCGCCTCAGTCGCAAGCGGCGGAGATCAAAACTTCCACGCAGTTTAAGGGCCCTGGCACTTACCTACCACAGCTTCGGTTTGGCCGAACACCGTGGCTCATTGTGGATCGTCACACCAGCGGAACCTTCGACGAAGTCAAAGTCACCAATGTTGCGGATCGATTTGAAGAATGGGAAACCAAGAATCAGGCAGAGTTACGGAAGCTAGTCGCAGTGCTTACAGAGCTACGAGAGGCGGTCAAGAATGAGGGTAGATCATGCGTCGCCATCTACGAGCGAGGTTCAGCGCCTCATGCCATCAAAATATTTGCCTCGGTGACTGGCAAACGAGCGCTGCCGGATGAGTTGATCCATGAGTTTTGGGATAATCCCCTGCGATGACCCATATTAGAGTCGCGGTAACATTCCATCGAGGATAATAATAACAGAGATTATGCCCGTGTCTAGGTCACTACTTTGAAAAAGACCCTTGGCTTGGCCTGATGTCGCATTTTCTGATTTCGGAAGAAATTATATTAGGTATTCGCAGACCAGTGGGAAATAATAAAGAGTCCATCTTCCAGGAAGACCATGTATGATGACCGATGGAGAAAATTGGCAACAGAGTTCGTCCTTGGGCATGGTTGAACGATGAGATGCAGAATAAAAAGCAAATGTTGTGTTTGGAACTGCACGTATCCACTCCTTTTACTTCTGCTTCGAGTGGAAATTACACAACTTGACAGTGAACACTGGGTTGTTATGTGTTAGGCAGAGCAAACGCCCCTGCCTGGCTCGCGTTTATGAAGCGTCCTTTCCCCATCACTTCTAGGGTCCTCGTCGAGCTCAATTTCCAGAATGTTAACGGCTCCAGCTTATTCTTGTTTATCTGCTTCGTACAACCGCCGCCGATCCTTGCTCAAAGCAGCATCCGTTCGTCCCGACCTTCCGGAGGTGACAGTGGGCACGTCCGGTGGTTCCGATGTTGGCTGACATGTCGATTTCGGTGCGTTTTTCGGCAGTTTAGGACGACGAGGGTCAGGGTTCAATGGTGCCTCGGTCCAGACTCCAAACAGTCAACTATGTTGACGCGAGATGACCGATGATGCTGCTTGGGATTCGTTGATTTGTCAAAGAGCGGCTCCTGCAACGCTGGTCTGACAGACGCTAACCAGATCCAGGGGCACCGCGGTCCTGTGGGGGCGAGCGGGGTGAACGGAAAGCGAGTTGAGGAGAAGGGTATATTAGTCTGGAACAATCGATTTCTGCGAACGAGTCTGACACCATCTCCCTTCAAACAAACTTTCCTTGGCCAAATCGCAAGTTCCAGCAAGTGATCTCCATCTATCCTGATTCGACATGGCCAGGGTTGAGGGTGTGTGTGACCCCAAATTCCAGGAAGTCCGTGACTTGGTCAACAGCCGGCTTGAGCAAGGCGAAGAGTTGGGGGCTTCGATTTGCGTGAACATTGATGGAAAGAACGTCATCGACCTATGGGGTGGCTACGCTGACCCCGCGAAGACCCAGCCCTGGACCCAAGATACGATAACTGTCGTCTGGTCCTGTTCAAAAGTCGTCACTGCGCTGGCCGCTGCCACTCTTGTCGATCGTGGCTTGCTTGATCCGGACGAGAAGGTCTCCAAGTACTGGCCAGAGTTCGGCGTGAATGGAAAGGAGAATGTAACTGTTGGCCATATTCTCAGTCATGCATCAGGGGTGCCATCATGGGAACAGCCTATCACCCCCGAAGAGATATTCGATACTCCGAAAGCGACAGAGAGGCTCGCCAAGCAAGCACCATGGTGGACACCTGGTGAGCAATCTGGCTATCATTTATTGAATCAGGGCCATTTGGTAGGAGAGATCGTGCGGCGTATAAGCGGAACCCCATTGAAACAATTTATCGCCAATGAAATTGCCACTCCGCTTGATGCGGACTTTCGTCTTGGGTTAGAGGAGAAAGACTGGCCTCGTGCCGCCGACATCATCCCGCCTCCGGCCATCCCACTGGACGCCCTGGACCCGGAGAGCTTCCTTGCCAGAGCGGTCGCCGGTTCCCCCGTGCCTGCCGAGGCTGCGATGACTCCCGGCTTCCGGGCCAGCGAGCTGGGCGCAGTAAACGGATTTGGCAATGCCCGCTCACTAGCCCGTATCGGGTCTATTCTGTCACTGGGCGGGACTGTGGATGGCCGCAAGTACCTCTCACCCGGCACGATCGACAAGATTTTAGAGGAACGCGTCAGCGGGCAAGACCTTATCCTCCCGCTATTTTTACGACTCGGCCTCGGGGTTGGGTTGCCAGCCCCGCAAACGGTTTCGTGGATTCCCGAGGGTCGAATCTGTTTTTGGGGAGGCTGGGGTGGATCAATTTTGATCATGGATCTGGATCGCCGGATGACCATCACTTATGTTATGAACAAGATGGAGAATTCCACTTTGGGGAATGCAAACACCGAGCTCTACGTCCGGGCAATTTATGATGCTCTTTCAGAATAAGACACGCCGCAAGCCACTGCTAGATTTACAGATAGAACCAGCTAGGCTGCAAGATTAGCGGGACATAGAACTTAATCCACATCTCATCCTGCGTGCAATATTCACAAAGAGTGAAGTGAGAAAGAATCTACGACCGCCATCCGCAATGAACACATGGCTTTTACTTCTTGTCTCCGCTGTGGATGGCAAGTTGTGACTGGATTGATCAGTACTCCAACTGCTAGAACACTTACTAACGGTAAGCGTAATGAGTAAAAGCCCAGACGCCCACAGCAATAGCCCCAACTATGAAAGCTAGGTTCTTTGTTGCGCCCTTGACATATCGCAGGCCCAACTTCTTTTCCTGGCCGGCGAAGCCCGCAGCCGTGTTGGTGTGTGGAAACGGCTCGTCCGGCACAGGCTTTCCGAGGAACTCGCAAAGCGGCTCCCATCCGTCTTCGACGCACCACTCTAACAGCCGTTCCTTGGGGACCATGCCTCGAATCATGCTGTAGTGTGCTGGAGAAATACTTTATAAGCTCGTGTAGAGAGGAAATGGAGGATTAGGAAGGGATTTTAGAAGAAGTGGATGGACAAACTTCGATAGACCCATTTACCGCAGCGCTTCATCCCTGTCTCGACCTTGCCATCGAGAGCGCGGAAAAGACCGGGCCACATGTATCGTATGTAGCAGTGCCAGTTCCAGAAGCACTCCTTATCCAAACAGGAGAGAAGGAACAGGCCCCAGAGGTTGGGACCACGTGCAAGTGTGCTCGATAGGCTTTTATGCCAGGCGTCGATATCCTTGCGGTAGTTAAGCACGATCTTCGCGTCAGGATATGCCTCAATGAGCTCGGCCGCAAAGACAGAGGCCGGGGCATCGGCTACGGCAAGGGAATGTCCCATCACGGCGTCGAAGTCGGCCGCTGTGAGATTAACGTCACCACTTTCTGGCGGGAACCACCTAGATGTAAGGAAAGGAGAGTGGCGGGGGAGTTAGTCCGCAAATGACCTTCGTGACTTCATACCGATAATGTGCGAACCATGGATAGGTGATGCGGCCTAACATTGTCAGTGGAGTGGCTCACTTCTTCTTACAGAGCCGAACCCATTGCTGGGCGTAGTTAGGGCTCTCAAAGTTGATATCCCACCCATGATAGGTATGGTCGTAGCCTTTTATCGGCATAGAGAAAGCGTTAGCACCAAGAACTATCCTGGGTCTCAGTGATACGAAACTATGGAACTTTGACGCTTTCCCTGTCGCGGTTAAGCGCTATGCATTGGGCTACACTACACTAAATAGAACAAGAAGCGGGGAGGGGGATTTTGCTTACCGAGTCTGAGGAGCGCATGCTGCAGTGACTCGGTCCCCGTACGCGGCATCCCAACACAGATAACCTCCATCGGCTTCGTCCGTTTCCGCGGCGGCGGTTCTGGCAGCGAGTACATGTACTCAATAATCCAGAAAACCCACCCATTGAGCTGCGGCATTTTTAATTGCCTCGTGCTTCTCGATTTCAGCACGTGTGGATATATTAATTAGTATGGGGAATGGAGGGAGTTGGGAGGTTGAGGGTAAGCTGAGATGAGATCGATTTTGACGGTGAGAAAGCCCGTAAGCCCAAGGCGGATAATTCTCGGATCTAATTCCATCTTGACGTCCATCAGCATCCGTGTTCTCTCTGTATTGAAATGGTAGTCGAAGTGACGGATTTCATGCAGGATCTAAGACCCTCTCGCCGTCGCCAGTCTACGTTCCCCATTCCGACATTGGAAGGTGTATTGGGCACGCCATGACCGCCCCACATCACCACATGCGCTATTAGCTGGAGAAGAGCAAGGATTAAATCCAGGTTGCTGACCAATCATCCTCTATCTGGCAACCCTATAATCGCATCTATATAATCCTGAGAAGACCCAACCGTGATTTTGACAATGAATCTGACATAACCAAGCCTTCAGACATCTTGTTCTCCAGCTCCTCACAATGCGTATTCCAGTTGCCAATTCATCAACCAACGGTTCACAGGGTGAGCCCAAGGACCACCGTATTCTCATTTTCCTTCCGTTTCCCCTTACCGAGGAGTCTCTCCAGCATATTCGAGACGAATTTCCCGGCATTAGCGTCTCCGCTTATCAGGTGCCGTGGCGCAGCACGAAGCCGCCAGCTGAGGTTTCGGCCGAGGAGCTCGCCAACGCGACGATCCTCGTCACTGGGTCAGTTCTTCCTGCGAAGGAACAAGTCCCGAAGATCCGCTATATACAGCTGGCGTCCGCAGGCGCCAATCACATCTTAGATCATCCCCTCTTCACCGAGACGGATATTCTCTTCTGCACTGCCAATGGAGTTCACGGGTATGTTATCCTCAGAGCGGTTCACCGGCGAGTCTGCATATCTTGAGCATGGTGCTGATCCTTGTTTAGGCCCCAGATATCCGAATGGGTCATCTCGACGTATCTTGCTTTCCAACATCACCGTAAGTGCCGGCATGATTTGAATATTTGGCTCAATCTCAATTCCCACGTTCCCGTTTCTATGCTGACGGGTTCTTTTTTTGCAGTCCCTAGATATCTAGAGCTCCAGAAGCAAGGAAAGTGGGACAGAGAGGCCCGGTTGGTTCAGGATTCGGTCAACCGTAGAGTGTAAGTGGTCAAAGGGCTGCCTCTGAAATCATTCGTGGATAGCAGCTCTGACACGCTCCAAGAGGAATTCTAGGTTACGGAAGCATCGGCCGCCAGACCGCCCGCGTTGCGACTGCCTTAGGAGCGGACGTTCACGCATATACGCTTCATCCACGTGATACGCCAGAGTCGCGCCGTGACACTTCCTACTATCCTCCTGGACTCGGTGACCCAGATGGCACCCTTCCATCGAAGTGGTTCTCGGGCGAGTCTACTGCGGATCTTCACGCTTTCCTCTCTTCCGGCCTTGACCTCCTCGTCATTGCCCTTCCGCTTACCCCTAAGACCAAACATCTCATCGGCGCCGAAGAATTCAAAGTCTTGGGCAAGAAGGCGTTTGTCACCAATATTGCCAGAGGTCCTATTATCAAGACAGACGACTTAATCCAGGCTCTTGAGGAGGAGACAATTAGTGGCGCAGCTTTGGATGTTACTGATCCAGAGCCATTGCCGGAGGGCCATGCGCTTTGGAGTACCAAGAACGTGATCATAACGCCGCACGTGAGTGGTATATCTACCAAGTATAACGATCGAGTTTTGGCTATCCTTGATTTGAATATCAAGCGACTCCTGAATGGGGAAGAGCTTGCGAATAGGGTGAGCAGGAAAGACGGGTACTAATATGGCATCCGGGGATTGGCCTTAGTGGTTGTCCTCTGGGCGCTGACCATCAAGCCGTTTTCAATGAGCAATGAGCGGTGTGGCGGACGGTTGGGTTGATGTCCATACCCGGGATCCAGAGATGACAAAACCCATTTGTTCGGGAACTGCATCTCTCCGTCTTCCTCATGTTTGGGATTCGCCAGCAGATAATAGGACAACCATCTGAAGTGTGTGGTTTGCTCTTTCCCTGACTCGCAACGTCCCCTTCCACTCCCATTCATACCCATTTGTAGCAACGACCCAGGCGTCACCCGGCATGCCAGTCTTGGTGTCCAGATTTCCAGCTGGTCCATTGGTCTAGCGGGCCGTGTTTATTATGGCCTCAGTCCCAGGGATCCTCTTCCAAAGTAAAGCTGAGCGGAAAAGCACACAGCCTGCCACTAGGCGTGCTCGAGCTAGCCCGAGTTTCATTTTCTTCACTTCTTTCTTTCCCGCTTTCCTCTTGCCCCTTCGTCCGTGTCTTCCCTTCCCCTGGATAAACACTGCTGTCACCCGCACTGTTGCTTGCTGTTTACACAAAACAATCAATTTTATGGATCCTCAATACACGAAGTTATGACATGCTTGCCCCAACAGTCTGTCGGAATTATCCGCGGTGCGAAAGGCGGTGAGCACGGGAGATTACTGCCATTCGTGATTGGGATCAACGCTGGTTCCCCCCAAACCCCACGAAACCAGCCAAACGTGGAAGTGTTGAGGAAACGAACAGTGCCAAATGCTCAATTAGAACTGGTCCATTTCTGTCCTAGCCTGGCACGTTGCTTTTTCCCTCCTCTGGGTATAAATTGGCGCTAGTCTCTCTCGCGGTGCCACTGCCACGTAGCGTCCTCTCCCCTCTTTCTTCACCGAACTCTTACTCTCAATCGCCTCGTGCTAGCCTGGAACATCACCACTTCCATCAGCATCGTGACCTTCAGCCTTCAGCCTTCAGCCTTCAAAATGAGCGGCAGAGGATACTCGTACAAGAGCAGTGGCACCAATAGCCAGGTAGTCCTCTGCCAAGATCTAGCCCCTTTCTATGCTCTCCGGACCTGACTCTTCGTAGGGCAACCACTACTGTGCCCGTGACTACGGCAGCAGCGCGTCCAACTCTAACAGCTATCACTACTCCAACTCGTAAGCTTTCGTTCAGTCAATTTGCTCAGCCGCTTTCTAATATCCTCCACTCCCTTTGATAGCAATGGCTCGTACTACTACTCGAACCCCAATGGCAGCACCTATTACAACAATGGGCAGGGCAGTTCCACCTATACTCCGCCTTCCAGCAATGGCAATTCCGGTAGCTCGGGAAGCGCTAAGAAATAAACGATACCGAAGCCAGGGCCTACACCTCGGAATCTGATCAGTGTTGAGAGTCATTGTCGTTATTATCCTTTGTAACTTACGGAGACCAGAATTCAACCCTGAAGTATGGCTAGCCGCGAGCTCTGAGCTGCTTGTTCTCTTTCAATGAATGGAATGTACTTTGCCGATGTCGCTGGAGATAACGTAATGAGGGGTTCACACGTGGTCCCAGCTGCGACGAAATGCCGGTAGCACCTCGTTCCTCGAAAAATGACGTAATTTGACCTATCCCGGCATGTGAAAGTCACGGTTACCTCGTTTATCCACTATGACGCGTTGCCGATTCGCAGATACCTGGAGGCTCCGCCAAATGGCTTAAAGTACTAGTTACTTCCCCAAAATGAGAGTTTAATGGATCACCAACTCTTCGCCATTTTGGGCAACATCGTCGAAGGTTAAATCCTGACTAATCCTATACCAGGGTTTGAAACGTTAAATCGAGAGATGCTCGCCACCACCGGTTATATCTTAGATCAAGTTTATGAAGGTATACCCTCTAATAGTTTATATTTAAAAATACTTATTTAGTCTCTATCAGGAGATAGGTCATGTGGTGGATCTGATCTCTCAACATAACATTTCAAACCCTGGTTTAGGTTTACCTCTCGAGTCATACGCCACGGCCCGATAAGATCCAGGGACCGAAAATTTAGGAAGCACACGACAGTTTGACAGGAAGGAAACATGCACTGAGAAGGGAATCGAAAAGTGTTGATTAAATGGAATCCGCTCAAGTGTATGATTTCTCGCTGAATACGGACAAAGAAACAGAAATGAGTGCAATCTACTAATTGTAACAGCAGTAGTAAAGCAAACAGAGATGAAGTATCAAAACATGCTAAAAACGAGGGAGGGTAATGAAATCCCCTCCACTGGATATCCTTATAAATTCCCCTGTGCAGCCCGAAAAAACAGAATACAACAGCACAAAATGCAATGCGCCTCCCCACTAAAGCAATCACAATGATCCGGCCTTGTTCTTCCTGACGGCGTTGTCAACGGCGTTCTTGACGGCGGTGCGGAGGTCGGCGTGGAAGTAGGGCCAATTGGCACCGTAGAGGGTACCAGCCGCGGTTACCTCGGATCCAGAGGACCGAGAAGGCTCGAGAGGTGTGATCTCATTGCCAGTCTCCAAGTCAGTCTTCTCATTCCTGGAGCCCCTGTTCACCTCAGACACGGCTGCGATGTTCAGTGTCACGTTGTATGACTGGTCGCCGTCTTCGTGTGGGAATCCGAATCCGTTGGCAACGAGGGCGCGCTTGATCCAGCGATCGGTAATGTTGGCGAAATGCCACTCCACCTCTTCGGGAGATGCGTACCGGGCGAGTTGGTTTCGTGCGTCGATGAGGGCTTGCAGAGCAGTGGAGTCTACGAAGCTTACGGGGGAGAAGTCGAGGACAATGGAGCGGAGGATAGGTCGGGTGTCGGGCGCGTCGGAGTCCTTGCCACGGCGCGGGCCGGGATCATTCCATGGACGGTCCTTGAAGATAGTTAGTGACGATGCTAGATATAGATAAATGTCTTGAAAGAGATGAGGAAGTACTTACGCCCTTCTTTTCGTACTTGTTCGTTTCGGTCTGGCGGGTCTGCTCATGGACCTCGAGGGAGAGGGTGTCAAAGTGAAGAGCCGAGTTGAGGTAATTGAAGCCACCGTCAAACCGGTAGACAAACACGCCGGGGTAAGGAGAGTGGATGGGAGCCTCCTTGTTGACACCGTCAGAGTGGTCGAGGGGAGCGAAGGCATCTCGGACAATATCATCCGAAGAGCCCTTGATATCCGGGTCGCTCTTCTTGAGAGGCGCCTCGATAGTCCTCACTTGGCCGAGGAAAGTTCCGTGAGCACGAGCAATCTGCCAGAGAAGAACGGCGGCAGCAAGACCGACAGTGACGTAGATACCATTCTCAATGGTGGTGAAAATGGAGACAAGAACACCAGCGAAGAAGACGATGAACTCAATAGGGGATGTCTTCCAGTATTGGTAGACGGTTTCCGGCGGGGTAATCAGATCCAACACAGCATGGATAATAAGACCGGAAAGACTAGACTTAGGGATGTAGAAGAAAACGGAGGTAAGAGCATAGAGAGCAAGGAGCACGATGACAGCGGTGAAGACACCGGCCAACGGAGTGCGTACACCAGCCTTGGCCTTGATAGCAGTTCGCGAGAACGAGCCGGTAGCGGGGTACCCGCCGAGGAAAGGTCCGAGAAGGTTGGTGAAACCGACAGCCACGAGTTCCTGGGAAGGGTTGATGATGTAGTTATTGACGCGACCGAAAGACTTCGAGATGGCAATGTGCTCAATGATGAGAACGATGACAGTGGTGGGAATCTCGCTGGCGATGAGGGAAAGAGTGTGCGTTCGCATCTTGGGCGCACCGGCATGCTTGAAGCCGCTAGGAACGGTACCGAGGATGGCGAATTTGGCCTCCTTGGAGGACTTGATTCCGCGGTTGGCAAGCCAGCTGATAAGGGTGTACAAGAGGATGACGAACACCATGCGGAGGGTGGAAATGAAGAACCAGGTCTTTTGCTGGTTGGGATACCTCTTGGACATGATGTTGCAGAAAATTCGAATTGCGTAGAGCATGACGAGAGCGGTAAGACCCATGGCAGCATCGAGCTTCGTGTCGGGGAGATGTTTCAGGGTGTTGATAATAACCAGGTAGGTAGAATCACGGGTGTTGACACCCTTGATACCCATCATGGCAGGGACCTGGCCAGAAGCAATGCTGATGGCGGCACCAGTCATGAAAGAAGTGATGGCGACGAGAGGGATGAGCTCGACGATGAAGCCAAGGCGAGTGAGGCCAATGAAGAGTAAGATGGCACCGGAGATGAGGGCCAATGAACGGGCGATTTCTTCGGCAGGAATGGAGTCATCAACGTCATGAACCTTGTTCACGATGTTACCGACGATGGTGGACATGACAGCAACAGTCTAGAGGATGGCTGCAGTTAGCTTGAGCTCTCCTAAGGCGACTAGAGAGGGTGGAGAAAAAAAATAAGAATAAAGTCTTTTAAAACTTACACCAATAGTGATATCCTTCGAGGTAGCAAATGCCCAGTAGAGAAGGAAGCCGACGAAGGAGGTGTAGAGACCATACTCTGGGGTGAGATTGGCAAGCAGGGCGTAGGCCATTCCTTGCGGGACGACGACGAAACCGACCGTGATACCGGCAATCAAGTCACCCATCAACCAGATGAGGTTGTAGTGATGAATCCATGTTAAGAATGGAAAGAGTGACAGGAAATATCGGCCAATGCCTCCGGGGGTTGGGGTGTGGTCGGCCAAGAACTCCTTTGTTCCGGCAGGCCGTTCAATGTAAGCACCGGCGGGCAGATCACTGGGGATTCTGTCCTTGTGGGCATCGACGTCGATGCCCACGGCCTTTGCGAGCTTCCTTGTGATAGACATGGCTGCGGCACTGGCTAAATGATTGACAAAAGAGTGCTGTGATGATCCGGGACGATGAATTGAATGGTAGGACGAGTGGAGGGGCGAGACACCGCTTTATACATTTGACGGAATTTTCGGGGATGGTTGATTATGGGGATGGGATGTACCTTGGAGTCTCAATGGGTTTGCATGGTGAAGCATGAGCTAGTAGCCCACTTACTCGGGATAAAGCGAAAAGCGAGAGAAAAAAAATAAAATGGAGGAAAAAGGGACTAGCGTGGGCCGATCCCACGCTGGACTTTGGTGGACTCTGGGATAATCCGACTACGAAGGGGGGTAAACGGAAGCCAGATGGGGTGGACGCAGCAAGTGCCGCTTGATGTTTCCTTGTTTTCTATTCAGTAACAGAAAATCACCCTGGCGCGATACCCTGGGGGAAAGCTATCGCGCATTGGGGTAAAAAAAATAGTTGGACTCGAAGCATTCAGCTCCACGGAGAAAATCGATTTGATATTCGATAGAGAGTTTTTGGCGGATCAAGATGGGGGGGAGGGGGGCCGGACTCGACCAGGGCAGAGAGCTTGCTCTGTCTCACGTCGTTTGTTCCTTTCTTCCCACCCTTGTCTCGTGCAAGGCGGGGTGGTACAAAGAGACCAGGCGATGACAGGGACCTCCCCACGCGGTATCCGAACACACCTGCAAATCAAATTCAAATGGGACAGGTAGACCCTCTCTCGCTTATGGTGCTTATGGTGGAGGGGGAACAGAAGGACCAGAAACACCCCGGAATAGATTTACTTGGACGGGCGTTATTATTAACATCGACCCTTCTTGCTGTGACGCTCTGACGACGTGCCGGTAAGTGGTGGGAGCTGGCAGGGGCAAATACTACGTGACCATCCTGCAAACTGGTGCGATTGATAAGGTGAGCAACATGAAGGAATGAGGTAAAACCACGAAATATGAAGGACAAAAAGCAGGATGCTTCGGCGGGGCCATCGAGCCAGAATGATGGCTCCTAGATCCACAACCAGGAAACTCAGGAGTGAGCTTACATAGCTGCTGCGCAGCTGTTTCGTCTTCTTGGTGCCGGTGCTAATACAAGTAGGTAAGAACGTCGTACTAGGCAGCGAAAAGTAGCCGGTACATCCCGCAAAAACACGGCGCATTTAGGTTTTATTGCCTGGTCTCCTGCGAAGTTCGATGGAATATTCTGAGGATTATTAGACTAATCGCTGACTTACCAGGGAATCGTACTCATGGAGAAGCCGAAAACCCCCATTCCCGGAAGAGGTCCGCGGCCGCGAGCCCCGCTGGGGGAATTTCCAAAAGAAGAAAGAAAAGGAGTACTTCGTACTAACTCGCAAGCAGTGGAGATGGAGGGAAGGGAACAACGATCACGACATGGCGGGTACTGCATGGATACCTGAGATGACAACGTCGAAGAAATGGGAAAGTGCCTCGATGACGGGAGCCAAGCTCTTTGGAAGGGGGGCGGCAGGCGGGATGGAAGAATGAGAGAAAATGAAACAATAGGGTGTGGCGATAACCGCTACGGGGTGTCTAGGTTTTTAGCCCGCCGACACTAAAAGTAGTGTGCTTGTAAAGCTGCAAGACAGCCAAGAGATCAGTGGGTTGATGGAGAGATCAAGTTGCTTGGCTTGGCCCGCAGCAAAAGCGGCAGAGGGCAGAGGGCAGAGAGCAAGCAACACCTTGGACAGGACCGGATAGGACAGGACAGGGTGTCGACAAGCCAATTGGGCCCTGGTCCCCGTAAATGGTAAATGGTGAAAATGGGGGGAGGCTCCAGTGGCACTCACACTGAGAACACGCAGACACGGACGGGGACCCGTTTCTCTCTGGGGCCCTGGGGCGGGGGGCGTTAATCCCCTCGCGCCTTATTCGCTAGTCCCGCCAACGCGACTGGGGCCAGCACAATGTCGACATCCGCTTGGTCCATCACGCAATTTCTGCCAAATCGGGCTGCCCTGTCCAACGTCGTCTCGTCAGCCACAACTGCTCTTTCGGTCCTCAACTCGCCCTGTCATTTGGCCCAAGGACACCAACGACAGGACCCTCCCCTGGACCCGGTGATTTCTGATATACGAGGAAAATGCAGGTAATGGTACAAATAATAATGACAATGAGACAACAAGCACGAACAAGTGGAATTGAATGGTTAGGATTATCCATTGATGCGTCGTTGGTTCGCGGGATGCACACCTATTCGAAGTATTTGATATGTCGCGGATGTAATGTACATACGAATCCTTGTGAACGAACTGGCTGGCTGGATGGCTTGAACATCGAAATTTCGCCATCCAACCTAACCCCCTTTTCAGAACCCCAGTTGGACGAAAGCGAACACATGAGCGATGCTGCTGGTGGCATTGCATGGGACGGAAAATCGTTACTGCTATGCTCCTCTGAATAACCACTCTCCGCCATAGACTCTACGAAGCATTACGTGACGAGGAAAGAGGGTAGAGCGCATTTCAATTGTTCCCCAAGAGCAGAGGAGCTGGCTGCCCGGTGCTTTTCTTGGGGTGGCGTAACAAAGCCTTAATGGGGCTGAAGCGATTATATCCATCATGGCAGAAGTATCGAGCCGGATGACGCGATCGCGTTATCCCCTTTCGAGAGCGGCCCACCTCCCAGGCACCACGTCTCTCTCGATTGCCCAGCATTAAAGAGGTGGAATCGACGGTGGAGAGATCAAAATGAGATTTGATGTTCTGTGTTTCACGCGGACGTTACTAAAGAGTAGCAAATCCATTGTACGAAATACTTCGCACTCCCCTCCGATATCTCAATGCATGACATCGAGATATCAAAGCCGACCGTGACACTGCCTTTGCCTTCGCTGTCCATCGTTCCGTTGTTTCATCCCCAGATCAAGCAATGCAGCAGATGAAGTTGACAGCCCAGCCCTTCGTTTTTCAAGCCGCAAGCCAAGAGTAAATTCCCAAGACTTCCAACACTTCCAAGACTTGGGGGAGAAAGCCACGAAGCTGGGCGCCCAGAACTGTCCCTGCCCAGACCCAGCATTGCTGCCCTCCCCATGTCTTCCTTCTTCCCATCCCATGTAATATCACCTCCCCTCCCTCCCAACCTGCACTGCATCTTCCTCGGAGACTTTCCTGATGTTTTGCTTCCCCCAACACCCAAAAAGAGGCTTGCCCAGCCGGGAGCTATCCAGCTTGGCAAAGAGCCAAGAGATCGAGTCAAGAGATCGAGTGTTCTGCCTTTTCCGCCGCTGTCGATGAGGCTGGTGAACTGGTCGCGATCCGCCGTCCCACTCCGTACTTCCCTTGGAGCCGTCCTTCTCGGGACCCATCTTCGTGCAAATGCCGGAGCCCACCTGGTCTTAGCGGAAACCGTTCGCATTTCACCGAGACTCGAACAGGCGATCCTATTTCCAACTACCAGGCTAGGGTGGCGTTCAACTCCACTCTGTATCGCCAACCTTATTCCTTTACGTTTACAAAACTCTTGGAATGAGCCGTAGCACCTTTCCCCGGCCTCTTCCCACGGGTGGGGGTCCATCCATCCTGAACAAGGAAGTACTCAGTACTCACGAGGAAAGCGCCCCTTGCAAGTGAATGGGCGGCGCTAGCCACATGAGGGTCGTCGCAGGCGTTTCCGATGGGAGTGGTGTACTTGTATATCCAAGATGATCATCATGAGGATTCAGCCCGGGATTGCATGCTTGCCCTTGACCCCAAGCTGGTCCAATAAGCGGAGAAGGTAATCGGCGAGGAGGTTAATGGTCCCCGAAGATCGTACTCCCGTTCTCTCTTTTCATCTCGCAAGCATGCAGTCTCCACATCTTTTGAGTGCCCTCGCATCGATCCAGGATCTCGGGATCACCGACCTTCCTGATTCTTTTTTCCTTCTCTCGAACATCGATTAATGCCATGTGGGGGTTGAAGACTCTGGGGCTCGCTGCCACCTACCAGAAGCTTTCAATAGTCTTGAAGCCGAACGCGTGTCTCCTGATGCTTTGTCGGCATGGTAAGATACCGTCTTCGCCTGGATCTTGAATCCCTCTCGTCTCGTCCAGATCCGTTCGTTTCTGCAGCCCAAGCGGGCGCTCTGGGAAGTGGCAACATGGTCTTCCCCCCAGGGGGCCAGGATCTTGCTTGCGGACGAGCTAATGCAAGCCGCAATGTAGGGTAGGACAAGAGCCTGCTGCACAGTCTCGTTGAATCCCCTGCTTGTGAAGTTGCCAAGAGCTTGGCCTGGAGAAGATCACCCCCGGGCAACAAGCTGCTAGGTACACGAGTCGTACTTGGCGAGTACAGCCCTGGTACTCCCGTATTCCAAGTGTCCTCATATTGTGGTACCGGATGTGAGCCGTGTCTTCCCATTTCAGCTTGGATTCTTGATCCGTATGGCTGTTGAGCTTGTTCCGCTTATTCATTGCCTGCTGCACCCTCTTCAAACTCTTAGCCCCCGACTAGCCCTTTTTTTTCATTTGTTTTTATTGCTTCCCGAAACCGAATCAGCAAGCGAGAGCTCTACCTGGTCACCCTATCCACATGATTGGGACCAGAGCGTACGTTCATTGATCATCCTGACCTGCATAGCACCCATGCATTGGCCCCCCTACTTGTTATCCCCAGGGCCGCCTTGCAGTCTTCAGCCCGCATGGCGAGATGCCACCATTCAGGATCGGTCACGCCGCGCTTTCTCATTTCCCGTGGAGCTCGAGTCTCGATGCTTTTCCTTCCCACGTCCGAGGAAATCCCACCCTCAGCCTCTGCCGGTGGCCCGGCTTGGTTTCCTGATCCGGATTTGCCCTTGATGCCAATGCATATGCATTGGGTGTTCCCCAAGTGGAGGGTAGCAATCGAGCATGGGAAAGTCCTTCGAGAAGTTTGCCTAGGTGGGCATATTTCGAAGCTTCTGACCCCACAGTCCCCCCCCTCTCCGAACACAACAGTCGAGGGTCGAGGGTCGAGGGGCGAGGGGGGTAGAAATATCAATGTCGGTTAGGTGTCTGTGGTCCCAGTCAGTCTCATCTTTTCTTCCTGTGAGCTTGCCCGAGGACAGACAAGTGCACACACATGCGTGTGCAGATGTAACTTGAGCCGCACATCCCGACTCCTTTGGGCATTGATCTCTAGGTTGTGGGTATCAAGCAGCAGTGTACCTAAGACCTGGCTTCCCAAACCGAACTCTTTCCCTTGCATTAGAGGCTAGTGTACCTCGTACTGGCTGTCAAAAAGTCTGACCCCCGTCGTATGTGCAAGTGCGCGACCAACGAGGTGCAGACCGCACTAGACCACAACCTCCCCCCCAAAACCCACTTCCTGATGCCCGCTCTCAACGGCACAAGTGAAATCATTCTTCCCGAGCTGGGAAGGTTTCCCGGTTGGTCCCCATGGTCGCCGGTCAAGCTCCTGTAAGATCATGCTGTAAGCCGGATCTAAACGACTGACGGCAAGGCAATGCTACTGTGTTTCTCAATGGTGTGTTAGATGCCTTCCTCAAAGATTCTCGATGCTGCCGATCCTTCTTCTCCGATTAAGCTTAAAACGTCAATGATCGTTGACCAGTCATCATTTCCTGCCAGCCCAGTAACAACTCGGACAGCTGAACCCTGGGCGATTACGTGCTCAATGAGCGCTCATCGTCATTTGCTTCGCATCCTCCCAAACCCGTCTATTTTCTGTTTTTGCAGTCGCCTACCACACCCACGCGATTGCCGTGGCGTTTCGATAACCAAGTATTTCCGTACGGCGAAGGAAATACTGTAAATGGCGCAATATCCTCTCGGTCAACCCGAATATTGATGTAGTTTCGGAAGCCCAATCACGAGCTAATGCGGAGGCGATTGACCATCTGCAAGGCAATCGCGAGACTAACGCTCCACGCATCTTTAGGACGTGGACCCCTCCCCCGCGCGCTTCCTCCGCTGCACGCCCATGCTGTATCATGGGTTGAAATTATTCGGCTTCGTCCTATCCACTCACGTAGTTTGTTCTGGCGAACAACGCTCCATCTCAGCCCCCAACCACTTCATGACCTTTTCCGCTAGGATGAGAACCAGAGTCCAGACTCTGGACCATGCATGTGCACTATTGGGACTATTGACTGAGCATCCGGCAGGATCCATGTTCGATCAGGCATCGTGTTGAGAATCGATCGTAGGCCTAAGTGTGCTCTGGCGAATAACTCTGTCTTTTGAAGCAAGCTCTTCTCGCATGGGAAGGGGCGCGCCCGGCTAGACCAGGACTTCGCCGGGGCTAGGATCCTGGAGGTGGAGCACGCGACAAGGAGGAGAAGTTCAAGGCCAAGAAATTCATCCACAGAGTTCGTGGAACGTGAGCACATCCGGACTTCGCCGCATCCATGACTTCCCGAGGGCTGTTCCCGAGCGCCGGCCTCGAGGACCGTCCATCACGCGTAAAACAGCGAGGGTAATGAAGGTATTCCGTCGCCAAACTGCAGCCAGTAGCCGTAGCTAGGCCTGGTAATTTTTCACTATTCGATTGTTCTTGCTCGGTAACATGGGGCGCTGGCAATAACCCCTCTCGTTGTGGAGAGCGCCAGGCAGAGGCTGGTCATACATCTTCGGGACGCCCGATCACCGCCATTATTCTTCTGTCTTTGGCACCCCAACTCTTGACTGGAGCCAGGCAGTCCCCAAGAACGCCCTAATATCATCTTCGGAGGCGGCAGCCTTGCGTTCATCGGATTTTCATTGATGCGTCGCCTTGTGTGCTTGGACGAAAAATCTTCCGTTCCGATCTCGCTGAATCCGGCAGAGCTTGTGTCGTCCGAAGAGGCCATCTTATTGGTTGGGAATAGAGTGACCCCGCAGTCGTTCGTGGTGCCGATCTTCGTCACCTCCTTTGCGTCTTAATATATTCAAGTGTGCCATGCAATTTTATGTTTGATTATTCTTTATATGATTTAAATGCACCTTTTACCGAAATGCTCGGGTTCTCCATTTTAGGCTGCGCAGATTATCTACTTCATTTGGAATAAATGGAGAAATCAATTCAGTCTGTCAATCCTCGACATATCCAACCGACCCTAGGACCTCGAACTCATAGCTTGGACCAGTTTCTGCGGCCTCAGATGAGTAGATTCGTGCGGGTCGGTAGTGGCCCGGAAAGCTCGGGGAGGATATGAGTCCAGCACACTTGAAAGCGGGACAGAATCGATATGACGGCTCCGTTCTTCTCTTCATCTTTGGAATTGGGGTTGAGGGAAAGCCCAACAGGGCGCGGGTACCGTCATTTTTTCCAGTAGTTTTCTCCTACTTGTTTTCGAGCTAACCTATTCCAACCGTGAAGGTCTACGGCATCCTGGTTCCTTAACCTATTCCAACCGTGAAGGTCTACGGCATCCTGGTTCCTGGCCATTACATGCCGTCTTTCCCCAGCAGAGAGAGAGAGTAGCCGGGCGACGGCGCTGCTCACGGGCCATGGTCCCCATACACCCGGGTCAACATATACGTGGGGCCGTTCTACCGGGCGGGCATGACTTTGTTTCCAGGCCCATCAAGCCCCATGTTTTCGTCTCAAAAGTTGAGAACAATGTCTGCGTAAATCACGCTAGAAGCAGTGTTGAACTGTAACATCATACCCATACGACTCCTCGGCTGCATATAATACCGGAACACCACCATTGATTCGATATGGCACTCCCGATTCCTCCACGGATGCAGACTTCCGAAAAAGTAATCAAGATCGGCATGAGCTTCCCCGCGTGTGGCAGCCATGGGGTCCTATGATACCCCTGCATCTAGCTTCTGATGCGACAAGTTTCTACCCTGTCTTCTTTCCGGGGTCTTACGTTGTCCCATTCGTTTTCTTCCAGGTATACCAGCCAGCAGGGGAGCTGTGTGTGGGGTAGTTCGCATATCGCTTCCGAGGCTAGGTTTTAGCTTATTGCATCCCGTAGCTCGCGTAAGGCATTGGAAGGAGACGAGGTGGAACAGGCAGGCAAAGCTCATGACACGGCAAGGGCATTTTATGTTGAAAGAGAAGCAGAGACCTCATCTTTTAGGTTTTCCGGGTCGAGCTTCCTGTCAGTGGATGCACGGCAGATCAAATACCAATCTATTCATCGCGACTGATGATGACGCGCATAGAGTCCTATCATTAACCTTGGGACGAGTCACCGGGATACTTTCTGAATTGTGAAGAAGGAGTAAATAGCGATTGTCAAGAACGGAAACATATACAGCTCTGCCAGGTTACAAAAATGGACCCGCTACTACCACAGTCTTGTCAATATCCTCCTACTTGCCGGAGCACACGAAGCTATTTCATATCTCATACTAAGTCACCGTATCGCAGAAAAGCGCAAAAGGCTTAGACGCTGACGGTAGAGCCGATAGGTCCGAAGCGGATGTTGCTGTAGATAACAGTTGCCTTGAGTAAGGTCTTAGTATGTTGTCGCAATGCAGCATTTAGGTTTTTTTTCTTTTTTTTATGGACGGTGTAACTTACAGAGGCGTGCTCGGCCTCGACGTCACTAGGGACACCAGAGTCTTGAGGGCAGTCGCCTCGGTCGCCACCAGGGGTACCGGCCTTCTCAGGCGGGTAGCTGGAGTCGAGCCAAAGCATGTTGGCGTAGTGCTGTGGCAAGGTTAGAAGAATGACCCATAGCCCCGTGCCATTTTATTTGTGTTTTGGATGTGGGAAGAGAAAGGGAAAAGGAGAAAAACGGAAAAGCTCACATCATCCCAGAGAGACATGACCAAGACCCAATCGCCGCGAAGGGCTTCGTTCATCTTCGACCAGCCGCCGACTTCATTGAATCGATCGCGGTCGTCAAATGCCTTGAATTGGTTCTTGCAGAATTCTTCATTGAGCCTATTGCCGGAAACACCCTCGACAGTGGTCTCGGGCATATCGATCTTCTTGCCGTCTTGGACGAAGAATTGGTAGATTTCGCTCTCCTTGAACTGGGTGACGACGCTATGAAGGCCAATTCAGTATTTCAACTTTTCTTCCTTGGACCCTAGTAAGAGGGCTTGGGATGGCGACAAACTTACGTGAAGACTTTGGAGGTGTCGACAGTCTTGCCCTTGCCGTAGAAGTCCTGGACGCCCATGCGATAAGGGTTGAAATCGCAACCGTTGGGGTCGCAATCACCGTTGAACCGCTCCTCGGAGTAGGTACCACCACAGCCGGTATCCGTACAGACGTGGTACTCATTGGTCTCACAAGGGTGAGGTGTCACGGCCGAAGAATGGGCATTGGATTCTAGAATGTAAGGGATCATCGTCAGCCAAGAGTTGCCAAGAGCATTCGCCATGAAGCCAAGACATTGGCATCACGGAGAAGAATATTGCCAAGGCCTCACAGGGCTGGATAGCCGCAATGCTGTGAAACGTAAACTGGCTTGAACGACAGTTCAAGACTTACCCCAGACATCCATCTCGGCGCAGCAGCCTCCCATGGCACCAACGCCAGCGTTGGCGTCATTAGATGAGGGCTCCCATCCCTCAACGTTGGCCTATGTGTCCAGTGGTGTTAACACGACCACAATTGAACGAGAGGGTGATGCGATAAATTTCCACCACTTACCTTTCCACCGACGAACTTGAGATCACGAGCACATTGGGCATCGCAGTAACCGGTACCGTACTTGGCACCGGCCTTGTTGGTAGGGTATCTGGCCTTACCACCGTCCTCGTCCATCATGACGAAGTAGAGAGCACCATTGAGACCACACTCGAGGGTGGAAAGGTCAACGTCGAAGGTGAACTCGTTGTCCATGAGCTTGAACATCTGGTACTTCTCGGCGCCATTCATGAGGTACATTCGAGAACCTAAGGGGGAGTAACTGTTAGGATAAGTGGTGGGGACTAGACAAGTGAATGGAGACATACCGATGTTTTTACCATACTCATGCTCAGTGACGAACTGAAGACTGAGGGAGTCACCACTGGCCTTGACACCATATGTCTTGCTGTAGTCGGCACCCTCAAGGACGCAGTTGGATGTGCAGTCCGACTCGCCGCTGCAGTTGGAGGTCCACTCATTACCGTCATAGCAGTTCTCGTAGCCACCTTCGACATGGACCCAACGCCAGTTGGAGTCAATGACGACCTCACCGTTGACAGTCTCGCAGCTTCCAGCACCACTGCATCGCTTCCACGTCATCTTGGGGTGGGTCTCGCTCTGCTCCGTGCCCACGCCTTGGGCAGCGGCAGCGGCGAGAAGGGACGCGAATACAAGCTGGCCGTACATGGTGATTGGACCGTGAGTGGCAAATGTGTTACTTTGGAACAAGGGTGTGGCTAAGATCAAGGGTGTGATGGGGACTTGCTCCAAGCTAGGCTCGTATACTAGTCTAGAGTCGGCGAGACGTGTATGTTGGTGGCACACAACTGAGCTTTATATACAGGCAATGACGGAGTAGTTCGGTCCTCCACCTCCTCCACCTCCTCCACCTCCTCCATCAACTCATCAATATCTCCTCTCCCCCCAAATCCAAGGGCGGAGTCCTTGGAAGCCCAAATAGAAAGGGAAAATGAAAGCTTGAAACGCGATAGTAATCCGACAGAAATTAAGAAGCGGGGTCGAGAATGAATCGGCATTTCCTAAGATCATGGAGTTACACTAAATATCGAGTAGATCCTCATGTATGGTGCGCGTGGTTCCATCTACGAGGGGCAGCTGGGCTGTGTGTGCATATGTGTGCTTCGAAAAGAGGTGGTCCGATGTATCGCTACGAAGACTCCTGTCTGTCCTTGGTATTCAATAACGTATCCTTGAATGATCACGAACTTAACATAATATTGAATGGCACCCTATATATCAAAACTTGCAGATTGAAAATATTCAGGGGTGAGAGGAGATGGAGCAGGGTCATGGGATGTTTCACTACCCACGACTTCCGAACACCGATGTATATGTCTCGGTCACTGAACAGAATCGATACACCTAAGCTGAGGGTGGGCAGCATCAATATCTGGGATGATCGGTGTCCAGCACTCCAAATTCCGGAGATGGGACACGATTGGTTGCCGGGTATTGCCGTGAATATTATGGAGGGTGGTACGGAGTGTTGCGTGGACAATCAGAATCCATAAAACCACAGAATGCTTTGAATGGGAAAAGGATGCTTCCTATCCCCGCATTCTCGTCGACGACGCCCCCGAAAGTATGGTCGCATTAGCCGAAGATTCGCTCAGGGGGATTCGCCCCGACAAAGTCGTGCCAGTGCGCTCCACAGCCGAGATCCCTGCGGACTGGGGACAAGCTCGGCGAGACTGGGAGGTACCAGCGTGGCGATGCATTTCCCTTCTGGGCGGAGCTGCCGGCTCCGAAGATTGCCCCACAGTTGACGACGTGAGTAGAGCGGGTCGAGCCACCATGGGTGGTCTTCTTTGGAAGCGTCGAACGCTTACCGGTGCGCGTATGGAGGGAAATTGGAGATACGCGTGTTCCCCTCAGGTGTAAGCATCAGGAGTCGAATCTATTTTGCGAATAGGGCCGTAATTTAACAACCTTTTCTTTTGTTTGATTGTTTTGGGTAGCACTGTTCCATGAGTAGTGTTTCTGGTCTGCGTGGTTAAGCTATTGGCCCTGTAACTGCATGCATTTTGATGAGATGGCCTCCTTATTGAATCTGTTATAACGTGGGGAAAGTAAAGAACACACTGACTCCATAACTCCCCTCAAGAGGGCAGCCCATGTTCGGCATTCTGCCTCTTGATGGAGGTGTGAGAGCTCGCAATTGCCTACAGAGGAAGCAAAGAATATTCGCAGTCCTCTCTTTCGCAATTTCCGTTCTGCGATGCCATTTTTACAAGAGTGGGGATGTTGCATTGCTCTCCCATCTTGGAGAAAATTGAAGGGTGACTTCTAGATCGACTGGAGGCATTTTGGTTCGCAAGCTAGCTCATGGGATTGCCTGGGCTCCGCTCTTTGGTACAATTCGATTTGGGGGGTGGGGGGTCGTCCGAACCCTGAGCTCTTATAATAGACAAAGGATTCACGGTTGGTTGTACAGCATCTTCTATGATATCATTCGCTGTGTCCTACATATATCAGTCAAAACTCAATTGATCTGAACCCTCTCGAACTCCCTCACAGACAGCGTAGAATCTGCAGGTGTGTTTACTCGTGGCTACACGGTCCGGTGAAAACGCATGATCATCAATGATGATTTACTTGGAGTCATCGCGTCGGGCCGCTGAGCCTGAGGAATGGGGTCGGGGGTAGCGTCACATAAATGCAAGGGTCCGAAGGAAGTGCCGAGGAGAGGGGAGGGGGAAGGGGAAGGGGAAGGGGGTCTATGCAGAGCGGAGATTGGAGAGAAAGCGTGAGGAACTGGATGGAAGCAGTACACTGGGTGGGATGAATTGACCGTGAAACAAAGATACAGTGACAAGGTAACATGCACCCACCATCAGCAATGTCAAGGCTGGATCCCACATGCAACCAACCAGACGACACAGCTTGAAGCCAAGCTCTGTGCAGTCACCTTGGGTTCATCGAAGATGCAGGTACCCATTCCCCTAATCATCAGCCCCAACCTGATGTATATGGTACCGCGCTCATCTCCAAGGAGGTCATGCCATCATGCCATCTTGATGGCGTGCGTCAGCTATATGCAGCCTGGTAACAGAAGGGTTAAAGAGGAAAGCTCTTCGTCGTTGGGGTCGATATTCTTCGCTTCTTCATTTTTATACTAAGTGTCAACGATTCTACCATCGAGAAGAGCAAAGAGTAAGTCATAATCTCATGAGTCGCTTCAGTACATAGGAAAGTGTTTCCAAAAAGCCTCCCACTATTCAGTCTAACCCACCTCGCTAGTTAGTTTATCATCATAATCCCGTAACACTTTCCAAAAAAAAAAAGCGACCAAAGTCTTTCAATCTGCCCAAATACACAAGGAAAAAGCACAACATGGGGAGGGTATCACAAGCGCACGCCGAAATCATAAAAGGGGGACGAGTCATTACATGATACAAAGAACGGGGCATGGGAAGATCCGCGCCGGTCTCTCAGCAAATCACGTACTCTTCCATCTCCTTCCGTCCTTTCTTCCACTCCTCAATGGCCTCACCATTCATGTACCCGTCGACATAGACATCTCCGACGAACCGATACTCTCCATGGCCTTCGGGCCGCAGAATCACGGGTGAGTAGCACCCCTGAGGAACGACGATGATATCTCCGGGAGCCATGAAGCCGGTTCCCATGCCTACAAGGCTGTCATTTTGAGTGACGCACAGGCACCTACCCATCATGCGACCGCCACACGTATCCTTCACAATGCGTTTCTGCGAGACGAGAGATATTTCCTGGGCCGAGGTTGCGTACGTCGTGAGCTCCCGATCCAGAGTCAGAAAAGGTAACCTTTCTCGAATCATCGACGCAAACGCCTGGAAGCAGATACGAGACCATTTCCGGGCATCCTTGAGCTGCGGCGGCAACTGGGCAACGCATAAAGTTCGACAGAAGACCTCGCGGAGATCGGCGTGTTCCTCCTTGCTCTGCGGCTCGCGATCGCCCATGAGGAGGGCTCGCCAGTGCAAGAAGGCCATGAGATGGTCATCTACAGAGCACAATGTTCCGACGGCAACGCCACGGGTCTTGACGACGTCGAGAAACACGGCCGATATGCAAAGCTTGGATCTCCGCTCCTTGAACGACCACTTTGCCTTTGTCGAACCTGATGCCTTGAAGTCATAGTTTAGCCCAAGAGATGTAGTTTGCGGTATGTGCGACCAATCCGGGGTCCAGCTGGGGAGGTTATGCGGGCTAGAATGGGAAGGAAAGTGGATAGACTCGCAGATCACATCCAGACGCTCAGTCGTCGTTACCAGGTAGTCTACCACATTGATGTACACATCCCTAACGGTCAAGTTGTAGTCGGGTTTGAAGTTCTCCCGCACCTCTTCGGGCAAGAGACCCAGGATACCAAATACCTTGTCATGGGGAACGGAAGCCTGCTTGCTCCTGCAGGCGCGGAGGATCTCCAAGATGGAACTGTCACCAAAGGATAGCAGCGCTGAGACATCCGGGAGGCTACCTGGGCCGTGGCGGACAAGCACATCGACATAGGGTACTCGACTTCGAGTCATGGACTGTGGCGAGTTGTCGAACGGCGTCGAGTGGAAAGTCTGAGCCAGGTCATCCTTGTGCCTCAAGAAGACCTTACTCGCCGTCCTATAAACGTTCCACGGGAGGCGAGTGGGGCCACAGTAGACCTCAACATTGGTGGCGTTGAAGATTTCTTGCACCACCCAGAGCCGGGACCAATATTCCCGCTCAAACACGCGGACCACGGCATCGAACTCGCGTCTTCGAGCCTTGGAGTTGATGAGCTCCTTTATGTGGGCGGGCGATTCATCGCGGCGGTGCGCAATGTGACTCAGGAGCCGCATGGCGAGACCGCTCTCCTCCGCCTCGGGTCCCAGCCAGACAGATACCGACTGTGCCTTGGAGAAGATATCCTTCATCAATTGGACCTGGACGGTCCGCTCCTCGCCATTGCTCTGGTCGATGCAGAGAGCGTCGGCCCACGCCGTCACGACACCGTTCCTGCGGCGTAAGGCTTTCAGCGCCCCATAAAGACTAGTCGTGATGGGCTTGGCGATGCCATCAACCTGTATGTTCTGCGTGTGGCCCGAGTCCCCCCACGCATACGATATGGCAATGTACTTGGGTGCGTTGTCGAGCGGGACTTGGATAAGCTCACACCTCAGGGCCGACATCCTCTCGGGCAGGATTCGAACCAGTCGAATCTGCCGATATTCCAACGCTTTGTAGACGAGCGGCTTATCAGTTGGTGCGGTACGTGGCGGCGCCACGGACTCCACTCCGGCCGTGGAGCTTTCTGCAGTCTCGGACTCGGCGATACGGCTCGGGTTGGGTGGACGCAAGATTTCTGGGTATATTGGCGTCGAATACGACATTCTATGCATGTCTTTCGGACCGAACGGGGCCCCGAAGGGCATGCGATCACGCGCATACGGATCGGCGGCCCAATCAAGGGGTGCGGAGTACATCGAGCTGCTGGGGGCTACCGACGCGGAGCGGATATGCACTCTGGGGGGTTCGAACCAGCCAGGGGCCGGCGTAGGAGGAATCGGTTCGGAGTAGGGAAAGGGAGGGCGCCCGAAGCCAGGACCGTGGGTCAGCGGCTGGCTATTGGGAGGGAGCGACGGATTGATGGAGCGAGCGGGGACATTTCGGTGGTAGACCGACTCATCGTCAGAATGGTAGCCATTCTGATGATGTGGCCGGAAGGGATTGTCCTGCTGCTCGGGTGGGTCGTTGGGAGGCCACGCGTAGGACGCCATTCAAATTGCTGTGTTTGTCTTTTAGCTGCGATGGTGGGGGTGAATTATTCCCTCGACTCGACGAAGGACACGCTATCGAGGACGGGGACAGAAAAGAGTCCCTCTGGTCGTATAAAAAAAAAAGCAGCTAAGTTGGATTGCTGAGCTGGCGAAGGAAAGTTTTCACTTGCGTGGTTGGAGAAGCTGCAAGGACAGGAGAGCGGCCATTTAGAGACCAGGTGGTCGACTGTTTCTGCACCTCATCTCTTCGTAGGGCACGAATTTCCGAGGGCATCAACGCCAAGAAGTTTTTCACGATAAGTGCTTAGTCACGAAACGGGAAGGTGCGGGATTGGCCCATTCCCGCCCTGTTCGTCTCACATTGTCGACGTTGATAGGCCGCTCTGGGCATGGCATGTTCACCAGCCTGACACCTCCCTTTTCATGCTGGGGCATGGATCGATGGTAATTTGAGGCGGGCACGACCAATTACGGCCAGAGGGAGGTTTTCGGTGATCTTTTTCCCCGCACCCTTTGCAGCCTGGGTCAATTAGGGGAAGGGACATTGGGTGTGCTTCCTCGCGTATCTGGGGCCGTGGAGACCAAGGATTTGCGCTAGCGAGATAAATCTATCAGTGTTTTATGTTCTGCTCAGCTCTGTTATTCCCAAAATCATCGACGAACCGAAGAGGACATGGGCTACACGGGGAACACTCGTACCAGGGCTTCGAATGTCGGATTGAGATGTGCTATTCGGGGCTTGGTCACATACAGCCCAGCCCGATAAGTGGACTCATTGTCCTCCAAAGTCGACGACTATGCCTTGTTCTCTCTCTTCTCCCCATTCATTCGTACGATTCGAACGAAGTCCTCGACTGGAAATGGAATCTGCTCTGAGCACGGGCCTGGAGGACAACCTTGGTCTGGCCTGGGTCACAAGCTCCCTTCTCCCACGTGGCTAAGTCGCATGAATGCTTGCTTGAAGCATGGACAGGACAGACAGAGAGACGCCATTCGCTGGCAGGTGCCTACGATGTCGTTAGCACCTGTCAGTAGCATGGACTGTCCTTCGTGGAGGAGGAAATGAAGCAATAATTCTCAGGGGTATCGTATCACTGGGAACGCGGACTTGACAAATGGTTGCCTTCTAGACGATGAGGTTCAGATCCTCCTTCACTTGGTTCCTTGATCATAGCTCTGTTCAATTCCGCTCACGGCTTCTCTTTTTCCTTCCGAATTAGACTGCCGGGTAGCGGATGCCAAAGATCATCTGCAGTGATGATGCTCCAAGCTGCTATCACAATTTGAAACTGAGCTGATGATCGGATTTTTACTGCATCAATCATGGCCTCACGATCGTCATACTTCCTTCGTAGAGGGGGAAACAGCACATAACTGCCTTTCTCGTTATGGCGACAACCTTCTTCGGCTTCCGAATATATCTCGCAGAGATGTTCCAGGAGCAATGTATCAAGGAGAGACTTGGACCTTCCAGATCTACCGTTTCGCACTGCTCACCAGACTCGCAAAACTCCAAGTTACTGAGATTGTCTACATTGATGGATTTCGCCCTACGCATAAAATAGCTCGTCTCTCCCAAAGGTAGGTATAAGCGGACCTTTTACCTGTGTACTGTGTGTACTGTGTGCCGTCTACATTTCTAACTGAAAAGTAGCCGTTTTTTTTTTCAAGTTTCTATCCTCTTCCTCGTTCCCCCTTGCCTGGCAATCGGAATGCCGTCGTTTCTGGGAAGATATTCTTATGCCTAAGATGACAGCTAGACCTAGACAATTCTAACCGTGAGTCATGCGCAAGAAAGTTAACCTTCTTGTTCAAAGGTTGACAACATTGTCCGTGAGATGATGGAGCTAACCGGATAAATTCCGTATGGTTCCCCTTATTGGATGGGCTATGCCGGCCGGTTGGGTTAGTGGCACAGCCAAGGGAGAGGTTACATTGATGAAGTGGATTCCCACCCCGCTCCTGCCCGGGTCCGTCTCCCGGTTCCCGGAGATCGTGGACACTGTCTTGCAAAGACGGTGCGGGGTTCGGCGCATCCCCTCAATTCGTTTACTCTTAGTCTTCCGCCAGTACAAAACAAGCTGGTTGCCCAAGTGTCCATCTTGAAGGATCCGGGACTCTCCAATTCTTCCTTGACTCTTCGTTGTTAGAACACAACCCTACGCTTGCAACTCAGAATGCCTCTAGTGAGAAACCCCATCCTCCCTGGGTTCAACCCTGATCCATCCATCCTGCGGGTTGGTGATGACTACTACATTGCCACCTCAACCTTTGAGTGGTACCCCGGAGTGCAGATCCATCACTCAAAGGACCTCGCAAACTGGGAACTCGTGACGAGACCCTTGAATCGACAGAGCCAGCTAGATATGCGGGGAAACCCTGATAGCTGTGGTATATGGGCTCCCTGTCTATCGCACGACGGAGATAAGTTTTGGCTAGTTTACACGGATGTCAAGAGAAAGGATGGCTCATTCAAGGATACTCCTAATTACATCACGACTGCGAGTTCGATTGAGGGACCGTGGTCGGATCCCATTTATGTGAACTCATCCGGATTTGATCCTTCCCTCTTCCACGATGATGACGGCCGGAAGTGGTTCGTGAATATGCTATGGGATCACCGTGCTCGCCCAAGGGTCTTTGCCGGAATTGTCCTCCAGGAATTCGATCCCACCACGGGAAAGCTTGTCGGACCGAGGAAGAACATCTTCAAGGGAACAGAGTTGGACCTTGTCGAGGGCCCGCATCTTTATAAACGAAACGGCTGGTACTATCTCCTTACCGCGGAGGGAGGTACTGCATATGAACATGCGTGTACACTTGCCCGTTCCCGCGATATATGGGGACCTTACGAAACCCACCCGCAAAAGTACATCGTCACATCAAAGGACTCACCCTGGGCGGCGTTGCAGCGAGCAGGGCACGGAGATTTCGTCGACACACCGGATGGCAAGACATACCTCGTCCACTTGTCCGGCCGACCCATCACTCAGAAGCGAAGGTGTGTTCTGGGACGCGAGACGGCTATTCAGGAGGCGTACTGGGGGGATGACGACTGGCTCTATGTCAAGAATGGACCAGTGCCATCCCTCTATGTCGACCTACCTGGACAGCGAGATGAGGCCAAATACTGGGCGGAGATGAAGTACACCTTCGAAAATGGACTGCACAAGGATTTCCAATGGCTTCGAACTCCTGAGACGGACCGCATTTTCCGACTTGATGATGGAAAGCTCACCCTGATCGGGAGGGAATCCCCCGGCTCGTGGTTTGAGCAGGCGCTTGTTGCACGCCGCCAAACACACTTCTCCTACGATGCCGAGACGATCATTGACTTCAGTCCCACCGACGAAAGGCAATTCGCCGGTCTCACAGCCTACTACAGCCGCTATAACTTCTTTTACCTCACGGTGACAGCCCACTCTGATGGTCAGAGGGAACTTCTCCTCCAGAGTTCCGAGTGCTCGTGGCCCAACGGCAACCTCACAAAGCCGTTCCCGGAGGCAGTACAAATCCCCAACGAAGGCAAAGTGAAGTTGGCTGTGATGATCCGCAGCGACGAACTTCAGTTTTACTACGCGCTCGAAGGAGGGGAGCTTAAGAAGATTGGGCCGGTTTATGATGCTTCGATTATTTCTGACGAGTGTGGAGGACACCAAGCGCATGGCAGTTTTACGGGTGCGTTCGTTGGAGTTGCGTGTTCGGATTTGAATGGGACTGCTATAGAGGCTAAGTTTGACTACTTCGTCTATCGACCAGTAGAGCACGAGAGCGATCGATACGACATCAAATGAGGGAGGATGTTCACCACGCCAAGAAGGACAACGGAAGCGATTTGTTAGGAGATGAATTGTTAGGATATCTAGCTGGCACGGAGACTCGTTACTATGGTATAAAAATGGATCAGCGAGCTCAGCGACCGTCCATTCGGTGTTGTAGACATCTATGTGAAATGACGTTTTATGAGTCCAATGCTTGTTTGTGAAGAATAGATCGCAGACCGAAGATGCAAAAGTCAAAATGCAGGTGGTTTATAGTGGGCGAGTTCATAGGGCATTTAGCAAGACGAAGAAAGAAACCAATCCTCCAACAAGCATACTGCTGATGCCCGAAGTCGCCGCGCCAGAATCACCAGAGCCTGAGGTTCCATTTGTGCTTGAGCCACCAGTACTGCCCGTGCCACCTGTACTATCACCGCCGCTGCCACTGCTTGCAATAGCAGTCTCGTTACAGAGCACGAAGCCGTTCCGAGTAGGAGCGTTAGTATGGGTCATGGCGCCGGCATAGACGCATGATTGCTGGTAGTTGCGGTCCACGACAACTCGATCAGCCCCGGGCGATTCTGGGAACCTGGAGTTAGCCTGCGTTGATCATCCCTTGGTGCTAAAGACCCGTTGGAGGAGGGAAAATAAAATGATAGGATCATCGCGAGCTTTGTGTGAAATGGCATGAAACGGTGACTTACGTCCAGTGTAGTTGCCGGAACTTAGAATGGGGAACTCCTCATAGGGTCCAGAAGTGGCAAATTCGAGGCCCTCTCGGTTGTTGAATCGATGGGGGTACCTGTTGGTGCCGAGCTGCTGGTTCGTGGCAATCAGCCTACAGGCTTCATCAACGGCCTCGTTGACCTGCTTCTGAGTATATTTATTGGTACCACATGTAACGGACTCGATGCTGGAGGTACCCTGGGCAGCAGAGAGGCCCAGAAGGGAGAGAACAACGGATATTTTGAGAATGTTCATTGTTGCGGGCTTCGGGTAGGATTGATGGCTGAAGATGGTTTAGCGGAGCGAGCGATGAGGCGCGTACATTTGCAACCCTCGAAAATGAGCTGAAGCCTGAACGTGAGTTGAGCTGGGCGAGCTGAATATTTTATGAAGTAAACTTACGAAGTACCTGTCCCGATTACTCATCATTTGAGGCAGCCGACCAGGAGTGGAAGTAGAACCGAGGATGAGCCGGGGAACAAAGGTACCTTCACAAGGACAACATTGGAAAACGACCGCGCTCGTCTTGCGCTTGGCTGAGGATTGCTTCCCTCGGATTGGAAGAGAAGACCCGAAAGAAATCAGACTTATCCTCCAAAGCATGCCATATGAACGAAGTCGCCGCGTTATAGGGCCTGCGCGGCTGATTAGGGTCCGCGAGGATAGCCTGTGTTTCAGACTACCACATTTCAGGTTCCTCCTCGTTTGACTGGAGTTGATAGTTCTGTAACGCCGTCATGATCGTGTCAGTTCTGCTCATGCTGCCTAGCTTCAAATCGGTGCTCGGGGCAGGCTGCTGGTTATGTCGCATGGGTTAGCTTGACATTGAATGAAATCCCATCCTGGACGCTAGAACAAGGAAGAAAAAACTACGAATGACTTAAGGACGCCATCACCTCATGTAGAAGCAAAAGAGTTGGACAAGATAAGCAGCATCAACCAGAAATTACACGAGGACATCAAACAACACGGCAGTATATATGGCGGAATCCCTGCCGACCCCAGGGAGCTGTAATCCAAATAGTGGAGAGCTACTCTCCGTTAAGTCGAAGGAAACAACTAATCGGGAAGTTAACTACTTCCGCAAAAAGAGGAAGTCCCTTTTTTCCCCCTCACATTATGCCGTTCATGGCATTGACGGTTGTGAACCCCAACTGGAACTTATTCGCGGATCCTTCTAATCGAATTTCTGCGGGGGGACTCGCTATTAGAAACTATCGTTTTACGACACTTCAACAGGTGCTCGGCCTCCTCGATGAAGGCTGAAGTGTTGGTTAACACAAAATTACGTCAATGGACAAGTAACCACTGCGACTCTGGGTTGGGCTCCGGGAACGTATGAAACGTGATTATACACGGAATCAATTCAGATCTACCTTTACCCTTCCTTCGTCTAGAACAAGTCTTGCCTAATATGCTACACGAATGTCCGCACTCGTAGAGGCTAGCCGGGGTTGACTCTCTTAATCGCGAAGCGAGCGCTAAGAGTCAAAAACGTTTCACCCAACTGAAACTGGAGGATGTTCCACAACCGAATTAGGCCATTAATAAGGGCCTCCTTCGGTGTAATCGAGTAGCCTGTAGCCCACCACAATGCAAAGAAACTCCAGACTAAATAAGTCCTCCGTGCGCCCGGACGCATACTCGCTGCCATCCAGTTTACGGCGTGAGACAGAAATAGGACTGTCTAAACTATAACTGTAAAAGCTGAAGCAGAGTGTGTAGAATAGCCCGGAAGTGCAGGGTACGCAGTAACAGTTACTATTTGCCGGGTAAAGGAGAAGATCGAAGAGGAAACTGCTGTCACAAAGGCGGCGGTTATGGCGTCAAGATGACGAGAAAGAACACAATCTTACTGTCCCATGGAGTTACGACAATTGCACTGCCATCTAGTTGAGCCTGGGTTGATGATGCTGTCTTCCCTAAGAGTTAGTAAAAGGACGGAGTTAGGTTACGATAGGTTGGATCACTTCCTACCCCCATTGACTCTAACATTTTGCTGCTCTGCGAAGTGAAGGGGAGAGGTGATTCAAAGGAGTTCACCGTTTCATTCATGAGCAAAGGACGAAGTTGGTTGGGGGTATAGTGTATCTTGGCTGTAAATTCACAATGATGGAGAGAGTGGCAGGTTCAAAGCCCCTCCCAAAATATCATAGTTACCGTTTATATAACCCGTTGGGCCATCACTAAGTCAGACACAAACCCAGGGAGCTGTAGAGCTAACCTGAGAGCGGTTCGCATTTGGTCTGAGACAAATTATATTCGCCGCGCCACATTCTTTCCATGGATATGTTGATCCTGGCATGACGTGACAAACAAAGCCATGGAGTTGGCCTATAAAATCCAATCCTAAATCAAAAGGTACAAGGACTCGTAAATCATGAGCTTAAAAAAAGACAGGAACAAAGGAGACAGGAATGAGCCCAACGTCCTCGGGGCATCGTCATTCCTTCTACTGCCGGGGCCCTGCGGAGCCAAACAGTGTCGAGAAATTACCCCTTCGAATGCGGAGTGGCCAAGCATGGCGGCCTTTCAAGAGACCGCCCATTGCGAAGCCGTCTTTGAAACAATCGCTGTAGAAACTCCAAAAAGACCTGCCCAGGCCCTTGCAGCGGGTAGATTTGTAGGGAGATGCTGAAAGGATTAATAAAATGCATTTCCGGATGGATTCTCGAGTATGTAGAAGATGAATGGGAAGGAGAAGAGGGATGAGCAAGACTGGAGTGTTTTCTTCGCCCCACATGTCACCACGGACGACATTTATCGCTTGCTCCTTGATTCTGATACCTAATATATAATTCCGGGCTAGTTCCATTCCCGTTGCTGCTGCTGCCCAGACGGATCGACCATCGCATCACCCCACACCGGACCTTGCGCACTCGATAGATTAGCAGAAAACTTTACTATCTGCTGAAGAATCTAGTGTTATACTTCATATAATGGACGGCGAAGTAGCAGCCGTGATGAGTGCAGGTGAGGAGGTGGTAGAGTGTCTCTGCGGTCTTAATACATCGGGCGAGAAGCCATTGGCGGAAATCGCGGCAGCCTTCTCGAAATATGTTACAGCAGCTTATTTCGATGTCCGCGGCCGCCTCCAGACTGTCTGGCTGGCCTTCTTCGACATCGTAGGAGAGACACCTCCAGAGGATCAACAAAGGCTGGTGGACTTTGTCCTTGAGCTACGAAAGACGACAGCCGAGAACTTCTCGGGGCATGCTATTTTCCATGAAATTGATGGGCACTTATGGCATGACCTCCCCGGATTGACGAGGGCTGCTCGTGATTATTGGAACTTCAGTAATGTGCCCCCTTTCACAATTATCCACCGTTGAATTCACAGTTGCTCACTAGATGGATTGATGTGTTGCATATATGTACGCAACCATCTAGGTGGGCCATTTATGGTGCACTGGCTAGACTACTGACAAGGAAGTGTCAAAATCCACAGACATTCGTGACTCAAAGGTTATTATAGACGAGAAGACGGCTTTTCACAACGTGTCTGCATTCTTGGCCCGCCTCACCAACTTCGCTGTTGACCCTGGCGATCCCAGAGACCCACTCAACTACTCCTCCTTTGGCCTGTGCGCTCTGCTAGAGACATTCGAGGAAACGGAAACCCATGGTGACGATGACTATGCCGCCATCAGGAGCGCGTCTATGTGGATTCAGTACTCTGGGGATTCTTTGAAGGAATTGGCATTGAGAGAGCAAGACAAAATGGAGGCCAGGGCTGGCATTCCGAAGGAGCTTAGGGACAAACTATGGAAGGGCTTGGTGCAGGAGAAATGGGAGGTTTGGAAAGCAGGCTTTGAGGAGGTGGAAGACTCAGTCGCGGAGGCGAAGATTGCGGCTCAGATCATGCGGGAGCTTTAAACTGCAACAACAACGGGAGAGAGTGTGTGTTGGATGGTGAGGGATGAGACGAGGCAATAACCGGGGATACTGATAATTGATTCCTGATTCTTCACATTTATTAACACATTGATCGCATTTCCTGGCGACACTGGCGTTTGCCCTTTGCCGTGATGCCCTTGAAAAGGAGGTGAGATGAGAGTGGTTGGCATTAAATTTACTGTAAGTAGCTTTATATATTAACCACCGCGCTCAGCTATCTTTAAAGAAGATCATGGAAACAGTGAATAAACTACTAGTAGGAAGGCATCCATGTGGTTTTAGTCCTGCGGCGATACTCGAAGAAGTCGGTAAGAAAGTAAAAGAAAATGCGGGCCAGGTCTTTGCCTGTGCTCATTCCATTGTGGTGATTCTAGTCACCCCTTTCACGTTCACCGCCAACAGCATGACGAGGGCGGCAGAGCGCCTGCACCGCTCCCCCTTCCTAGCCCCGGCGCACTGGACTCAGTGCTAGTGACATGCCCCTAAGCGTCAAGCGTGAGAGCTCGCTTGGTTTGGCGCGAGAAGCCAAATATCCCACTTCTTGTCCCTCGCCAGTGGGCGTGGAAGGGTGGCGATACTACCAACCACGAATAGAGCTCCGACTTGGTTATAACCACGTACATACGGTGCTCATCCGTAACAAACAGAGGACCGGTCTCGGCTGTGGCAACAAGGACGAAGGTCACAACCATGCCCTCACGACCTTGGAATGAGTCGGTATTAGTATTTACGACGACTTTCCGACATACTGGGCCGTCGTGGCGGCAAAGGTATTCTGGAGACTGTCGATGCTCGAAGTGTACGGTGTGATCACCACAACATCGGACCCTTCGAGATCAATGGTGGCTGACGGCAGAGACTCTACGATGGTAACAGGCGCTGCGTTCTGGATTAGGTTATACCTGGATCCCCCATCCTCTTCCCGAAGACACTTCGAGTTAGGGCAATGGAAGAAAACGGGCAGGATCTCGTTGTCCGGGTATCCAGGTGCCTTGCATTGCGTCCCGACCCATGTCCCGACCTTCTGGCACAGCGGATTGGCGATGGCACTGGCCTCAACGGCGTATTTGGAGTTTTCCACATCAGAGTAGATGACTTCGCCCGCCGGGTTAAAGCCTCCCTGTACGATGCGGAACTGCACGTTGAGCATAAGACAAGGCCAGCCAGTGCGCCTCACATGTTCTCGCTGTAAGACTCTCGCCACGTCCGAGAAGGCGTTGGCGCATCGGCCGTCACGCATTTCTTTATGCGTCATCACAGTCGGTGGCAGTTAGCTAGGGTCCCCAGCCGTCGCACAAGGACCGCGCCAGCGGCCCCAGACGAGGATGGCGTCGGCTTGCAACATCACGCCCGCCTCAAGTACAACACTCTTGGCAATCTTGGCATTGAACTCGGCGTACGGGTACTGGCTTAAGGTATGTGATGAAATGCTGACCGCATCCGCCATCATGGTGATGTTGCGGATCGGGCCTTTACGAGCTCAAACGGCGTGACCTCGAGGGCGGGGTGTGGGGTGCACGATTCGGTCTCGTGGAATCGGATCTCATGGGCGATCCACTTTCGGAATCCGTCGAGTTTGCGACAGTTGAGGATTTACTCTGTTAGGTCATGCAGCTGCAGGGCCTCAGCAGGCACCAGGCGGAAATCGTGGGCTCCCACTACCTTCAGTAGCCATTCTCAGGGAGACAGGCTCAGCGGCCACGTCCCCTGTGCACTTGGTGCACTCCCAGAACAGACACATTTCATCATAGGGAAACGATTGGATGGTGAATGCCTTGGTGTCAGTCTGGATGGCATACTCTCGGACGGCGACCGGAGCACCCGAGTGGGTTTCATTGGCAAGCACGACGCCAAGACGATACAGGCGCTCAGCGAAATTAGTTGTCGCGACGTTGGTCGGGGTGCTGCACATGATCTTGCTAATAGGGCACCATATAAAGTTGCGCAACGACAGCTGGAAGCTGAGTCTTTCCGGAACCCGCAAACCCAAGGATGGCGATTATGCCGGGTCTGGTGACTACCAGATACTTCTCGAACCGCGCCCAAGCGGCGTCATCGCCCACCTGCAAGATGATCGACCCCTTGAGGCGGCAGTCGAGGTGGTCGAACAAACCAACGCCAGGCGGCATCGGCACGTCGCGATTGATGCACAGTTTTTTCAAGGAGGAGATGGCCTCCACACCGTCTGCACCCTTATCTCCGCTGGCCACTGCCTGCGAGGCATGGTCGCGCAATAGTGTTGAGAATCCCCATATCGCATTCTGGGAGATGGGCCGGTTGGTTTTCTGGCGCCTCGCTGTCCTGGAGTTTCTTCTCCAACGATATCCAATAAGCAAGAAGCTCTGGTTTCGTAGGAACCTCCATATTGTGTTTGATCCTTCTCGCGGTCAAATACCATTTTTTGTTTACTGAGGCACTCTGCCGAGACATTCTTGGATCAGGTGTCAATCATCTCGCGGATGAAGTGATGATCCCGTTGTTCGAACAAACTGAGAGGAATACCTTCAACCTCTAACGGAGGCATCCCTCGGCCTTTAGTTCAGTACGAAGGTCGGCGTCCATGGTTCCAATGGTTGGTTCTCTGGCTTCATGGATAGCCTCAACCTTCAGGTAATGGGGACTCCTAATTCCTTCAGTCCCTGGAAACGTATCGAATGCGGGAGTGGGTAAATCTCGGTTGATAGGGATGAGGCCCGCCCGCTGGAGCCGGCTGACTTTGAGTACCAGATGACATTTCGTTTGTTTCCAATCCTCCGCTTAGGAATGAAAACGAAGACGCGAGGAGTTTGTGGGCATGGGGCAGGATGAGGGAATAGAGGGGAGGGAGAGAGGAAAGGGAAACGAGACGAAGGCTCGCAATTTATAGTCTACTTCTCTTTTGTATGCCCGAGGTAGTACCGGCTTGAAGAGGTAGGCTGGGGAGTGATTCAGGGAGTGGACATGAATCGTCGAGGTTCCTATTCAGAAAGTGCTGTCCTGCTCACAGGTCCCTGACGTCATTATTAATATACTATCTGGCGGATCCTCCTTCCTCGTACGAGGCCCAAGAAAACCCCTAATTAATTACTTACTTGATTAGCTATCCAGGGAAAGAAGAGTGAAGGAAGGAGGGAGAGGAACAGACATGTATTCACTTTTAAAATAATATCGGAGGTTAAGTGTTCCTTCCTTCAGCTTCAATATTAAACTAGATCGAGACAATGAGGAAGGCACAGTTTGAGGGTTACACCACAGCTCTACAGAGGTGATCATTGGATAATCTGCTCTTCTCATAGGACCGAAGAGGTTCATGGGCGTTGGGGGCGTTATTAGCCGTAAGATCTGGTACATGGTGACACACATATTGGCACGGAAGTCCAAGGCCTTAGAGGGATCTGGTAGCTCCTCCTCCCAGGTGTGCCGTTCGGGAACATCCCAAATTAAATTATTGACATGAATTGCTTAACTGACTATCTATCTCGAAAAGGGGGAATCGGAAGTAAGGAAAGAGAGACTTAAATCTTAGCTGTGATATCACATCAGAGGTGAGTTTTCCTTCTTACATCTTAAAATATCAAAAGGGATTCGAGACTGTGGCCAAGGAGATGAGTCTGGAGAGAAGTCGTCGTTATTAAGTGATTCTTATGCGCTGCTCCAGTCATAGCAACGATGTAAGTGTTACCTGCTTACCCCCTTGGATTTCTAGAGTAACTTGAGGAAGGCATTACTCCCTTGACAGCATTAAACATCGGCGTCAGTGTCTTGTAGATGCTAGGGCCCACTAAGTGAATTTAAACCTTGTTGTTTTACGCTTGAAGCGAGGTGTAATCCCAACCTAAACTCGCACAACTCGGTTCATCCATCCACAACAAAGACACAGGACTTAGCTAGCCTTCTTCGTTTGTATACATACCACCTACCCCATCATCCCTCCCCTCCTTCTTAAACCGCCTCTCCGCCGCCCTTCTAACCCCTGTTTCCAGGTGCCATGGCGTTTTACGATATTGATCCAGACAGCCTCGCGCTCATCGTCGAACTCCAGCGCTCCGAGATCCAGTCCCTCGCCAAGGGCAAGTATAAAGAAGGAACTGAGACTGACAATGAGCTCGCCATACAAATGTATGGAGAACAACTGGATATGTTGGACCAATCCCTCTCGGATCACAGACTGTGCCATGGCATTTCTCGCGCCATTGACCAGGACAGGGACGGCGGCACGGCCCACGTACAGAATGAAGACCAGGGCACTCGAGATCGGCAGTCTGCTTTGAGCCTTGACCACAGAGCTTTGAACACAGCTGTTATCCCCAAGGGAGTCACCAAAGCACTTTCCAGAGCTATTCTTAAACAAGTCCCTAAGCCGATTGCTGCAAACGCCGAGACACTATTTGGCTGGCTCAAAACCCGAATTTTGAGCCTCGGCCAAATTTGCACGGCGGCCGTAGCGAAGTCATCCTTGCCAGCCAAACTCGAACGACGGTGTGTATCCTGCGGCGACCTCGTCCAACCCTCGCGCTCTGTCCATTGCCCCTGCTCGCATGATTACTGCCATGATTGTATCATCGAATTGTTTAGCGCGGCTGCGAGTGATGAGTCCTTATTCCCCCCTCGTTGTTGCAAGCAAGCGATTCCTTTTGCATTGGGTCAAGAGTTTCTCCCCGCACCTCTGGTGAAGGAGTTCCGCCTCAAGGTAGTCGAGTATGCAACGCCAAACCGAACATATTGCCATAAACTCTTCTGCTCTGCATTTATACCTCCTCTCTCCATCGCCGCAGATATCGGCACATGTTTGGAGTGTAAGAGCGAAACTTGCACAATTTGCAAGGGTGAATCCCACAAGGACGATTGCCCGGAGGATCCCGCGATGAAGGAGGTTCTGCGCCTCGCCTCTGAAAACGGCTGGCAGCGTTGCCCCAGCTGCCGACGCATGGTAGAGCTGGAAATTGGCTGCTACCACATGAGTGAGATAATGTCTCTTCCCCTCTACAGTTGAAGTTCACATTGGCTGACATAAAAACAAGCATGTGTGTGCCACGAGGAATTCTGCTACGTTTGCGGCAGAACATGGAAGATATGCTCCTGCCCCAAATGGGACGAAGATCGATTACTTGCCAGAGCAGAAGTCATTGCCGACCAGGACGGCCCTCACAGGAATGAGGCTGAACATCAGCGGGCTGTGGCACGAGCGAGACGCAATCTCGTCGGGAACCACTTGTGCCACCATGGAGACTGGGACAGGAGAGACGGAGAGTTCCGATGCGAGCTATGTCTTGATTTGTTGCCTTTGTACATCTATCAGTGCATACAGTGTGGTATTTTGGCCTGTCGTCGATGCGCTTGAGCCACCTGTAATCCAGACATGCTACATTCCTTACGACGATCGAACGATATATGAGAATAGAAAGACCCGCTCTATTGTCGACAGATCTTGTCTAATTGGCGCTGACGAGGAGCTGCGCCCTGTTTCTCTAGATATGTTAAAGGCAGTTCGACATTATGGTATTGGCTGCCGGGGCCACTTCATTGATGTTCACCCAGAGGGCAATATCTTTTTTTTTGGGGGGGGGGTATTGATAGAGTCAGACGCCTAATTACAGCATGCAATGCGATGCTGGCTTTAAGTTTAACTAAGCTTGAAGACTTCTCGCCGTAATGTCCATGAACTATGGATTTTCACTATGATCGGTCGTCATGTGGTCAAATAGAATTAGATGCCAGCCGGGTGCTAGTGTCTAGATCATCGCAGTTTTCAACACATGAAGGATATCCTTTGGCGCTTGTAGAGAGTGGCCAAACTGAACTGCTATTGGAACGTTGGAAGGGGAGAGAATAGTGGGTTGAACATGCCATGAGGCTGATGGTTTTATTCAAATCGTAGAACTGTGTTTATACTAGTCTCGAAGGGAAACTCCAGCTGAGTTGTGCAGACCTTCCCTATTCCACTAATCAAAATTAACCGGCCTCGACGACCTCACAGGTTTTCGGACAGCTCGGGGTTATTAGGAAATTTTATTCAACGTAGCCGGGAGCATGTTGGTGAGGAGAACCGCGAGCCGCCTTTCGAAGTAGTCCCAGCCTGCCTCATGAATGCCAACAGCTCCCCCACCCACTGAAACCGCGCCCACTGCTTGGCCGAATGAACAGCCACAACAGCCATGGCATTGCGCCGTCCACTCACCCATGAGCGGACTAGACAAACTCCGCATGGCTCGCGTGCTCGGACCGAGCGAATCCACAGCGGATCACAATACTGGTCGCAATATAGGCGCTGGCTTGGACACGCTCGTAGCCGAACAAGGCGACGGACTGTTCCGCTGTCTAATATCAGCGGTGATCATCACTCCACACAGCAAGGACGATATCTTAGGCATGATCGAGGCCCCATAGCCGTACTATAATCGTACTTGGTCGGCTAAGAAATTTCACGTGGTTTCCTCGTGCTCAGGGTCCTCGCTTGCTTGTTTCATGAGGCTGATGGAGTTTGCTTCCCTTGTCTACAGTCAAGTATTGAAGGAAGTTGGCGGAAAACAAGAGGAAGGAGACGCTCATGAGTCACTCAGCCCTGAGGAAGGTGCGGCCCGCAGATCTAGGAAGGGGCCAAAGGTATGATAGAGAATGTGGCAAATCATCGACAAATGGGGCCTTGGCGGGGTACCTTAGTAAAGGGAAGTCGAATCATCATAATTCATGATTCATGGTCACAGTTGTTTCCAATGAAGAAAGCACCCGCAGAATCACATGCGACAGGAACCACTTGAGATTAGGCTATCCCATCTAGTCAGGAAGCAGCCAACCAGAGAGACTAGAGTGGTTTTGTTCCTGCTGCGTGAGTATGGAGAACTCGACTACCCCTTCCCTCTTTCCCTCAGTCCCCGAGTCTGGAAGGTGCCGAATCCCGTCGCCATCGTCATGACTTCCATGATGACTTCCGAGCGGAACTACACACGCTACAGGCTTCAGTTGGAAATCAGGCAGAGGATTTTAGACAGGACCAATCCGTAGAATCCCATAAAGAAGCTGACTCCCTGTAGTCCTAAGACTAATCTCTACCAAAACAACGGAGAATAATATCGAGGCCACACAAGTCAAGTCTAAGGTAATAGTACCAGACACACGCAGAAATAAAATCACAAAACCAAAACGTACGACCATTCAAATGAGAGGATGATAGAGAGAATGCCAAGGGCTATCCCACTCACGCGTCCTTCAATTTCGTCGCCGGAAGATTCCTCCCACAAAACTCAATCCACACCTTCGTCACTCCCGTCAAATCCAACCCAGGATTCACATCTCGCCGGACCTCGATCCGCCAATCCGTGAACGGTCCCAAAGGAGGTCTATCCTCTGCCTTCGGCTTCCCACCTCCTCTACCAGAAAAATCATTCTCGATTGCCTGCCGCCCATACACGAGCTTCGACTCCCCAGAGAATTTGCGTTCCGCGTTGAAGATCGCGGTGTTATACGTGAACTGCAAGTGCACCGGCGCATGAGCAAACTTGAATGGTGTCCCATCTTGGTCCCAGACAGTCTCGCCGCCTATGTGTTCGACTTCCACCTTGACCCATTGTGGGCTGTGGCCATCATCACCGCCTGAAACAGTCGCTCCGAGGAGCCACACACGCACTTGTGTGAGGCGAACGTTGGCCATGTCGAGAAAGGAGCGGTTGGAGCGCGGCGTGATGCTGAACACGGCTTCGTAAACCTCGCTTTCCTCTCCTCCGTCGTCCTCGGTAGACGGCACTGGATCCCTCAGCTGATCCAGGACGTCGTTGCTAACGTCAACCGCCGTCCCTGCCTCCACAAGATTGCGTGAACCTGGCCAGTGATTCCACGCACCGCCCTGCAGAGCACCGTAGCAATCTTCGAACATCTTCTCGAGCTTCTCCTGGTGATTCTGCAGCTGGACAGAACCGTCGAGTGGACCCGGAGGATCAAATTTGACAGTTTTAATATCCAGTGGTCCCCAGAAAGCGAGCGCACGACCCTCATAATTGAGACGCTGCAAAATATCGAGCTGCGTGGAGTTGCGGAGGCGCTTGAGCCAAAAGTATATCGCAGGCAATGATGCGTTGAGAGTGAGCGCCTGTTCACCCAGGCTCTTCGACTCTTGCTCGAGTGCCTTTACCATGCGTTTCAGTTCGAGAAGGTATTGCACTTGCGCATTGTACACGATGACAGCGTCATTGCGCTTCGCCACGAGCTCGATGAACTTCTTCACGTCTGCCTGCACGGCTTGCTGCAGCTCCTTTGGTATAGCCTTTTTGAAGTCGTTCAGAAGCTGCTGCAGCGTGTCAGCCATCGCCAGGACTTTTCCGTAGCCCGGGTCGTCGACCGTCAGTTCGCCGTTCTTGGCGAACTTGTAAGACTCCGTGAGGCTGCTAATTGTGCCTCTACAAGCTTCTAGCTTATCGACGATGTACTCCTTCTGTACGGGCATCCCCTCCAAATTCTCGACTTTTGTCCAGGATTTGTACAAAACTTCGGCGCCTTGCACCGCGATCATGGGAGCATGAGGCGCGAAAGATATCATGCAGAAGGCTTCGAGGAGATTCTCTGTTGAGACATGGAAATATCCTTCGATGCATTTTTGCAGCTTCTCGAGGCTAGCGCCAAGCTTCTTCCTCTCCGCCGCTAGCTTGGGAGAGTACTGCGCGATGGTGATACCTGCCGTGTCGAGCTCTCCGCCGGGCTTTGTGAGGACGTCTATTTGATTCCGAGCGGCGCTTATGTTTATGTCGTTCGTCTGCCGCGCGTTGCTTACCTGGTCCTTGAGGACCTGCTCTCTCTGCTCCGCTTCGGCGTACTGCCCGTAGACCTTCTCGATCAAGCTCAAATTTTCCAGCATGTTCTTGACGCGCTGCTCATAGAATGTCAAAGAGAGCCTCGAGACCCAGGTCGGACTGTGACAGAACATGTCTTGACCGAGTTTCATTTTGTTGAGTCGTAGCTTTGCCGTTTCGTAAATACGGTCCAGCTGTCCGAGGGCATCGGTAGTCAAAGCATACGTAGTCTCGATTGTGCCGTAGGCTTTGGCAAGGGGTCGGGTAGACGCCTCCTTGTCCTTGGCCAATGCGTCCAAAAAGGCAAGTCTCCGGGTTAGGCGATAGTAGAGACGCATTGCCAAAGGATACTGCAGCGCGCTATTCGTGAAGTACATACCGTCGGCTTTGTCAAGGAGCATTTGGCATTGCTCCGGGATGGCACAAGCCTCATCGATATCACAGTCCTTCGCATTTCCCTCTAGAGAAATAACGCGGGCTACCGCCGGTTTGTCAGGCTTGTCTTCGCCTCGCTTTCCGGAGGGAATATCCGACGTCGCTCCAGTGCCTCCAGACCCTCCCTTACCTATGGCAGGACATAAGTGAGTGACGAATTTCTTTCTCTTCTTTGGATTCTTCATCGTAAATAGTCACGTACCTCCACCCAATTGGCATACCTTGTGGGCCAGAGCATTCTCGAACCGAACGGTTGCCACTCGCAGGTCCAGGAGGATCTTCTTCAAGAGGAAATTCGGTGACGAGAATGGTTCGTCCTCCCAAGGCTCTTCGCCTCCGCCCCCCTCATTCCTGACGAACTTTTCAGTCAGGCTTGTTGCACTTCCAATCAACTCCTGAATTTGCTTTTCCTTCTGCACGCTGCCGGTAAACGAGTCACAGTGGTCAGCGAGGCTTAGAAAAGCTTCTACTTCCAAGCCGTCCTGCGCAAACGGGACTCCACTGCCTTCAAGAAGTTTTTTCACAGACTTAATCAAGGTCTCTGCACTTTTGACGGTCAGAGCACCAGGGGAGACGTGATCCAGATCCATCGAGTTTTCGTCGATCAAATAGGTCAACGAAGTGTGAACCTTTTTCAAAGCAGTCGCCCAGTCCACACTTTTCTTGATGGCCAACTGCCAGGCTTCGACTATGGTTTTGTCGATGCCGTAGGACAGTAGGGCCTCCGCATCAGTTTCCATGGTCTCACTGATGGCTTGAACCCACTCCGTCCAAGTGGACTTAGAGGTCTTCTTGTACAACGATTGGGCATACTGTTGAGCTCCGCTGCCCGTGTAGCATTTTACGGTCCCTAGGAATTCACGTTGGCGCCGTCGTATCACGCGAGATCGAAGACAACGCGAGGAAATGGTAAGGGAGAAGGAAATTCATACCGCAAAGGCCCCCGTCTCCACCCTTTCCACCCGCACCTGTTCCAACAGCCTGGCTAAAACCCCGACCACCATCGCCACCATATGCCTTCAAGGTGAGATTGGTCACCAAGTCAGGAGAAGGGTCTTCAACGTAAAGCGTTATGGACCCCGCATCCCCGCCATCGACACCGTCGATATGATCACTGGTGCCACTACTCCCATTGGCACCGGACACATCAATACATGCGCGTCCGAGGCTCAGAACCAACTGGTTACAGAAGATGCCCAAATTAAGGCCTGGAATTTTGATCAGTTCGCTGCTGAGGAACACGACCTCCGAATAGATCAGAAGCGTCCTCTCGGTGCAGTTGAGAGCCTTTGTGAGAGCGACTCCATGATCGCGCACGGTCATGATAGCCAAAGTGTCAGTGCCATGGTAGGCAACATAGTCATCAGACTGCAGCGTCGGCAATTCGACCTTGAAGGTTGGGGAAGAGTTTGTGGACATTTTTCCTGGGTTTTGGACTTGACAGTTCCTGAGGAATGGAGGTATTATTGGTATCAGGCGTTCAGCAATGTCAATATTGGAAGAAATTGGAAGATGTATAGCTCCGCGCGTGCTGGATCCTCGAAAATGCCCTTTCCATATGGCCACACAAATCGCTATCATGTTATAGATGCCGCGAGCGAGGCGTCTTCCCGTTTCGGTTATTCACATGAAGACCAGAGCTACCTGAAAGCTAGGATGAATATTGAATCGCATGATCTCCTTGATGTGCCCGTTTTCATAATCCCAGCTCGCCACCCGGCGAGAGAAAAATGGGGGTTGGAACTCAATGGCAGAAAACTATTACTATCTAGAGGAATGCAGGTTTTAGAACACATGGTCACGATGTGTCTTGCGTCCGAATCGAGCAGATATCCCCGCGCCATCGTTTAAATAGGCTTAGACGTGGCGCGCTGAATATTTAACGGCCCGGTCCGTGTCCAGCCCAATCAAGAGTCACCGGACAACCAGTTCCGAAAGCGGCCTTCTTCCACGGGCGGCGTTCCATTAGGGCCTATCCAATGACTGGATTCGGCAAGGGGAGGAGTTCGTTTTGGGTTGGCTTAATGCTTACACGCTCGGTTGATGTGGCAGATTGATGGCAAGCTGGCTACCTCCTTGCATAAGAAACTAGTGGCTTTGTCAACAAACTATTGGTTTCCTTAACTCGCTTCTTCTCTCGAGGGTTTAGGAATTATCATTTGTGATGACATGCGACTAAAACTTGGTTGATATCGAAGTGCTGTTAGTGCGGGCTGCGTAGTCGCGATCTCTCGAGGTTGGGATGAGAAAAACGAGCGTGCTCGACGAGCTTCGAGTCTAATAGAGTGTCTCAATTAATATATTAAGTCGGTCATACATCACCCGGAGCAGAAGCAAGAGCAGAGACCAGCAAGATTTCAGTTTAAGTTTCAGTCTGCAAGGAGCAGTCTGGTTATCGAAATTACAGTATACCCCCTCAGCCCCTTTCTTCGTATTTCTCCTCCTCAAAGGCTTGTCTCCTGAACAGAACATCAACATCAAGATGACCGTCAAAGCAGAGCAAGCTCAGCAGACCTTCAACGACCTGGTCAACTCGATGAAGGGTAGAGACACCCTCAGCGATTGGGATGTCCTTGTTTCCTATGACGAAATTCAAATCAATGCCCTCCTCGCCCATCGCGCTGAAGGGCTGGGCCTGCACCAGCCTCTCTCTTGGAAAAAGGTTGATATTGGTAGGCTCAAATGACTCTAAAGAGCTCCCAGAGCTCCCAGACCCGCAAGCGAAAACATGTCAAGTAACTAACAGATGAAACCCTTCCCCTTCCAGACCCAGTTACCGAAGAAGAGCGCACCTACGTCTTTGATGTGACGCTTCTCAAGCCAACCCTCCAGTTCGTGGACACCAGCAATAGTGTCATAATTACCTGCGGCCTGGCTGGCAGCTTTCATCTTCAGGGAAGCACCAAAGTCAAGGACTTGCCGTCTGGGCTAGCTTGCGAGATTTCCACCAGCCTCGTCAACGTTGCGGGCGAGTGGCACCCCGAGGACGGTTGTGTCCCGAGCGCTACTGACGGGGACAAGCCGGCCAATAACTGGATCGCGGTGCTCGAACCCGACAGTAATGTTGCCCGGGGTGTATGCATTGACTTTACCAAGTGTAAGGCCGCACTCAAGGATGCCGGTAATACCGGGGGTGGTGGGCTTGCACACCTAAACCCCTTGATTTGCGCATTCTTGGAAGAGCACTTCACCAACGTTTGTGGGTTACGCTACTGCTTGGCGGCTCTGAGCAATCACTTCGACCCAAGCGACGAAAATAGCCAAGTCCTCCAACCCTCGCACTTCTGCTTTACCCTCATTCCTGGCGTCTTGATGATGTGGATTGGCCTCCGAGGCGGTTCCGACAGCGGTACGCGGCAGTCGGGGCAGACGACGTTGACCTTCGCGCCGGATTCAAGGGCAGTGTCTCCCATTCCAGAGGGCCACACCGCTAGCATCATCTTCAGCCAAGCCATGATGATGAATCTCTTTCTGAAGGTGAGTCCGTCTCTTGTGCTCGTCGCGCTGCGGCGTTGCCGTAATGGTGGACGCAAATGACGGCTAACAATGCATCGATGCGCCCGCACAAACAAATAGCCCTCTTTCCATGCTAGCCCGTTGATTGACAAAGAATGGGGTGTCAAAAGCACGTCTGTGAAAGGCAGTGGTATGTTTAAGTCCTGTCTAGGTCTTGGGAGCGATCTTCATCTCAGCCATGACTAGTGAGCTAATTCGGCACCAACGACGCCACCCGGACTAAGTTTCGACTTCAAGTTCTTATCCTACGCGACAAACATTCCCGCCATGTCCTATAATGGGTTTGGCTACGGTAAATATCTCCAGGGTACCACGGTGGATCTGAATGAAAATCAGACATCCTTCGCGATTGATGGTAGTCGACCAACGTCCGGCCACTGGCCCATCAGTCTCTCCTGGTCGAGCAACTCGAAGAGACTTGATTGGTCCGAAAGTTACTCTTCCGGCGATGGTCATCACAGTACACACAGCTGGGGAAGGTGCAACATCACCTTCTCCTATCATGGCATTGGACAGTGGCAGGCTAGCAGTGACCCCATTAACCACCCCAATCAACTTGGTCTGATTTTCTCATTTGACAAAACCTTCGGAGCAACAGCAGTTGCTGAAGAGCCTAGCTTCTGGGAGCGCTTCTGGGAGGGCAAGACAGGGGGGATGCCCCCTGAGTAGTGCGAAAAGATAGTGCCCTCGGCGCCGCCCATTGACCTGGCCCTCAAACCTCTCGACTACTTTCTTACGACTAACCTGCTGTTCCCCGGGGAGCATGTCTTCCACGCGGATGACCCGGTACCCTCTTCAACGAAAGTTCAGTCCGGGCTTGCCATGCCTCGTGACACGATCCTAACAGGAAATCTGATGCGAAATGAGGCGCTTCATAGCAAATGCTTGGCCGCCATTGACGAGCACCGTATGCTTCTCAGCCAGACGTTACTATCGCCCACCTCCACCAAGCCCACGCTCGACAAACTGAAGGAAGCATTTCTTTCGTTTCCAAGCCACAACATTCTTGGGGACTTCTTCACTGCGGTCTCCTCCGAATCCGAAGATGGTGACGACACACCCATTCCCGACCTTCTAGAGAAGCATGGTTTTGGAAACCTCGTCGGGGTGGACTTCTTTAAACTGTGGGGAACGAGCTGGGCTGAATTAATTAAGACTGACGATTTCGTGCTGCTGCCTGAAGATGACAACTTGGGCAGTAGTCAGCCACAAAAGGTGGTAGATCTGCGACTGTTCAGCGGGATCTATACAGTGGTCCAGCCCGAGCGAGACAGAGGCGAGCAGTTTGTCGTTCACCCCACACTGGGCTCTATTCGCATGGCAAAAAAAGACTGGACGCCGCAGCAATTGTACGACCCATCCAGTGGAAAGATCACAATATCGTGGAAGACTGGAACGGAAAAAACATACGCGGCACAGTTTGAGCTTGTGTGGGATGCGGAGCGGCGCCGGTTGGGGATGCACTGTCTCGGGACGGTGCGCGAGAATGACAATGCGACCCCTGAGCCTTTCGAGGCCTACCTCCGGGGTTACCTCCCCCAAGAGGAGGTACGTCTGAAGAACGAGGAAAAAACGCCACTCGATAAAGCATATTTGTACATGGGCATACTTGCGGGAGGCGTGACTATTCTGCACATGTTTGTGACGTGCTATTCCACTTTCGCGATCAATAAGCTCAAGAAGAAGGTCAAGCTACTGGAGACGGAGCTGAAGGAGACAAAGACGGGAATCGACAAGGTCAAGCAAGACGTTGAGAGACAGGTGACCGAAGCCGTCCACAAACTTTACCAGCAGAACGAGCGGCTTGTCGAGGACGAGCTGGAGAGGGGCAGCAGAGCGATCAAGGAGAAAGTTGAAGCAAGGCTAGAGGACTTGGTGAAGAAAGATCCAAAGCTCATGGACAAGCTGCAAGATCCCTCGTTCAGGGACATAACCACGAAGGAGCTTGTCGAAACAGCGAGAAAACAACTAGAGGCTCAGTTTCCCACAATCATCTCGAGACTTGTGAACTCCCCCATCAACAAGGCGGCAATGCAGGACCGTTTCTATAACGCTATTATGACGGCGGTGGAAAAACAAGCCGTTTCCGTCAAGATCGGAAACGAGGAATCGCATCATATTATTGACGTCCTCGACAGGAATCCGGGGGAGGGGCAAGAGTCCCTTAGTGAGCTCATAGTCAAGGAAGTTTTGGGGCAAAAAGAAGCCTTTGAGGCGGAGAGACAGATGATGGAACTGGTGCAAAGGGGAGAGGCCATCGACTTCGACATGGCGCAACGATCACGAGAGATCGCAATTCAGAGTGAAGAGGTGGACAAGGCGAAGGAGGCGCTCAAGAAGGAAAAGGACTCCGTCGAGAAGGAGGCCAAGGAGAAGAAGCTAGAGGAGGCGCGGCGTAAGCTACTAGAGAAATACGGAAACCTGGGGAAAGGGGTGAAGGAGAAGCAGGAGGTGACGCGGGAGGCGAAGAAGAAGGAGGAATACAGCCGCAGGAGCAGGAAAGAGTTGGAGGAAGCAAAGAAGAAGACGGATAAAATGCATGAGAGATTCGCTAAATAATAGAGAGCTCAACGAAGCCTCTTTACGGTCGTTCAGCTCAGACACTCTATTGTATATATTCGCGGAATCCGGGTTTGTTTGTTTAGGATGGCAGAAAAATTTGTGCTGCACTGGTTTAATTGAAGATCCCCCTCAGTCACATTAACCGTCCCGGACAAGGGCATATAAATTGGGGAGGATGGAAATCATGGGATCGTGCAGTGGAATCCCAGGTTGAATAACTCGGCGGCCTTGCTATTGATTCTTCATATCCAGGCCTTCGACACTAAGATCAATTGATGTGTAAAAAATAAAAACGCAAAAGAAAGGAAAAGAAGAAAAGGCGGATTCCGAAATGGAAGGGAAGAGGTGGCGAAGAGAGAGGTAAAAGAAGAAGAAGAGAGGGTGGGAAAAAAGTTGATAAGAGTGAGATTCGAACTCACGCCCAGTTTCCTGGACCAGGAATTTACTCGTTAAGGTAACCTTAACCTGGCGCCTTAGACCGCTCGGCCATCTTACCGCTTGCTGTTGTTGGAGAAAAGTGTCCTCAGAAGGGTCAAGTATGGTGGGGATTGCGGAAGTTGAAGCGGGTCACGATTTGACGCATCGCATCGATTTAATTTGTTGATGAATGAGGGCTTTGGCAGCTTAGTGTGAAAAATGGGCGAAACAGAATATTCGCGCAAAATAAAATTTCGGGGTCCGGCCTGAAGACGGGGCAGGGTCTGGACTCGCTTGGGCTGGACAAGAGCAAGGCGGCCTGGTCGGGAGGGCATGGCCAAACCGTCTTGATGAAGGACCAGATGATCCGCTTTGCTTTGGCCCGGTACGCCAGTTTAAATTATATTAAAAAAGTAAACATTATGAAATGTAGTAATGCATTGTAGTGTAATAGTCGCGTTCATATCCTCCAGCTCGTCACCTCGTTTCCGTCCAATTATCTCCGGGGACGTTCCCTCAGCCCATCAACTCCCTCTACTCAAGTCAGAGTCGCTTACAGCCTACAACTACATGTAGATGTAACACAAGTCTCCGTCCATGGTGTTCATGACGTCCCGAATTTTCTTGGTCGCACCGTTGACACCGAGGCCAATAGGATCATCGAGCGATCCGGATTTGGAAGATCCAACAACCTTGCCCGCAACAGCGGACAGGCGAGCGTCAAGATCCTGAAGCTGCCAGAGCCACCAGACGCGGTCAATCGATGCGTGGTGGAGGTAGAACGCCGGGTCACCGGGCGAGGTATAAATATCCTGTGATTCAAGTCAGTGGTCCGGCCACGTTATCAATCGCTACGGGTCGGGGAGGGAAAGGAGAGAAAGAGAGGGGCAGCACTTACACCCCCGGGATCACCGCCAATCGTAAAGTGACCACCACCATGAACACCAGGAACAGCCTGGAGCCTATCCTGGAACCTCGAAATGGAATTGCTCTCGGCAATCAACGGGTACGAGTACTCTACGGTCGTCATTGAGGCCCAGTCCTTGCTGATGTCGCGCTCGAGACAGCGAGGGTTATACTTTGTCGACTTGCCAGGACCCAAGTTGACGGACATGTCGGCGAAGGGCCCCGTGTTGACGCACTTGCCCTTGGAGGGGGAGTTACCGCTCATCGAGGACGAGTTGCCGTTGAAGATGGGCGAGTTTGCGGGGTCCTTGGCGTAGCGGTCCCAGTTCCAGTAAGGGTGGGCGCCGGTGTACCCGCATTCGTTGCGGAGGGCCTGCTCGTAGGCGTGGACATAGTAACGGTGCCACGAGAGGAAGTTGGCCTGTTTTGGAAAATTGTTAGTGAATCTGATACCATATTTATTTTTGAGCGTCATACCGTGTTGTGGACAGAGTCCGTCTGGAGAATGTGAACAGCAACAAAGTCGTCGAAGCGGGAGCGGGCACCGGGGACCTCCTTGGCCGAGGACTTGGGAGGGAGCTTCTGGAGACATTTGACCGCGGCGATGTACTCCTCCCGCTTAGGAACAGAGAGGTCAGACCTGCGAGACTGTTAGAAGGCTCCTGAACTTGAGAATAATGCAAGAAAACTCACCATTCACGTCGGATGCTGACATTCTCGAGAGTGCAACCGCTCGATGGAGGGTTCTTAGCCAAGTAATCCTTCAACTTGTCGATGCTCTCATCACGAAGCTCGTCGACAATGTCGGCGGGATAGTTCCTAGGGCAGTCGGTCGGAGTAGAAGGAGGGCTGGTGGAGGATGTCTTCTTCGAAGTAGAGCTCGGCGCCTTTGTGGTTGTGGTTGTGGGTTTTCCACGTCGGGTGCTTGTGATCAGGGTGCTGGTCTCGCAGTCGCTAGTTGAAAAAGTGGGACGTCGAGTGGTCGTTGTCTCATCTTCGCAGTCCGAGGTAGTTGGCTGGCTAGGTGGGGTTGTGGACTCATCTTCGCAGTCAGAAGTCGTGGGAGGCGCGGGGATACTGGTGGTCTCATCCTCACAATCGGTCGTGGAGGGGACGCTAGGGCTGGTGGTGGTCGTCTCCTCGTCACAGTCCGATGTTGTGGAGGGCTGGACATCAGAAGTGGTTGTCTCTTCTTCACAATCTGAAGTCGTAGATGGTTCAGGGCCAGGAGTGCTTGTCTCATCCTCGCAGTCGGAAGTCGTGGGAGATGCAGGGCTACTGGTACTCTCATCTTCACAATCGGTCGTAGCGGGGACGCTGAGGGTGGTGGTGGTCTCGTCATCGCAGTCAGAGGTAGTCTGAGCGGGGGGAGACGTAGTGGTCTCTTCATCGCAGTCACTTGTGGTGGACGGAGAGGGATGAGCAGTCGACGGCTCCTCATCACAATCCGAAGTCGTAGGCGTGGACTCTGACGTAGAAGACTTCTCCTCTTCGCAGTCCGAGGTGGTCTGGGCAGGAGGAGAGGTAGTAGTCTCTTCATAACAGTCCGAAGTTGTTGAGGGCTGGACATCAGCAGTGGTGGTTTCTTCCTCACAATCCGAGCTAGTGGGCTGTTCAGGGCCAGGAGTACTTGTCTCCTCCTCGCAGTCCGAGGTTGCGGATGGCTCAGGTCCGGTAGTAGTTGACTCTTCATCACAATCAGAAGTTGTGGGAACGGCTGGAGAAGTGGTAGTCTCGTCTTCGCAGTCGGAGCTAGTGGAAGGCTCGGGACTAGCAGTCGTTTCCTCTTCACAGCTAGAGGTTGTAGGGCTAGCGGGAGTAGTAGAGGTTTCATCCTCACAGTCCTCGCTAGTCGAAGGTTCGGGGCCGGCAGTTGACGGGGCTGAAGGTTCTGGACTACGAGTAGTCTCCGGTTCATCATCGCCACACGTCGTCGTGATAGTCACCGTGGTGGTCTCGCCGATAGAGCAGCTCGGGACTGTGGGGGGACACGACGTGACAATGTAAGAGGTAGTAAGAGTGGTGGTGGCGGGTGGCTTGAGGGTTGGGATGACGTGACTGGGCCACTGAGAGGGAATCAAGGTCGGTCCGGGGCAATCGATGACCTCGGTGACCTCGAGGGTCTTGGTAACGATAACCTCCTTCATCGAGGTCCTGGTCCTCAGAGATACGCATGACTCGGCGTTGGCAGCAGCCAGTACGGCAGCGCCAATGAGGGAATGCGAAGGGCGCATGGTGAGACTAAGCGCGCTTAATTCGGGGCCGAATGAATGGAACGGGATATCAAGACAACCAAATGTTCGATTCCCCTAATAAAGTGCTTCTTCCGAGGAACTGTAAAAAACGAATGGCTTATCCTAAGATGAGGATACGTTGAGCGAGTGGCAGATGGAAACCTCCATCCAGAGTGTTTGGTGAAACGAATGACAACGAGGACTCCGACGGGACTCTCGCGAACCGAGTCTAGAAACCAGATTGAACCTTCAAAAGGAAGAGCAAATGCATGGCAGCCTCCATATTTATTAGAGAAAACGAGAGCACTCTCCGTGGCAAGTTCGGCTGCCTGGCGATGCGCTTGGGCGAATGCGAATGGATAACACAGTTACTATGAAAAGTTAGCCTTGAAGAACTATCACAAATCGCGTGGCACCCTACACCACGTTGGCGCAAGCGAAAGTAACTTCGTATACGAAGAAATTGCTGGAAATGGTGCTGGTGAGCCCGGGCGCTACGGTGAAGGTGGGTCATTCGGAGGACGTGCGGGCCCGGAAACGGTAAAGGCTGGCGTACAAACGTCACATTTCGTCGTGTTCGCCAAGTTTCGATATCCGGTGGGCGGAAGGCCCCCCTGGCTAAAGACATCATTGATCCGCTTCTAGCAAGGTGGCAGTAGGTGATGGCACCCCTTGGCTGGCGGACGAGTCTGGCACGGACTCTTCTGAGCATGGCATTTATGACCGGTTGGCGCAAATTCACTTCGTCTTGCAGCTTTTTAACGCGTCAACGCGATGATGTATTATTATTAAACATTCTATTCCGGAACATCGGAGAATCAAGTTGCGTATCGTCCGAAATGCGCCCACTTCCCCGGCTTGGACGGAGCGAGACTCCATCGCCCTCATCCTTGCGCGTGCTCCATGGCCAGCCATTCTCGCAGAAGTAAAATTCAAGGAGGAATAAACCACATCCCTACACTAATCAGGTCCTCTTAGACTGCTAGGCGGAACGGTTTAATAAACGAGATCGTATCGGCACTCTTGACGAAGAAACGCGTAAACGAACGTGGGCGGAAGCAGCCGACGAAAAGGGGCTCCGAGTAGATCCCCGGACAGGTGCGGAATTGAGAGCTTCACTACGTATCGCAATGTAGAATTTACGAATGGTGCCAAGTTGGATTCACGGGTGGCAGAGGACGAAAGCAAGGGATTCTCAGCATCATTCAGCTGGTGCTCTCCGCGAAGGCGTGAAGATTTGCTTGCAAGCTGAGCCAAGAGCCTCTCGTATGCCCAGAGGGGAAAATTCCAAGACTTCCAAGCCGATAGTTCAGAACTGAGAATATTCCGCTCCACATCTGAAGGGTTTCTACAATGAAAGTCTCCGAGTGGCGGCGGACTCTCCGGTCGGTACCTGCCTCGATTCATCCCGTCTCGAGAACGTACCCACGCGGAATTATTGCTCGTAATTTAAGAGGCAGAGATCAATCAATTGGTGGGTCTAGAACGTCGTCTTTGTTAGCTGTCACGTCGCACTCAAGTCACAGACAAGTGCGAGAGACACCACTTGGATCCATCCCCCCACCTACCCGTCCATCGTCCATTGCATTGACCTGACCCGTCCCTTGCATTAGTAGAACGACGCTCAGGCCCCGCCCACTTGTCCAGGCCCGAATAGGGGCAACTGAGAATATCAACTACCTCGCAGTAATAGCGCAAAGAAAAGTGACGAACAGCAATTTGCGTCGCATACCAGTTTGATTAGACTTATGCGAGCAAACAATTGCACCTCTCGGAGGCAATTCGAGTAGAATACAATGATAAAGTAAAAAGACATACACAAAGAAGAATTCCATACTCATAATTTCTAGTGCTCGTGCCATTTCCATTTCCACTTCCGCTTTCACTTCCAGTCCCAACCCTCATTCCATTCCGTCACGACTTCCGGGCGCCTCTGCTCTAGGCAATGCAAGTAAAGTCACAGCTCAGTCCCTTCTCGTTGGTCGGAATCCGCGCCTTGCACTCCGCGACACCGCCACTCTGAGCGACGCAGCATCCCGAGGCGCAGTCGGACGGCGAGAAACACTGGCCAGTGATGAACTGGGTGCCAGCTCCCTTGCCCACATTCTGAGAGCCAGACTGAGCCTGGTTGACGGCCCCGCATTGTCCTCCACCGACAGCAGCGGTCTCATTGCCATTGTCTCCGCTGTTCCCGTTGTTGGCGTTGTTATTGTTGCTGTTATTATTGTTGCCACCGCGATTACCGCCGCTGCCAGCATTCGAGGGGGCAGCCGCTCCTCCGCAAACAAAATCGCAGGTAGCTCCACGCTCCTCGGTAGGGATCCTCGCCTTGCACTCGCCCGAGCCGTCGGTCTGGACGACGCAGCATCCGGACGCGCAGTCGGCGGGGGAGAGGCATTGGCCGGTGATGAATTGCGAACCGCTGCCAACGCCGACGTTCTGCGAGCCGGACTGGTTCTTGATGGTGGCACAGCTTTGTCGCGCGAAGAGGTTGCTGGGGTGGGCGAGGGAAAGCCCGGCAGCGAGGAGGAGAGCGGCGATGGAAAGACGGACCATTTTGAAGGCTTATGTTGGGTATTGTTTTAGAAACGAAATAAAGACTGGTAGGTGAAAGTGTTTATATAAAAGTTTTAGTTTCTCCGGGAAAACAAAAAACGAAACAATATATTCTGTATCCTGTACAGAGGAAGGTAATGGCCTCAATCCAGGTGCTTGGATGTGGTGGATCACTGATCTGAAGCGGCGTACGTCGATCTTGAGAATCGGCGGCGATCACGGGGCGGAAGAAGCGAAAGAATGCAAACGAAAGATATAAATGATATCTTTGGATGCCAAGTAGAAGAAGAGAAGAGAAGGAAAAAAAAAGGAACGGAAACGACGACTCAGGAACTTAAACTTGGAATGATTCTAGGAATGGTTCAACCAGCCTGGGAAACACGGAAGAAATGCATCTAGAACACGGCGGGAAAGTTCAGTTTTATAAACACCCGGTCGACGATTCAGGGGAGAGGGCTGGACCATCGCGATGGCTCGGGTTCGGCACGATTGGAAGACTACGTGGGCCCCGTTCGGACGAACCTTTTTTTTTTTTTTTTTTTTTTTTTCGTTAGCGCCGGTTCATCTTTTTCTCACGGGGATCGTCTCAGACTCCTGTAAAGAAGGGCCGCAATGGGTAGGCCAGGCCATGAGAATAGAAAGCAGGAACCACAAAGCATCAATGGCATTGAGAGGGCAGACCGCAAGTGACCGGAGGATTCCGATCTGGGAGAAGGCCGAAACAGAGACCCTCGCTCGACCCTCGCTCGACCCTCACCCTCGGTGGCAGCTGCCGTTGTCTCAGGTTTCAGCGGGTTGGGTCCATTGGCCGTCCCTTCCTGCAATTGGGCCGGGCCGGGCAAGGGCCTGGTTACTAATCACGCCCTTCAAGGTTCGGGGCAATTCAAAGTTTGCAATTGCATCGCTCTTCCCTGTCAAGATGTTCACGGCCTGCAGCGATGTGAAGCAGATCAATGGTACCTTCCCAAAAAGAATATCAGCAGAAAAAAAATAGTTCGGTCCAGGGGGGATAAGTTCTTCGTCTGTCCAAGCCGCCAGCTGATCTACAAAACACTCCCTGTTTGATAATTGAGGTGGTTTTAGCCTGGGGAACTCCTGAAGCGACTCGCTGAAACGAGAACAGAGGCAAAAATGTCGGGGGATTTCTGCGGGGTCCAACCTTGAGCTTAAGTAATGCATGCAACGGTTTTCGCTTTGATGCAGGACGCTTCAATTCGTACCCGCAGACCCACCCTAACTAAAACTCTAACTGAGCCGCACCTTCCCCTTGTCAACATGCACACAGATTCGCCTCATGGTAAGCCGATCGGCCGGTGAAGCCGCCAGGGTCTACGAAGTGCGTCGTGGGCCGAACTAGAGTCTCAAAATATCCCTGCTCACGTCGTCAGAAGAATTAAGTTCGGCCAGGAGTAGTGGATCTTTTTGGCTCTTTTGGACAAAAGAACGAGACAAGAGCCGTCAACAGTGCGCACATCCACCAATGAAGCCTACACAACTAGTACGTTCTATGCTTGCTTGAGGCATCTCTCCTCGGACTGCGCCTCGCCCGACCCTGGCTTTAGGATGTCGACCTATGATGATCTCGACCAGGGGGTATGGCCCTCTTTGAAGGTCGAAGGAATCGAAGGATGCATCGTTTACTTTGTTCGGGGAAAATATAATCAGGGAATCAGGGGACTCCTCTAAGATCACGGAAATCTACGCATCCGTCTGGGGCCATAAGCATCGTGTCGTATTGATCCATGTCGAATTTATGCTGTTGTCGATTAACATCCTCACCAGCTACATCCAATGTACGCAGTAACGTTACGCACAGCCCGTAATTCAATGCATGTCATCCGCTCATCCCATAACCTCGTCTCATTCTCGTCAGAGTCAATCCTCTGACGCTGGTTCTTCGGGTTCTTCAGGCTCTTCAGGCTCGGGTTCCTCAACCTCGGCTTCGGGCTCCTCAGTCTCATCAGAATCTCCCCGTGATGCACCGGCCTTGATCAGATCCGCAGCCTGCATTGATCGTCGTTAGTAATATTCTCCAGGCAAGCTGAGTTGAGTGCCCGTGAACCACCTACCTTCTCTGCAATTGCATAAACGGTCTGGCACGTGTTCGCTCCTGGAAGCGTCGGAATGATGCTGGCGTCCGCGATCCTCAAATTCTTAACGCCGTACACCCTCAGCTGCTCGTCCACAACACCGCCGAGCTCGAGTGGCATCATTGCACAAGTGCCCGCGGGGTGGTACTCGGTCGGCGAGAGCGTCTGCTGTAAGTAACTTGCCATCTCCTCGTCCGTTTGCACTCGGGCCCCTGGTTGGGACTCGGTAGGATCATACTCTGCATTGACGCTATTCTCCATGTAGAACTTACGCGTGTAACGCAGAATATCGGCCATAATTACGGCGTCAAGAGGATTGCTCAGCGCACGGTAGTCGACAATTGGCTCGTTACCTTCCGGGTTCTTCGGGTCGACATTGATCGTTCCTCGGCTGAGCGGGTGAAGGTCGACAAGGATGCCATTAGAAGGTCCAGCTGTGAACACAAGGTTGTAGAAGGCTGTGTGGTTGGATCTGAGAGCTTCCGCGTAGGACTTCATCTGGGCCGCATATCCAGCGGCAACAGTGTCGTCGGCGCCCTCGGGCAAATACGCCGCGTGGTCCTGCTCCTCCAGAAGAGTGGCGACCTCTTCGTAACGCTCAGAGATAACGGGGAACGGAAGCCATGCTGCCACATTCCCAGTCGCGATGGAGAATGGGCCGGTCTTGTTAGCCTCCCAGACCTCGTTGGCCCAGTTGCGGAATTCGCTATTGGCGAATAAGTCGTTGGACGATGGGCTGAAGTCAAAGTTTCGGAGAGTGAATCTCGCCGTGATCATGGGATGATCCTGGAAGTTCTTGCCTACGCCGGGCAGCTCTACGATAGTCTCGATACCAGCCTCCTCCAAGACATCTTTCGGTCCCAGGCCGCTAAGCTGCATGACTTGCGGAGTGTGAACAGCACCGGCAGATAGGATAATCTCTTTCTTGGCCGAAATTGTGGTGATCCCTCCCTCGGGATCATCGCCGGGTCGGAAAGAGACACCAGTTGCCGCTCCATCGTCCAACTCCACCCGTATGACCTTCGAATTCGTCACGAGGTGATAGTTGGATCGCTCGAGATTGCTGTAGTGGCCCGTCCTAGCGTAAGATCGCTCGCCAAGTTTAGGGTCCATGAACTGTGGGTACCAGAAAACACCAGTCTGTCCAGAACCGCTGTCTGGCGTGAAGTTAACACCGGGCATCACCTTCCACGCCTCGACTTGCGCGGCTGTTCCGGGATACTGGAACGAGGGCCACGACGTGATGACACCCGACGTATCACCCCAGTAGCTCGTATCGTAGATAATGTCCGACTCGGCTGCGACGTCTTCATTCGGTGGGACAAAAGTCAATGCTTTCTTGAAGTAGGGGAATAGTCCGTCCCAACTCCACTCCGAATCCTCGCCAAAGAAATTACCCCATCGATTGTAGTCTCCTGCAGAACCACGGATTGTCATCATGGCATTTACAGCAGAACTGCCACCTACGACCTTTCCGGCGAGGACGGCGGTGCGCCTGTGACCGAGGTTCACCTGTGGGACTGATTGCGTTGGAAACATGAACTCCGAATCCATTCCACTGAAGCCGCCTTGGACGGTGGCGATTTTGGGAGACTCGCCTGACGAGGAAGTTTCATGTTAGTTCATGTGTATTCCTCCGCCGCGATGAATCAGATCGACCTACTCAGAGGCCCATATTCGACAACCAGGACAGTGACATCTTCGTCTTCTGTAAGCCTGTCGGCAATGGTAAGACCTGCGGTTCCGGCTCCGACAATGATGTAGTCGTATGCATCCTCCAGCTCTCCAGACTCTTTGAGAACTCGGGCTTTGTGAAGGCCTCTGGGAGCAGCGGTCCCAAGAGGTATCGCTAGAGCAAGCACAATGGCCACAGATCCGAAAAGCGAGCGCCCCATTTTTTCCGCAACCAGATCAATGGTATGGTAGGCCGACGGAGAAAGTGGACTCGGTCAGCAAGACACTAGAGACACTTATAGCGGTCAGATTCTCTCCTCCGCTCTCTTCTAAGTCTGGGTGCACTCCTCTAGCAAGATCGGGTCGAGGGATCACACTTCCCCTCGAACGTGCGGAATTACATCTATTTCGCGTATTACTGTGGGACATATTAATCTCGAAGCGAAGAAAAGTCGAATGCGATAACTGCAGAAACCGCACGGAATATCAGCCCATTGGATAAAACGCTTTCCGAGGACTTCGACAGAATCCAGTTATAATGTCATTAAGATTGACGTGTAATCTGGCTATTTCAGCCGTCTGCACCGGAAGTAATCGGCGAAATTTCAGGCACGAGGGTTGCATATGAATTTCAATTGCTTGCGACTATCATTTTCCCCCAATTTCTTTTTGACGGTATTCTTCGAGAGAAAGGATTGGACCGATGGGTGAGGGATACGAACTCTTGGGATTGAGCGGGAATCAATCAAATCAGGAGGGATATTTCGGAAGGTTTACATGTTCCTTGGCAGAGGTTAATCGAATGGCTTAGGCACAGGACACCAGTTCGACGAAATCCGGTTTAAAGTTATGCTCGCTTCAGTTTCCGTCGATTCGTATCCCCATTGTTCTCCGGAGAGAGCCAACCGGGATATCCTGACTTGAAGAAGATTTCGCGATTTATCCTGATATTTCTCTGGGACGGGCACCCTGTTGTCTATCAGGGTGATTTCAATGACTTGGAGGGTTGAAAAGGGTCGAGGTAGCTTGCGAAATCACGGAGAATTCAGTGAAGAAAGCGACGATCAAAAAAACAGTAGCAAGCGGTAAGATGGCCGAGCGGTCTAAGGCGCCAGGTTAAGGTTACCTTAACAGTAAATTCCTGGTCCAGGAAACTGGGCGTGAGTTCGAATCTCACTCTTATCAACTTATTTTTTTTGGCGTTTTTTTTGGCGGTTTTTGGGGGCTAGGCCGGCTGAGCAGGACACCCACGCTGAATCTCGGCCTCGGTCGTCGCCAATCCCAAGCCTAGAGTGTCTGCGGTTTTTGATGTTCGTTGGGGCTAGGAAGATCATTATCGGCTAAACTACGAAGTACGCATTCTTTCGCAGCATGACACGACGCTCGAAAATGACATCTTTCATCGCCACGTCGCTCTTGCAGGTCGGCAGACCAACTCCTCCCCCCCCCCCCCCCCCAAAAAAAAAAAAAAAAACCAAAAGCTTCACCAAGAGGTCAGGGCTGGTGTAAATCGAGATCTCCAGTTCCTAGGTATCAAGTTTCTCTGTCGATCATCAAACTATTCATTGGTTTTCCGACATGCTCCGTACCGCGCTGGATTGAATTCTGATAGTCCTAATACTCGGCGTCATTGCAACTCACCCCGAGAACCGTCACAATCCCATTCTCAGATCCCACAAGTCTCGACATCAGTGGCAAGGATCGACGTCCGCAAACGTCTCTTCTTGCGAGCCAGGATCAGTAGCACAAAATGTAACTGGAGACCTCGAGTTCATGTCCTGGGGTCCCCTGGACCCAAGCAGTAGCGCCCCTGAACTATCCGACGAGTTTACTCTCAGCTTCACAACAGTGCTAGCTTCTCTCCAAGTTTCTCCCAACTGCGAACCGTCCTTTGAATACAATGGCCTCGGTACCCAGGCCGTCATGACTCACTACGTCGGGGCGCAAGTTGATAAAGTCAGCGCCATGGACCTCGTGTATAAGTTTGTCGAGAAGCTCTCCTCCGATGCCTCACTCGGAGATCGCTTTGGCGCGCAAATCTGCGAGGAGGGTAAACCGGGCCGCACCTTTGGGATAGCGGTGGACATACGGGGAGAGAGTGTGGGTGTTGAGAAAACGGCCCAGGGTTGGAGAGAGGGATTCTGTGCGACCGACTATGATTATTCGACCATCCTTGGGAGTGTTGAATATGGTGTGTTTCCAGAGTCCGCGCTTCCTGTTGCTGGTGGAGACGGCTCAACAACTTGTCAAGCTTGATTTGATATTCTTGAAAAGAGCACCACAAGAGGAAGAAAAAGTTTGAAAAAGAAAAGTGGAAGAAAAAGGACTGTATCCCCATAGAAGTCGTGCTCTATCGAATCCGATACGTTATCGGTTTGAAGACCACATTTAAGATCTCTGGAGCCGAAGCAACTGCAATGGCAATTACAACATACCAAACTCTGAAGCCTTTATATGTAAGTCCATGTCATCAAAAGTTTAAGATCGTGAGGCCAAGAAGGCGACCAAATTCGGGGCAAATTACAATGAATTCGAAGGTAAGGATATCAATGACGGATAATTACCTGGACGAAAAAGCAGTGTTAGGGTGAGACTATTACTGATGAGTGTACTTTTTACTGGCATTAATTACATAAATATACCTAAATTTATAACAATGGTTTGGGGACCACAGTGCGAGTCAAACATAAAAACCGTCCGAGAACCCTCGGATGGTTTCCCCCTTCGCAGCCAGTTTGACGCGCCACCCGCAATGTGGTACCCAAAGTTGGGTAGGTAAACTCTCTGCTCATGTTCTCATTCAGCAAGGGACAAGAGTAGAATCGATTTTCAGTCTAGTCTGTCTCCTTGTCTGTGTGATCTCTCTCACACCCGCCAATCCCACTCACTGATGGGTTTGCCAAAGACGGTGAAGCGGTCCGCCTGCGATCGGTGTAGGGCGAAGCGAGTCCGATGCCCGCGTGCTGAAGACAGCCTAGAACCATGTGCTCGCTGCATCCGTGCCGCCGCGGCATGCGTTACCGGAGCCGCTGGCAATCCTGGACGACCGCGAAAGACGATCGTGGTTGATGGTACACCCACTCCTCGGTCTGTGACCGCTGATCACGTCTCCTCGCCTGGGTGCTGGATAACCCCTCGAGACGGAGACGATCTAGAGTTGCGCACGCCTGCAGTGGGTGAGCCGATTCCGGGCAACACAGAACCCGCGAGGACGGTCGGGACCGAGAGGTCGTTGAACTTGGTGGTTGAGTCCCCAAGAGTTGCTGGGCATTCGAAGCCCACCACTCGCCCGCAAACAGGCGGCACGTTGCCCACAGGCAGCCCTGATCCCTGGCTAGCCCACGGTGGTGGAGGTTTCTTTGATTTTCCTTTGTCTGAGTATAGTTTTGCGTCGAACAGCATCCCCACATTACAGCAGCAGCTGAGCACCGTACCGAATCACCAAGAGCTGCTTGGCGGAGTTGATGGGAACCTCGACACGCCGTATTATGCAAGCCAGCAATGTAATAACGACGTATATGGTCTTGGCCCTTTCGATCTTCCCGAGTACCAGCCCGACCCAATTTCTGGCAAATACCCGAGCGCAACGAGCTCGCTGATGCGATTCAGAGAAAACATGGAACGTCGCGTCTCGACCATGGGGACTTTTCTCTCAAATTCTCGCAACACCGTGGAAGACTGTGCGGATGACCCCGCGAACATGCCGATCGACAACCCAGTCGCGACAGCGATCCTGTGTACCAAAGAGTTCGTCGAAATTATCCAGACCCTGATGGCGCCAACTCGGTCTCGCGCCAGCTCTCCCTCGTCTTTCAACCAGATCGTCTCACCACCCGAATCGCTGGCCATCCAGCCCGAGTCCCTCGACACAGAAACATTGCTCATGGTACTCTCGAGCTACCTCCAGCTGATGAAATTGTACGATTCCTTGTTCCGTGAGGGCTATCGATCCTTGTGTGAGATCCCATCGGAAACCATAAAGTCGATAAAGGTAAAGGCGGTAATCCGCATCGGAGGCATTTCGTCCCTGCAAGACATGCCAGGAAAAGCGTACGCCAAGGGAATAGTCGAGGTTATCCAAAGCCACATTCAAACCTTGGAACGTTGCCTGGGCATCCCAGCGACATATTGCCTTACGAGCGAGCTGGCTAATCCGGCGCCCGATGGGGTATTTGCCAACGCGGATCGAGCACGGTTACTCCAAGCCGTCATGACACAGGAAGACGTCAGGTCGCCGGGGGGAAAGGGGCCGTACGTGGAGTCAATCAGGGACAACATGAAGAGTTTGCTGGCACTCTTCGCAGATTAGAATTGGCCCGGCAAATTGCTTAGCCCCTGATACATAGAGAATTAGCGGGATCAACAAGAGTCTAATACTAGCTACTGTACATTTTCCCTGCTTGGAAAACTCCATGGAAGCAAAAGAAATCAAGAGTACGGCATGTACTGGCCAGCGACATCCCTCCACCCTTCTGCTAGCTTTGTGCTCTCTCTACCCTTTTTGATATGCCCTAACTACGCACGCACGGCGAACCCTGGCCCGGTTTCCCTTCAGTTTCACGGCACAGTCACCGAGTTGTCATCCTTGTCCCTTTTCTCCTCCATGCCGAACTCACTATCGAGCTCTTTTCTCAGTGGCACCTCCTTGATAACAACAGAAAGGAGAAACCCTACAGCGGCGAAGGCGATAGCGACCTGCCACGATCTCCTCAGGCTGCTATTCTGGACCGCGACGACCTCGGCGCGTGTTTCTACCAAAAGCGAATTCAAGAAATCAGCCGTGGCGTGCTTATATGCCCCGCCGTCCAGGAATTCTGCAGCCGCCGCGGGATCGGTTATCGCACCCGAGGCCGCCAACTGTTCGGCTCGGCTGCCAAAGATGACTCCTGCAATGGCGATGCCCCAAGTCACGCCGAAGCTGCGCATGAAAGCCCACGTGCCTGTTGCGAGCGCAGTATCCTTATCTGTCAGCGGTGCCAGCAGAGCAGGAAGTAATGTCGGTATGGCCAAGCCGGCGCCGGCAGACTCAATGATCTGAAAGCCTACCCAAGCGCCGACGCTGGAGGTCTCATCCAGAAGCGAGAACAGACCAAATCCGATTACTATGAGAGCGAACGCCACCACTAATATGGGTTTGTATCGGCCGACCTTGGTGAGGAGCAGGCCTCCTATGATTGCGAAGGGTATTATGGCGAGGATGCTCGGCAGCAGCATGATTCCCGATCGATACGGCGTTGCGCCGAGCACGCCTTGGAAGTAGACTGGGAGGAAATAGAATGCCCACATCGTGGCGACGCCGTGGAGGAACGTGAGTGCGAAAGTGACAGCCGATATTTGGTTAGTGAAGAGGTGGAGGGGCATCATTGGATTGGAGATAAACCGAGAGCCCTCTAGCATAATGAAGCCTGCGAAGGCAACGATGCCGATAACAAGAGGCAGGATGACACGAAACGAGGACCACGGGTATTCGGCGCCAGCCCAACCAAGAGCGATCAACATAGAGCTCGAAGCTCCAATGAAGACGACATTACCCAGCCAGTCGAGGTTCCCGAGCTTGGTCGCCAGAGAATTCGACTTGTCGTAATTGACGTGCAAGAAGGCAACCAGCAGCACAAGCGCCGGGCCACCAATGGGCAAGGCGAGATAGAAAGCCCAGCGCCAGCTCCCGTTGCTAACAATGAGTCCTCCGAACAAAGGGCCGAGCGAAGTCCCCAACGAGATCATGCCAAACACAACAGCCATGTAAGTCCCTCTCTCCCTGAGAGGAACCAAGTCGCAAATGACTGTTTCGGTTAAGACACTGACGCCGGACGCCCCAATGCCTTGCAAAACCCGACCGCTGATGAGCATGGCCATGTCGATGGATCTATACACAAGTGATCGTCAGTACGTTTCTTCCGCGAGTTATATCGGACTCGCGTCTCGGAGCTCGCACTAACCCGCCACTTATACCGCTCCCAATGACGAATGCGACAGTTGAAAGAATCATGGGCCACCGTCGGCCGAAGACGTTTGCGATTTGTCCAAACATTGGCTGGAGGGACGCCCTGGAGAATAGACACACCATTAATACCACGACATATTGGATGATGCAACGGAGAAGGGGGAAGCAAGCTGACATAGTCAAGAAATATCCATTCGCAGCCCAGATGTAGTTATCGCCTCCGCCCAATTTGCGAACAATGACTGGTAAAACCGTGGATGTGATAGTCGCTTCCGAGGCTGTCAGGAGGCCTGCCAAAGCGAGGACGAACAAGATGGCCCAGAATCTTGGCCCCTTTGGAGCCTTCTTAAAGTTGGAACGCTCCATTGGCATGCTAATTGAGGCTCCTGAAGTATTTGTTGAAGTGGTCGCGTCTTGTTTGGACATAATCGTAAGAAGCGATTTGCAGCGCTTCCGGATGAGCGTTTAGGTTTTTATTAAAACAGATAAAAGGGAAGGCCATGACTTCTCCTACTACAATTATATTTTGGGATTACCCCTTTTATTTCTCGGATATAATTTAGGTCGCCATGTTCATCTCTCTAGTTTAAACGGCGAGCTCGGAGGGTTTCGTCAGGTATCTGTAGAGACCCAAGCCTGGAGGTTTAGAAAACCCTACGAGCCGTCGAGTTCCAATTCATTGGGTCACCGAGGACGAAGCGGATTTTGCGAAAAATCGGGCCCATTTATAATTCTTATCCAAGAAGATTGTAGTTTATGTATTGAGCTCGCCATGGGTGCCAACATAACATCGACCTGGCTTTGCTCGTTCATAATGGGCGGGGCCATGATGCCCATTCTAAGTCTTTCAGTTATGCCACCGAGATATAGCAAGATACACATTTCAGGCGTCATTCCTTAATTTCTGCGGACGCGGGTTCTCAGAAGCTTGTTACCTTTGTTCTGAAAAGGAAGGTCATCACTAAAGAGAGTTTGATTTCCCCTCCTCTAATGCCGGATGAACGTTAGACCGAACGACGCCCTTCCATGTCTTGATAAGGTATGCTTGATGTCGAAGAGAAAGCGGAGGTCAACCTAAACTGTTGCTCTCCCCATTCACACCCAATTCGCTCGCCTTTTTAAGACTTCACAAACCCAAAACGCCATTGAACAAGACCTCACGCCATGGCTTCTGACCTTGACCTTGGACCTCTTCCGAAGAAAATCACTGGAAGCTGTCTTTGCGGGAAAGTCGCCTACAGAATTGACTTCCCTGAGAACCACCCGTTCGTTGCAAATGTAAGATGTCCGGCTCGCCCCTGCTTGTGCCGTGTGCACAGCAACTTTACACTTTTACTCTGTTAACACTGGAAAAGAGCGGCACCTGCCAATGCACTCAGTGCCGCAAGAACACATCTTCGCTCTTCTTCGTGTACCAGAAGGTTCCGTACTCATCAGTGACATGGACGACATCTACTGATACGTTGAAGAATTATTATTGCACAAAAGGAAATGCCCGCGGATTCTGCAACCAGTGCGGCACGTTCTTATACTGGCGTCGCGAGGCGGGCCCGGATATCAGCATCGCCCTCGGCACTGTGGATCCCCTTTACCTCTTTGGAGAAGGATGGGAGGAGTCGAATGGTGAGGTGCCCAAGGGTGGCTTTGGAAGGCTTCTCTCAAGTGGCCGGGGCGACCATGAATGGGTGCAGAATGAGATCCCTGGCGTGACAGATGATCTGGCACTGGTCGGGAGTGGTGGTGTGGGACAAAGGTTTCTACAATCGGGTTGAATCTAGGCGTAAAATGAAACACCCGCTAGTAATTTCAGGAGTAATCGTATTCAATAAAGGGTATCACCATAATAGCTGATCGATCCTTTGTGGCTTTACACTTGATGTTGTGCGCAGTCCTAGACTTGACATTCTAGTAAGCACTACTTTCACTTCCTGATACGTTAGGCAATTTCTCATATCGCCTCAATCCGCATCTTGATCTTCTGAGAGACACTGCATTTCTTCGAAGTGGCCGCGCCACGGTGTTTCTCGGACCGAACAGCGTTTGAACAAGGTTGTCGCTCCGCCGAATTCACTAGATGAACTTCAAATCCAACATCCCCAATAATGCGGCATTCGCCTTCAACCGCTGAGTGTGACCACACTCCAATTTCCCAATCGGTTTACCAAATTTCGACGAAACGATGGAGTATCGGACGAGAACTTGAATGCGAATTGTTAGGCCACCTCCCTGTTAACAATGTTCTCGCCACTTGGAAAGACGGGGATGATTCGTTCGTTCTTCGAAAGAAGACGGCTCAAGAAGTCGACTCTGCCGCCGGCACCGATTTTTCGGTTTCGGACCAAGTACGACTAGTTCACACCCTTGGGACGGGCTCGGCAGTCTGGTCCATCGGCCAACAGGCTTTTTGCGAAGTCAAATCCTAGTGTTATAGTTTCGAATCTGAAGCTTCAACGATAGCTTTTGTGAGGAGTATTTTCCCGGGAATCCCTGTCCCAGAGGTCGTCTATGAGTATGTTGACGGAGATCGGTCGTTCTTGATTCCGAAGCGCATCCCGGGACTCACGCTGAGAGACATTTGGGCCGACCTGCCCCCTTCTTGTCATGACAGCATCCTCAAGACCATAGCGAGGTCCTGCGTTGCCATGGCTGCTAAAACAGCCCCGCATCTGCAGACCCTAATCAGGAATCCACGCTTTGAACCCGTACTTGTCGCCTTCGAAGGAGACAGGTCTCTTAGGGCCACTCACGTTAGAAGAAGGCGTTTCATTCTTCTCCGCAACTCCGACGGGGTCTGCCCCCAAGCTCGAAGCATTCCGCTTCTGCCACGCTGATCTTGGGCCCGGGAATATAATGGTAACTCCCACAGGAGAGAAGGAGGTTGAGGATCGCTCGGGAGGAGAAGGGATTCATGCGTGTTGAGGATTGGTTTATGGCATGGAAAGATATAGTCCGACCAAGGAGTGAAAGTCAGAATTGATCAAGTACGTCTCAGTACCGCGATTAAGAGAAGAAATAACTCTCACGTTAACCTACGATGCCGCAGGACCAGCAAACTTGGGGTGAAACATATTGACCAGGCCGAGAAAACCGTGTTGTAGCGCTTGTTTGACAAGCCAGAGACAGTAAAGGCAGAATCCCAGAAGATAAAGATCGAAGATCGAATACTCGCAAGCAGAAGGACGGGTGAACTTGGTTAAAATTAATAGGCAAGAAAACATGTCGGCCATCGCTGATTAAAGCCGCAAGGCCTCCACCGCCTGACCGCAGGTACATTAACTAATGTTTCCTCCCCTACGAAGTACACCTGGCTCAATTGGTAGACAATTAATATGTCCTGAGGAACGTTTCGTAGAAAGTGACGAAATTCCAATGAGATCCGTTGCCCGATTTCACCACTCTAGCACTGTTCGTCCATCAAGCAATCATTGGTTCGGTGGTGTAGTTGGTTATCACGCTTGTCTAACATCCACAAGGTGCTGGACACAAGAGGTCCCCGGATCGAGCCCGGGCCGAATCATCAATTTCTTTTTTTTTCTCTTTTCCTTTTTTCTCTTTTCCTTTTTTCTCTTTTCTCTTTTTCTCTTTTCTCTTATTTTATTTATTTATTTATTTTTTCTTTAAGGATTCTGGAAGCCTTTATCTTTTAATTCTTCAAGTGGTGAAGCAAGTGAACGAATACGTATTATCATGTTAGCTACTAGATTTTCGATACCTCGGTACTGATATAATCAGGTGGATGAATGTGTACTGACAATAAACACAAGGATAAAATAAATATAGATCGACGGAAGTGTTCAAGGAGGATTACGAGCAGTATCAAGGCTATAGTCTAGAGTCAGAGAACTTAGTACAGTGTCTAGTATGATTCCTGGAGCATGCTCGCGAGCATCTCCTCGATATCATCCCCAATGGTAAAATGTGACCTCCCCTCATAAACCTTCAACGTCGCGCCCGGAATCCTGTCGGCCATGTACTTGCCCTGGGCAAGCGGTGTATTCAAATCCTCTGTTCCATACCAAAACTTGACGTTGCCATGTGTGACGCTCTCAAGCTCAAATCCCCAGTCCTCGCCCACCAACTTAATTTCCTGCGTATGACCGGCCGCCGACCCCTGCCGGTACACCTCTCTCCATATGTCCGTCACGAACTGTACAGTCTCTTCACTTCCCCAAAATTCTTTATCACCCTTGGGAGCGTACTTCACTTGGCTCCTGAAGATCTCTTCCATTTTTGACCGGTCCGGGTCCTGAGCTTTCGGCACAATCACTCGATTGGTGTAGGTTTCCATGATGAATGGAAACCGCCGCCAGATTGTCAAAAAAACCCGATTGATCAAGCTCAACCCTTTGGTTCCCGAATCCGGTGGGCCCATCCCGCACATGATGCCCACAGATCGTAGCTTCTGTCTAGGGAGCAGCTTAGCACAGGCAAGTGCGTACGACGTGCCTCCTGAGACCCCAAAGACATGGTAACTATCCAGTTTCAGATGATCGATTAGGTGTTGGAGATCCTTGGGCCAGTCGAGAATTGTCCTGTTAGGATCGGGAGTCGAAAGTCCTATTCCGGGGCGGTCGATACCAATCCATCGGATACCGAGTCGCATTGCAATTTCTTTATCCTTCTTGGAGGGTGCGCAGTCGAGGCGGCAGTCCGGGATTCCATGCACGAACAGGAAGGGGCATCCTCTCGGGTCACCGTATTCCGCATAGCTTAGCTTACGGCCATCCGGGAGAGTGATGGTTTTGGCATTGTCTGGGAGCGGGATGTGGGGAGAAGGAATGTCGATACCAGTATTTATGCTGCTGGATGATGGCAGGGTTTTCGACGCATATGTCCTCTTGATAAGAGGGACGGCTTTGGGAGCCGTCACAGCTGACGGTATTAGAATGCAGCGCGCGTGTCCGGAGACAGCGTGTAAGTGGTGAGTAGTATTGGAAGCGGTAATACTTCGTGGGAATGTTCGTGAAAGTGAACGCGCAGCGACTGCTGGGGACATGGTCAAATCTGTCAGGTTTACTGGATGATGCTGGTACGGTGTACCACTTCGAGCAATGACAGCGGCATGGATATTAATCTCGTACTTTCTGGAAGAAGGTAGAAACCACGCTCAGAGTCGCCGGGAGGAAATACAGAGGATTGCATCTATACTTATAATTACGACGAGTAGGCAGGACTTGTAAGGAGGAAATGCAATTTCTTCTTTCGTTCCGAAGGAATATGACCATTTTGTTATCCGTCGCTTCCTTCCACAAACATGTTCGGGGGGAGTGTCCACGTGATGTACCAAAACTTCCTCTTTGGGACAATCGAGGTCTATGCACGAAGTACCCCAGTAGTTTTCGCCAAGCCACTCCCATGCCCATGCCGAGCATCCCGCTCTTCCCCCTTTTTTCTGGGGGCCTGGACAGTGGACATTTGCGACCCAAGAAGTCCATAGCCTCGTAATCCTCTTCGTTTGACGATGTTGCTTCGGCTTAATTAAGAAAAAAAAAATTGAGAAAAAAAATTAAGAAAAAAGATTTGATGATTCGGCCCGGGCTCGATCCGGGGACCTCTTGTGTCCAGCACCTTGTGGATGTTAGACAAGCGTGATAACCAACTACACCACCGAACCAATGATTGTTTGATGAACGCAGAACGCTACGTAGAGTGGGAATATGGGGCAACCGGGTGGAATTGTAAGAAGCTAAAGTGAGGAAAAGAAAAAAGAAACCAAAGAACCTATCTCGCCCCCTTCTCCTGTCCTTACTATTTATGGATCTGTCCATCCTAACTTCCTAAGGCAGTGCCAACGATATTGATGTCCTCGAATCCAAATTTCATTGCCACTCCTGGGATGGCTGGCAGCTTCCAGTTCAATCATCCTCGTCGTCGGAAGAAGACAACGTCTGCCACACCGCGGCACTAAATGCGTAGATGATAACCACAATTACTGTGATGAGTCCGGCTACTCCACACGTCCCCCAGAAGAATTTCTGGTCCTTCTCGGTGTTGGCGATATCGCTGAGATTCATCCCAAAGTATGAAGTAAAGAAGGATAAGGGCAGAAACACCACAGTCACGACTGTGAAAATTAAGATGGCATTGCCCTGGTCTCCAGCTTTCTTTGTAGAATCATTTTGCTCCGCAGTATATCGTCGGTGTTCCTAGCGTGTCAATGGTCAGGCGTCGTCGTCTTTCTCACGGGAGGCCGAGTTGTGTCCGACCTACTCTATCAAACGCCGTCTTTGAAAGACCAACGAGTATGTCAATCTCCCTTTGAGTGGCTTTGACTACCCTCAACGCCCATCCAACTCGCTCCGGCATAGAATCTACCTCCTTGTCGTTACACTCTTCAAAGCCTCGAGACTTGTATATTTCTTCCATCTTCTCAACGTCCTTTTCCAATTCGTGGAGGAAGTCGATCTTGGCCTGATTGATCGACTGAATGTTTTCGAGCTCCGGAAGATACTCTCCGTATTTGTCAACTAGACTGGCGGAATCGAAATCGCCTTTCTTCCTCGACTTTCTCTGTTTTCGTCTCCGTCTCCGTTCATCATCCTATCCGAGTCTGTTAAAGTTTGCACCGTAACGTAAAGCCTAACAACAAAGCGGAGCCGGCACCTTCAGGGCATTTTATGACTCCGCTTTAGACGTACCAAATCTATGGCTATCAAATGATATGCATTGGGAAGTGAGAGCATACTACACCCGTGACGGTGATTATTCGGTGCTGCAAGAACCTCTGTGAGCAGATAGACCGCCAGCCACTCAACCGTCTTGCGATGCCATCTCTGGGTGCCGGAGTCTAGAAAGGTTGCCGCGGTGTGGGCTATGGCGGATGCGTGAGGGTTATCCAAGATATTTCTCGCTGGATTCATTGAGTTCTTGAAATGGCAGCCTAAATAGTCGACTCCCGGTTTGGGTGAAAATGTCAACAAGAAGCCGTCTGAGCGGTGGAAGACTCGGAGGTGGCTTATCATCAGAACAGAACCTTCGAATTCGGAAATTCTCGAGATCATGTTTTCGTCAGCGGCAGGGATCTTTTGCGGAAGCTTCTCGTTTCTAGGGTTGAGGTCGCCAGCGGAACGGTGGCTCAGAATGTAGGGAAAGTCTGCTTTAGTCATTTCCCTAAAATTAAGATCGCGTACACGATACCGCGACCTCCAACCCAGGTCATCCTTCACAAGGTCGCTGAGTCCATTAATCGTACCGACTAAACCGGCCGAGTCACCCTTATCACTCGCCTCCTTGGAGAGAACATTCCACGCTTCACGTTGCTCGTTGTAAAATTCTCGACTGTAGAATGCGAGAGTGTGGATATTAGAGACGAATGGATAACCAGGATATCCACAGTTCTTGAATGGTAGCCCCATTTCCTGGGTGCCTTCGTAGTTGAAAAGTTCCTCCAGTGTCTGGCGTCAAGGGTTGTTAGATTGACGGGCACTCGGCGGACAATATTAATTCACATCGATCACCCACTTACCGACTGAAGCAATCCAACGCCGATTGGTAGGTGGCTATTACCCTGTCAGGGTCCGTGTATGATGGAATCCTGTCTTCTGTGAAGAGTACTTACATCCAACGAACGGCAACTCCGTCGGGCTTCGATTTGATCACTAGAAGCGGCGCCTTTTAGCATTCCTGGCCGAATTCAGCGATGTATTGTGGTACTTACCATCCTCGAAATCCCTCAACGGGAGTTTTTCCAACTTGCCGCTATCCTTCTTGTAGTCGCAGATCTGCATCTCAATCATCTCTCGCTCCGGAAAGTAGAATCGACGAGCTCTTAGAATATCCATCTCAGAGGGTTTCCAATACAATCTCGCTTCCTCCATATCAGTGTGGTTGTCTAGTTCGATCCCTGGCTCGGCGTCTGCCTCCTGAATAGTCTGGAGCCTAGGCCAGGGGTGCGTCAGTATCGACCTCGCTTTCTCACGGCATATGCGCGTCCATGGCTTCGGCTTTTCCTGGCGGCTTTTCAGCCCTTCTATGACTTTCCTGGCCTTTCGCCGCTCTTTTTCAAATTCGGCCTTCTCCTTATCGGGAATATCCTTGAACTCTGGTGGCGAAAAGCTAGACAGAATGTGAGGTGTTGGGATGAGGACATGATCTCGTGGCCTATCGCCTAACCCTTCCCTTGCCATTTTATGTAGTTGCGAAGGGAGGATCCGACGCGGTTTTGCCGTTTCGGTGGCGTCAGCCAAGGACGCCGACCGGGCTGAGATACCATCGATGGCGTCTCTCGAGGAGTAGCCATCATCGTTCTCCTGTTCGGAAGGCTCAAGACGAATGAAAGTCATGTCTCGGACGGTGTATTGGCCGCTCTAGACAATACGGGTTACCTGATCTAGTGAGTATATTTATTCAACAGGACACCACCCATGACGAGCCCTGCGCTGAACACCATTCATATTATATAGTTAACTTTCTTGCAAATGGGCTGATAATATTCTATGCACAATAAAACCGTATGGATGTCCCCTCTAATGCAGGGCGTCCTTATGTGGCTTGCCCTCGCCATTTTTCCATTTAGTTTCCATTGGCCGAGTCTAACAACCTAACCGGGGTCTTGACCAGTGAGGGTGAAGGCCAAGCATTGTTCGCCTCGTTTTCGTCAAAACGGAGAACACCAGATCAGGCTCTGTGTAGGGAGGATGAGACACAACTTGGTATTTTTGGGGCGCTGGGTGTGGTGGGACAGCAGCAAAGGGGAAGGGCAATGGTCTTGGCATAAGAGGTTTGCTGCTCGTAAGGAGAGTTAGTATGGATTGAATGGAGACCCAACATAAGTAGACTTCGGGTTGAGCTTCGCCTGATCTATGACCAAAAGGTCCGAGGAAAGTCTCTGAATTCCTAGCATCACACTGTTTTCGCGTTACGCAATGACTTTTTTTCGTGACCCGGTCTTCAGCCGGTGTGCTGCCTAAAAAGGTGCGTTAGGGTAGGGCGGACCAGCAAACCCGGCCGAACAAGAGTGTGGTCTTTTGAGGGTCCTGACTTCTTGGGAAGCTGCTCTCAATTGGTTCCAATGGCAGTGGACGTCCGGGGAGTCGGTCAGTATGAAAGAAAAACAAACACAAAAATGAGAGTAATTTGATTTGAATGGGAACACATTTAGGTACGGGATTAACTTGATTTGAGACGGAATAAGGCCATTGGGAGGAATACTAGCGCCTAACTCGGCGCGTACAATGAAGTTCAGTCTCAGAGCGTAGGTTTATCCCCAATGGGGATCTAAGCCAGGATAGCTATTAAGTGACGAGAGGCATTGCAGCCTCGTAATCCAAAGGGAAGAGATGCACTAAATCTTTAGGTTTGGATTGCGTAGCTGGGGGCGCAGCTGGGAGCGTATGTCGTCATCCCTGCATCCTGTTATCTCAACCTTTCTCGGGGTATGAAATATCGTCATAGATATCAAGCATACAAACGCCCCCAAGTCGCATCCCTCTTTACCTTCGTAGTCCCTCAAACCTATTGCTCTCCCCCGAAACAGACAAACAAACGCCCCAAAACCCTAATGCCTCCTCACGTCCACAACTATCCATTCAATGTAGTAGCCTGAGACAGTCTTCTATCCCGATATATACTCGATCCTCGAGCTAAAGGCGGTCGGATTGGAAGATTCGAATTGGGCAATGACTCTAACCGGAACGGTGAGTCTCTCCTGCTAGCGACCGTGGTCTTAATTTGAGAGCAACTTGAGATCATTAGTAGCTTATTAGACTTGCAGGGAGCCCTGCCATTTTAATCTCTCCTTCCCAGATATTCGGTGATCAGAATGCTGCGTACCCCTTCACTCCTTGAGCCCGCTGGCGTCTTATATTGTAAGAGGTGTAAATGGACCATTTCGCGCGTTTTCCGAATGAGCGAGTATCGATGAATGAGACGGGCTGTAATACCGAAAACAATAAGCAGGGCAACGGACAAGAGTCCATATCTTGCGGACGTGCTAATATCTGGTGACACTTCCGGAACGCTAGCCATATCTTAGCTACAGAAGGCGAGAAGACTTTATAGCCAAACACTAAGTCGGCTGTTTTTGGCCGTCTGAGAGAAAAGGAAATGGAAAAAAGCTTTACGTGTCCAACTTTCTCTCCTCTCTCTAACAGAAGGTCTAATGGCCTTGAACAACGTATTCAACGAAACAGACAATTCCAGCACGCTCCAGACGCAGTTTTATGCCATACGTACTCCCTACTTCTGACGGTTCCCCTGGGGCACGAGACCTGCAAAGGGGCATCCGCTCGGCCAGGAATGGAATACACTTTGCACGAGGCACTTCCGGCTACAGGATTGCCTCGGGTTGAGCCATTGTTAAAGTGGAACCAGGCGGAGGTACTACAGACATTTGGGGCGGTTGGGGAGGCGGGGAGGCAGCCTGAGAACGCCGAAGTTGGGATCTTCTGGTCGTAACTGCGAGTGGCTTGATCTGGTAAGTTTGAGGAGGGATTAAATATCCCTCATTTGATATTGCGGTTCCACAAGAGCATAGCCACCATTTACTGCAGTATTCATTACGTCTTGCAGTCACATCACCGCCCTATTTGGATTGCCAAGTCTAATACTTGGAAATTGTGCCTGTGGGTCGCGAAGCATAACCGGGGGTTCTCTCGACGAACAATCCGGGGTAGCTGTATCCTGAGTGTGAAAGCAGATGCCGCACATGCCACCGGGCGCCCTGGGCACTGCGCTAATGCAATGCAGGTAAGTTAAAACATCCCGTTCAGGTTCCACGACTTGTCACCTTGGACTGGGGCAGGCGGCTAAGCAATACCTCCACGTGAGCGCATCAAAGACATCCGCTACAGGTCAATTGCCATCTTGGATTCGCGAGATGCAATGTCCTGAAAATGAGGGATTTTTGGGAGCCGTCGGACTCAACGTTTCGAACAGACAGCATATCCTGCTCAGCGGAAGCTCTCCTTAGCCGAATTACCAGCCGATGAGCAACATTGAAGTCGTTTGCATATGATGTCAGTGCAGTACCCGAGAACATAGAGCTGCCAGGAGCGATGCCACCGAATGCTGCATGTTAGTCCCGGCTAGCCTCCTAGCACATTAGCAAAGGTTCAAAAGTTCATCGCCCTGGTTGTGGCCAACAGGCACTTCGACACGTGGCAACGGCAAATGGACTTCCGCATCTAGCTTTGATCTATTTTACGACAGAAACATCCACTTAAAATGGGTGCAAATTCGACCCTGCTAATTTCTCGTGGTCCATAAATCAGCTCAGCCACCACCACCATCATCTTCATGATCATGACTTTCTTTTGATAGGAGGGGGCGAAAGTCTCGATGGCGGGTGTAGGTCATTCGCAGAGACGACGCGCACTTGGAAAACTAAAAATAAACGGGAAAACAAAAAGAGCAATAAGGAAAGGAGGGTGGGCACACGGGGAGGGGAGCGTGAATCTTGCGAGTCTGTCCAGGGGAGAAACAAGAGGCTTGAACCAGAGACACGACTGGTGGAGATTGGGGAGGAGTAGATCTAAGGAAAACGTCCAACCCATTCTCTAGAGGACCGTGGGAGCACTACTTCGTAACGTGGGGATTCCCCCGTGGTCCACCCTACCGCTTTTGACTCCATCCAAAACGAGATACACCGCTCCTGGCATTATGAGACATAAAACAACATCTATGACACCGTATAGCCCTTTCAATGCCTGCAAATATTGCTTTCCGGAGAGAATCACCCTTGCTTAGCTCAATTACTGATTGGATCAACAACTCCGTCTGATATGTGGGTGATCATTTGTCTTATCGTTGTTAGAACGGTGGCTGGGAGGCCTCCTCTTCGTCTAGATGTGTGTTCCTCAGGGACGTCTTGTCGTGAGGAACAGGCTCTATGATTCTTTGTAACTCATATCAATTTGACGGCTACCCGGCAAGTCACAGCGCCCGAAGCAAAAGAGAGAATTAGATAACCGGAACGTAATCGATAGAGTTCTTTGCCATTACTATTTGGATCCATCCATGGCAATCTTACGCACTCCGTCGCTAGTTGTTGGGGGGTAGTTATCCAGCAGGTCGTTGCTCATCGAAACCTTGCTGCCTGAGCGGTTTTGGCAATTCCATGATTAGGGCGCACTCAAATACGGGCGCCGGCCACCAACAAGTTCTCTCCCGCGCAGACACCATCCCCTCATACTCCTCACATTTGATCTTCAAATAAACTATCTGAGCATTTGTTATTAATGAACATGACTTCATTGCGCTGGCAAACCCGTGATGAGGAAACGGGCGACAGAATCGTGAGCGGAAACCGACCTAGCGAAGACACGGAGACCGTTGTCAAGGAACTACGGCGTTCCGCCAGTCGTAGCCGGAGGTCAATTGACCTAAACACGGCTCTCCCGATCCAGTACCGCAGCTTGTGAGTCGTTACATCAAGTGCCCTGGACATCCTCGACCTAACACACGAGTTAGATCGCTTGACATTGAAGAAGCGCAGAGAAATGAACGTCGCGGCTTGGCCAAGGCAAAAGACGCCACCGTTTTTAGTACGTAAAACCAGTGATAGCCATTCCCTCAAATGGGCCAGCTCTAACAATACTAGAATTTGAGACGATCGACTGGCACAAGTTATCGCCCAAAGATGTCCAGAAGCGCCTCACTGTCGATACTACCCAGGGCCTATCAAGCCAAGATGCCCAAGAACGACTTCGAAAGCATGGCAAGAACAAAATCTCGCCGCTTCCCAACCCGTGGCTGTGGAAAATCCTAGGCTACTTTTTCAAGGGCTTCGGGTCCATTCTGTTCGTCGGTGGTATCCTGGTGTTTGTTTCATGGAAACCACTGGGCCATCCTCCAGCGCTCGCAAACCTTGCATTGGGAATCGTCCTCATCGCCGTCTTCGTCATACAAGCAGCCTTCAACGGCTGGCAGGACTGGTCTTCGTCTCGCGTGATGCAGTCAATTACGGAAATGCTCCCCGAGTCATGCAATATCATTCGCGACAATAAACGAATCCAGGTCAGCGCTGCCGACATTGTTCCTGGCGACATTATCTTGATCAAAGCCGGAAATCGAATCCCTGGTGATGTACGATTTCTTGAAGTCTCGCATGATACTTCCGTCGATCGTGCCGTCCTTACTGGTAAGTCTACAACATATTCGTGCTCATCGACCGGGCAAGCTACTTACACCGTCGCCTCTTTACAGGAGAATCGAAGCCCGTCAAAGCAACTATCGAGTCGACGGATGATAACTATCTCGAGACCCGCTGCATCGGGCTTCAAGGTACTCACTGTGTGTCTGGAAGCGCAATATGCGTGGTAGTTGCCACGGGTGACACCACTGTTTTTGGTCAAATAGCAAAGTTAACCGGCAAGCCGAAGAAGGGATTGACCACAATGGAGAAGGATATCCTTCGATTTGTTGTCCTGATCTTCATCATCATGATGACCTGGATTGTCATTGTGGTTGCTGTTTGGTACGTGGTTCTGTGGTCACCGGCAATCAATTTGGGAAACAGGTTCACCGTAACTAACTAGTCTCAAGGGGAGGATGGCTTCGCAGGGAACACCCCGAATGGATCAGCGTGTCCGCTCTTATAGTGACCTGCGTTAGTGTTGCTATTGCCTACATTCCAGAAGGCCTTCCGATCGCCGTTACATCCAGCTTGACTATCACAGCAAATCTGATGAGGAAGAACAAGATTCTATGCAAGTCCCTGAAAACTGTCGAGACTCTTGGGTCGGTCTCTGTCATTTGCTCTGACAAGACCGGAACTCTAACAAAGGTGGGGAGGAAACCGACATTCTTTTTCTCTTTCGCAAACGAGAGTCTCAATCTAATCAACAACGATGCATTCGCTAACTGGGTGCTCAACATAGAACAAAATGTTTGTCTCCGATTGTTCACTTAACATCAGGGCTTTCTCCGCTGAATCGGCCGAAGAGGACGTGAAGGGCAAGGGGGAAAATCCAGGTCTGAAACAGATCCGGGCAATGACAGGGCTGTGCAATTCTGCCGATTTCGACACAGATTCCCAGTCGACACCCCTCATTGATAGACATATTTTCGGGGACGCTACAGACCAAGCTGCCTTACGCTTCTCTGAGAGTTTGGGATCGATCTCAGAGTTGCGCGCCCATTGGAGCTTGGTTTTCGAGCTGGCCTTTGACAGCAAGAACAAATTTATGGCTAGAGCGTTCACGATCAGTGAGCCCCATGGTGTCTCTACGTGCCTACCAGCTCGAGAGGCGGAGAAATTTAAGCCAGGAAGCATGTATGTTTGAAGACCAGGAGGGTTTATGCCGTTTTCGAGTATTGGGAAATGCTAACAACCTCTAGTCTCTTGACCGTCAAAGGAGCCCCCGATATCCTCATTGAACGGTGTACCAACATTGTCTTGCCGGATGGCAATGTAATTCCTCTGACAGAAGCTGGTTGCAATGCCGTCAAACAGTTAAAGGATCAATGGTCTTCCGAGGGTAAACGAGTTATCTTGTTAGCGCGCAAGATCCTACACGATGAAGAGTCAATAGCGCCTGCGGATCCCGAGACAAAAATGCTAGATGAAATCCGAAGTGGGCTTACTCTAGTCGGTTTAATTAGTATCATCGACCCGCCCCGGCCCGAGATCCCCGGTGTGGTCTCGACCTTGCGTGGAGCGGGCATTCGTGTCTTTATGGTTCGTTTAGGGCCCGGCAAAGGAACCCCCTTCTTTGGTGATCATGTTTGACAAATATCACAGGTTACTGGCGATTATGGAATGACTGCTTTGGCAATTTCTCGCCAGTGCGGCATTGTCACTGCCAACGTGGTTCATGAGAGTTCGTCCCTGCAACGGTTCGCCTCGAGCAAAAATACATCGGCAGCATCACCTCGCGATGCGGCGTTACTTCTCACCGGAGCAGATCTCATGAGCTTAAATGACTACCAATGGGAACAAGTCTGCGCGTATCCGGAGATTGTCTTCTCTCGCACGACCCCGGACCAGAAACTGCGTATTGTGCGCGAATTCCAAAAGCGTAGGCAGGTCGTCGGTATGACAGGAGATGGAGTAAACGATGCCCCGGCGCTCAGGGCCGCAGATGTTGGTATAAGTCTAGCCAGCGGCTCTGACATTGCTATCGAAGCTGCCGATATGGTACTGCTAGAATCGTTTGCCGCAATCGTCGAGGCGGTCAGATATGGTCGCGTCGTCTTTGACAACCTTAAGAAGGTCATTGCCTACCTCCTCCCAGCCGGGTCGTTTTCGGAATTTTGGCCCGTCTTCACGAATGTCGTGTTTGGCCTTCCACAGATCCTTTCCTCGTTCCTCATGATCATTATATGGTAAATCCCCCTTGCCTCTCCTCGACAAAATGGGCGGACTAGCCGCTGACAGAACGTTGCAGTTGTTTCACTGATTGCGCCGGCGCTATCGTGTTGGCTTACGAGACTCCGGAAGCCGACGTTCTCGTCCGACCTCCCCGGGACCCAAGAAAGGCCCACCTCGTCAACTGGCAGCTCATGTTTCACGCATATGCCTTTATTGGATTGATTGAGAGTGTTTGCTCATTCACCATGTCTTATTGGTATCTCGAGAGAAAGGGGATCCAATTTTCAGATCTCTGGTTCAAATTCGGCGAGCTTCCTTCCGGCATGGACCGGGAGTTTTACAATGCTCGATTGAACGAAGCCAGCTCGATCTATTTTATGAACTTGGTAGTCATGTAAGTTCTATCGTACAAGGTTTAAGGTTGATTCACTAATGGTCATTCGCAGGCAATGGTTTAACCTGATGTCGGTTCGGAACCGCCACCTTTCCATTTTCCAACACCCGCCGTTATTCAATAAGAAGACACAGAATCTCCTTCTATTTCCTGCTATCCTTTTCTCTCTAGGAATTGCAGTCATCTGGCTGTATATCCCAAGTCTTCAAGTCGTCCTAAGTACCGCCGCCGTCCCTGTTGAGCATTATTTCTACCCCGCAACTCTTGGGTTGGGGCTGCTTTGTCTGGACGAGGTTAGGAAAGCATGCGTTCGGCGTTGGCCCAATGGCGTCTTCGCGAAATTTGCATGGTAAGTCAGGGTTCGGGGTGTTTTCAAGGGTGATGCATAATCATATCCGCGCAGGGAAGATTGGACAGACATTCTAGAGAAGTAATAAGTGTTTTATCACCTTGTATGATTCTCCTTTCCCCAATCCTGCTGCTGTAGGAAGCTAGAAACTCTTGTCCCACAAATCTGCAGACCGTGTATATATACATGCACGAAAACCACTTCGAAGGGACATGTTCTCCACCCGACCTGAGACTGACGGCGAGCGATATATACCGGCAAGCCGTGCTTCGGTCGTAAAGTGAAGCTTGGGAGATATTCCATCTCAAAACTGGGCAAAAGAGTTAGGTCGTACCGTCGAAATAAAGTTGCAATAGTCAATGACATCTCAAGCATCGCAAGGTCCTGTCCTAAAAGATGTGGCGCGTTAGAGCACAGATGGGAAAGGAGCATAGAGCGGAGGCCGAACCAAGGCAGCTTCTCCGCCCATACGAGAACGGGAAATATGATCCTCGTGTCTTTCGTTGACTCGATCGCCATCTTTCCGGATTGAACGTGTCCGGTTCTTCCCATAACCTTGGATCACGATGCACTATGAATCCGGGAATTTAGCGAAGGAAACGCGTTAAGATCCTAGTTGTTTCTTGAATAGTTATGATCTTACCGGCTGGATTCCATAGAGCAAGGGTCGTGTTTGCTGGAAGAACGACACCTGATATTTCAGTGTCCACCGGACAGGTTCGAAATGTTCCAAACCCAGTAGAGCTGTACCTTAGAGTCCCCTTGAGAAGCATATTTAGGTACGGGAGTCTAACTTGACTTAGAGACGGAATAAGAACATCGAAAGGAATACTAGCATCCAGCTCGGCACGGAGTTTGGCGAGGATATCGGGATTTCGTAGCTGTAATTTACACCTTGAGGTATTAGGAAGTACACCCTCACGGAAGCGAACGAGATATAAACCTACAACTTCGTAGATCAGAAAGGACATTGTATGTGCGGTTCTGTCTGCGCCAGCAACCAGGAAAGTAACTGCACGATATTTTTGTCAGTGGATTTGATCCGGAGGGACGCCAAAGTGGGTTTTCGTGTATACGTACTGTAGTTGTCGCGAAGCTCCTTGGAGCTGAATGTAAAACTCCCGTCGGGCTCTCTGCGCCTAAGTCTAAATGTCAGAGGCCGATCATTTGCCCCTTGGACCAGGGGCCATACTTAGTCAAAATGTCAAAAATCTTGTTGCTGGCGTTTCCACTGCTGTCCTCCTCCTGGTCATTTTCACTTTTCCGGGCATTCTCTATCGCATTCTCGGCCATCCTTCTCACTTCTGCGATGGCACGATGCATACTTCGTGTCGCTTTGAGGACGGGGAAAGCCGCTCTCAGAGGAAATAGCCCACATTTCATCAGCTCAGGTAGTATAGTATCGAATAATTGCACTATATGGCAGTCCTTGCCCTCGGAGAGCGCGTGGAGATCTGTACCATAGGCAATGTCTCCCATGAAATCAAGGGTAAGGCGAACATGGAGTGAGGAGATGTCTACGGCAGTTTGGTTCGCTGCGGCTTCATCAAGATGCCGGATATAGTTCTGTAAAACTGGTCAATAGGATGACTTGACGACCCGTTTCACATTGAACTTACTGTGAGATGCTTTGAGAAATAGGGGTATTGAAGGTCCACAGTTTGAGGTCGAAAGGCTGGTAATAAGCGCTTCCTCTGTATCTTCCATCTTTGATGGTTTGTTTGCGCGAAGAGGGCGTCTCCATTCAAGGGCCGAAACCCATCATACTGGGCCGAGGCTTTTGGCCAATTCGCAACCAAGATTTTTGCAATCATTGCCGGATTGCCAATGTAGATGACACGCGAAAATGGACCATTCCACTAGCGGAAGTCAGCTAGTTGCGACTGGCTCGAGATGAAGATACTAACAGTTTGGAAGATGTGTCCATACTCCCGATTCCACTGCAGCCACTGTTCCATTGTTAGAAAATAGTTATAGGCATCATTAGAGTGGCGAACCTTTTCATGCACATCATCAGCCATGGTTTGATCGAGATTTCCTGTCCAGAAGTCCTTCACCGGCGGACCTGGGAATTGGGAGCGAGCTCGAAGATAGATGTGTAAAAAACGAACCCCCGAGATAAAGGAAAGAAGCATTACGACGAACAATATCCGGAGTATGTTTTTGTCCATAGGGACGAAGTCGGAGAGAGCCAATTCAAATATTTCAGGAATCATAAGTACCGTTCCTGATATGGGTTAATAATTGAAGAAAAATTCGGAACTGAACCAAGTTGTGCTATCACGGGGAACTTGGAAAAGACAATGGCGCAGCGATGGGTGGACCACAAGTCAAACACATTCATTATGTTCATTACGCGGGGAAGTAACAGCAATATGCAGGCGTACCACACAGCCGACCTTGTAGGCTAAAATGAAGACCGCACATAAGATTCTCATGCCGCCCTGCTCTACCCTGATACCTTCATGGGATGGTGTCATCGAGGAGGGTCGGCTCCCTGGACTGTTTGGAGGGGACAAACCTCTCTTAGAGTGACATGGTGTATGAAGCCTTGCAACTAGACTCTGGGCGTAACCTGGAGTCTGGGGTGAGGGCGCGTTGTACAGTTCGAGCGGGGTCGACGCATTTGAATGTGCAAATGGAGTGGGGGATTGATTCTTTGGGAGGCAGGCTTGCATGGGTGATACATGGATGTCCATCAACATTGGCTGGCAGTGCTTGGAGTGCTTCCGCTACTCTGTCCTTGACCTCTGTATTCCAACGGCGGCTTCCCGAACTATGACCGACATTTAAAGCAGACATGGCTCCAGCTATCATTGCCGTAGTCGCTGGCTTGAACATGGATCTAATTTTCACGGTAAATCGGATGCTGAACGTCGGCGAGTCTATAGATGCCCCATCGCTATTCGTTCATCCTGGAGGCAAAGGCGCCAACATCGCTATCGCTACTTCCCGTGGGTGCCGCCCAAAACCAATACCCAAAGAGCGAGAAGAGGAGTCCGGCGTTGCCTCGATCGATTTCAGCGGCGGAAATAACATCCAAGTTTTCATGAACGGCGCGGTTGGAGACGATGGGTACGGAGAAACGCTGAAAGCAGGTTTGGTGCAAAACGGCGTGGATATATCGGGCCTTGTCACAGTTAAGGGCGAGAGCTCGGGCGTCTGCGTTGTTTTCGTTGAGGCTTATCGCTTACCAGGGCATTAATATGAACTGGAAACCCCGCGATCCTGGCTCGGTCGACTGTCTTGCTGCTGGGTCCACCCCAGAGCTCGTCATCGCTCACTTGGGCATCCAACAGGAGAAGATTTTTCGCGTATTAGAGACAGCGCGCGGAGACGGAGTCGACACTCTCTTGAGCCCGTCACCACCAGAACCACTCATTAGCAACATGTACGCGCATCTTACGCACCTAATCCTAAACCAGACGGAAACAGCGATGTTATCAGACCGCTGCGTCGAGGAGCTCAACACGGTGGCCGCTTGGGGGAATGCCGCTCAATACTTTATTCACCGTGGTGTGGAGAACGTTGTTATCACACTCGGTGACCGGGGAGCGTTTTATGCCACGCATAGAGGGCAAACGGGTCTTGTTGATGCGGAGAAAGGCGTTAATGTTGTGGATGTAACTGGGGCAGGGTGATTTTCATCTCCTTCTTTTCCTGTTCTGTCCCAACACCAAGGGCCTGATTCCTAAGTAAACGAAACCTCACGAACCATTATGCTTATAACCTGCAGCGACACTTTCGTAGGGAATTACGCGGTGGAGTTTGTTAGACAGAAAAAAGTAGGAACGTGGGACATTGAAAAGGCTGTCAAGCACGCCTGCAAAGCAGCAGCTCGTACAATTGAGGCATTCGGCGCTCAGGAGTCGCGTCCTTGGGCTGATGAGATATACCGGAAGTACGTGATGAGACATTGAGGAGGGTGCAGTCAGTTGAACTTTCGTCTATATAAGTTACGGATTCTATCATGCATCTAGATCGTCTTCAAGCCCCAGTGTGATCCGGTCTTAGGATCGTAACACGTGGAATCTAATGTAGAAGGAATCTAATGTGGAATCGAATGTGGAATTTAATGTGGAATCTATATTTGGATTTTATATATGACTTGTCATAATAGGTAATGGGTAGCTGGTAGAACCCATGGGTGGATTGTATTGACTGATATTGGGTTTTGACTTTCTGCTACCTCCCCATACATTCCCTAGACTGCCCGTGGGTTTTATCTACTACACTGCCACCACTTTTCTATACTCATGGGTCAGAGGAGTCACTTAACCGTGTCGGCGCGACAGCTTAATAGGAGAAGGTGTCTTCGGCTCATCATATCCTCGGCGACAGATTTGCGGATAGAAAAATAACAATAAAGGAAGCCTTAAAACCGCTCGCCGAGCCCACAATCCAGTGACGAACTGGTTACATGCCCTTAGACGGTGGGAAGTAGGCCCGGATATTGGTGCACCAGGTTCAAGAACGGCAAGAAAAGCTGCGTCTCCAAGACCTGACCTTCGCCGGCGGCTTCTGCCTCCTTGACGTGCTTTAACAGCTTCTCCCAGCTCCACCACTCCCATCCCTCGCATTTATTTGGCTCCAGAAGCTCTGGCTCCTGCGTGTCATCGACACGCTCACACACGGTAAAGACGGTGATGTAGTGCTTGTTGTCTGCTTTCATGATGTCGTTCGTCGCGGTAAGGTACCGGACGTTGCGAACTTTGAGACCGGTTTCCTCGCTCACTTCGCGAGCAGCACATTCCTCGAAGGACTCGCCAAACTCCAGATGACCGCCGGGGAGGGCCCAAGTCCCTGCGCCATGAGACTTGATGCGCTTCCCCACGACGAAGCGGGGATTTTCGGCCGGCTCTTGAGATGATGCGAGGACAAAGGCAGCAACGCCTACTCGGACGTTGGGCGGGGTAGTTGCCATGGTTAAAGAGGATGATAGTCGATGATGTATCGATATGGGGGGGAAAGTCTGGGAGGAGGAGGAGGAGGATCCGCGAGACAGGACACTCGTTCTTGGCGAACTTGGTGAGTCTGGTTCCACGGGCGTGGTTGGAATTGGACGAAGGAAATGTTGAGAGGTTTCACAAGTCAGTGCCTTAAACAATTGATCTATCTAGCTGGACCGATGTTTATCCGAACATGAAACCCCGCGCCCACGCCCGCGATCGCGTCTATCACAGTCGAAGGACAATCCCTTGCGGACGTTAAGTCCGGGCTCGGTAATAATGGATGAACTGACATCACGAATTAACAGCGATGCTTCTAGTCACGACGCTATTAACATCATCGAGAGGTATCTATTGGGATGAGAAGCAGAGAGCCTCGAGAGACTTGAACTCCAAAGTAGGGCTGGGAGGACCCTTGCATTGGACCCAGAAGGGATCTCCTGTATTGGTTCAAACCTTGCTCTCCCCCCCTCCCCCCCTGCCACTCCTGTTTTGAATTTGGGAAAACCATGGAATCACGTTCTCACTCTGATGGGGGCCATCCTCGCTCCGGCCTCCCTTCGGCTTTGTGGGCAGGGAGTAATACCACCCTGGTACCGACAAAGGAAATCACTGCGAAAATCCTAATAGAAATACAGATTGGCGAACTCGTCAGGCTGTCAGCGACATGGCCCCCTCAGTTCGGAGATAGGCTCTTTTTAGACTCGGGAAGTGCCGACGCCAAAGCAGATAGGGGCCAAGGGAGTGGTAAACTCATTTCCCAGGCCAATCGGATCATTTCGAATCCTGGTTAATGCAGTGCTGACAGCCCTAAGAGCTGCCAATTTGACCCCCTGGCAATCGCCTCATCTTATCAACCTATATTTCTGCCTGTCATAAGGCCCCGAAAGCCCATGTAAACACTCCCTTCCCCCATTCCCATGCCGTGGGGGAAGTTCGTTTCTGAGGCTGTTTGCGTAGAGAAGGAAGCAGGGCGCTTTGCTCGATTAATTTGAATTTTTTCCTACTTTTCTTTTCGTTTTTAATCCTTCGACGAAAGGGCGTGTTGGCAACAACACACATCCTAGACACCAAATGCGTTTCCTTCTTCCCGTGCTCTCCTTCTACACTCTTGTTCTGGCGGCGGATGACCAGTCCATAATCGGTTACTATGTAGATGGAGATAAGAGTATGCCGATTCCTATACACTACTACTCCTTTTGACTCCTTTGCTTGCCGTTCGTCCCCTTCTAACAAGCAGCATCCAGCCATCACCGCGAAATGTACTGGCGAGAGTGCTAGCTTTAGCACAGGAGGGGGAACAGGCGGATGTGTTCACCTGCCGCTAGGGAAATACACCGCAGCTTCCGCGGGTTACTCCTGTTTCGTCGATACACTTTCGAGTCGGTGACGGTAAAGACTGGAGATAATACTATCGTCGATCACGATGCAACAGCTACAACGTGGTCAGTTTTTGGAGGGGATTGATTATCTTTTTTATTCCGTGGTTGGTATCTTGCTGATATGTACCAGCGCCCCGCGTGGTGATTGTGTAACGTTGAGAGTATACGAGGCTTCACCAGACATTTCGCTTGTAGCCAAATTGGTCACATGTGTTGAGCAGTTGGGCCTACCTACGTCTGCTCGATCACTATATCGACAGCCTCCTGGAGCCATAATTACTCAAAAACCAGACTGTGAGTAATGGTCCTTTTCCCGAGCGTGCTTCGGGCTAATAACAACACCCTAGCGAGTTCGGCCGGCGGTTCATCCTCAAGCGGCGACGCCAATGCCGCCAACGGCAATGACGAAGGTGGGGGATCTAGCAAAGCCGGCGTTATTGCAGGTGCAGTCGTGGGATCTGTTTCGGGCATAGGTCTTCTTGCCGGCGCCTTTTTCCCCTACCGGTTCCTAAAGAACCGGCCCAAGCCCGAAATTCCGCCGAATCCAGTCGTCGAGGATGGCCCAACCGGGCGATCGGAATTAGGAGGCCTTGGGAAAACAGCCGAGCAGATTGGGAAGCCTGAGATTGACGGTCAGGAGAAATCGGCTGTCGAATCTTCCGCTGTGTTTGGAACAGGAACCCCTGCAACGGTCGAATTAGGGTCTCCGGGGCTAAGCCCACTGCCTCACGCGCAAGAACTCTCGGCCCAACCGACCGCGGCTGAGCTTGCCAGCTCCACGGGGGCCTATCACTCGGGCTCCATTGGAGAGTTGCCGGCATCTATGGTGGTGTACGAGATGCCTGCTGAGCCATATACGGGCTCGAATCATGATCCTCGAGTGATTCGCACTTGAGGCTAATATAGGCCAAGCAGGGTGAACCCCCGAATTTCAGCACGGCGGGAACTGGGGCATGGGCAGCGGCAGTCTGATAGATCGGTTCGAGGCCGATGGAAACTAGAGCGAGACTCGAGAGGAACTATTTTTCTGATACCCAAACCGGAATGTTAGCCTGACGCCAATACTTTGGCGAAGATAATTATCACCTACCAGCTTCTTCTCAATGAATTCTTATTCTTGCTGGGAAATAGGTTTACAATCTTATCTCTCGTTCCATATCGCAGACTTGCAGGTGTCGCCTGGTGAATCGCTCTCTACCGCCATTTACTGATTCAACGGCTTTGCAAGTGGGTTTGCGAGGTCTTTGGGTCGGAGGTCTCGTTTATCAGCTGGGACCAGTTTAGAAATCCCGTGGGCGTGGCTTCACTTAAGGTGCCGGGAATGCAACCCAAGTCGGCTAACTTAGTCGGCAGCCTGCGTTCCAATTAGGATGTATGCTGATATAGGTATCGAGCAGAAAGAACTCCAAACACCAGTCTCGATATCCCCAACCGCATTTACAGCCCCATTTCCCCCCTTTCTTTTCTTTTGAGCCTAGTCCTCCTTAGATCCTATCCTCTTAGATCTCTCTATTAGCTCTTCTTTTATCTAGTATTATTACCTCTCCTAGCACTAAAATCTACTTTACTTTTTCCTCCACTGGTCTCGGTCTCCGAGCTCTACTCAGCCTGGGGCCGCCCTCTGCCAGCCCCATGTCGTGACAGGAACTAAGCACCTTGAGCGCAGCTGGAATATAGGAAAGATATGCAGCCTCTGTCCTGGATAACAAATCCGAGGGGGAATATGAAGCGGTCCCTATCTCGTATTGCACAATGGCTGCCATTTTGATTAGGTGATATCGATAATAATATAAAATTCCAACTTGCCTTCTCAGCACGGCAGCAGGAGTTTGAAGGAACTGATTTATATCTTTCTCGGTTTTCCTTTTCGATAACAATTCCACTTTCCGGTCAGAATCTAATGGAAGTCCAAAATATGACGTGCTAGAAATAACAAAATTTCCCATCCACGCGCTAATTAATAGATGACGCAGTTACTGGGGTGTTTCTTGTGTCGACGAGGTATTGATCTGGCTTGCTCTGCATTTCAATGGCCCCGGGAAATCCCTTGGATTTGTCATGAATCACCAGGAGTGTCTGACGAAATTCGTCAACGTACGTTATTGCGGTCCGCAATCGGATAGGAAAACTGCTGCCCCTGTTCTTTCAGCAGTTCCAGCCCCAAAGGACTAGGTGTCTGAAACTTGCAGAGAAGCTTGAGTCCGAGACTCAATGCGTTATCCCCGCTAATAATTCATCATTGATGATTGAAGTGATGGACCCCTACATCATTTCTTCAAGTTGGCGTCTGCCCCGCAAATGCTCTGACGGGCATGTTCCCCGCCCGATCTTCCGGAGATATGGGGTGTGTATCATCTTCGCACGCAATTACTCTTCAAACAGAGAGCGGCGCGGTATAAAGATTAAAAAGCATTCCGAGCTGACTTAGTCCTACGGAGACACAGTGTACTTTGAGAATCATTCAATGCAAGCATCAGCCATATAAATCCTGTGATAGTATTCTCGAATTTAGATCCATTCTCGTCGACCAAGCGATAGTTACAGCTAGGATGCCCTGGAACAACGACTCTCTTGGCTACTCTGCCCACCACCTTAAACCGGGATAAAGCGGCAGGAGCCCAGTTCCGAAGACGGAAAGTGGGTTTGTCGTTTGTGGTCAGATCCGCGCGTGAAGAACCGGAAACCTGGAGCCAAGGAGGGTAATCAATATCACAAATCCAGCACGAATACAGAATCGAGGACTTGCCGAACCGATCCCCTCCTCGCCCGGGTTCCGGTTGCGCGGATAGATACCTGTCTGTGTATTGGCCAATGGGACGGAAACGACCTGCCATGCTGCGGGGACCTATAGAGCGCTAGGTCAATGGCACCATCTTTTCAGTGATGGCCACACAGGCGTAACCATCCAGGGATGATGCCGCAATCTGGACGAATTATTGTGTGCTTCAGGACACCGTAAATGGTAGAATGCATAACGCGGTCGCCCCAATCTATTTGAGCTCTATATATGACGGGGGGTTAGAGCCGAACCAAGTGACGACCAGATAATCGGTAACATCTAATTTCGACTCGGAGGTTTCACCTTTAACTCTGTCCTAACGTATCAATCCCAGCATTTCCTTAAAAAATGACGACTACCATCACTCAATCCGAGATGGTCATCAGGACGCAGCCTGAGAAAACACAGTACCCGGCGCCGCTGAAGCTCTCTGGGGCCCTTGATCAGTTCAAGCATGTGGAAGTAACGCCTGTAATTGGACGTGAATATCCCAATGTTAACGTGGTTGACGATATCCTCAACGCCAAGAACTCTGATGAACTTCTTCGCGACCTCGCCATCACGAGTAGGCCGCTGATCTCATTACCACCGGGATTTTTTCTCTCATTAACACCCTGCTTGCTATTAGTATCCCAAAGAGGCGTGGTCTTCTTTCGCGCTCAGGACAACCTGACCGACGATCTCCAGAAGACGCTGGTTCATCGACTTGGTCAGCTCTCTGGCAAACCCGCAGACTCGACCCTCCATATCCATCCCCTCCTCAATAGTACTCACGAATTTGGTGTCGAGGATAACGAGATAAGCACCATCTCATCGGCAGGTTTTAAGTTGTTCCCCCGCCAAGTCCAGAAAAAGGACCGCGATGACAGGAAAGGGGGCGCCGCATCGTGGCACAGCGATATCCAATTCGAGGAATATCCGGCCGACTACACAAGCCTGCGGCTGGTCGAGCTTCCGGCTTCTGGTGGCGACACTCTTTGGGCGTCGGGATATGAGCTCTACGACCGGTTCAGCGACCCATACAGGAGATTCCTCGAGGGTCTGACCGCCACATACACAGGAGAAGGATTTCACAAGGCTGCCCAAGCCGATCCCGAGAGGTTCCAAATCTACGAGAAGCCGCGAGGCAACCCGGCCAACATCGGCGGCGGGCTCACAGCCGTTCATCCCGTGGTGCGAACCAACCCTGTTACCGGGTGGAAGTCGCTCTATGCCATTGGCAACTTCCCTCAGCGCATCAACGAGCTGAGTGCGCGTGAGGGTAGGGACCTCTTGGATCTTTTCAAGAGGCGGATCGAGGAGAATCACGACTTGCAAGTTAGATTCAAGTGGACAAACAAGAACGACCTCGGTAAGTAGTCCATTTCTGGTCGAACATATTCTTAGATCCGGCGACTAACCAATCTCGAAAAAGCGATCTGGGACAATCGCAGTGTCTTCCACAGCGCTACAAATGATTTCGAGCACCTGGGCGAGCGCCTAGGTCATCGCACTGTTGGAATCGGCGAGAAGCCATATTACGATCCCCAAAGCGTGTCTAGGAGCGAGGCGCTCGGTTTATAATTTTATAGGAAGGAAGTGACTAAGGAGAATTATGAAGGAGAATTATGTCCTAATAACAAACGCTTTCAGTCTACGTACTTGGAACCATGAAATTCTCCCCGTGGCACACTAGTAATCGTACTAAAAGTCTACCCGATGAGGATGTACTCATCGGGCTGGAAGCGACACCAGTCGGGCAGACTCCGGTGAGCATCGCCAATCATTCATCGAGGAGGCCAAGGCCACCGAGCCTCTGAGGCAGTAATAGGAAGATTGTAGAGAGCTGGCGGTCAAGGCGTCTCAGTCGCCCGCGCGAGCATGAGTTTCTCCCAAGGCTCTCCGATACGAAACGTAACTTTTGTCCCTCACGTTCGGAAGCTAACAGCCCTGTGCCCTGCGTAAAAAAACAACGGAAAACGCGATCTATGCATTCACTGTCGTGAACGATCATCTTCCTAACCCTGAGCGATGTCGCGAGCATCTTCACCATGAATACGATCGACAGTGATATGCCGCATTGACAGACAGTGCGTGTATTGGGCGACGGCACGGATTCCCTTGGGATCTAAGGGATGAGATTTCGTGTGAATTGCCATCCATCCGTCTTCTAACACCTTTAACTATCTAAATAGAGAGCCCTCCTATATCATCGCTTCCTCTACGCCTTTAAGCGCTCCAGGATGTATTCAACCATGATCCTCCATCCGGCTTGCACCGCAGGCATCCCAGGATTGTTCCCATCAAACGTCATAAAGGCATGAGGCGCACCCGGCACAAGCTTAAACAGAGCTTCGTTACCAGCCGTCAACCATCGGAAATGCATCAATACCGAATCGTCGATGAGCGAATCCTCCGTACCGACGAGGAAGAGCGCATGGCACAGCCCCCGCAGGTCGTTATATGCTGGTGATATTTCTGGTGCTTTGCGATCTTCACAAGGGGTGCTGGGCATAAAAGCATTTAAGAAGTTGTACATCGAGTCCGTGGCGAGGATGGCAGTCGCTTCTGGCCGAGCGAGCCGTGCGCTCGGGAGGTACGTCAGGTCGAAGCAGCCGTAGTTCAGAATTGCGCCCTTCAGATGGGAAATGTAGCCGATCGAACGGAGATAAAAGAGGACCACAGCAGACAAAGTTCCTCCAGCGGACTGATTTGATGCATTTTATTGTCAGAATAGCGGAACACCACCCATCCGTATCGCATCCTGGGAATATCACTTGGAATGGATGGGGTGCCCTCGGGGGGTGCGGGGACTCGGGACGAAATGAACTTACTTCGCCACCAACAAATGCGAGATCGGCTCCAAACTATTACAAATATTGTCAACATAAAGAGATCGATTACATCCTCAGGGCTTGCCCGGCTATGAATATTACCTCCTTTTTGCCGTTCTCCACGAGCCAGCCTGCGAAGTCCACCACATCGTGGTATGCAGCTGGGTAAGGGTGCTCGGGGGAAAGGCGATACTCAACAGACACCACAGCGAGATTCGCTTTTGCCGAGATATGTTCAAGAAGCAAGTCTTGCCTAAACGGCGGTAAGTCTTACGCCACAAGGGTGGGCAATCGACGGCGTATATTCTGTTTCCTCTCTTACATACCCAGCAGATGACCCAAGAACAAAACCGCCGCCATGGATATGATAAAATAGGCCGGCCGGCTCACCCTCCTTGGGGCGGAATACGCGATAGCGAAGAACGCTAGTAGCACCATCCCCACGAGTCGAAGCGCAGATCGCTACGCCATTCGTGCCAGATGGGTGGACAGGCGCCGGGGGGAAAGGTGTTTCGCCCTTCGCACGCCGCTCCCTATATCTTTGGGCGCCGATCTAGGTTCCAAAACAGGGTCGGTTAACTCATTGCCATGTCGGATTAATCTTCTTCCCATTGGGGTGAGTCTATGGCGGGCGACAGAGCGAGATCCCAACATCCGTGGCGATCGTAAATGCACTCACATCCCACCATTTTTGATCCTTCAGTCCTAGCTCGATTAATTTCTTGTTCAAGCTCACGACAACAGGATCAATGTTCTTCTCCTCAAAGGCAGACAGGTTGTAGACGATGTCTGACTCGGTAGACATGATGGGCAATGCAAGTTGCAATCTCGAACGACTTTCGATTCGATGTGTTGGTTCAGTATTCAGGGCTCGACGCAGCTATCATAATTTATCAAGAGATTGGAGGTAGGGAATGGATTGGAGAGCCACTTTATTTCGAGAATGTCCTACATGGCTGCACAATCACTAGTGTGTCTCTCAGGCCTGCATATTCTCGGAAACCAGGCGCCGAGCGGGGTTGCGGCTTACCCAGCCGGTAGTTGATTTGGATAGCTAGTCCCCCGAGGATCGGATCGTCCGTTCATGAACCCAAAGCCATGGAATGGTAAAACGACCCTGTCCAAGCCTGGCAGTATGGATCATAATTACTACATCATGGGTGTGGACACGCCCGGAATGCCCATGTTCAGCGTGAGACTCGTCATGTGCAGTTATTGCAAGGGAGGTGATACCCAGTTACCGAACTTCCCGCGGATCAAATCCTGGGACCCGCGGAAAATTCGGGCCAAGGACGGAGGGGTCGTCTCCAAACAACCGGGGTATTAACAGTATTAAGATGGGCTTTGGAGGTAAACTTAATGATAGGTACAGCAATTTAATAAAGGAGAGGACATGCAATTTCTATGTCTTGAAGCTGATCTATTGTGTAAAGGTAGAATCTGGGCGTGTAGATTCGCATCATGTCGGAATTGTCCATTACCGAATCCTCTATCGGCGATTTAAGAGGCAAAGTTGCTATTGTCACTGGTAAAGTTACTCTTTTCTTTTCATTCTTGCCTTACGTGAGGGCCAGCGATAAACAGGGGGGTTAGCTAAAGAAGTTAATTTGTTTAATGTAGGAGGTGCCAGTGGTATTGGCCAATGCATCGTCGAACTGATTGCCAAGCATGGCGGAATTGTTGCATTTGGTGACCGAAACAAAACCGCCGGAGAGTCTCTAGAAAGAAGACTCCGGGGCGCGGGCTCGTATGTATACATTTGTCTCCTCGCACCATAGAAGAAAATAACCCATGCCTTGCCCCTGCTATCGACGTGTTTTCGACTAACAAGTTTCCGTACAACAAGAACCGTACGATTCTTCCCCGTCGACGTAACGGATTGGAATGCTCAGAGTTTCTTATTCTCTCAAACTCGTGATGAATATGGCCATATCGATCTCGTGTTCGCCAACGCCGGCGTCGGCGACAACAACGATACCTTTACCGACACACTAGACAGCGAGGGCAATCTTCAAGCGCCGGATCTCTTAACCATTCATGTAAATGTTATCGGCGTCATTTTCAGTAAGGGCCGTCACATCTTCGTGCGCAGCACTCCCACTAATCCTTGTATACTTCTGTTCAAACAGCCAGCAAACTCGCACTACATTATTTCAAAAAGAACCCAATTCCCGGCGGCGGTCTTGTGATGACAGCTTCCACCTCTTCCTACAACGAACGTCCGAACATCCCTGTCTACTCCATGGCCAAGCACGGCGTCATCGGACTCATGCGTGCCTTGAAACACAACGCTCCCAAGGATAATATCAACGTTGGGGCCATCGCCCCGGGGGGAACAGGAACGGGAATGTTCACATCAGTTGCTGCAGACGCTTTCCGTGCTCTCGGGATCGGTCTGAACAGTGCAATGTCGGTTGCTACGGCAGCAGTGTATTTGGCGAACAACAAGGAAACCAACGGCAAGGGTATTACGATCATCGGAGAAAGATATACGGAGGTAGAGGATGCTATATCAGCTCATCAAAAGTTATGGTATGGCGAGTACAACACAGAAATGGCAAGGCGGGCTGCGGGAGTGAGGCTGGATCAGCTTGCAAACAACAGTTGAACGTGCTTATGAGAGTTTTTTTTGAACGTATCCACAGGCTACCTAAGGGCTCATCTTTATCTTGGCCAGATATGGAGACTTCGTAGTAGAATTTATTTAAAGTTATTTATGTGCATTCTCTGGGGATAAAACATGTAAATCCAGTCAATTTGCAACGCATGCTTGAGCTCCCTACCGGAGCCTCGGTATTACCTTTTCCTGGCGGACTACGCCCGCGACGCTGTTTTTCTCGACCTTGGAGAAGGGGCTAACATCATTAGCAGAGAAAATTAGACCCGGGGAAATCTTCCATGCTATGGCGTCTGACGTCGGCGTAAGCGAGTTAGAAGCCCGATATTCAGGTTGGAGAAATACATGCGGGGAAAATGCGGAGGTGGCGCCCGCGGCAATGCAACACGATTATGTTTTGCCCTAAGGAGAACCGCGCTTTCGGATCGTGTGGGGTGCAGAATATCCGAATGAACCGACGATGGAATATTGAGCCGGGGATATGCAGAGTGACTAGAAAGTGCATGAAGAGTTGGAGAGATACCGAGTTAGGACACCCATTTTGGCAAAAAAAGCAATAATTGAATTGCCTAGGCCTCTTGGCCCCTGGGAGCCAGCCATTGGCTACAATCCTGTGCAAGTGAAAGCTCGATCGGAGTATAAAGCAACTTCGCAGTATCTTGATATTATCGAGTGTTCGTTTCATCATCTTTCCTTTGCTCAAACTTGGTTGGACGGAATAGTCTCGTCGAGTATATTTGTTTTGTTTATGCGTGCCTGTCGTTGCTTCGCCCGAACCTCTTCTTCCCCGATAGCCTACTGTACACTACACACAGGAGAACACAGTACGCGTTTCGTGACTGCTCATCACTCTGACGATGGCGACCCAAGAGCCAAAGAAGACCTCTATTCCGGAAGACATCCAGATAGAAACCACTGGCGATCTAGAGGCCGTGGATGTTTCCGGAGAGAAGGTTGAGAACGGCGGGCGTGACTGGACTGACAAGGAGGAAAAGGTCCTCGTGTAAGTGACACCTTCCACGAGGTCGGAAAACGTTATATATTATGCCTCATTTGGGGCTGTATGAAGACACAAAGAGCGCAAACCAAAACCGAGGGGGCGCGATTCACTATGGGAGAGTTTCTAACAAAACCATTCTTTTTCTTAGCCGTCGGATCGACTGGCGTCTGCTCCCTATGCTATGCATAGTGCTAGGGCTCTCGCTGATAGACCGTACCAATATCTCTTCTGCCTATGTAATTGGCATGGGTGATGATCTGCAAATGAAGAAAAGTGCGCACTATCCCACTTTCTCCCCAGCTGTTCGACGCACCAGGCACACTGACTGTCTGCACTTGACGTGCCCCATTGGTATTCTAGGTAGCCGATACTCTATTGCTTTGCTAGTATTCTTCATCACATACGGTATTTTTGAAGTCCCGTCCAACTTAATCATTCGTCGCATCGGGGCCAGGGTATGGCTCGCTTTCCTGATTACCGCGTGGGGCCTCTCCGTTCTTGGTATGGGCTTCGCTCGCCATTGGACGGCCATCGTGGCTTGCCGGGTGCTACTGGGGCTTTTTGAGGCAGGATGTAAGCATTCCTCCCCGATTCCATTGGTGAAACCATGATATCCGCCGCCTGCAGATTGCAAACTGTCACAGAATAACCCACTAATAACGCCCGATCTAGTGATGCCCGGTGCCGTTTTCATTCTATCCTCTTGGTATACGAAGTTTGAGATGGCCCGGAAAATAACCATCTATATCATGGTAGCCATGATCGGAAATGCATTTGGGGGGATTGTGCGTTATTCCAGATCCCAACCTCATATCTACAAGCTGGAAGTATAGGCTGACACTCTTGTTTGCTTGAAAACAGCTTGCGTATGCCTTCTCTCGCATCAGTGTCGGCGACGGTATTTTCTCTCGTGGCTGGAGATGGATTTACATTATTGAAGGCATTTTGACGGTTGTTGGGGGAGCGGCGGCCTTCTTCTTGCTAGGGGACTGTTAGTGTCTTCCCCACCCCTGATGTCTCCTCTTCCATTCACCCCAAATAGCCTTTTCACACAATCTTACGTGGATATCGCAATAGTCCCCGAGAAATCGAAGTGGCTCACCACCCGTCAGCGCCATATTGCAAGCAAGCGCCTCAAACTTGACGGTGATCATGGCGAATATCGCCATGTCACCGGAAGCGAGGCATGGCATTATATATTGGACTGGAAACTCCTCGTATAGTACGTCAAAAACCCTCTCAATCGCTTCATATCCCCAAAGCCCCTGGTAGAGCCCTTTGATTAATTTGGATAGCTCACTTCTTTACATGATGAGCAACTCGAGCATCTACTCCGTGGCATTCTTCTCGCCCATCATTATATCTGATGGCATGGGCTTCGACTATTCAACCACTCTGCTGTTGACATCGCCTCCTTGGGTAAGTGCACCGGGGATGCACAATTATTGAAGCTCAGATCAAAGAGGTAATCATACGCATACTGATTGGGGCCCTAGGCATTCTGCATCATCATGTCCATTGCGGGAGCTTATCTGTCTGACAAGTATCGACTACGATGGCCGTAAGTCTCCTTAGCCGAAGAAAATCTCATTGCAGGCGTTCGCTCCACTCACACTTCGTCATTAGTCTTATCACATTCCAAGCAATCTGCGCGTGAGTCTCCGTTTAGTTGGATCTAGGCGTCTCCTCCTCTATTATATTGGACAGCTGCTTGAATTGGCGATGCACAACAGACTAATGGGGTATCCCGCAATAGTATGGTTGGCCTTCTATTAATTCTATATGCCAAGCCTGTTGGAGCTAGGCTATTCGGGTAAGACTCCTGGTGCTATTCTCTTCCTTCATATAAAAAAAAAAAAAAAAAAAAAAAAAAGAAGCTGACTGCTTTCGTAGAGTGTTCTTGGGAACTTATGGAGGACAGTCAAACGTGTAAGTAACCAAGCCAAAAATGCTCTACACAACCAACGGTGGGCGTTCTAACAAACATGTGCGCATGGCATAGTCCTGCAACCCTCACGTACGCCACAAACAACACACCCAACCTCAATAAGCGTGGCGTAACCACTGCGGTCATTATCTCAGCCGGTGCTATTGGAGGTGTCTTGGGTGGTACTATCTTCCGGTCCCAGGATGCCCCAATGTACTTGCCAGGCATGTGGTAAGGAACCTGACTTGCCCTCACTTGCGTTAAATAAGAAGTAGGTTACTGATATCGTCTCCTATTGGAACCAGGGCGACGATTGCCATGCAAATGGCAAATATCTGTCTGATTACTTTCATGACGTTTTACTTCAAGCATATGAACAAGCTCGCCGACGAGGGGCGCGTTTCCACTCTTGAGGGTGTGGAAGGCTTTCGATACGTCATTTGATACCAAACTCGTCCATACTCTACGATACGCTGCGCAGTCAGTAAGCACGAATCGACTAGTGACTACCGTTCGTATCGAAGAAGCTCTTCTGGAAACGACTGCTCTAGAAGTATGGGCAGAGAATTGGAAGGGCATGCATGGAAAAGATGAGGTCCTACGAAACCATTCCCAGTCTCCACTGTAAAGGATGCTTCGATATCAATTCCTTGATTTCCTTGTTCGTCACACCCAGGATTTAGTATCAATACATTTTTTACGTATGGTTCGACATTTCTATTACAGACTTCATTCCCCTTTCCCGTTACGGCGTTCTCCATCTCGAAGAAGGCCCTTAGACCTGTTCAATCCCACAGCCCATACCGCGACGTAACTACACGATTAATCTTTGACTACGAGTCGGGTATATATATCATAGCGTGTATTTCAACAAGCCAAGACAATAGCGTTCGTTTTAAACCAGGCGCACCTCATAATTTCCTCTACTACACCCATGTACGCCCAGTCTTTGGAGTAAGGGTACTAAGAAAGCTCTTCTGTTCTACATGTGTTTCCCGGATGAAGGCTGGTCTCCGGTGTCAGTGCTAACCAATCCAGCCCGACCAATGGGGAGACTTGTTGCCGGATCTCTACTGGAACCAAACCACCGGTAAGTACGTATTATCAGGATTCCGGGGTAGATGCGGCATATGCATACATGTAAGCCTAAACTCTACGAGTTAATTACTCCTAGACGGGGCTAGAAGTCGGAGGCTCCACGATGTATGATGTGCATATTCCTGCGCTAGTCTGTCCCGAGTTTGCCGAGCCGCGGGTCGGAGAATAGTGATGGTAATATTGAAACCTAACGCGAGTACTAGTCGGCTAAACGCATCGTTTGCATCGATCTATCGGCGAGCAGGTAATTAAGAATGGGAGCGGCCCGACAGATAATCAACAGGTATATTGGGAAGTTTTATTCGAATGCATCCCCTTCAATTCTTCAAGGAAGTGTCCGATGCCATCAAGAATACGAAACCCGCCAAGCATACTGCAACTAGCGCTTCCCGACAAACTTGATCCCAGTAGCTATTATGGCAGCGAGAACTCCGGCTCTTCCAGTACTCGACCTATTCCGTCTTGACGGAAAGAATGCCGTAATCACCGGCGCAAACAGTGGCATTGGCAGCTGCATGGCCATCGCGCTTGCCGAAGCGGGTGCAAACATCATAATCATTCAGATTCCCAACGACCCGGAGACAATCACAAAGGACGCACTCGCCAAGCTGCCAGTAGAGACGAGCGTCTACGACTGCGACTTGACGGAGGTGGACTCTATTCGGAAAACCGTAGCAGAAATTGCTGAAAGAGATAGCCGGACCATCGACATTCTTGTCAACTGTGCCGGTGTCAGCGGCCACAGGCCCGCGCTGGAAGTGGACGATGAATTCCGCGAACGCATCTTCAAGGTCGACATGACTGCCACCTATGTCATGACACAGGAGGTAGGGCGGCGCATGATCGCCCGCGGTAAAGGTGGCAAGATCCTGAACGTCTCGTCGCTGGCAGCACTCCGGGCATTTAAGAACATTTCGGCCTATGCTGGTGCGAAGGGTGCCGTGAACCAGTTTACCTCTGCTTTTGCGAACGAGTGGGCTCAACATAACATACAGGTTAACTGCTTGTGTCCGAGGTATGTCTAAAGCCGGTTATTTTCTTTCCCGCCGGCGTTCGACAACTAATAAACTTGGAACAGTTGGATCCTCACTCCTCTTACCCAGAAGTATGTTGAGAAGGAGCCCGAATTTGATCGAATGGTGGTCTCAGGAAGCCCGTCGGCTCGGTGGGGTTATCCAGATGACTTCAAAGGAGCCACGGTTTTCTTTTGCAGTTCCGCGTCTAATTTTATTACCGGAGTCAAGATGCCCCTTGATGGTGGGCGACACAATATGTGTTGAGATCGCCATGTGTTTTATTCAACATCGGGGTTTGACGCTAAGTATATTGAACATATAAGTATGTATGTTTCGTGGAAAGGTCCGAATTTAGGATGATTACTTGTCGTAGGTCAGTGAAGCGGTGTAGGCGTTGAGAAGATTTGGTGATACCGGGTTCTGTTGGACTGACTGGTCGATGATCTCGCAGGGGCTTGGCATCGCGTCGAACGGATCGGTCTCGGCGCGCCACGGACGCTCCAGGAGTGGTGGTCCCTGGACGTCGGGTCCACCAGCATTTGCGGCATAGTCGGAGGTAGAACGGCTATGAAGTATATGGGAAAATATCAGAGTTGTACGAAGCATAGTTTCAAGCAGCTTATACATAATTAAGTTGAGAACGGCATCGAATTCAGAAAGCTACGTCGCTACTACGACCTGATTCTCCAAAAAAGACGGGGTATCTCTATCGATTGCGACTCAGAAAGAGATCCTACTACAAGAACGTTTCCGTTGCCGAGATATATTAAATATCTGCCATCTTAAATGCCCTCCAACATGCAATAAAATACAATAAGTGGAACAGTGGAAACGGAGAATGTGACACTTCATTAGAAGAGGAGGTCACTAAACTCTTCACCATCCAAATAAACGTTCAGATCAGTGTCACATAGTTGAGCCAGATCATCTCGAGTCTCAGTAGTGGCACGGCTTTTCTCATTCCTCTATTAGCGCCCGTTTCTGCATTGAGAATTTAAGATCGGATGGCGGGGACTTACGATGCTATGCTGGGTAGCGTGATTGGAAGCCCGAGTGTTCCACCATACGGGTTGGTGCAGGCTGTGAAATCTAGACCCGCCGGGAAGATATCCATTATTGCAAATTGCATGAGGTCGCTTTGATCTTCCTGCATCTCCGTGTCCCCGAGATAGCCTCCCTCGTTACATGTCACTTGTTCTTGTCTCAGATCGGATGCGGGTACCCTCGCTTGGGAAGGAGCTCCGTGGACAACGTCAAGAGGACTAGAATCTGCCACGGGAGTAGCTGACGTGCCTGAGGCCCCCACACCTAGTTCTCTTCTTGTCAACTGCGGTGGATCGGTGGCATTTCCTCGGCGCCCTATTGGAGGCCTTGTGTCTGCGACGGCCGCACTAGTTCGCGAAGTGTTGCTAGATGGTACCGAGTCCCACGCCCCAGAGGCTAGAAGTTTTGCCCTCGCCTTGGCGAATAAGGAGTATATGAAATCCGCCGCCCAATACGTCTTTCGAAGTTCTGATAGGACAAGCATGCAGATGTCAAGCTGCAGTCGACCGACTGAACGCGTTAAAGCGTCGCTGGAGATGGAGCAGAGGAGGTTTATCTGCAATGCAGGTATAAGTGCCGTAACCCTAAAACGATCATGGCATTAGCACAATCTAGGGAGACCATACGTCGGTCCCCATCCCGCATTTACGGGTAAGGTTGCGGAATTGTCAATGGTTCGGGTGCGTACATCATTGGATGGCAGATGTCAACAGTCTGTGATGCAATGCTCTTGTTCAGTATGCTGTTGATATTAGACGCTGCTGACTTGGCTCGTCTTGTGGCTCGGAGACGCCAGGCCTCTTCAATGAAGATCTTGTCGCCACTCCGAGTAATGTATGGCCGGTGAAGGCCAATCGTCGCCGCCCTTCGATAGCAATTGTCAGAGACAACCAACGCCATGGCGCACGGAAACCGATTGCCAAATAGCCAGGAGCAAGCAAATAGCAGGAGACGGAACTGAACTCACTCGTAGTAGATACAGAGGTGGTACAAGTGAGCCAGAAGAACACGGTTCTCAAATTCCTCCTCGCTTGGAAAGTTTGCGCGACACTTTACCAGCTCCTTGCGATCCCTCTCAATGAGGATCGCAATTGGTGGCCCAGGAGGGTCTTCTGACGCAACTTTCCTTACGCGATAGTGTGTCCGCAATATCTGACCAAGGCAAAGACTCAACTCAAAGAAACCCTGCCACATTTTTGGAAGGGCGTGGCTTGTATCATTTGGCAAGTAGCTCTCGGCTTCCTTAGGCTGCAAACCATCGTATAGCGCTCGCACATCGGAGGCGGTGGGCATTGGCATGTCGCAGTCATCGAGATGAATGCGCATTGGGCGACCCATACCAAACGATAGCCATGCGTCCCGAACATAACACATCCACCATATGAGTCGCCATAAGCGGTACTGTTCGTTGGATAGCGGTTGATCGTTAAAATTGATTCTCGAGACCGTCGTATTCGTGCTGATGGGGTTGCGGTGTAAGCCGATGCTCTGGCTGAGGCTGATTGCGATGCCGTGCCATTGCCAAGATCCCTCTCTATCGTCCTCCTCGGCCAGCCAGAATGAAAGAAGTATGACGGACTGAATCAACGGAATCTTGTCCTTTTCGTAATCCGCATCATATAGAGCCTTGAGAGAGGAATGTTTAGTCTGAAGGTTTCTGGGATAGCGTAATTTGGTCGGAAACCCGCTCACCTTTGCACGCTTATAGAATGATTGCTTCATCATTTTGCGGGATTGAAATCCCGCCTTCTGAATTGATTCGTCGTCGAGGAACTATAATGCACAAACTCTGTTAGGGAAGAAAAGCCGGAAACAACAACTCCCAAAAGGGGCCCGTTTCACAGGGGTACAGAGGCACAAACATGGCAACCTTACGTTGACACCCGCAAAGAGGATGCTCCAGAAAAGGAGGAGGTTGACCTTCTTCGGCCCACCCGTATTGTACCGAGTGAGAAAGTCGCGAACGTCAATGATGGGCATGAACGGATGGACATGATGGAAGAAACTTTGAAGCAGGCGACATCGAGTATCTTCGTTTGGTAGCAAGAAGCATCCCTTGTCTTGTAACGTTGCAAAATCGCGTGCCGAAATAGCCTTCGTCGCTGCACGGGGCACAACATAATGTCGTCGCGGAGCTTCCCGGTTCGGTTCGCAAATATCAACCACCATAGCGAGCCCTTGCGGCTCCCCTAGGACGCGAAAATGTAAGAATATATGCGGCAGCATGTGGGGAAATTTTCAAGTGATAACGGCGTTGCAGAGTTACAGAGGCCTCATCATTGAAACATACCGACATAGATTATTCCGTCCGATTCGCCACGATCTGTATGGTCAAGAATGGCCGAATAGACGGCCCCGGGAGCCGGGTCGTCTTGTTGACCTTCTAGTGACTCGGCGTCTCCTGTGGTACTTGCGGTTTCAATTTGGCAGCTTGAGGAAGGCGAAGTATCGTCTTGGAATTGAGCTCCCGGAATGGACTCGGGGGTCCAAGGTTCCGTCGAGGCTACCGGTTTGGTTGCCGTTCCATCAAGTGGCGATTGGCCCTCTACCCCGTCCCCATTTGGAACGCGGATGTCTGGTCTGGTTGTAACGGCTGATATTGACGAGGAACCGCTCGATTGATTCCCTTCGGTCAGGATCTTGGCCAATCTGTACGGAGGAAATATGTGAATACATCCCGCTCAGACACCGCTCTCATGCGGAAACAATGAAATCGGTCCTATCCTTACCTTAACCGTTGTATGCCTCTGCCGCGAGGGACGATCCGGCATGGAGTGCCGTCTTCCACACAATTGATGCAGGGTGGCCCGGAGTGGACGACATTACATCGAACTTTTCTTTCGCGACAGGATTGGCAGGCAAGTGCGGCACGCTTCCTCGCTCGGCGGTGAGTCTCTACCCGGTTCCCATCTAAAATCGGTTCAGGCGATCTGCACGAATTCGAATTGGCCAGTATTATTCCCGTACAATCGGATGGGGATTCCGACGGTGTAACACGCGTCGATACCATCTTGTCACTGGCGTATTGGATATAACCGTTGTGGCTGATTGCAAAATTTCAAGATGGTATGGGCTATCAGGGGCAAAGAAGGGAAGAAATCTCCAAAGGAACTCAGGGTCAGCAAGACCAATATGGGTGCAGCGCATCCCAGTGCGCGCTGGGCGCCTAGACCAGAGAAGGCAATAGACCCAAGGCGTGACTTAGACACTACACTACACTAGTTCCGGTCGCTACATGTCTGTACTGATGTCAAGAAGCTTTGACTTCTTGGTGAAAGCTGGTTCTCTGCAATGTCACCAAACACCTTCCTTACCCCATACCCAGAAAGTGTGGGGGAGTGCGGGGAAGACGAACGCGCTAGCATGAACTAGTGATGGTCGGTAAATGGATGTTAGAATGACGATTGACAACCGAAGAAACTTGCGGGGAAGACCTGACCCTGTCGGATCAAAACACTCCTGAACCCGAACTATCCGCGGATGAAAACAGATCCTGATTGGCTCGATGGGGCGGCTTCGGTCCAGTCGGATACATCGCCCTTGGCACTTCACACTTTACGCTTGTATTGAGCAGACGAGGGCCCATAGCCATTCCACAGTATTATCTGTCACAATATATCCAAAGAGTCTAGCAATGCCAACGCTTCGCAACTGCTACAGTAGATTCAAGGTTGTCCCTGCCCGTGGAAACAACACACTCCATACCCGTGATTTCTGGCCGAGTCTCATGATGAAATTCACGTTAGCTTCTTCCAAGGCAGTTTTCCGTCTTCAGTCTGGCTCGGAACGTTGAGCGCAGTGTTGAATCTCCGAAAGCAGCAATGTAGCATCGATCCTCAGTGCAGCCCCATTTCGGTAAAAGAAAGCAAAGGGTGGAGAACTTCCGCTGAGAACATTTGCGTGTACCTGTGTATGCCGGACTTGGATTCGACGGTTCCTGCTCCCTCCTGAGCCGCGGCTGAAGACTAGACTTCAGACCCTTCGCGTAAAAGAGGATGTATGTCACTTAACTAGTATCTGCTTGCTCCTCGGAGACTATAATACGGGTTGCGAAATATGTATGCGGGTGATCTTGTTCTTGGGGGTTTTATTCAAGGTGCATTTGAGCTATCATTCCATTTCAATCTCCCCTCCCGAACCAAACTCCATTCCTTCAAAAACAGGGTTTTGATCTACCATCTATTATCATCCTGCCTACCATGTCACCATCGACCGTGCCCGCCTCTTCCTTCGGCCCCGACCCGGAAGCCCTCGAAAAGGCTCTCTCTGAGTTTGAGCACGACAACGAGTGGTATAACCGCAGATTTGGTAATTACACCATTACCGAAGAGCCCATATTCAAGAAACGCGCTCTTCGGGTCATTTGTGTCGGCGCCGGGGCAACTGGGTTGGAAGTTGCCTACAAGTCCAAGAGATTGCTGCAGAACGTGACACTGCAGATATACGAAAAGAACGCCGATATAGGGGGTACCTGGCTCGAGAACCGATACCCAGGGTGCACTTGTGACATCCCCAGTCACAGCTAGTATGTTCAAGGCTCCTTATGCTCTCCTTGGTTTATGGCCCTTCCTTCGCCTTGTCTGGGAGTCATCCTACCTCGGCAGCCCATCTTTAGTCGCCCAAAATCAGCGGCGAGAGTCTCGGCCCTGGGTTCTCCCCAATTCAGAAACGTGATGACAATAATATTTCGACATTTGCTAACCACGAGGGTCCTTTTCTTCTTCCCGTAGCCAATTCGCCTGGGCGCGAAACCCGGAGTGGTCCCACTATTACTCACCGAGTCCCGAAATCTGGAAATACTTCAAGGACGTGGCAGTCAAGTACGATTTGGAGAAATACATAAAGTTCTCTCACCGTGTCAAGTCGGCCCGGTGGGATGAAGAGGCCGGGCTATGGAAACTCTCAATTACTGCGCCCGACGGAGGCGAAATCACTGATGAGTGTGATATCCTGATCAATGGGACCGGTGTCCTCAAGTAAGTCCCCTGTCACCTGATTTGGGTAGCGTTTTATCTACATAAATTACCAAGGAACTAACACGGGACCAACAGCTCCTGGAAGTATCCTAACATCCCAGGGATAGACATTTTCAAAGGCAAACTGATGCACAGCGCCAACTGGGATGTAGACTATGATCTATCTGGAAAGACAGTGGCCGTTGTCGGCGGAGGTTCGTCGGCAGTACAGATCATTCCGAGCATCCAGCCAAGTATGTCTAACGGTTCCCGCTGATGCCGCGGCGACCATGATTTGATAATGAGCTGATAGCTAATACTGCGAATGGAACTCAGCCGTCGGAAAGCTGGTTGCGTTTCTGCGATCTCCGGTTTGGATTACGATGGGATTTGGCGTCAAGTTCGCAGGTCCCGGCGGAACCAACTTCAAGTGTGAGCAATATTACATCCGTATCGTTGTACTCGACGGCAAAGATTCCTAGCCCGCGAATTTCTTTATCTATTCTGACTAGCATACGGGCTTAGATACTGAAGAACAGATCAAATCATTCAAAGAAAACTCCGAAGAGTACGACAAGTATTGCCGGGATCTTGAGGGTGAATTGAACAAGAGGTTCACATTGGTAAGGTTATCTCTTCTTTTTCCACAGCTGCTACCATTCGCATCCTAACCGTACCTTTAGAATCATTCCTTCAGTCAGGACCAGGATCAAACTCGAAGCATGATCACAGAGCAGATGAAGCAGCAGCTCAATAACGAGCCCTTGGCACAGCATCTCGTCCCACACTTCGCACTAGGTTGCCGCCGCATGACTCCGGGATCGGGCTACCTCGAGTCACTTACGAAGGAAAACGTCCAAGTTGTCACTTCCTCCGTCGCACGATTTACCGAAACCGGTGTTATCGATGATAATGGCCACGAACATAGCGTTGATGTCGTCATCTGTGCAACAGGATTTGACGCATCTTTTGCGCCGCCATATGAAGTAATCGGACGAGGCGGTCTGCCCCTGAAAGAAAGATTTGGCGACTTTCCTCGGGGATACCTATCGATTATGGTTGACGACTACCCGAACTTCTTTTGTGAGCACTTCCAAGAACCCTGATGCGTACCTTCGCAGACCCTTCCCAATTTCTTCCTGCCCCTCTAACTAACGTAAATCAGTGGTGCTCGGCCCCAACGGTCCCGCAAGCCATTCCTCATTTCTTCCTATCATCGAATGGCATACGCGGTACATCTTCCAGGTCATCGACAAGATGCAGCGGGAGAATATCAAGGCCATCAGTCCCAAGCCGGAATGCGTGCGTGACTTCTTCCAGCATACTCATACCCTCATGCGCCGATTGGTCTGGTCCGCTCGATGCAGTTCGTGGTTTAAAAATGGCAAAAAGAATGGGCCGGTGACCGCCATCTGGCCCGGCTCGCGCCTCCACTATTTTGAGGCTCTAAAGACGCCTCGTTATGAAGATTTCGAGATCATTTATCGAAGCGGTAACCGTTACCAATACTTCGGAAACGGATACACCGTGGTTGAGACCGAGGAGGACGGGAATCCAGTTTGGTACTTGGATGACCCGTTCCTCAAGGTGTAGGCTTTCTTTCACCTCGAATAGTGATAGAACCTAGTTGAAAAACAATGTATCTAGATTTCGTCGTTCACTGAGTGTATCTTGCGCCTTAAAGTCGTGTGCTGCTGAATGCGCAAGATAACCTACGTACCGTCGTCAATCGCCTCTCGAGGGTGTTGCGATTTCTCTATAATTACGTACTCAGGATTTCGTACATAGCGCGTAAAACTAGGCATGGATTCAACTATATTATCTCACACTTCGAAGCCAACAACCCACCCAGCTTGTTTGTAGAATCTGATGACTTTCCTGCGTGCCTTTGGTTGTCCGATTCACAAGGAGGGATGTACCCCAGAGTCCCAGACCCACTGCGCGGAGGACGCCGTCGAATTTGATTCAACGAAGGCGCTGGATGCTTCAAGAAAACTCCCACACCGCTTGGTCAGTAATGGATACTGAGAGTATTAGCCAGGAAAATCGCAGACGAGCAATGCGGGGATTCGGAATCCTCGAAATGCGCGTCATTTAAAGCATTAGGGTCTCAGGTTGGCGAAACAGCCGGCGGTGATTGACACCAGATTGGGTTTAGTGCCCGTCATTCCAAGTTGCTTGGGGATGGGCCAATTACCAGGAACAACAGACCACTCAAGTTGGTTAGGAGCGTCTCGAGACCACCTTCCAACTAAATTCTCTCTGCCCATTTGGATTGTTTCTGGAGCAGTTGCAGTCGACTGTAATGTGCTATACTCTACCTGACGGCTGAGATGATCACTCATGTCATTCCTTCCCAAAGTCTTTCGGGCCAACGGATTACTTCGGCTGGCCGAGTTGGGTTCTCCTGCCAGCCCTCGGGAATAGATTCTTCTGGAATGGGGTCTGACGTATGGCTGAGAAAGGGTAGTATTCCGCGCTGCCGCTTTCCTAGTCCGGGACTCACATATATAAGACGCGTCCATAGGAGTAGTCTTTGTCGAGTGTTGCTTCATCATCTGCTCATACAGACGTGCTTCGACCAAAACTTCATACTCCAGCTCCGTGTTCGGTGGACCGCTATTTGACCCTAACCCTGCGCCTTCATCTCGGCTCGCTCTTCAGCATCCGTCAAGGAGCAGACTTCACCGTTTTTCGTCTCACTATCGAACTGGAAATGCTATCGTTTACGAGCCTCATATACGGCCTTGTGATGGCCATTGGCCTGTACACTACAGCCTGCGCTGCAGGTCTCCAAAGTATTTCGGACTGGGGTCCCAATCCGTCTAAGATTGCCCAGCTTCAGGTCTATATCCCAGCCCAGCTCGCATCTAAACCGGCGGTCCTTCTCGGTGTAAGTGCCCCCGGCATTCAATATCTTCAACCTCAAGCGGTCCTACTAAGTACCATTGCCCCCTAGCTGCATCCATGTGGAGGGACCGGTGCAGGATGGTATCGGAGCACCAATCTCGCCGATTACTGGCTTCGTGATGCTATTTCCCCACCACCGAACGTATGTCTCACTGCTGGGACTACCATTCAGATGCGTCACTTGTCCGCGGTGGCGGCGGCGATTCAGAAGGCCTCGCGAACACGGTTAACTGGGCAATAAAGGAATACAATGGCGACGCAACGAAGGTGTTCTCATTTGGCGGTTCCGCAGGCGCCATGGAAACCAATGTACTGGCAGCTACGTATCCGGACGTGTTCAACACCGGCGCAAGCTATGCCGGCACACCCGCAGGCTGCTGGGCCGGGTCGCCGGAATCAACACCCTTCACTTCAGACCCGAGCTGTTACCGAGGCCAGAAGACCTACACGGCTCAGGAGTGGGGCGACATTGCAAGGAAGTCTTACCCCGGTTACGAAGGTAACCGTACGAGAATGCTCATAGCCCATGGCACCGCGGAACCGGTTGTGCCGATTATTCTCCTACAGCAGCAGTTGGATCAGTGGAGCAATGTGCTGGGTCTAGCCTGGACGAAGAACGAAACGAACACGCCTACCCAGGGCTGGACGAAGATCATATACGGAGATGGCACCCAGCTGGTTGGGTATAGTAATCAAGGTGGTGGACATATCCCACCCTTCCAAGCAGAGGGGACGTTGAAACTTTTTGGCTTGATGTAAGAAGCATGGTCTGAGTGACAGATGTCAGCAAGGTCTGCGACGCATCGAGCTGGGCCGCATACAAGGTCCACCGTGTCAAGAGGGATCGACCAGTCCACGAGGAGAGCCAACAGACGAGTGGAGGAATTGGCAATTTCGAGACCAAGGCTGTACCCCTGATACTAGAAAGCCAAGCAAGATGGAACGATAAGGTAGCCCGAAAGTCTCCAGTTTCGGAGTCAAACACAGCCGGAGTTCCCGTGATGGATCGATTCGCCCCACGAGATCCGCAGCGAAACGCGACCCCAGAGGAGGCTCTCATCACGGCATCCGCTGGCTCTTCCATATCCCAAAGCGGTCTGCCCATCCGCTCGAGCCCGGCTACGACCGTCGAATGGATTCCATAGACAGCGACTTTCCAGGCACCGCCCTCGAGCCGACTGTTGTGTCGCTGTGATCCGCAAGCTTTGGGAGAATTTCACTTTAGACACCAAGTACATTCTAGCCTCCCGTGCCTGCAACTGACAACCGAGGATCGGATGTACTTATCCCACTTCACCAACCACGTATTTCATATCCTACCATCCAATCTTGAAGCGTTGCAGGACATCGCGAAGGGCACGGATGTCGCCCTGTATGCAGCTATGGCTCTCGGCCGGCCAATATGGCAAATCTCCAGGGGATTTTCATGAAGAGTTCTCGGAACCCGGCCTCATCCCCATGGGCTCCCAACCACACCCACAAAATCAGCGCTCTCCAGTATACAGGCACGGCTCTTTCCCTTGCAAGGAGGGAAGTGGTCCAGGGAGTGGACGTGCTCGTTGCCACCAATCTTCTCCTTTCGTTCGTGGAGATGGAGATGGGTACCTTCGAAGGACTGCGGCGCTATCTGAAGAGCATTGGGCAGTTGATATTCAGGACCCACCACAAGCTCGAAGTGCCTAAGTGCAGTTCAAAACTCCTACCTGGCATCGCCAGCTCTCGGCCAATATTGAAGCACGTTGCTGGGCAAACTCATCGACCAGACTTGGCAGGTGGTAAGGCCTGATTACCTTCCTGCGCAAAGCTGGGAGGTAACTGACGCGGACATTTCCGCAGCGTGTGGCAAGTTGCTCGAGGAATTGGGGTCCCTGTCGGCGCGTTTCCACGCCCGCAAGCCTCCGCGGGGACTTCCGCTGAGCGAGCTCGGCGAGGGTACCGTCGATGTCCTGTCGACGGCCCAGATGGAGATACTCGGGGACATTGAGCCGATATACTTTGAGAGTCACGAACAAGCCATGGAGGCGGCCGACTATGTTTTCTGCCGCCTCGTATGCGACGACGCTCCCTTGCAACGACGCTCCCTTGCGACGACTCCTCGGCGGCCAGCAGCCCTTCCCTCCCCCGGCCTGTCGACCGATTGGCCCGTGGGTGCTGATGCTCTCGCGCATCGCGCTGGGGCTTCGAGTGGCCAACTGCGCGAACCGGAATTCCTACAGGCGGGGAATCGGCTCGATGCTCTTCCAAGCCGCATGCCAGTGCAATGAGCCAAAGGATATGATCATCATTGACGGCTTCTTGGACAGGCTGATTGCCATAGGCAGCGGCTGGGAGGACTCGACCTTCCCCACTGCCGTTACTCGGTCCATTTTGGAGCTTACTCACCACCAGTTGGCTCGTGGGAGAACGATCCTGCTGGCATCGACGATCGAAGGCGAGGTGACGGAGACGGAAACCATTCATGCAAGCGACAGAATGACGGTCTACAGCCTCTATGGCATGGAGGTGGATGGGCGCGCGTTTGAAGAGTTTGTGGACCTAACATCAGACTCTGCAACGTAGCGCAAGAGCGGGCTATCGAGTTCTCCCCATTACTCACGGACTACAGGTATATGAAGGGAACGACCTTGGTATCAACAAGTGCTCTCCTGCACAGCATTGACCGGAACCGGGAGGGTGAGATTATAGACTGCCAGACCCATCTCAGGCCACGGAGTCTCCCTATATATCCGCCGGCGTGGGTTCTACTACGATTGCCACGCTGCCTCTGTGTATCTTTGCAAGTTCTTACTGAATTTCGGATCTGAGCTTCAGAAGCGCCGGTGGCAGGACTGATGTTATGCAAGTTCGATAGTATTTGTATCCGTATGATTCCTGAATTGAGTGTTGGTGACGAAACGGCCTTGGATAATGGTGCCTTATGTCTCGAACTCCTCATCTCTCGATAGCATAGCCACCCGGTACATGTGGCAAATTAATTCAAGAGACCTTTCCTGCCGAACCCAAGAAGCTCTCCATAGCCCCGGCGATGGATTTCGTGTACACTTCAACCGCTTTGGTCTTCAGCTCGGTGAGTTCGAGCTTTCCCGAATTATCCGCCATAAAAGCGGTGTAGTCGTCCCGCACTGTTCGGTTTAGGTTGATCTTGGTCATTCCAGCCCTGCGGGCGGCCACGAAGAGCTCTGGGCTGACCTGGTGGGTGCCATGGAGGACAAGAGGAATCTCGGGAACTACGTCCCGGACTTGTTCTAGCCTATGTCAATGTTAGCCTTTCGCTACTAGTCCATGGCCTTTTTCTTTCTTTCTTTCGTTCCTCCTCTAACAGCTTAAAAAACACCTACAATGGCAGTCTCCAGTATTTCTCTGGCCCTCCAGGTCCGTAATTACCATGAATGTTCCCAAAGGACGGCGCCAAAAACTGAACCCCCGTCTCTGTAACAAAATCTCCCGCAGCCTTTGGATCTGTTAGAATATTCTCTAAATCCACCGCCGGCAGCCCATCCTCCCCGCCATTGATCCGACCCATCTCAGCCTCCACGGTTATTCCCTTAGCATTCGCAATTTGCACAATCCTCTTGCATTGTGCGATGTTCTCCTCTGGATCCTTGATCGACGCATCAATCATAATGGAGTCGAACGGGAGGGTAAGCGCGAGCTCGACATCTTCAGGCTCGATACAGTGGTCTAGGTGGACAGCGACCGGTACCTTGGCTGTGTGCGCAGCTTCGACAACGTATTTGCAGAATGCGGGCCCCTGGAACGCCATTGTCCAGGGAAAGAGCTGTATTATAGCAGGGGACTTGCATTGCTCAGCGGCACGGATGACGGCTATTACTCCGTCTTCGTTGTAGCTATCATTGTGTTAGTTTGAATAACGATCAGGATAAAGTAGTGAGTGCTTACCAGTTGAATGCTCCGATGGCGTGGCCACCCTGCCGAGCAGCTTCCAAGATTTGGAAGGTTCTATTATTTTGCGGGAAGGACGCCATGTTGGTTTCAATATTCTGCGAAATTTGTTCCGAAGGACAGGCGGCCAAAGTGCCTACTGGTCCGGCTTCCCCAGGTCGGCTAGGTCTGTGCAAAGGATGTATGCTTTCTCAGTATGGGAACCTCCAAACAATCAATGATCTTTTTGGTAGAGCAGCTCCTGTGGCACTGCGCCCGCTGTATGAGAGACCTATATATGGAGCGGGCCATATCGGAACAAAGCCGATAGCTTGCCTTCGAATTCGATTTAGCGGGTGGTGGCTGGTGTGTATACATAGACTCAGTGGAGATCTATTATTGAATCAGAGGGTAGGCCCGTAAAGCCCACTGAGAATCACGGCTTAATTGTTTTGTTCGATATTTTCGAGCCGAATCGGTATCTCGGTATTATCTCAGGGGCTAAAGTAAGATACTTTTTTACATTGTAGCTCGGCCGTTTCTACTATTCTAGCGGCGAAGTGCTCAATGCCAACGGCTCACAACCATACTCCTTGGACAAATCATCAAACATCGCCCTCTCTGCCTCGGCGTATGGGATACCCTTGGACATACGGTCAAGCGCGATCCGGTGCTCCGGCTCGCCCGGGAACAGAACCTCACTAAATCCATCCGCCGGCTGAACGCCGTGGACGCGCTGCACCAATGTATCCATGCGCGCCCGGAACTGTTCAGGACTGATGAACACGTCCGGCTTGATAGCGATGAAGCAGTGTCCTACATTCTGCGGTCGGGACTCCTTATACTGATCGCCTACTTGACCTCCATATTCCGCTCCGGAAAGCACACCGGACATGATGTCCATAAGGATGGCGATGCCAGATCCCTTGGGCCCCCCGATGGGCGCCATGCTCCCGTCTAGCGCAGCCTCGGCGTCCTCGGTAGGCTTTCCATCCTTGTCGTAGGCCCACCCGAGCGGAATCTTCTCCCCCCTTCGCGCCGCCTTTCTGATTTTGCCCTTCGCGACTACCGACGGCGCCATGTCCAGAATATATGGGACCTCTTTCCCACTTGGCGCACCGGCTGCAAACGGCGAAATACCTAACAACGTCTCCTTGCCGCCAAAGGGAGGCATCTGCTTCGCCGAATTGGTAAACACCAGAGAAATCATGCCGGCTTCCAGCGCTTGCAGGACGTAGGTGGCGGCCATGCCAAAGTGATTAGAGTGGCTGACAGTCACGATGCCAATGCCGTAGGTCTGGGCGCGGCGGATGGCGTCCTTCATCGCCGTTGAAGCGACGATAAAACCGAAGCCGTTGTCGCCGTCCAGGTGGGCGGCGACCGGGGTCTTTTCGGAAATTTGGAGGTTGGGTCTCGCATTGACTAGACCGCTGGACACGCGCTTCATGTATTGTTGGAGCCTTGCCAAGCCATGGGTATCCTGCAGAAGTATGTGAGTAACGCCAGCTCTCTTGAGGCCTGCCATAATGGTTAAATCGAGATCACTGCATACCACTCCACGTGTATCGGCTTGCGCCAAGCAGTGTGCCATTAAGTTGGCATGGTCTTTGGTGAGGCCCGCTCTGACAAGCAAGGACTCGGCAAATCGGATGGCCTTGGACGGCTGGGCGTAGTAACGGGATTGCGAAGCCATGACGAGTCCTACAGCGGTGACAAATAAACCGAAAACAGATGATACAGCTCAATTTACTGCATGCAAACGCCAGCTTCAAGACCGGGAGTTTTACTCTGATATAGAGCTGCCGGCGAACTCCAACTCCTGGAGATCGATCTAGGCCTAAAGCAGCGTCGGAATTTCCCCGTAGCGTATCACCGAGCGCCATGGAAGTGGAGACACATCGGGGAGATGCCGACAGCCTGAAACTGCAGGTTTAAAGTTTTCCGCAACAACCAGTGATATTCCCACTTTAATACTGTATGTATCGGCCCTTTTCCCGATTTTCCACCTCACTCTCCCCCACACATATCCCATCGATCTCCGATTCTAAGGGTCAGCCGCAATTAAGCCGACACACTTAGCTCCATGCGCCGCATATTCTCCTATCAACTTCGCCTTGGCTGATGACCTCCATCATTTTCTGTGATGTCGACCGAGCCAAGGCCGCAAGCACCGGGGCGGAAAAAGGGCACGGCTTGCACCCGATGCCGCAACCAAAAGATTAGATGTGATGATACACATCCGTCATGCAAGAATTGCAGAAAGGCTGGTAAGCCATGTGTTCGGTTAGGGCAGGTGCCGGACCAGGAGACTATTGGGTACATCCGACAGCTAGAATCGCGAGTCTGGTCGCTTGAGGGTAGTCTTCGTGAGGCGTCGTCCCAACCGCCGCCTCCCCTTCCACCTCCGTCTCCACCTCCGCCTCCGCCTCCGCCTCTGCTTCCGCTTGCAGCAGAGCAATCGCAGCAGTCCATAAACGTGCTACCGGTGCAGCCACCTAGCCCATCCTATTCTACCAGGGGTGCCTCTCCTCAAAGGTCATGGCAGCCGGGCTCCACCTCCCCAATTACTCGAGATGCGGGAAATCCGGACCCGCGCGATCAGCAGCAACGATCATCTAGTACCACGACAACACCCCAGGGTGAAACAACGACGCCCCACAGCACCGCAGCCTCGACTAGCCAGATCAAACCCTCTGAACCTCTGGCCCATGAAGTAGGACTTCTGTCCCTCGCCAACTCCACTGAGCCGAAATATCTTGGCCCATCCTCCGGCGTACCTTTTGCTCGTCTCATTCTGTCCGCATTCCCTCACGCGCATGGTTTATCCAACACGAACCCGACAACCCCCGGTGGGGGGATTGCTGCTACTGGACATCTACGACCCGAACCTTTCCCTCAGGACTGGAGATTTGATGTGGATCTGAAACACTTTGTCGACGCCTACTTCGACGCTTATCAGCCTTTATATCCGTTTCTGGACGAAGAGACAATCCTAGAACGGGTTAATCACGTCTTCTCGCGACAGTTGGGGGATCCTTACGCCCTCTCCACTCTACAACTGGCCGACTTCGGTAAAGCGTTATCTCCGATCCACTCGGTCCAACTCTTGCTGGTCATCGCACTCGGTGCAAGTACCCTGGAGACCCGCTTATCAGTCGACTTCTCCTCCGAGAGGTATCTTGCCTCGGCGATCTCAGGAATCGATGGCCTATCACTGCATGATAGCACTGAAGGCTTGCAAACTATGCTTCTATTGACGCTGTGCAGCCTCAGCTTCGTGGACGGGCCAAATGCATGGTTCTTAACATCTAACATTATTGCCGCCTGTCTGGACCTCGGCATCCAAAGGAGATGGATCGATGGGCCTTCCTCAAAGGGAGAAGGTTCGGATGGAGAGAAGCTCCAGATTTACAAAAACGTGAGACGCGGGATCTTTTGGTCGGCATACTCTCTGGAACGAACTCTAGCCGTCGTGCTGGGCCGGCCATTGACCCTGCGCGACGAAGCGATAGACATTGAGTTTCCAGGTGCCGAAGATTTGGCAAATTTTGACGAGAATCAAACGAACCGAGACTCATATGACAGCCACGAGTACCCGCGCAAGAGAAGCTGTGTCGAGATCACGCCATACACGACGGCATCATTCTCTTTCCGCATCGATCAACTCGCCGCCGAAATGAAACTCATGCTTTACCGTGTTAATAATAAACCCGGCGCATTTCCCTGGCTCATTGCCACGGAAGAGTGGCAGAAAAATGCCCACACCCGCTGCGAGGCCCTGTTAGATGAAATGTTCCGCGTAGTAAAGTCGCGCACGAGGCGGACTTCTGCCATGGCCAGCACCGTGCCGAACCTTGAAATCAAATACCACCAGTGCATCATGCTGCTTCATCGTCCTTCCCCAGCGACACCTAGACCAGGTGCTACATCGTGGAAGATTTGCTATTCGAGTGCCGTGCGGACGATTCTCATTGCAGCCGAATTGAATCGATTTTCAAAGCTGCAAAACACGTGGCTCGTGGCCCACAACATCTTTATCAGCGGCATTACGCTCTTGTATTGCCTATGGACGTCGCCTGAAATAAGGAATGAGACGTCGCTACAGGCGCTAGAGAGCCATATTGGGGCTTGCACGAGGCTGTTACAGTTCCTCGGCAAGAAGTGGAGCGTTGCTGCGGATGCGCTGGTGAAGTTTGAGAGACTCGCCCAGCTCACCGTAAACGCGTGGAGATTAGGAGCGACTACTGACAACTTATGGAACGGCAATGAAGAGGGTGAGGCAGGCCAGTCGTCGCTAAACGCGCAACCGCCCGTAGAACGGCCGCAATACCCCTCTGCGCAGGTGGCCGGTGGGAATGTGGTACCTTTGGGCGGGGAAAATGGAGACGATGCATTTTGGTCCCAGTTTTTCCAGAGCGAACTTGAGGATGTGAGCGGGTGGTTTGATCTCAACTGGATGATGAATGCTGACGCTGTGGAGTAAGGAGGTTATGGTTCTGTTTTAATACAAGAGGTTTAGGTGTTATGAATAAGTCTTTAGGAAGAGTTCAACCTTCAAGAGGATTAACTCGCTCCCTTTCATTCTGGATAAAATGCTTCATGATGCCATTGAAACTAATCTAAATTGCCTCATCATTTACTCCTTTGACTGCCTCAAGAACACCCTGAACTATGGCAACAACACCACAAGCCCCTGGGTCTACTAAGCCTCCTGTCGTGTCACCCGAGTCCTCGGTAGAGACATAAGTGCTACGCCCGAACTGGCTTTTAATCGAGGCTGTGCCCTTGCAACCCTCCTTAGCGGCAAGGACTGCCGCATCGAGGGCAGCAGCACACTCGCAACCGCTATTCTCAACAAGACTTTTGACGAATGGAATCAAAGAATCCATCATAGTCCTATCACCAACTCTCGCGGCTGTAACCCCTTGCAGAGCCTTCAATGCTGCATCAAGCGCTCGTACAATAGATGGAAAGTCACCCGCACGCTGCACACAGAGGGATGAAGACAACGCGGTAAAGAAAACGGCGTAGAGCGCGCCTGAGGTACCACCCATGCTCTGCGATACAATCTCAGCTATGGACATGATACCGTGGGTCAGGCTCGAGGGTTCGACGGTTCCGTTCTGAAGACCTTTACTTATGGCACCAATGCCGGCGAGGAGAGTCGTGCCGCAGTCGCCATCACCCATCAGGGTATCTAGGCGTGTAATTTCGGGTTCCTCAGCTATCAATTTAGAGTGTATAGAATCGATGATACTGGCGAAAAGAGACATGTCGCCTAGGATTTTGTTAGCTATCGAGTAAAGGTCCATAAATACGAGGAGCCACTCACATGGAACATTAGGAATGTTTAAACACGCTGCGGAGTCGTCATCCTTGGCGGAGTTGATGGTGCCAGACCCTCTAGGTAGAGACCAAGTCGATGTGGGAATGGAAGACGCCCATGCGGGCGCATCTGTTGGGCTGTCGAGGTATCTCAAAATCTTCCGCGTATATTCATGGGCAATAGGGAGTGCCATTATCGTGATACTGAATCCGGGGCCGTTGAGCGCAGAAAGATATGTCCCAGCGTATATCCTAGTCGGAGTGATCCCGTAGTCCGCTGTTAGCTGGGTGTAGGTCTCTCCAACCAGGGCGGCGATTTCGAGATTGGACAAACTTCCGAGGTTGTTGATAAGAACGACTACCTTGTGATTTCCGTCTAGCGGCGAGCTTTCAAGGTAGTTGCGCTCCTTATCGTCCCTGCTGAGGATGTTGGCTAAAAGTATCCCCACCAGCTCCTTGGGTGGCGGCTTGGGATTAAGCTTGCGGCTACCCGGCTCATTATGAATCCCAATCCCTAATTGAACCTCATCTGGTCCAAGCCTCACGGAAGACGCTTTCCCTGGGACGTCACACCCATCGAGTCCGACGCCCATAGTCCCCATATGCCGAGTCACAAATTCTACCAAATCAGCAGCATCGTCAAGGCCCAAACCGTCCGCTGACGCACCTCCCGCAATCTTATGAACGAGCACCGTACCCGCCAACCCTCGACGGCCGACACGGGCTGCCTTGCTCCGACCAATAGCCACGTCGTCCGCCACGACGACAAGGCGGGTGGGCACGCCGCTCGCAAGACCGAATCGCTCTGCCGCGAGCGTAAAGTTGAGCTTGTCACCGGTGTAGTTTTTTACGATAATAAGGACCCCATGAGATGATTGGATGAGATTGAGGCCGGTTTCGATCTGCCCTGCGTTGGGGGATGCGAAGATTGCGCCGCTGACCGCTGCGTCAAGCATGTTGGTGCCAACGAAGCCAGCGTGGCATGGTTCGTGGCCGGCACCTCCTATGCATAGGAGGTTTCAGTCAATGCACAATACATCCAATTACCAATATTCATGGGCAGTGCCAACCTCCACTAAGTATAGAAATTCTCTTGTTCCCGTGGTCCCTTCTGAAGATCACTGCTCATAACATTAGAAGCTATTACACTGTGTTAAGCTCAATCAATCTGGGAGCGAACCTTTTTGTGACTTATGCAGCTGTAGACCGGGGTGAAGGGCAATAATCCCCTGGAGGGCACTCTCAAGGGCAACCTGCCCATCTTCGTAAAACGTTCTCGACTTTTCCGTCATTATATTCCTGTATAAATTCGTCTACTTATGCATCTTTTATTGGCAAGTACACATCTCAGACGATCCAAGTGAGCGGCTCCATTATATGTAAGTATTCCAAACCTACACAATCCTCATCACCAAATTATTCTTGTACTATTCGCAGATCGCCATGCTCAAATGCCCTCGATGTCGGTATAGCCCGGTAAGCGTCTCGGACCGCGAGCTATGTCTGACCGGAGGAAAGCCGAATTTGGAGCCTTGTCAAATCGGCTCCGCGCCGTCGGCGTTCTCTTACTTTGCCCCACTCGGCTACGAGACGATGATGCGATGCAGCCACGACCCAATCGGACAGACCCTGATTATCGCTCGCCATGGCAGTTTAGTTGAGCGCACCGTACTAACAGAAGATTTGGTTCGCCTCTAAGACCTTACCCCACAGCTTCGTTGTTTTTGTAAACAAACATGGATGTTTATATGCTTATGATAGGGTCTCTCGGTGCTCTGGAGGCTTGCCATTAGCTAAACTATGGTTGGGCCCCCCAACACTCCTCTGCATGTCGACCTCAAGTTAGGAATTTTGTTTCCTCCTTTCCTCTCCCTCTCCGATTTGTCCCTTTTCCCGCAAATACTAGCCAAAATGACAATTGTTCACATGGGTAAGGCCCCCCTGATTCTCAAAATCATACGCATCAACGCTAATTTCTCGTGTTTCCCTTGCATCTTGTCAGTATTCTTCCGCTTCAGGGCCGACGTTACCCAGGCCCATAAAGATACCTTCGTGCGCGAGTTAAAGAAGCTGAAGGACCTGCCCTGCGTGAAAGACAACCGGCTTATTGTGGGAGGCCCGTCCATAACCGACCCGATAGAAAGGAGTAAGGGGTTCGAGTATGCGTTGTTAAGCTTTCACGAGAACCGTGCCGCCCTAGACGAGTACCAGGCGAGTAAAGAACATCACTGGTGAGCAATAAGCATTTTTCTCTTCTCATCCTCGTCTTTCTGGCCCCTATTATGGGTGTGCACTATGTGCAGCCTCCATTTATCATCTCCTGACACGATCCCGTTAATAAACCTTAGCTGACGGTGGCCCATGGCACCTATAGGGTGACTTCGACATACATGTTCCCCTTCAAAGAGGACCTCTGCCGTTTCGACTTCGAGGTAGACAGTGATGATGAGTACATGTGTTATTTTGGTTCCTTTGCCAAGGCAAACGGCGTCTCTTTGAATAATGGGGCCAACTCATCTGGCGAATGAATGAAGTGCAACATACAAAAACAGTCATGTACAACCATACAGGTAGATACGGAAACGAATAGACAAGAGCGCCTTCATGTTTATGTCAATCTTCAGTACCCCCTGGTACCATGGGTTAAACGAAGAACTAGATGAAGTTGAATTAATCTTTCTTGCAAAGGAAATGAAACCCAGGGCCAACAATCCCCCTTCTTAGCTAACTAGTTCCTGTAATGTCTTTACAATCTTCTTTGTGTTATTTACTTAAGGTCTCAAATTCCTCTGACAGTTCAATCCTCAGACCATGTCGCTTGAAGCCAGCCCCTCCAGCCCTGTTCAATCAAGCCGACCAACGCTAGGCAGGAATAGCAACGATGTAATTAGATTTGAAACAGGACCAAGCGTGAGCAACTGAACTTTGATTTGTTACGGACATGATCCAGGAGGCAATGAACTATTCATTTTCTCTCAAGGGTCTCGTCCTCGACATGTTCGGCGATTCTATATTCCGCAGCTAGAATCAGTATCAGACGAAGGGGGCGCGACACACGTGTAGGCTCAACTTACTCGATATCCTTAGATTCGGGCAGGTTCGTCTCGTAGGCATGCTTACGCATTTCATACCACCTGTGCTCAAACAGTTTATCCATGCTCTCAAGAGTACGTCCACTCGTCTCGGGAACCATGATAAAGACGTAGACGAGTGCAATGACGCACCATGTGGCGAAAAAGATGAAAGCACCCCACTTGTCCATGGACGTTAGAATAGACGGGGTGGCCTTAGTGATAGCGAAGAGGAAGAGCCAGTGGAAGCACTGGGAGAGAGCACCGCCAAACGAGCGAATTCGGTTAGGCCACAGCTCGGCGCCGAAGAGATAAGGAAGACTGTAGAGACCGACGGCCCAACCGAAAGCGTGGATGTAAATGGCACCAATAGCGGCATCTGACGCGCCAGCGCCAACTTCACGTTTGGCACTGATATTGAGGAAAGTGCCCAAATATGTATGGCAGAGCATTTGGACGGTGATACCGATGAAAAGAGACTTGCGGCGGCCCACGGCATCAACGAAGAAGAGCGAAGCGAGGACGCAGCAGAGAAGTTTCGCCATGGCATAGAGACTAGACGAGTAAATCTTGGCCTCGTCCGTATCCACACCGATGTAACCGAAGATGGTGGGCAGGTAATTGGTAATGGAATTGGCGCCGGACATTTGCGCAAGGATGTAAGCCACGACGGTCAGCTGCACGCGGCGGAGGTTGGACCGCACAGTGAATGTCTCGCGGAGAACGGACATGAGGGTTGGCTTGCCGTGCTCGGCGATCTCGAGCTGAATAGGGGTGAGGATGCTATCGAACTCGGCAGCGACGAAGTCTGTATTGGCCGGGTTGCCTCGAAGACGCGCGAGGACAGAGAGGGCCTCCTCGGAACGGCCTCTTAAGCAGAGCCAACGGGGGGATTCGTCGACAAGGAAGGACAAGGTGACGGCGAAAAACGGAGGGATGACTTGGACGAAAAAAGGGGTTTGCCATTGTAGATTTTTCTCGGGGGAGATATGAACGCTGCAGCCGTACACGACTACGATGCCGATTGTCTGGCAGAGAAGCATAGCTAGAAGAAGACGGAAAAGATTAGAAACTTGAAAAAGAAAATGAAGGGATTGAAGCGACATGAAAAATCCTACCGATATTGAACCAGAGAGTCATAAGGCCACGAGTGACACGAGGGGCGACCTCAACAATAGACATAGGACCGGTAACCGTGAGCGCACCAATACCTAGTCCAGAAACTAGCCTGCCGACGTAGAGAGCTCCAGCCTTCCCGTAGGAGAAGGTCGAAATAAGCGTACCGATGGCCACGATACTACTATATAGTCTTAAAGACCATAGACGGCCGATTCGGTCGTTCAGGAGAAAGGACAGTAGAGCCCCAATCCCCGCAGTCAAGTTGACCAGGGAGATGATGTTGGAGAGAGTCTCCTTGTCATGTTCCGGTGTCATTTTGAACTCCCTCTGGAAGCTCTTCAGCTGGGTGATGGCAGAAGCGGAACCCTCATCCCAACCTTCTGTTGTCAGTACCTCTTCCGACCGAGAAAAAAAAAAAAAAACAACAAAAAAAGAAAAACACTCCACATCGGAGTTTCTAGTTGTCTCACCTCGAGGAGCTCCTGCGATGGCATACACCAAAACCGTAAGAAAAAGCCTCCGGTTGTATATACCGGGCGGCGATTCCTTGATAGCATGCCAGTAATGAGCAAAGGGAGATCTCTTTACGCTATCCATGGCTAGCCTTTTTTTTTTGTACCAAATGGTCCAAGGAAGAGATGAAAATGGAGGGATATTGAGGACACGAATGGAAAGCCAGAGATGTTTGCTTTCGCTGCTGGCCTGTCAGAACTCCTTGAGACAAGAGAAAGAAGACAGGTCCCGAGGGGGGAAAATGGCCCGAGAAGGACGCCGTAATATAGACAATGGACCCCTGGCTTTGGAGAAGTAAACAGGAGGTATGTGAGTCGTAGCGGAGATGGCTTGTGCAGTTATTCTTTCTCACGCTTCCGACTGGGCCTTTCCCTTTGCATAGGGCGATGGACAGGCGTCTCCACGGTCTCCATCACCCGTTCTTTCTTTCTTTTCTTTTCTTTTTTTTTTTTTCTTGCAGAGGGGAAAACGGGGAGAGGGAAGCATCTGGGGAAAATCTCCACAGACGGCCTAACCTACATGATCCCCGCAAGTCTTTCCCCCCCACGGGGTGATGCCGATGGAGCTAAGATGTGGAGTGGTGTGGGGAAGAGCAGCTGAGCGAATAGGAAGAGAGTGTTTCGCTTGGGGTTCGCGAGAGGCAAAACTAGTGAGAAATGATCGGCTTTAAGTTGTCTGTCAAGCTCGTCAGCTAATATTACCTGTTGCCTTTCTCGACTTAGAGATCAGAGTAGTAGCATTCACGATATCAACTACGGGTATACTCGTCGAAGTAGGGAGAGAGGATAGAGGATAGTGTGTGTAATACTACAAATTGCTCGCATTCTTGGCGGCATAATAGCTTTATCCCACGCCGCACCGGCTATCAACCAACGCAACCTACAAGTGATTGATGGTCGATCTCCTGGGTCTCCTGGGCTCTCAAGAATCAGGATCTGTATTCTTACAAGCGTCACCGACGGCATTCTATTACGTATTCAGTTTTCTATGTTTTCTAGTTGACTTCATTCTATGTTGAGGTTCAGGTTTTTTTTTTTTCTCTTTTGGGTCGGGGGGCGGGGGGAGCAATGATGCGGAGTGCGGAGTAGGTAGTAGTTCCCAGTTCATCGCGTGATTTCCCACAAGTTGATGAAAGGCTGACCGGGTGTCTCCGAAAGGCCCATAGTATGTGGCATGGCTCCTAGTAGGATCTGGACTCCGATACCTATTCCATCGGAGTAGCTCCGATGGGGTTGGCACCATGTACCGAGCACAGCCGGGGAATTAGCGAACTCGGGCGATAGATATTTTACCCCCTTCTAAACGGACCAAGACCCTCACTTCTGAACAATACTTCCTGCGGAATACCGAGAGCTCCCTCTTAATCAACCCCCGTTTGTTCACTAAGGCATCTTTTACAAAAAAAAAAAAGTTAAGAAAAATAATATGGCATCGTCTAACGTTCTGAAGCGCCTGGCAGAGTTTGCTACTTGCGACGTAGGTGACTCCGATACACCTTGTGATATTCCTTTGGAAAGTGGTCATTTACACAACAGACACTTCTAGATCGGGGACGCTCTAGTCAAGCTAAAGCACCCCTACGGAGGTTTTCTCGAAGGAATCACCATGTGGTCCCCCGAGCGGCGTGCGGGCTCCGCCAAGATTTTTGGCCCAGCGGTGACAGTCAAGATGGTGCTAGCCAGCGACACCGCAGCCCCAACTCCGGCGCGCCACTTTGTGGACTGCAACGAAAAGGGTAAGGTCATGTTCGTGCAGCAGCCAAAGGGCTTGTATTCGGCGTGCTGGGGTGGCCTCATGTCGACGCGCGCCAAGGTCCTTGGAGCAGCCGGGGTAATTATCGACGGCAAGTTCAGAGATATCGGGGAGCACCGAGAACTAGGTTTTCCGGTACAGAATCCTTCACAAATACCCCCGTCTTCATTTACAAGACCACTGCTAACACGGTGTATGTACCTTTGTACTCAGCTCTTTGCTCGGGAGATGTCCATTTTGGGTTCCAATACCTTCACCAAGGCCTCCGAGATTAACGTTCCCCTCCAGTTCAAGGGTGATCTCTGGATCAACCCCGATGACCTAGTGGTGGGCGATGCTGACGGTGTCGTCGTTGTGCCTCCGTCACTAGCGGAGAAGGTGGTAGCGCTCTGCGAAGAGCGTGCCGAGATCGACAAGAAGACGATCGAGGCTCTCCTGAATGGAGCAGAGATGGGCCCCACTATTAAACAGCTGCGCAAGCAATGATTAGAACAGAGATACGCTATAGAGCGTGTAAAATTGACACATTATAGACTCGTTAGCTTTGTACAATAGGCAATCCCTCGACGTAGTGTATGGCCTTGTGAATAGTCCCCCTCTCCATGCAATGTCACTTTCTCGTCCATTCGGTCTTATCACCATCTCTTCATCAGGCGAACCTTGATCGGGACTCGGGGCCGTATCATCGGATACACCCTAAAAAGTACGTCCCTAATTGGTGGCTGATATCGGGATGTCTCCGACGACCTTAGTCTGGAAAACTGATCGGAAATAATCCGAAGACGCGAGCAAGACGTGGTTGAGCGAAAGAAGTACTTCATTAGGAGAGCTGGCGTCGGTATGTATGACTTCTGGTTAAATTATTCGTTCATTTTCCTAAACGCTTTTTCGTATCATCTTGCATCATGGCAGGATATTTACCAAGGACGTTAAAGTTACAGAGCGTGGCCTCCGCCCTGACCTCAACTCATACGTTATGCCACGCCCGCCATCTCAGCACAACGAGCCGTTTCCTAGTTCCCGCGCAACGCTCTCTACCTGCGGCGTATTACCGTGGCGGTACCTCCCGTGCAATCTTCTTCAACCGCGACGACCTCCCCCAGGACAGGGAAGAATGGGGCCCCATCTTCCTCGGCACAATCGGCAGCCCTGATCCCTACGGCCGCCAACTCGATGGCCTCGGCGGTGGCATCTCAAGCCTTTCCAAAATTTGCGTGGTGGGCAAGACCAAGTCTGATCCAGACGCAGATGTAGACTATACCTTTGTATCCCTCGGTATACGTGATGCAAGCGTGGACTACTCGAGTAACTGTGGCAACATGTCGTCGGCTGTAGGGCCTTACGCTGTTGACACCAAAATGGTGGCTCCCGCGCTGCGCAAGAACGGAGGCATGGACATAGCGACGGTGCGCATTCGCAATACGAATACCGGAAAGTTGATACACGCTATATTTCCGGTCGTGGATGGTGAGGCAGCTGCATCTGGCGACTTTGCTATCGACGGCGTCAGCGGTACTGCCGCCCCCCTCCAGCTTGACTTCATCAACCCCGCTGGATCCCGAACAGGAAAATTACTCCCAACAGGCAACACTGTTGACGAGATTGACGGTGTACGCGCTACCCTAATCGACGTTGCCAACCCCTGCTGCTTCATCCTGGCCTCTGACCTTGGGGTTCCCGGTACGCTCTCCCCAGCCGAGATAGACGCTGATAAGAACCTTCTAGCAAGGCTAGAAAAGATCCGGTGTATCTCAGCTGTACAGATGGGCCTTGCCAAAACAGTGGACGAAGTACCAGGCAGCGTCCCCAAGATTGGATTCGTGTCTGCGCCGCAATCTTCAGACGCCAACGTCGTTGTGCGCGCCATGTCTGTCGGCCAGCCGCACAAAGCCATCCCCGTCACCGTCGCACTAGCTGTCGCGGCGGCGGCCAAGATTCCAGGAAGCACGGTGGCGGAAACCATGGTCAAAACTGGAGAAGAGACCGGCCTTGTCATTAATCATGCCAGTGGGCAGCTGAAGGTCGATGCGGAGTTCGACGAACAGGGACACCTAGTTAAGGCTGGGGTCTTTAGGACGGCGAGGAAATTGATGGAAGGGAAGGTCTTCTGGAAGTAAATGTATCAATAACAATGAGACTCGCACAAAATAACAAAGGAAAATTCTCAAGATTTCTTTTGGACTTAAATAAATTTTCGTCCTGTAATGGAGGTGCCTTCGAAACTGTATAGGTAAAACCATCATTGCTCCTTTGCGTATATTAGATCTGACTTGTATTTACCACGGATCAAGAAATCCTCCAACGAGGCTCGTTGGTCGTCGAGAATCGAGCTCAATTTCTCCAGTACCCCGGTGTATATACCTCCTCCCCTTTGCTGTAGTCCTAGAGTGGGAATCAAGATGAATTTGAAACTAATCTACGATTTTCTACTTTTCGCCTTGGCCCTTGGAGCTACACCCTCGTAAGTATTAACTAACAAGACATTTTCCCTCATGTCACGCCGTGCGGGCCGCCTTTCGATTAGCCATCAAGTTCAGTGCACTACCAGCCTTGAAATACTCCACCTCCTCTGCCGTAAAGGTATGCGCAACCTCCGTCTCCCAAGCCGCGCGACCATCCGTCGGAGCTACTCGTATGGCCAACTTCTTACCCGGTGTCAGCCCAGCAAGGCCATGGATACTAATACGATCAGATGACTTAATCTTATCATAGTCTGCCTCTTTAGCGAATGTCAGGGCTAACATCCCTTGCTTCTTGAGGTTCGACTGGTGAATGCGTGCGAAGCTCTTGGCGATGACGGCAACGCCGCCTAGGAAGCGCGGTTGGAGCGCAGCGTGTTCGCGCGAGGAACCCTCGCCATAGTTGTGATCGCCAATAACCACCCAGGGCTGCGAGACCGCCTTGTACGCCCGCGCAGTGTCCGGCACGCCGTTCACTTCTCCGGTGAGCCAGTTCTCCACCATGTTGACCTTGTCATTTTCAGCGTTGACGGCGCCGATAAGCGTGTTGTTGGAAATATTCTCCAAGTGACCGCGGAAACGAAACCACGGTCCAGCCGGCGTAATATGATCCGTTGTACACTTCCCCTTGACTTTGATAAGCACGACGCAATCCGTAAAGTCCTTGCCAAACCATGGTGAAAAAGGCTTCAACCGCTGCAAACGCTCAGACGCAGGCGAAATTTGCACGGCGACCTCCTCACGGCCCTCGGTGGGTGGTGCGGTATACACCGCGTCCGCGTTCTCGTAGCCCCGGGGCGGGAGACTTTCTGCATGCGGAGGCCGGAATCGGAACTCGGAGCCGTCGGGAAGAGGGATGGTATCCCTTGTGGGGTCGAAAGTAAGGTCGTTGGAGAAGATTTTTGCCATGACGATTTCCGGGGAGGAGAGGAAGACGTGGGTTGCGGGGTTTGAGTCGAGGCGGCCGGTGAAATTGCGGTTATAGGAGGTAATAATGGAGTTTTTGGTGCCCTATTTGAGAAGAAAGAGACTGGTTAACCTTCATGTGTTTAAACCAGGGGCTCTAGATAGGATAATTACCTTCTTCACATCTTGGCGATCCCAGGAACCACAGCACGGCCCACAGGCGTTCGTCAACATCGTGCTGCCGAGACTCTCGAAGATCTGCATCGTCCCAGAAGCCTTGAGTGTAGCTCGCGTCTGTTCGCTACCGGGCGAAACGAGAAGTGGCATTTTAGGAGCCAACCCCGCGGCCAACGCCTGCTGCGCCAAGTTGGCTGCCCGCGTCATGTCTTCGAACGAAGAGTTGGTACATGACCCAATCAGACCTGTTGTCAGCTTCTCTGGCCACTCTGCTTCCTTCGCGGCCTCTCCAAACTTGGAAAGAGGGGTCGAAAGGCCAGGAGTGAAGGGGCCATTGATGTGGGGCTCCAGCGTTGAGAGGTCAATCTCAATGACGAGATCGTACTCGGCTCCTTCGTCCGCTTGGAGATGAGCGCTTAGGGTGCGGGCAGCCTGCGCGTGCTCCGGTCGTGCGGTGGCATCCATATACGCAGACATGGCAGCGGAATAGGGAAATATGGAAGTAGTGCTGCCACATTCGGCGCCCATGTTGCAGATTGTCGCCATGCCGGTCGCGGAAAGCGTTCCTGCTCCGGGACCAAAAAATTCAATAATGGAGCCGGTGCCTCCCATAACATCTAGTATACCGATCAGTTTGTTGATAACATCTGCCCCGAGAATTAGTATGTGGAATATTAACTCAATGGAGTTTACGGGGGGAACCTCGAGCACTACTAGCCTTTGGGAGACGCCCATCCCGACAACTTGCCCGTCAGTTTAACGCCTAATATCCGCGGTGCCGTCAACTCAAAGGGCAATCCAGCCATGACATCCACGGCATCAGCACCGCCAACGCCAATGGCAATCATCCCCATACCACCGGCATTAGGAGTGTGAGAATCTGTGCCAACCATCATTCCTCCAGGGAACGCGTAGTTCTCAAGTACGATCTGATGAATAATTCCCGCGCCAGGTTTCCAGAAACCCATGTCATAGCGCTTGCACGCGCTAGACATGAAGTCGTACACCTCGCTATGGGCGGACAAGGCGTTAGGAAGATCGCTCTCTTCACCTTTGCGGCCCACAATGAGGTGGTCGCAGTGGACGGTGGTGGGAACGGCCGTCTTGTCCAGACCCGCAGACATGAATTGGATCAAGGCCATTTGCGCTGTGGCATCCTGGCAGGCGATTCGTCTTGGTCGGAGCTTAAGCTGAGTTTCCCCGCGGTGGATATGACCCGTATCGTAGTTGTCTAGGTGCGCAAAGAGGACTTTCTCGGCGTATGTCAGGGGTCGTCCTTGTCTACAGGTAAGTGTTCTGTCAGAATCGCGAGCCATTATTAGAGTGCGAATAGGGGAAAATGTAACTTGCATCTTTCTTATCACGTCCACATTCTCAACAAATTTGCCGTAGTCCACGGTCAGTGATGTCTCAAACCGACTCAACGGAGCTGTCAGCGTGGCATTTGAGCTTGTCGCTAGTCTTCTTGGCCCAATAAGAGGCCCTCGTGTAGGCCAGGAACACGGTCGAGCTACGATCGTCCGAATCATAGCTCTTGAATTATGAGGCCTGTTGTGTCCACAGCTTTGAATGCCAATTTCAAGGTGTGGTTAGGTAAGAATCTGGGGCAATTCTGCACGTCTTAAGTCAAAGGCGGCAAGCTGCCTAGAGAATCTCGAGACTGATGACGACATAAAAGATCAAGAATAGCTCTCTGTATATGTGAAATACGTCGACTCTGATTTGTTGCAGACTTTCGTGTCAAATGGTTGTTTTTGATCACTTGCTCGCCAGTCGTCTATGGCTTTCTCGGAAACATCCATGGCGATGAGAAATGTCCGTCGGACTTCATCCGAAGAAGTGCTCATCGGGCATCGGATAGCTCCGACAACTAAGAGCTAGCATACCGCGATACCCTTAGACTGTAGTGCTCAACGGTTGAGCACCCCTAATTCAGCACTAATTCTAATTCTGTGATGACCGGTTAGCAAATATTACACGAAGAGCAACGATATATATGGATACAATTTATCTATCAACCGGCTCCAAAATCAAGAGGGCCTCTTTGAATACACGTATTTGAAACAGCTCTCCTATTGATATTATTCAATACAAGGCCAGCACCATGGCCACGCTCGCACCGCGACAGTGTAGCACACCCCTCAATCCTACCATCACCAAGAGGAAAACACCATGGAGTAATCTACTTGTCGGTGCCTTTATGGGAGTCTTCCAAGGTAAGCTCCCCATCGGACTTGGAATTAGGTGTTTGGCTAGTCTTACTCATATCATTTTCAGTATCGACACTCGGTCAGCCTATGGAAGTTGTAAAGACTCATGTAATTGCCTAACATTCTTCCAAAACATTTGAAAAGGTCTAACACCTTTTTTGACCAGGTTGCCGCTAATAGAAGTGATACACTGAGAGATGCCTTGACAAAGACAGCGGCGAGAGGCGGATGGAGGGGTTTTTACCAAGGCTTGATTCCCTGGGTAAGCTGTTCTACCCAGTGGCCCTATTTGCCACACAATTGCTAACATCAATGGCGGTCTTTCCTCATAGGCCTGGGTAGAAGCCTCTACTAAAGGTGCCATCTTAATATTGTCGTCCTCAGAGGTTGAGTATTACTCGAGAGCTCATTGGGGCATCTCAAAGCCGGCAGCCGGAGTTCTAGGTGGTATTGCAGGAGGTGCCGCGCAAGCCTATCTATCCATGGGTAAGTACAAACTAATCAACGATCCCTCTTATCTTGCTTACGCTAATTAAGTGAAGGCGTAACTACGTGTATGAAAACCGTCGAAGTCACCAGAAGAAAGAATGTTACCGCAGGTGAAAAGGTTCCCGGCACCCTGGCTACTTTCACCAACATCGTGCGGACCAAGGGTATTCGGGGTGTGTACAAAGGTGTCAACGCCGTGGCCCTCCGTCAAATAACCGGCTGGTCGTCGCGTATCGGTATATCAAGGTTGGCCGACGGGTGGATCAGGAAACTTGTTGACAAGCCTGAGGACCAGAAATTGACTGCAAGTGAGAAGATCTTGGCATCTACTGTCGGTGGCGCATTGAGCTGCTGGAATCAACCCTTCGAGGTAGGTAATTTACCCTGATTTCTATGTCGAAAAATAATGAGGACTCGGCAAGGAACGTCCACTAACTCGGAAACGTCAGGTTCTCCGTGTCGAGATGCAGTCTCTCAAGGTAGACCCCGCAAGACCAGCTTCTCCGACAATGTGGTCAGCCTTTAAGCATATCTACCACACCTCCGGACCCTTGGGCTTCTTCCGCGGTGTGGTGCCACGGCTGGGCGTGGCTGTTTGGTCAACTATCTGCATGGTTGGCCTCGGCGATATGCTGAAGGAGGAAGTAACGAGAAGGACAACGCTAACCATGTAAGAGCCGCCCAGTAGAAAGATGTGTTGAAGCTAGCATCTTCTGAAGCCGGGTCTTTCTGGCATCTAGGCCTAGTGGGTACAGTAATTTAGTACTACACAGGGAGGGCGAGAGAAAATCACATTACCAGGGTGAGAATAGTCGATAGGCGTCAGCGTAATAGAAAAAATAGATTAGAGGCTTACGTTCCAAACAGTGTTTGGACGTACAACATATAATATCGTCGAGATCTCAGTTTTATGAAACTTCACTCTTCCACGTCTCCGCTTTGTGTGTGAACCGCAGTCTAGCAGTCTTCATATACATCACAGGATGTTTGTTATCACTCGAGTACTTAGAAAGCGAAGATGGACTCATTTCATCGACTCTCACTAGACCCTATTCGTACAGTAACCTGGGGTTTTCCACCATCACTTTGTGCCATATATTATCACTTCCAAGCCACTCTCTAAGATTCCTAAGTATCCCCTCATCATCAATTTTCTGGAAGTGCTCAATCGTCATCGCAGCAGTCGCGATGTCTCTGGCCTGCGCTTCTCCAGTATGGGGCCAGTCGCTGCCCCAGATAAGTTGTCCAGGAACCTTCTTCGCCAGATATCGCACGATCGGAGCTAGATCCAGGTAACAGTCTGCGGTTGAGTTGGATGCGCGGTAGAAACCTGAAAGTTTGATTATCAGTCGAGATTCCTCGGCGAGGCGAACTACGGCTTCCAGCCCCGGCTGAGTGAGGACGAGCTTTTCGTCCGTCGCGGAATTGTTCTCTCCATCCATTTGCGGTAGTTTAGAGAGTGCCTTCAGCCCCGCAAAGTGGTCTGCGATGACTGGGACAGGCAGTTTTGATACGACCGGATAGAGATCTAATTGAAGATGTTAAATTTTTCTCGTGCAAGCCAGAAAAAAAATGTCAAGGGCGATTTCGGACATAAACAACGTACAGTCCCAAACACTACTTGGCGCATAGAGCTGCAATTTCCAACCCGGAAAGTTCTTAATCCGTTCAGCGCCGTGTATCATAGCCTCTTCCAGGGCTCCAACATCCACACCACTACTATCCGACTGGACATTTAACCGCAACCCACGGACACCCAACTCATGCATAAATTGAAGCTCCTCATCCGTGACAATCCGGGAATCGAACACCGCGATACCCCGCGCCGTCTTAATGCCTTCCCTACGGAAGCTTTCGAGAGTGGCTAGCAGAACGCCATTATCGTTCTTGTATGGTGATGCCTGCACAATCACGATGTTGCAAGGCTTCCCCGTTACGGAGACCCCAGATTCAAATTCCAAAAGGCTTTCTCGGGAGGCTTCCCCTGGGGTGTAGGAACGGCCAGCGGCATAGGAGCCCAGACGCTTATCGAAGACGTGGACGTGAGTGTCGTATGCCCCGGCAGGCAGGAGATGGGACGCCATGGCTGGCTTTGGCTAAGATGAGGCTATAGGCGGTACCAGTGCCCCTGGCTGCCCGTGGGGAATTTAACGATTAAAAGCTCACAAATCTCAGGGGTCCGGCAAAGCAACATTTCGTCAGTAGAATTTCATCTATTCCCCTTTCAATGACGAAACGCTGGCACTGGTGGGGCACACCCTTTTCGACTGAGTGTACAAGGCATTTCACCGCTTCGCCTGTCGTCGGGAATTTCCGATGGGTCGGGTTTTGTTCCCGTGGGAGGCTAGGCTCGGGGGAAAGCCGGGATCGTGAGTATTTCTGCGGGTGGCTATTCTCGGTTTACGGGTAGGGCCGATAGGGCATTCACAGAGTTGCCAAAAAAAAAAAAAAAAAAAAAAAAAAAAAAAACCTTATTCACAGTTTAATTAAGTAATATTCCGGCCCTATCCATCGCCTACTGGAAAATTAAGGTGAAATTATGGTTCTCAACTTCTTAGTAGATACAGCCACCCTCGACAAGAGTACAAAGTAGTGTAGGAACGACAGAAGGTTGACTTCGTCATGGATGCTCACGTGACGGCGTAAATTTTTCGGGGCATCTCCGCGGCGGCACAGCATCCGAAATGTGCTAGAATTATAGCTAAATGCTCAACGTCCGATGCCTTGATCGAAGCCCGGAGAAAGATCACCCGACTTATTGAAGGATAAAGGGGACCTCTAGATCCTCGTATCGGACCATCGCGTCGGAGTATGCAGTCCCCGTCGTCCCCCACGCATGGGACAGCGGATCAAGCCAGTCCCGAAGAGGACGAGCCGCAACAACACCAGAGGCGCTCATCGGCTAACCCCAAAAGCAGACGGGGTCTGAGAAGAAGCGTGGCTGCATGCGAGAGGTGTCGAAGGCGGAAACAAAAGTGCGATGGGAAGGTGCCGACGTGCTCCAATTGTGCGGCGTCGGGGAATCCCTGCGTGCCCTCACAACGGCTGATCATCCAGGATCCGAGCTGCGATTGCGTCGCTTTGCGGGAACAGGTGCGCAGTCTCGAAGCGAAGATTGCGTCCTTAGAGCGGGGGGTGGGCCCACGGGTGGACCAGACCGATAATCTCGATCCCATTTCTACGGGCGGCATACCTCCGGCGCACGACATCGGCCAGCATTTACACCAGAGGGCGGGGTATTGCCCCAATGCCGCCCGCATCCTTCGCCCTACGTTTCCACGGAGAGATACCTCCGAATATCCGCAGTCTGGACTTTTAGGTAGCCCGTGGCACCTGTGGGGGAGTAGCATCGGTGCTGGCGCCGATGGTGCAGCCGCAACCGCTCCGGACACCTCGTCCATGTCTCAGCTGTGGGAGGACGGAAACGAACTAGTCGACATCTTCTTCGCTCGGCGGTGGCCACAGCTGCCTGTCCTGCACAGAGATACATTCATGCGACAAGATTTTGCCCCGCTTTCACAGGGCTTACCGGGCCGAGATCTCTCACCGTTCCTGGTCAACATTGTTTTCGCCATAGCGGCCATCGAGAAGAATAGCAGGTTTCACGCCGGAAGCGGAACCGCCATACGTGGGTGCTATTTCCAAGCGGCTGCCAATGATATCGGCGCCGTGCTTGCTGCTGACGACCTTGACTGTATACAATGCCTGCTCCTACTTGTCATGTACGGCATCAACGAGCCACAGTCGGTCAATCTGTGGTTCACTATTGGGCTAGCACTCCGTTTGGCGATCAGTCTGGATATGCACCGGCAGGAAGTGGTTGTCGGACAAAACGTTCTTCAAGTAGAGATGAGGAAAAGGCTATGGTGGTGCGTCTATGTAATGGACCGTAGCATATCCATGGCGTTGAATCGCCCGCTTGGAATCCAGGACTCCGATGTCACAACGCCGCTTCCCGAAGCTATACGGGATGACCTTCTCGACCCAACCATCTCTTCCCCCGTCCTCCCACTCCCACATGCAATCATCCCAGATACTAGGGATGTCTCTGCCTTTATCCACACGGTGAAGCTCCGGCGACTCAATACCAATGTATACAACACCTTCCACGCAGCGGGGAAAACAGGCCTAGAGGCGACTGAAATGTTAGAGAGCATCCGTCTCGAGCACTACATCCAGCTCACTGACTGGCTCGCTAACGCTCCGCGCTACCTGACTCCTTCCTCCATGTTCCAAACGCCAGAGTGGTTCCAGATCGCATACCACCACGCCATCATCACGCTATACCGCCCCTCCCACGCATTCCCAACCACCACACTCGATGCTGTCCGTCTCTGCGCCGATGCTTCGATCAGCTTACTTGCATGTTACAGTACATTACACGCTAAAAACAAGCTAAGCTATAGTTTTGTAGCCCTCAACTCCCTCTTCATGGCCGCTGTCACCATGCTACACTCGCTCCGAACGAGTCGGGTCCTCCGGCAAGATCTCGGGCGGACTGCTGTAGAGCGCAACGTCGGGCTAGCTACCTCGCTCCTCCGCGACATCTCATCCGGACGCGCGGTCGGTGACTACAGCGCGCGTATCATCGAGAGGCTGGGAGGTGCCGTTTTGTCCAGCCTTGATGGAGTGTCGGGAATGGCGGACGAGGAAGTTGATACTGAGTTCTTGACATGGTTTGGGCTCAAGAGCCAGCAGCAGGAGGTTGCTCAACCAGGACAGCCCACACCGAGTACTGATATAGCGTGGAATGATTTACTTACCAGTGGCTTTGACATGAGTGGAATGGGATGGACGGATCTTCTGGTATGAAACAGGTCGTACTTGTAAACACTTAAATACCTCTCTTGTGAAACGATGAGAAATTCGATCTCTATTAGCTTGTTGCGTTGGAAGTAAGTCTTGGGGATATCTTCAATTTGAGTTCCCCAATCAATTTAGACGGAGATAAAACTAGCTAATAATTTCTCGCATGGCGATCTGCAACAGTAAACAGCCTGCCCTTGACGCTATAACGGGAAACTGTATTCTACCTGATTTCTTCGAGGTTATCCTCAAAAGCACCCCAGAGTCGGATAGGGTTATCCACCATTGTGCGGTACCACTGCTTCTCATCTCCTAGCCAGTCTCGAAGAACCTCAGTAATGGCGGCGTCATTAATGCTGAGGTAATTCTGAGGCAAAAGGCGGCCACCCGCAGCTTCATTTCCTTCCTTGCTGCCGGTATGAGGCCAATCGCTACCGTACACAACCATCTCAGGTCCATTGAATATAATGGTCTCGGCCACAACGCGCATGTCCTCGTAAAGTGGCGCTTCCTTAGAATTCCTGTACGGACCCGAGAGCTTGACGAAGAGCCTCTTATTCTTAACCAGGTCAATCATCTCGGAGAACCCCTTGGTGCGATAGGGATCCTTCGTGTTCGCCGTGTTATTCGTCCAAGAGCCGACACGGGTCTGCGCGAAATGATCCGCCACGAACCGCAAGTTCGAGTTCATGATATACTCATGTAGAGCCACATAGGCTTGCAGTGGGCCCCACAACTCTATCGCCCAATCGAACTTCTCCGCAACGGTGGCAATTTTCTCCACGGCCGCGAGGATCTCCTCATCGGTGGCACCGTTGATAAAGTTTAGCCGCAGCCCTCGGACGCCGACATCGTGGAGTTCCCGTAGGGCATCATCCGTGACGTTGTCCGGGTCGACGACGGCGACGCCTCGATACTGGCCCTTGAAGAACCTCAGGGCATCGATGAGGGCGGAGTTGTCATAGCCGTAGACGCTGGGTTGGATGATGACGGCGTGGTGGATTCCGCGGCCCTCTTGGAATTCGGTGGCGTTATGGACAGTGGCGGCTTTGGGGGTGTACTCTAGTTGAATCAAGTCAGTGTCGTCGTTCGGCATCTAAATGCGCTTCTCTTTGACACTGCCGTGTGACAGAGGGGAGAAAAAAAAAAAAAAAAAGGAAAAAGAACTGACCTCTGTCGGGGGATAGAGGAAACCCTTCCGGATCAATTACGTGGATATGGCAGTCCCTTCGATCATATACATGTTAATGTTAGTGGGAACTCGTAATAATGGGGAAGATGGGGCGGAGATGAAACACACCATGCTCCGGGAGGGAATCTGGACGCCACAACGCCAAGGCCAAAGGAAAGACAAGCAAGAATGTGCGAGGTCCGCATCTCAGCAGATTTTTTGATTAATTGGATATTAAAGACGAAAAGCGGTGTATCTTGGCTTGAGAGATGATATTAGAAGATGAGACCTTTGGCTAAGAGATGGGGAAACTCTTATGGTTTGGATCATGTCCTTGAAAGCACTTCCTGACTTATTTATACCTATTTACATTGCTACTCCGTCGTCTCTACAGTACAGAAAGAACAGTCCCTAAGTCTTTGCCGCACCACTTCATTCTGAATCGGCGTTGTTGATTGCCCATCGCAACGCTCCAGGAAGCATGTAGCTGTGGATCCGGGGTACCGGGGTAGATCCGCTCAAGTCCCCGTCTTTGTACCCAATGGAATTGGAAAGAACTTTGGGGATGGATCCTTCTTACTATGCCTGACAAGGTTAGGACGATGGCAATGTGCAGGGGATATTGAGCATGTCTAGGCAGAGGTATCCGTCCCTTTGTCTGTATGACGGTTCTTGCCAGCCGTCTCGGTCCTTTCCTGGTCCTGCATAAACACGAATGAGGGTTACGAGAATGGGCAATTGACAGGGTTGGTCGTCTGATGTGGTTGGGCAGTTGGACTAACGAGACAGTATCCCCAAGTCCCCCGCTTTCGGTAGTGCTCCGACAAATTTGCCCCTACGGCGTTTGCCCGATTCATCGCTCTCCCTCTTCTACCCACACTCGCTCTGGAATGAAAAAAAGAAAGGAAAAGAAAAAAAAAAGGAAAAGAAAAAAAAAAAAAAAAAAAAAAAAAAAAAGAAAAAGAAAACGCAGGGACCCATAACATTACAAGCACAGGACTGGACCTCCTCTATCGGCCAAAAGCCGCATAGTGGCGGGGATGAGGCTCGGAGCTTCACAAGGAGAAAATCATAGTGGAAAAAACTTTTATAACTTGCCTTACATTGTGTACTGAAGGCGGAGATGAAAAAAAAGGAATTAGAAGCAAAGGGTCTATAAGAAGTTCAATTCCCTGTCTTTAGCTAAACAATTTATTCTTTGTACATTAGTGTTGCAGAGAAGCGGAGTGCAACATTTACCATCACATTACTTCGTACCTCGACATCCATTTTTCTTCATAATCATTTGATCTACCCCAACCATCTCTCCTTAAAATGGCCCTACACGTGGGTATCCTCAAAGGCAATGGGATCGGACCCGAAATCACCAAAGCAACCCAACGCGTCCTCGAAGCTACAGGGGTACTCTTCAAGTGGGAAGACATCCCTATTGCGGTGGAGGGCATCGCCGCATACGGCCACCCCCTAGCGCCACAAACCGTCCAGCGCCTGCGCGAAATAGGTGTGAACATCAAGGCGCCTCTCATCGTCAACAAGCTCGAGGGTCGCATCACTTGCGTGCAACCGGATGGCTCCGAGCTCACCTATCCCTCTCTCAACAACGCCGTGCGTCGCGAGCTTGGCTTGTTTGTAAACCCCCGGCCCATTCGGGGTTTTCCTGGTGTTTCGGGCCGACATGAGGTTATGGATCTCGTCGTTATGCGGGAAGTCACTGAGGATATTTACATTGGGCACGAGCACAAAATCGGCGACGATATTGCAGCAGAGGCGATTAAATTGACGACCCGTGCCGCTGCGACGCGAGTGGCCAAGTACTCCTTCGACTACGCGCGCAAACTCTGCCGAAAACGCGTGACTTGCCTCCATAAAGCCAACGTCCTCAACTACACGGACGGGCTTTTCTTGCGGTGCTTCTACGAGGTCGCGGCGAGTTATCCTGAGATCCAAGCTGACGACATGATGATTGACGCTGCGTGCTACACCGTCGTCAAGGACCCCGCCCGCTTCGACGTCATCTGCACCGCCAACCAATACGGCGACATCTTCTCCGACTTAGCTGCCGGTCTTGCCGGTTCGCTGGGTCTTGCACCGGGCTCCAATATCGGCGATGGCGTCGCCGTCTTCGAGGCCAGCCACGGTGCTGCGCCGGACATTGCCGGCAAGGGCATTGCAAACCCCTTGGCCCTTATACTCAGCGGTGCGGAGCTTCTGGATTACGTTGGAAAGCAAAAGGAGGCTACCGCCGTCCGTAACGCTATACGCACTGTCATTGAGTCTAAGACGAACCTCACTCCCGACCTCGGAGGCACAGGATCGACAGAGTCTCTTACCGATGCTGTTGCTACAGAGGTGATGAAGTTAGTAATGTAGCACGAGATGAAGATTCGGAAGAAGAGGAATGAAGAGAGACGACAAACCTAGGCAATAAATAATACCCAATAAACAGCCATCTTAAGAAGACACGTTCCACGACGTTCAGCGCGTAGTCTCTCCCACTCACCTATTCTCAAATCATTTCTCCTACAGAGGTGCAATCTACCATCATAGTCGTACTACCCCGCCCGCACCTATCGACAATGGCCAGCAGGAATATTATCGTCGAAAGGTAAAAGGATTAAACTCAGTATCAAACAGCCCAAGAGACATCCTCTAAACAAGCTGTCCGCGAACAGCAATTAAATTCATCTCCAGGCTTCATGTGGGAAAGGAAGAAAAAAAAAAATCCTCCAACTCCCTCGACCCCCCTCAAGTTCCCTACCACTTGGGCTCCGGGTCTGCCTTAAGGCTTTGAATCCTGTCTACCAATTGTAAAGGAGGAGAACCTCCTGAGGCATCACCCAGCCAGGAATGATTTGTCGAATTGTGGTTGTCGTAATTGACCCTCTTAAGAGGTAGAGCGACGCGAGAGCTGGAGAGCCAATTTCCACTTGAAAAATTCGGTTGCACATGGGGCGAATCGAATCGGCGAGGGCTGGAACGATCGTAACCATCGTGATTACCGAACGCGTCAAGCGTCAACTGACCACGGGTGAAAGCTTGCTGACGAATTTTGGTACATAAGGGATGGGCTGTCACGAGTGGTGATGATGGGGAAGGCGCGTCCGGGGCGCTGATGTATTAATAACAAGCGGCGTTGAGGATATCTCGAGATGTTGACCATGGGATACAAGGTAGTTGGAGGGCATGGGACTGGTTCAATCTGACGCCATGGCCCCAGACACCCATATCATTTGAGTCTAGGAATGCGTATCTGATGATATGACATGAAGAACCATCGAGTAGTCTCGACTGGCAGGAGGAGGTCTCTATTATCCCGCACACAAGCTCACATTGCTCCAGTGGGTCGCAACATGACGACAATAAACGCTCACCAAGTCCCCTGCCTTCTCCGTACGGCGTAGTCCGTAGTTCGGACATGAGAGGCAGTATTGACGCAGCCTTATGTCTCGTGGTTGATGAATCTTCCATCGAAGCCCAAAGTTTCTGGGGTCTTTTCGACTGAATTCGGAAGGTGGTCACGCTTGGTGGGAAATACAAGCTTGGCAAGTCGCCACCAGCGAACCAGTTCCTCCCGATTCGTCACCGAGCGGAAGCAAATATTGAAATTTGAAAACATCCCACCTTTGAGGAATTTCTTTGACATTGGTTAATCAGATGCGAAAGAAGGGATGCAGAGGCCAAGACCGTGGAAAGCGGGATGGGGAATCATGATTACCATGATTACCTTGCATTTACCTTCTGTAACCTCACAAGAACGTGGGGGTGATATTAAGCCTTTGGATTCCTTCCAGAATGCCCTCTCCCTTGCCATTGATCCAGCCCCCCTGGCTCTCCCCTCCCTCTCCTCTCTCTCCCCCCTCTCTCCCAGTTTCCCCATGAAGCAGAAACATGCGTAGCTCAAGTATGCTGAGACACGGAACGTCACCCGAATGGATTCAAAATGGAGACGCATCCCCCAAGAGCTCTAGATGTGAATCATTCAATCGCGTCGAATCTGGGCTGGTTAATAAACAGGTAAGACCACTGATGGCGCCAGAAAGGACAAGCTTTTGCACGCTAGGCAATGCCGACATTCGTCGAGACTAAGACCGTGCCAGGGTTAACCGGGACGAATGAAACCGTGGAGGCGACATCTAGGCGGGGTCAAGTCAATTGTTAAGACTTTTCCCTCGAGTCACTCAAGTCAGTCGGGGTCGCAGGCTCCGTGCTGTAGCCATTCCGTCTGCGGAACTGGGCGCATCCATTTCAATGCGCGGTTGGCCGTCTTTCTCTCTGCGGTCCCGGCGAGAGCTGAGCTGAAGATCACCTTCAATAAATTGAATGTGCCAAGGTGGTCCCCCGCGGACATTTTCTCAATATTTTCCATTCTTTCGCAGTCCGAATTCATGTGCTCGCCGCTTGTTGGTTGGAGATTTGGGAGATATTCTACGGCGATAGAGCTGCATTCACTGTCCCGACTTCGTCAGTTGCTCATGTCTCATCATCTTGGCGCCTTGGCACCTTGGCGTAGTGGTTCTAGCGCAAAAATTGCAGCACACCTTCCCTGCAGCCAAGAGAATCTGCGGAGCTGGACAGCTCCTCACCACTCCCATTACCCCGTCTCGGGGACCAGTCCTCCCTGGTTTCAAGGAGTCGCCGACATGGCCAAGAAAGTGTCGTTCCCTTCTTCGACGTTATCGTCCTGTGTGATTCGTCTGGCGTCGTCTTGGCCCAGTCCCCATCCCACTCCAGAAAGGGTTGAGGCCTTAATAACTGTCGTCCAAGCTCTGAAGCCCCCAGGCTCTTGGCCAACTGTGGCGGGCACATGGGAACTCAAAACGTATAAGTATTCCATCTGGCCCCTCCAACGCGCACGAATTGCGTGCTCGTCACCTTGCATTTCACCATTGCTTCGCGACCCACGCCCTCCAACTCCGATCAGCCATGTTTCTTGAAGCCCATCGAATGACACAAAGCTACCGACATGAGGAGGATCGACGAAATGGGGGAAACTCTAAAAGGAGCCCGGATATCCGGCACGCTGGCACTCGCCGTCTCATGCAAATCACGCGCCTGCTGCTTATTTTCGGACATTCATACGACTTAGACGAACACCTCCGCGGAAGACCGGCTTATTCCCATTGACTGAGATTACGATGGGCCTCGCAAACCCCGACAAATTCCCTCCCCCTCCAGAGGATGAGGAGTCCCTGACTCTTACGGTGGACTGGACACCGGAGGAGGAGCGCAAAGCGAAGCGGAAGTGAGTGGTTTTGTGTAATCACGACGTAGAAATAAGCTTTGAGACTAACTGAACTCCCCCGGATGCAGGCTGGACTTCATTATTATGCCTCTCCTAACCCTAGGCTTTTTCTGTAATTCCAATCCTTTGCTTTATTTGGAATAATCTGCAGGTTGAAAAACGCAGGGTTCATTTCTAACTTCCGCCAGGTCTCCAATTGGATCGTGGCAACGTGTCCAACGCCATCACGGATAACATGATGGAGGATGTGGGCATCACACAGAACCAGTTTAACGTCGGCCAGCAGATGCTCTCACTCGTCCGTGATTTCCCAAGTCTCAAATGATACTGCCGCCGCCATGAATCGTATTCCTGATATTTTCTAGGGCATCGTGTTGTTCGAGATCCCGTCCAACATGATTCTGTACCGAGTGGGTCCCGGAAAGTGGATCACCCTGCAACTTTTCCTTTTCGGTATTGTTAGCACCTTCCAGGCCTTCCAGAATAGCTATGGTTCTTTTGTTGCTTGTAGATTCCTCTTGGGCATGGCCGAATCCGGCTTCATCCCTGGCGGACTTTGGACGCTATCAACGTGGTACACACGAAGCGAGACGGCGAAGCGAGTCATGTTCTTCTACTTCGGTAATCAGTTCGGCCAGGCGTCTTCGAAGCTCCTCGCGTACGGTATCTTGCATATGCGCGGCGTGGGTGGCAAGGCTGGATGGTTCTGGTTATTCGTGCTTATGGGCTGCTTTACGATTTTCAGCGGATTCATTCTCGGCTTCTTCCTCCCCGATTCGTTCAAGAACCCATGCAGCACGTTCGTCCCCGGCAAGTCCTTGTTTACCGAGCGGGAGATCCACATTCTCCGCACGCGCATCATCCGCGACGACCCCATGAAGGGGAAGAAGAAGAAGTCGATTGGTCGCCCGGCATTCAGGAAGGCCGTAAGTTCGCATTAACTCTTTCCACCCCCACGTAGACACACCGACGCCACGTTGTTTACTATTCATTATTACCCGCCCCAGTGGTTCGTCAATCTCCGATTTACGAATTAAAATTCTAACTGCACCACCTTTCATTTCGATGAATTTTTGTTTAGTTCTCGAACTGGCGCCTCTATGCTCACGTAATCATCACGCTCTGCAACAACGGTCCCCAACGTGCATTCGATACCTACGCGCCCACCATCGTCAGGAGTTTCGGATATGAAGCGCTCAAGAGTAACGCCATGGCCTCCGTGGGTCTTTTCCTCCAGATTCCTACCTCCTACGCCTTTAGCTATGTTTCCGACCACTTGTAAGTTCTTTTCTCTCGCTCCGATGCGGCTCATCGCTGCCACGTGTTTCTTACTAATTTGACCCGGTGCAGCAACCGCCGAGGAGAAACCGCCATCGCCGGTCTCAGCATGCACTTGCTCGCCTACGTTATGAACCGAATTTTCACTGAAATGACCAGCAAGGGCGTACGATACTTTGGCGTTGTGTGGACCCAGACTTTTGGAACTTTCTCTCACCCTCTCAATATTGCCTGGATGTCTCTCACGTGCGAAGATTCTGAGGAACGAGCACTCGCCATGGCCATGTAAGTCGCCGGACTGCATCTGCACTGAATCGAAGAACTCAAGATACTGACATGGAAATCGATAAAAAGGGTAATTATGGGTGCGAACACAGCGGGCATGTACGTATCTCCCTACCTTCCTGTTTTCCCTTTTTAAAAAGAATTATTTCTGACTGTATTTCAGTTATGGCGCGCAAATCTTCCGATCCGACGACAAGCCCAAGTACCGGCGCGGTTTCGGCGTCAACATCGGCGTTCTCACCCTCGGCGTCACCCTCGCCACTGTCCGATTGGTCGACGACGTCTTCCGCCGCCGCAAACTTGCCAAGCAGCTCCAGCTTCAAGACAACGAGAACGGGTCGCAGGAAAATGCCGCACGCGTCAGCGATGTCCAGCCTGCCCCGATTCTTCTTGGAGATGAAAAGAAGCTGGTTGTTTCCAATTAACAAGCGTCGGTATAGATGGAATTTGTCGAGTTCTGCTTGTGAGCCAACCGCTGTTTGGCGCTGGGCATTGGAGTGGTTTAGGTTGGTTGAAATCTTCTCTTCATCGGCTGTTAGAATGGGGGAAAGGGGGGGAATAACAGCGCTAAACTCTGCAATAAAACCCAATTTCTTCTATCATTTTCTACCACTTCCCTCGTACACTGTGAGGTCGAAAGCTGAGCCGACCAAAGCAACGAACCGGTTTTCAAGCCCGTGTTGAAAGAGCCGACTGCAATACGGACTTCTCGTCAAAATCGATTGCTCAACGAGAAGGTATTACCGCCCGAGATACGCCGGATCCAAGATTCTGTTTCCTTCGTGACCGATCATGTTAAGAGCCGAAATTGAGGAGAGTGAAGAAAAAAAAAAAATAAAATAAAAGTCGATTCCTGCCGACTCTGGCCGAACCGGATTGCGCGGGGCGGAAATAACCCATCGGGCCCCACCGGAATATTCCGTGAGCAGTGGAGATTCCCCAGGTCCAGAAAGCATCTTTGATTGGCCAAAATTGAGTGTTCAGCCCTTTTAGTTACATCTGGCCAATCACGTCCCAGATCGGATTCGGTGACGTCGTCGGCCCGGACAAAACCCACCTTTCATATTCTCTCACTTCGCTCTTGCATCAAGACCTGAATCCATGCCCCCAGCACCAGCACCCCCCAAAGTTATTCTTGGAACCGAAAAACGGCCACTGACACTGATTTACAATATTGGGCCCTGTATCGAGGTCTTACAGATCCTGCAGTAGACCCGCGTCCTCCCTACCTGGATGTTTTCATCGACATCACCCGCAGGCGAAGGCGCTATTGCGCCGAAAACGTGCATGACCTGCGGTAAACAATACAAGAGAACGAGCCATCTGAGACGACATGAAGCCATTCGTTAGTCCACCGTGGTCCCATGGTCCCACCTCCCGGGGGAAATTGCACCGATAGGGTAGACACGGGGGCCGGTACTAACTAAGAGCCCTTAGACGCTGCGGCGGAGGGATTCAGATGCCCTTATTGCTCCAAGAACTTCAGTCGGAGGTACGTACACCCGTTGATCAACACCCTCCCGTATTCTGTTTCCCCCACACGGTAGGGTGGAAAGAAACGAGCATACCATTCGGTAAACCCACGGAATCCAGGCCGCACTGCAACGCACTAACGTCGTCTCTCCGAGGGTCCTCACAGAGATGTCTGCCGAAAACACACCCTGAGCTGCCCCCACAAAACTACCCATGAAACCCCACCAGCAGCCCGCCGTGGCCAGCGCCCTAGGGCCTGCGATGCCTGTTTCCACAGTAAATCCTCCTGTGATAGCGGTAACCCGTGTTCCCGCTGCCTATCCCGCGACTCGGAATGCACCTACAAACGTCTTGAAGATCCCTCTCTGCACGTCACCGATGAGCTTATTTCTTCAACGGCGACCAACGCCTCGGAGGGCACTACCAGATTGGCGGTTCCTTTTCTCCTTGGCGTTTCCGACCCCCACGCATCCTCCATGGTCGAGTCCGTGATCGACGAAGACAATGTGGATGAGTACCCACGTGAGGACATATTGGACGCGCCGCCATCTAATGCATCCCCCGCGATACCAGTGGCAGAAGACTTTCCAATGGACTATGGCCCTTTCTCGTGGAGTATGAATCAATACTATCTCGAAGAGTTCACACAGGGTATTTATGGTGATCTCTTCCTTCAAGACCTGGATATGGGAACCCCGAGTTCAGGCAATGGCTCCGATCTAGTTTTCGACAGTTTGTCGCTTTGCTCCGTCCGGCTAGTCGACGACCTAGACCGCTTTCGGATATCGACGCATGCGGATCACAGCCCTCAAGATGCTTCATCCATTCCTGACATAGACATGCCGACAATGAAGAGGATATTTTCAGCGGAGAATTTAAAGTCACACCTATCTGCATTCTTCAGGTGGACCAACGTTGTCATCCCCCTCGTTCACCGCCCCACCTTTGACATCGACATTGCCGACCCGGCGCTATTGGTGTCCGCCTTCCTTTGCGGGTCGCTCTACAACCCTACCGAGGACGTCGCTGAGCGCGATGCCTGCTTCGACATAGCAGAGGAGTATGTGTTTAGTCGATTGAAGGAGCAAGTTGACCTCCAGCGGACTCTGCAAACGCCGGTCTGGAAAAATCGAGAACTTGTCGCTTTGATGCAAGCAGCTATGCTTACTTATGGTCGCCAGTGGATCACAAGTAGGCCCGACGCCAGGAGAAGAAGTCGCAAGGTGCGGCTCCCAGCTTTACTCGAGGTCGTTCGAGGTCTTGGGTTCACCAGGATAAAGCATGCAATAACACCCGAGGGAAATGTGCCGTCATGGGAGGACTTTATTCTTTTGGAGACTTGCATTAGGTGAGTGTTGCAGCGCCGTGATTTCCTGATTCTAAACTTATGGCGATACTAAAATAAGTTTCAGAGTAACGAATTTCCTATTCATTCTGGACTGGCAGCAGAGTGGCTCATTCCATTGCCCGCCTCAAGCATCGATATACGAGTTGCAATGCGATCTTCCTTGCCTAAGGTTGTATTGGAAGGCCAAAGACGCGATGGAGTTCCAAGAACTCGTAGCTTCGAATGGGAACGCGTCACTTCAGCGAAATATTTCAGCACGCTTCTGCGTCGAAGCCCTCCTAGGGGACAGTTGGCTTCGTACATCACATTTACGCAGCTTGCGCGCCCTAACTGTCAAAGATCTTGAAATTTTGATCTTCGGTGAGTCGTCCTCTGGGGGTCAGCCCTAGCCTACACCGCGTAATACTTCAAAGTTTTCCGAAAAAAAAAAAAGCCTGTAAACCTAACGCCATTTACTAGCTGTCCATGCTGTTGCTGTCTCCGCCGTCCTGAATTGTACCCTTTCCCTCCTCTCTCCACGAATTCTCCGCGCCACGACCCGCTGGAGAGACCTTTGGGATGACCTTATGAACAGGGTTGACAAAGAGGAGCTAAGTAGAAGTGGAATGGCGCTGCATGCTCCAGGTATTGGCTGGATAGTTCACTGCCTCGTCGAGCGGTTTGTGAAGGACGGCGGGGCGGGGTTGTCCTATTTCGACGGCGTTGAACATGAATCTACGCAGCCGCTTCATGACCTTGTGAAGGTCATGATGATCGAGACGGGAGTGGCTGGAATGAAACTCGGAAAATGAGTATTTTGGATGGATGTGTCAAAAAAGCAATAACAAGGCCGCGGATGAGGCGGGACATGTATTAATAGGGCATAAAGGTATAGAAAATCACCATTCAGTATGGAATAGATAGATCAATAGAACACTTCTCTACGTCCTTATCCGGCACGGTTGCTTGGAAGTAAGATCGAGGCTCACAGGTGGTTGAGACGAGAATACGCTTTCCATAGTTCAATGGCATGCTGCGACAGACCCTAGAAGTTAGTAATAAGTCGATTTAAGGAAGGAATATAATGAAGCAGTGCCGCACATATCCGTATCTGGCAGATGCTGCCTGCCGACGCCACAATGGTCTACGGCGGAAGCCAGCTTTGAACCCTTGGCTATGACAATCCAAACCTTCAGAGGGACATAAGACAAGAGGTCTCCTCTCCATACACTCGGGCTACGAAATCGGCTTCTGTAGCCCTTGTCTCTTTTTGCTCAGAAAAGAGTTAGAGATGTACAAGGAAAACGCGATGGAGCGGGGTTTGTGTAACGACGTTCAGGTGATTGAATCAGGCAGCAAACGGATATCATATTTTGCTGTGATCGCCTCATCTCATCTCTACCCAACGTAGTTTCTTCCTCAAGTTCCTTCTCAAATATTTCGGTCCCAAGTTCGGCCGATTTCGTTCCTCTATCCAATTGCCTTTCCTCATTTATCGGCCTTGTCAACTGATTAAACGCTGCGATGAATAGACTCACCCAACTCGTCAGCCACTTTTGTGGAATCGATGACACACTGATTCAGCAGCCGGCTGGTCTTCGTTCGGACTTTACCAGCAGATCGGACGAAGAAATTGCGGACGAGATCATAGAGCTCTTGAAGGACACCGAAAAGAATGGACAGGAATTGAGAAAACAGGTGGATAAGTCCATTGGTCCCCAAGGATGGACTGAGAGTATCGCAAAGCGAGTTCTCGAACGCCTGGTCGATCTGATCATGAACAGCCGTGAAAAGCTAGGTCAGGCCTTTTCCGAGGCCATCGACACGGCCGAAGCCGCAGCGAAAGCGTGCTTCTCTTTTGCTCAGGACCATCCTGAGATTGTTGCAGGGCTTTTGATCATAGTTGCAGTGGGTGTACTGGTGCTCATGGCTCCCTGGACCGTTGAGGCCCTCGGCTTTGGTGAACTTGGGCCTGTGGCCGGTAAGAAGACATGACCCATTTACTGTTCATATAATACCCTTACTAACGTGTTGACTACATTAGATACGTTCGCAGCATGGTGGGAATCCACCTATGCAGGTTATATCCCGAAGGGATCCTTGTTTTCATTTTTCCAGCGACTCGGCATGATCTGGAAATGCGTTTAAGTTTGTATTTGGCAATTGGGGCAGTGTATAGGACACAGCAGGTTTGTTCGTACTATGGATGTGGCACGTACTATTGGGGAGACCGAGTTTTACCAAGAGAACATTTCTGATTCCGAAGCGCGTGGCAAGTTCGACGGTAGAGGTAGAGACCGCTTCCCGATGAAATCGTGATGAGATTCGAAGCGCATGGCTGAACAGATGGGCTCATGGCAAGATCTGGAAATTAAAGGGAATAAAGACTTATATTACGCGTTAATCAGTCACTTCGTGAGGAAAGGGACCTACAATCTTCAATGAATGCAAGCGGCCATCTAAGGAATTTGCAAGATACAATGGCGTAAAGAATGGCTTTTTAAGACTGAGGAGAGAGGTGAAAGATTATTCATAAGTGCTGCGAATAGCGGATATACAATTGGATAACTGAGGGAACGGAAGGATGGGTAGAACGTATTCCATGCGCCTCGCGACTACGGTCGAGAACCGTGATGTCCACAGGAAAGAGCAACCCGGAGAACACGTACAGATAGCCTAAACCCCTACTTCCATTATAGGCGTCTACTGGACCTCTTACCAGAAGGTGTGTCTATGAATACCATTCTATTCCAAGAATCTCAAGGGAGAGTTGAGTATGTGCACACCTGTCAAAGAATGTGACGACTGGTAGATAAAGTAATTTCGAATGGGGTAGAGGGTCCTAAATCATCGCGTAAATAAGTTGGAATATAACGTGGAGAAGGAACCATCGGAGTAAGGAGTGTATGACAGTTACTAGTGGGAGATAATCGTATCGCCTTGAAACCCACATTCCAATGTCATGGCATGATAGACGTCTCCTCTCGTAGCTCTTTCTCCAAGCCGTCTCCGAATCGTTTAATATGGTTCTCGAGTACTTCATCTGGGAAGGAAAATGGGGCAAGAGCCAAGTGCTTTGCCTCACTGATGAAGTTGGCAGATGTTGGAACTTCCAGAGTCTAGTATATAAACACCATCACCCTCCCCTCATCTTCATACTCTAGCCCATCGTTCCCACAGGCTTGCCACAGCTCCCTCCCCCCGAGCTTAAACTGTTGACTCGACACGAGGCTCAGAGGAAACTTCTCAACTTGATAGAGATGGTTCCTCCCTATTGGTTCAACGAATTCCGGGCCCAGGACATCATCGGACTTTTGAAAGCATTCAAGCGATGCAATCGCAATATTGATAATCCCAGGAACCAGCCACTCAACCAGGATATCAGAAGGATGCTGCAGGCGATACCTGTCGTAAAGCCCCCTGTCTATGATATGTGGGCTGGCCTTATTTCTTGCTGGGATGCGCGGATCAATTGGTTTCCCTGGCTCTTTCTCAACAGGATCAATGCCAACAAGTGGTCCAATATGGTTGGCCTGAACCCTGGCCGGGACGACGCCGACCCTGATATCCTCTACGGGCCGGCCGAAGAGTTCATCTCATGGATGGAGCACGATAACCACTTCCGATCGTTTTCTGATGACAACAGATCCGCCCCGCCTCTTGCCAACGATGCGGCGGAAGACCTCCGAGACCTGTTTCGTGCCATCGTAGTCACGGAAGTTACAGCAGTGGAGATTAGTTGGCGCCTCCCAGTCGACCTCGATAAGTCTCCCGAGGAAATTCGGACGATGCTCGCTCAGCCAATCCAGCCATGGTCTGCTGCAGAGGACGGTCAGCAGGAGGAGAAAATCGTGACGACTCCCGAAACCACAATCATAGCCCCTACTCCGTCGATGGAAGAAATCGAGACGCAGGCTTATAGTGCAGATTGGCCTCTTCGCAAGGTTGTTTCGGGACTGACGGACAAGGTGGTCTTTCAGGAGAGGTAGTATCCCTGGGACAGTTCCGCCAGGTTACCGGACGTATGAAAGAGTTCGAGACCTATATCAAGGACGGCAAGAAGAGGTTATTGGAAGAAGACGTTGCCACTCGCAAGTTCCTTAAGCAGTTCGACGAGGTTCTGGCGCGGGACACCAAGAAATAACCAAGGTTCTTCTCCCTACAACTGCAGATCGCTCCAGTGAGCTGCCCTGGTGACGTCGCATCCCTTTTCCACTATTATCTTGTTGTCTTTGCTTTTCAATAAGCCTTGCGATGTTACTTCAATTGGCAATCCTCTCGAGGCTTGAGAATAAATAGTTCTATAATCAGGAAACCTCTATGGAGAAGTTTGAGCTTGCCACACCACAAATATCCGAAGACTCAAGAACGTAATATAAATTTACTAATTTACGACTTTAGCATCGTCCATGGTGGTGAATTTTGATCTCTCTCGACTGAGTTTGACATTAAAGCCATCCTCCGCTTACTTGCCTTACCGCCGCCGCGATATCTTCCAATCTCTGGCATGGGCGTAATATTCGGAAGTTCCTCTATCAAAACTGCTGCCCGAAAATGGAGCTTATTGCCAATGCTCCAAAAGTGGTCGGGCTTTTGATTTGGTGCATCTGCCAGTTGAAACACCCGGATGTGTCCCAAGTCCTTTTTACTCTCACTTCATATATTATTCCATGCATGCAAGTCTTTTCAATTGCATTACCCCACAAATTGTCGATCCAACAAACTCCGTTCTCGATTGGGCACTTTGAGACCCTGCATCCGCTTTCTTCGATCTTCCCAGCCGGAACCCGAATGAACCGTCGCAGGGTTGCCGATCTCACAACCACTCGCAAATCTCGTCACAACAGACGGCTGCAAAGCTGCCAATGATTGACGAAGAATTTCGAGAATTTCGTCCTGCGCCCCGGTTTGAGACCGTTGATTCTCCCTTGACAATGCAAGTGAGAGCCTGTCAACCCCTCTTCATCCCAGGACGTTGGATACCCGGCATTGTTCTCTCCTAAAATATGGTTGTTTGGTCTTATTCTGTCATACCCAAGTGATCTAGAGCATTTCCGGTTTTTTTTACCATCCTCACTGCACATCCATATCCGCTGCCTGGCAAGATTCTTCCCGCCGCCGAGCGAAAAACGCGTGGCATTTCCCGTCCTCTTAAGTACCCATCCAAGTTCACGAACGGCTCGACATCTTTTTGCAAAGTTTCCAGGAGGTTAGAGGGCCATTGCAGCGGCGTAGCCTGGAATTCATCGCAGTCCTCCTCCATGGAGTCTCACCCCGCCGACCCTTCGGTCAAGAGCCTTTTCTGGATCCTGATATCCTCGGCGACCTTGTTCATATTTCTGCGTCTCTACTACAAATATCGCGGCCAAGGCCTCCATCGCGATGACCTCGTTCTTTTCACTTCTTGGGTTGGCCTATCCTCATTTCCCAGCTCTCTCCGACAGGCCGTGCGCTAACTACTGGTCCTATTATTTAATAGATCGCACTCTTCGCGAACGGAATCATCATAACTATGATAATAGACATTGCAACCTCCCGAACACCCCCAACCGACCCGACGAGTACCTTCCGAAAGCTGATCATCCTGGGCCTCACCTCGACAACACTCGCACTGCTCAGCCAGGCATGGAGCAAGACGTCCTTCGCCATGACCCTGCTCGGAATTACGAAGAAGAGAGATTGGGTCACATACTTCCTTTGGTTTGCTATTTTCAGCATGAACATCTCCTTCGTGTTGGCGGGGATCTTGTTCTGGGTCCAGTGCACTCCTCTCGAGGGGTTATGGAACCCCTCTATTCAGGCCAAGTGTTTAGATCCATCCATTAACATTATATATGGGGTGGCGATCAGTGGTATGCTATTGTCGTTAGGCGGTTCCTTGGATTTTTCTTTTCCTTTTTCTTTTACCGCCATAAAGAGAGTGACTAACTTTGCGGTTGGCAAACAGCGTACTCGGGTATTTTGGATCTGGCCTTTGCCGTCCTGCCGTGGAAGATTCTTATGCCTCTAAACCTGAACACGAAGGAGAAGATAGGATGTGCTATTGCAATGAGCATGGGCGTCTTGTAAGTGCCATATTTCCTGTTACTTACAAGAAAAGTGTCGTCTCTCTAACAGACGGTGCGTAGTGCTGCTATGGCTGCCTTCATCAAGTGCTCAAAGTTTCCTTCAATCGCCCCTGGAAGTACAGGTTAGTATTCTTAGAACCAAGGTATTGGGAATTTTGCTCTAATCCTGGACCGATCCGCTAGGAGACAGTATGCAGCTTGCCATCTGGGGCGTTGCCGAGCCCGCTATTACCATCATAGCCGCTTCCATGCCAACCCTACGACTCTTCGTGCGCAGAATAACTGGTCCGAAGGACTTTGACATGGAAGAGGGCAGGGCAGCAGATGAGATTGGGCTTCAAGAAATGCCCGCCCGTGGCAACACTCGCCATGGTAACACACCATCCCACGAATCTCAAGGACATCCTTAGGCTCCTTCCCAATCTCCACACCGCTTTACCTAAGGAAGAGGAATACGAAGGCGAGGTACGATACTGGGGAATCCGATCGAGGTGTTCCACACGATGCTGCTTTTCTTTTATTGGAATTATAGAGCACAGGATGGGCTTTGTGCGATTTTGGATGTCCTTGTTTTTTTGTTTGCTTACATGGATGGGACCGGAGCACTGGCCGGACTGCATTGGGTACGGGTTCATTCGATTTATTTGTGTGTCTGAGTATGCATGACTAGTTTATATAGTATGATAACTCGAATAAGTTACGTGTTTATGAAGATAGAAGAAGTAGGTAATTCCGCACAAGGCTGTCTAGTCGCAATGGATTGTATTACCTTCTTACCTTGAGTTTTGCACGACAAAAATCTCGAAGGAATCGAAATTGGATACACGGGAGAAAATTCCCACCGGAAGCCTTTGTATCTAATATTTGAGTCGATTATGCTCTTCTAAGTGTATAAATAGCCAGGGATCGGAAACGAAGTGACATCAGCACTTCTTCCCAGAGAACAATGGCTATCCCTATCCACCCCCCATTTCAACTTGTCATGTTCAATACCTTCGTAGCGGTGAGTAGGGTGGCAGGCTGCGCTGATTGCTGCACTGCAAGTTCCCACAACTGGGGCTGAAGAAGGTATCCGTTGACGCCCGACGTTTCCTAGAACGATGAGAAGGATAGTGAATGCGATCAAAGCGCACATCATGGCAACTGGTGAAGTTCCGACGCTGGATACGAAATGTTCCGGGTCAAGGATTCCGTCTTCGTCATACGTCTCTATCCGAGCTGCAAAGATGGACTGTGAGACAAGAAAGTGAATCAGAGTTTGTAACAAGAACAGAGCTACGCCGTATGCCCATGGCATATGGAACAACCACAGCTCCCTCTGTTCGCCGTCGGGTTTCGAGACCATGAGCCGTTGGCCGTCGTCAGTAAACCGGGCCGTATCTCTTGCGTATGCAGAACAAGAAACTAGACCTTGGTAGATGAGCCAGAAGCATGCGAGGACAAGCTGGGGTACGTTTGAAGTAGCTGCTACGGCAAGAAGCTCCCCCTGGGTGGAGCCTCTGCTGATGGGTCTAAGATTGTGGTTCAATTTTCCGAAGTTGCTGAAGAATTTGACTTCTCTACCCGAATTCCGAGCTGTAATCAGGGTCGCCGCAATAAATGCTAGGCCAAAGAGGACAATAAGGAGCGCACTAGGGAGACAGAATTAGTACCGTTGGCATATCAGTTATGGAGGGAAAGCTAAACCTTACATGAGTGTCAAGCATAGCCACTTATACGGGCCAGTGCCTTTCCAAACGCGGTACTGAGGAGCTTTGAACATTTTCCCGGACGAGGGACTCTTCCAGAGTTTCCTGACATTCATCCAACTGGCAAGGCACATGCCCATTGTTGTCGGATCCTCGTCGCGCAGGAATGACTCCGCTGCGTCACCGGGGCAGACCAAAGACTTATTTGTGCTCTTCCATGCCAAGATAAGGATTGTAGCCATGCTTGCTAGCGTGGTGAATGTAAATATGATCAGCAATCCCACTATGACACCCGAGTACTTTATCGAACAGGGTGTTTCCTGCGGTTCACTGAGGCAGAAAAGCACCGTCCTTTCGAATATTTTCCAGTCGCTGAAGTTTGCAATGTCGAGTACCGACAGTGCATTCGTTGGGGTAATATCGCATCGTTGCTGGGAGGTGGTATTGGCGGCCTGCTGTTCCTGCTGTCCACATATCCAGCTGTTGGCGTTGTCTGCTGCATAAGAGAGCCCGTGACTGAAGATTTGGCTGACATTTCGAAAGCTCTCATCATTGCGGATATTAGGAGTGACAACAAGAACGGTCCGATATTCGTTTTGATAGACGTTGGAGTATGTCTCGACGCACCTTTGGTTACTCAGTCTTGCGTAGCCACTGACAGAACTTTGAACGTCTCGAAAGCTCTTAAGCTCTTCTGCGGGCATTACTGTTGTAGAAACGATTGGTTGCCTTCCCTGCTGGTCCAAGACGAACTGCTCACTGACGACGGCCCAGCGATATCCGTTCGCAGACATTGTCGTGAATATTGCCGAGTTGGCGCTAAACATATCATCAGTCGCGTATCAACAGCTTCAAAGCCAACGTGAACACGTACAATAAGTGGAGCGGCACAGATGATAGCACCAAAATGACATATATTAGCACCTTTTCTCTTGAGATGTACTTGAGGTTTCGGAAGCCGATTGATCCCGTACTGAGCCATTTGTGATGGGCGTGGGCGGCATCGATCTCCAGCCTCGAAGGACTGTAGGCGAGGATCATGAAGGTCGTGCTCGCCGCGAGAACGATGGTTGTGAGGACGTTAATGACGACGTGAAGTCTGGTGTTTAGGTTCTCGATCGCGTCGCAATCCCCGCGCTGGATGGTGCCGATGTTTCTGACGATTCCATACTGGACCTTTGCCCAAATCAACCACGCGACATTGAAGACGAATATGATGGCAACGGCTATGACGCGGTAAACTAAGAAACTTTGATAGCCATAGAGGAGGCGCGTAGGTGCTTCTTTCTTCTTGTCGTCTGTTCCCGCCACGGTGGCGCTCACCGCCTCCTTCTCCCTGTTGAGCCGCATGAGCCGCATGGCGTTATGGTCCGTGTGCAGATTCGGGCATTCCTAGAAATAATTCCTCGATGAAAGCGGTTGGATGGTAGCGGAACAGGTGAGTAGTGAGGAAGGTATTAGGGCCAGCAGCCTGAGGCAATGCAATTTTAGGGAAATGAAGGTGCGCGATGCGGTTTGAAAAAAAAATTCATCACCAGAACCAAAATGCGTCTCCAAGCTTATCTCACGAAACCGGAAAATTAATGTTCGTGGTATAGGTCTTGGCACTGGATGCGACGTCTGACCACTGTTGTTTGAGTTCTTGGTGCGCAGTCTGACGTGGCAGGCGGACAGCAGCTTGGGATGTTGGGAATGGTTCAACCTATCCTCCCACCCTCTCTTCTTACATGGAGACGTGTTTCATCAGGCTTCTCTCCCACCAGAGAAAATAATCGACGTTTCTCTGTTGGTCTGTTTTCCTTGCTCCGATTTCTTTGAGGTGGAGCTAAGGTGAAGTTGAGATGGGCAGATTCCTTGGGAATGGTGATGGTTTAGGGTGGAAATAGGAAACGATACAGTTCAGTGCTGCCTTACTGAATTTCCCCTTTTTCCCCAACACCAGTGAGTCGTGACCAATTGGGATGCTCGCGCCCAGAGCCTTTGGGCAGAGGAGTTGAGGCAAAGCACCGAATCCTCATGACTGCGGATGTAATTGTGTAAACGAACCTTGGCAATTTGTCGAGCTTTATTAATTTGGAATTTGGAAAGTGAACCTTCCCAGATAGTTTAGTCCGTGAGCGTATGATGGGACAGCTGGCGCACCTTAATAGGCGTCCGTTCTGGGTTATGGATGTCCAGGCCAAGGTCCACCCTTCTGCCCTTTCCATAGACGGCGTCGAGAGGTGTAATATGCCGCCCCTTCCAAAAATTATTCACTGCCTCGAATCGGTGGTAGATTCAATTCTAAATCTAGAGCTAAGGTGACTCATGTTGAAGAGATCAGGGCTAGAGTCAAGGGGGGTGTTTACTTCTGTGACTATGCTCTCTCGGTCATCTGGAATAGAAGGTGGTACTACAGTTTGTCAAAGCCACCTCTCATCGCCGAGGGCCCAGGAAAGGTTCACCTTCTCTGAAATGCCAAACCCTTGAGGAACAGTTGGGTGTGCTCCTTCTTCAAGGAACCGAGCTTCCGAAGGGTTTGCTCTTGCACCTTCTCACTTAGAATTTGTTCAAGTATCCCTTCCATTCCAAATTAGTTTCTTCTCCCACTTCTTCACACAACTTCTCATATATGACGCATTCTTCGGCAGTCACTACAGTGGATCACCCGGGTGGTCATGACCCGATTTATGGATGAGTTCATGAACCGGTTGAAGGACCGGCCGGATTCCAGGTTTCTTGTGTTCGAAACACTCGGGAAAACCGATTGATTGCGTATGCAACAGAAATGAACGAACGATTCACCGGCCTGCACAGTGACATTGAAACCCAATTCAGCCTCAGCTACAACGGGTTTGAGCGCACCGAGAATAACCTGCAGGGCATCAGGGAACTCGTTCAAGAGGTTAGGAATCGTGCTATTGTGCTCATAAAGCACGACCGTGTTCGATGTGTCTACTGTCATCATGTGACATATTGACATATATCTACGAAGCCAACCTTCAAGTTGGACCCCCTCCTTGTCGCCACCCTTTTCCCATATAAAACAGCGATTTGCAGGGGTCTATATATAATCCGAAAACAGCGATCGCCCTAATAACAACAAAAGCTGTTGCTTTAATTACGCATCGACTGCCCCGACGGCCCTGGTCAGTGGTCACCCACACCCACCCTGCTCAGGCTCGCTTAGGCTCGCTCAGTCTCTACTCAGGATAACCCTAATATTGAGGGGGCCGGAAAGGAGGTATTCTAACTTACCTCTCGAGGCCAGCCTCCAGCCACAATCGGCGAGCATGACTGCGGTCCGATAAAGATGTTCCCCTGCCAATCATCAACCTAGCTGATGGGCCATCAGATATGGGGGTCCTGTCATCAGACGCCACGTCATGTGCAAGTCTATTGCTGGTTGCGTTGCCTGTTTCATCTTCCCAATCAGGGCGTCGGATTGAAAAGGCAGGCTGCCCCGACGGTGGTCTGCAGGAAATGAGGGGGGCATCGATGCTTCATGTTCCTCTGCCTCGCCTCACCGTTGTTCTCACTGTGGTGCGGGGCCGCGGTGGCAGTGAGAATTATTACAAAAAAAGCCTTGGTCTATCTAACTCTGCCACCATCCCGAGGAATCGAGTCCTTCCACCTTCGGCTCTGCCATCAGTGATGGCGGCGATGCTGTGCTACGTTTGCGCCGAAATCTTCTCAGCACCATGCCGATTGCACCAGTGGAGCCGTCACCACCAGTCTCGAAGGAGCGTCCTGGCCGCAGCTGCCGAAGGATGCTACGTCTGCTCCATCATGACTCATCATCCTAAATTCAGGGATGGAGACAAAGACACGCCTTTCAGGCCTGAGTGGCTTCTATACCCATCTATCAGCATCGAGATCGAAGGCCTGCTACAGCTTGATATCAACGGCGACGAGGAAGGCCACGGGAGCAACGACGACAGCAAGCAGAGCGGCGATCTACAGCCGGATTCCAACGGCGATATAATACGTCTTCCGGTCGATGGCACCGAGGTCAATGCTGCGATGCCAGAGATATTGATGTGGAATCTCATTCTAGTCCCAGCAGACTGTTCGTCCCGCCTTGAAACTCGCTCAGGCACGCTTTCCGGGAGAGAAACTGACAGGGTTCGCAGTTTTGCAAGAGAGGATACCATCTCTTATGCCTCCAAAGGGCTTCCAGAATCCCAGTTTCTGGTCTTTGCCTCGTCGGTGGCTTAACGCATGCATTCGAACCCATCCAGAATGCCAACCATATGATCCAGATTTCCGACCTAGCCGTCTGGTCAAGCTGCTGGATGAGGCGAGAGCAAAGCTCATCATCTGCTCCCAGGAGCAGACGATGGCAGAATCATACGCAACTTTGTCCCATTGCTGGGGAAAGGCGAAGACCCTGAAGCTCCTGACTACCAATATAGGTGAACTCCGAGCAGGATTTTCTATTTCGGAGCTACCTACGAGCTACAGGGAAGCCATTTCTGTCGCCACAAGGTGTCACATCCGATACATCTGGATCGATTCTCTGTGCATCGTTCAGGACTCAACTGCTGACTGGCTGGCCGAAGCCGGGCGTATGAAAGACGTGTACCAGAATGCGATCCTCAACATATCCGCCGCCGCAGATCGGAAAGCTCGATGTCAAGTTTCACCAACCGAGCTCAATCCCTCATACTGCCACTGACCGTCAATCCGACGTGGGTCAACAATGAAGGCCGCTCATCCGCCTACTACCTAATCGACCAAAACTCATACTATGACGCGGTTGAAAACTCGCCCCTCCGTCGAAGAGCTTGGGTATTGCAGGAAGCATATCTCTCCGGCCGGAACCTGAGTCTCACACGAACCCAATTATGGTGGGAATGTCGGGAGCTCGCTGCTTGCGAGGCTTGGCCGGCAGGTCTACCGCATCAGCTGCGGATAGGTCCAGCGCCAAAGACAACCTCTCTTGAAAAGGCTTATCGGCACGGCCTAGTATCTTCTAGAGGTGTCGCCACAAATCACATGCTCTGGGACGACCTCGTTGAAAAGTATTCGGCTTGTGGAATAACCTTCTTCTCGGACAAGATGGTTGCCCTGTCCGGCCTCGCATCGCACTTCCAACAACTGGTTGGCGGGGACCAATACGTTGCAGGCATGTGGCGCTCTAGACTTCTCAGTAGGTTGCTCTGGCTTTCAGACAAATACAGGCAGGCTTTTCGGCCCGTCGCCTATAGGGCTCCGTCGTGGTCATGGGCTTCACTCGAAGGGAGCGTGTCGTACATCAACACGCGCATTAAGGAAGATGTTGCAAGTATCAAGCAAGAATTCCCAATGTGCGAGGTGGTGGATGTCAATGTGACTCCCTTGGACCGCGACTACCCAACCGGTCCGCTGAAAGGTGGTTGTCTCCGATTGCGTGGCCCTATCTTGGAAGTGGCATGCCGCGGCGAAAATCTGGCAGTAGCGAGAGGAGACGGGCAGTTTGGGTATATCCCAGGTTCGGACGAGGACTCTGGTCAATTGCCCGACGACGGTTCCAGCCAAAACAGTTGCCTTGCCGACCTAGACGAGAACACTGCTGATGATCAGCCAGTGATCTCGTCGCTCGACGTTGCTAGCGCCCAGTCCATCGATTTCGGGGACTTGGCTAACTGCACGAGAATCTCCCGGCCCTTGACTGCCTGGCGCGGTGGCATGTGGAGTATTCCCCTGGTCGAGTGGAATAGCCATGGTACGCCAACACTCGGCGGGCTGCTTCTTGTGGCAGTGAAGGACGGCACTACTGGAGTTTTTGAGCGTGCTGGCACTTTTCATGCCACTGGGCTGACCGCGACGGCGTTTATGAAGGGCGGGAATCGGCGTGAGATCGTGATCATTTAGGAGATCAACGACACTTGGCCATCTCTCTAGTCAACCCATTCCGTGCTGCTTAAAAATAAGCAAGACAAAATTAGAAAGGAAAAAAGAGAGAGAATACTGTCAGATAACAACTACCCTAGGCATCAAGCCTGGCCCATGAGACGGCAAATGATTGTGCGAAGCGCTACCTCTGAGGACCCGTAAGGCCGTGACTGCAAGATTTCGTTCCGTATAGTGGCCGCTGCGTTGAGCTTACTAGGTGGAATCTCCAGCTTTGAATTCGGGACCCAAGACGAGCTTTGACAATAGAAGAAGTGAGGACTGCATTGACGTCGGGTCTAGCACACAGCAGATGATTCCTTGAGCCTCACTTGCTGCATTGCCCGTGCTCTTGCGTTGTGGCCGAGAGTTGGAGGCCTAGAGGTTGGACTACCAGCTAGACGGTCCCCAGAGACATAAGCCGCCGCTGCTCTCACCCCAGGGAATCCGCGAACGTGCAAACCTTCTGACTGTAAGCTGACGAGTTTAGCTGATCGATTCCTTTCCGCTTCATCCATACCGCCACGCCCTCCTCAGAAAGTGGTTGATATACGACAAGCAGAGTTTCGGATTCAGGGCCAAATTCTGCATAGATGAAGGTCTTTTGCCCTCTGGAAAAGTTTCGGATTTCCGCGGATGAATGCCAGAAGGAGAGTTGGTCCCCATTACTTTTCCTAATACCGACCGCAACTATTATTCCCGAATCTGAAATTGCCAGTGCTTCACCAATGAAGAAAACGCCTTTGGGGTTCTCCGGGGACCAAACCACGGTCTTTGGAGATAGGTCCCACACGACAAGAGACGTATTTTCCTCTGTGGAATTACCGTACACCGCTACCAGGAATGAAAGGGCTCTGCGTAGTTCGAGATATAGGGTAGGGTAGAGTGGACGGATAACTCCTAAAAATGCGCCAGGATAATAAAGCGACCCGCCAAGGCGACCAACAACGTTGAAGGTTCATTCCATGAGGTCAGCGGAACGTCATCTGCCAAACTTTATTTGTACGCTGCTGTGGGTTAAGCTCCAGATAACAGTGATATAAGCCAAGAAAAAATCATATAGAGCACTTAATTACTTTTGACCTTGGATAACTTCCGCCAAGAATATGACCGCTGTCAAACAGATACAAGACAACTCGTAGGGCTTATGGAGGGCGATGCGCCGTGGGCGTTAGGTGTTATGTGGACGCTAACATTCATCGTTTTCGTCTTCGTCATCCTTAGACTATACACACGTGTCCTCATTGTCAAAATCTTTGGTGTCGATGACCTTGTGTACAATATTGCCTTCGTAAGTCGAGTCCGCCCTTATTAACTCCATCGTGCAAAACAGCCTTTCGCTCATTGAGTCTGTCCAGATTCTCTTGCTCTTATACACAGTATTCATACATTTGTCGGCAAATTATGGCTTCGGTCAGAACACGTTCGAGATTAAAGACGTTGAGGATGTCGTTCGGGCAGTCCTGCTCGAGGTAATCGGGCAAACATTTGCCATCATTGGTATGGCAGTCGCGAAGTGGTCTCTCGGTCTTTTCCTCCTGCGCCTTCTCAACCCCAACATGATATGGCATAGGATGGCAATCTGGGCTGCCATGGCAGGCCTTATGTTGACTTCAATCTCGGTCGTCTTCATCTATTGGCTGCAATGTACTCCGCCCGCGTACCTGTGGGATCGCCGAATTCGAGGGGGCTTCTGCCAAATTAATTCCGTGCCGGCTGCTTTCACACTTTCCAGTATGTGCGTGCCTGCAAAAGAAGTCGGAAGTGCCACCATGCGGCAGTCGAAGGGCCTCTTGTTTAATCGCTAACATGATGCCCGTAAAGTTTTCTGCATCTTTGTCGACTTCTTCTTCGCCATTTTCCCCTGGATATTAGTCTGGAACCTTACTATGCCCAAGAGGGACAAGATTATTATTGCCGGCAGTCTGAGTCTCGGCATCTTGTGGGTCACGATTCACTTCTTCTTGACCAGGCTTGTCGGTATTGCCATGCTGACTTACAACCAGAGTGCCGGCGCCTGCGGTATCAAGAGAACAACGGAGTTACCCAACCTGATCAAGCAGGAGTACCTTAGTGCGTAGCTCCTCAATTTCACCAACAGATTGCGGCACAAAAGCGGCCGGGAAGTATTGCTAACCAATCCCCTATGAGCAGAGGATACTGTCCGCGCGATCGTTTGGTCTGCCGCCGAGATCTCTGTAACAATGATATGTATTGGTATTCCAGTCTGCCGACCACTCTACAAGCGCCTCTTCCGGACGCTTACGTCCACCGACGCCAGCAGCTTCACAAACCCCCCCAGAGGCTCGGCCCTGGCTCTACGCACTGTTGGAGGTAGCATGGCAGTCAGACACCCTGTTAAACCAGCCCGGCCCTGGAATGTATCAGAGAATCCCAGCTCCCCCGATGTTCAGCTTGGCTATAACGGTCCTTCCACCAAGACAGGGCAGGACACCGGCCCGATGGGCAACAACTCGAATGACGAGATCCGAGGCGCAGAGTTCAGCCATGGCCGGTTGCCACCCAATGCCAGTACGAGCAGCTATACGGCAGCGCAACTGGCCGTTGCATAGTACTTCAGGCCCTGATAACCACCCCTTCAGATTAATTGTGGCAGCGCCCAGCATTACCTTTTCGTCACGTTGCATGCATGCCCGCCAACCATATTCTGGTTTTCACCATCTATCATGCCATGAAGGTCAATTACGGCCTGTCACGTGATGAACACAACTTCTCATCTACACCGGACTCGACCTGGAGCCTGGTTGCTCAGACGAGTGTGGGCGGTTGCTGTCAGCTGCCGCCTTTCTGCCTGTCCCTACCGCACCGGGTCTTGAAAAGAGGTTGACCTATAACAAAAAAAAGATAAGCTAGCTAAATTTATCTTTCTATATATAAAGGCTTAGTACTTAATTATTAGTCTTTATTCTATACGCCTTAGGGTAGGCTTTATAGTTACGTTAATTGTCTGAAGTGGCGCTGGAAATGGATAGTGGGGGCCGCCCTGCTGTACCGCCGTGGAACCTGGTTTACCAGGGTCACCGCATTTTCGGGATCCAAGGCTGCTATCTGTGGTTGGCATAAATCTGCCAACTTCAGGACCATCTAATCACACCTTCGTAAATTAAAGGGAAACAGCAATGCGGAACACCTGGACGGCTTGGTGCTCATAGCAACGTCCGCGCATTACTATGTATCTATACGGGCAATACAATCCCGGGGTTCCGTCCTAATCTCGAGGTTTTGTCATAGCTAGAGTGTAAGTTTCTTTCGATCTAGATCTTATAAGAGATTTAGTAGTGGTTGCTGCTCAGCAGATCCTCCTGGCCCAAGGACTCCGGGTAGATGGAGATGTTGTTATGCTGAGGGAGAGGATTCGGGAAGCTACCCTCAAGTGTCCTTTTAGGTTAGTTAATCGACTTTTCCCCCAGCTTTGCAGTTCGATAAGAGAAGAGATTGAAGGATGCCCCGGCTAGTGGGAGATAAATCATTATTGGGGCCCTGTCCAGCGCCACAAAACGTAGCGCTCAGGACTTGTTAACGAAAGCTATCATCAATATCAAATGCGATGCGACGCACCTGACTTTACCTACTCCACAATTGTCCAACTCCCAAATACCGCTGCTGTTCCATCGCGTCACAGAGGCGACGTTGGCCTCGTAACGCCGATCCAGATATATCATCAGACGTTCAGAGTTGAATACAACGTCAACGGTGTCAGGATCAATGTCATAATCGCTCTCTTCTTCCCCATATTCGGCCAGGACATCTATAATCGACGTTGCTTTCTTAGCTGTTTCTTCGCGGCACCTCGCAACAACTGGGGGCGCGGACCATAGTTCCCGCATAGAGATATCGACCGAGAATATACAACCTTCCTCATCATGACTTCTGTTTCACATTACTTGTAACTATTGTGGCGGCTGACCCATCAGGTTACATTTTAGAGACAACCGACAGGAAATTATAGGAGAAAGTCAATGATCTATGAAAATGACGAAATAATAGAAATCTCTGGTTACACTGCGCGGCCGTCAGGTTTTAAAGCGGGGTGCATCTCCCAATTTATCCCTGGATTGCATCAAAGAACTCCTCGTCTTCGGCCTCTTCACTCATGCGGCCGCCATCCTGATCATTGTCGTTCTCGTCGTCCTCGTCACTATCATCAGCTGAATCAAACATGCTAGGGAATTCGTCGTCCTCCGTCTCCCATTCTTCCCCCAAGTCCGTACTCGTGCTCTCTGTGTCCTCAGCCCAGTAGGGCTGTAGCGAACCACACACGAGGGTCCGGGCGTCCTCGTCGCGGTCAAACAATTTCCTTTGTTTGCGAACCCATCTTCTCATCCTGTTGTGGCTGCCGTCCGCTTCGAACTCTTCTTTACACTCGAGGAAGAGTCCCGCTTCCCAGTTTAATTCCCTGAGTTCGAGGATCAATTCAACGAAGAGGACGACATCCCCGAGAATCAGGGAGTCTCTACCAGCGAAGTTACGCTCTTCCGTGACTCTGCATTCTAGCCGGTCGAAGGGTGTCAGACCTCTACTGTCCAAGAGGTCGGGGTTGAGACCCCGTAGGAGATAAGGCGGTATATCACCGATTTGTTTAAAGCCCGTTGGCATTGTAGCTAGTAAGTGGAGCAGGGTCTCTTCGTCATCCGTGGCTACGTTCGGTTTGGCGCCCAGTTCTAGAAAGAGCGGCACCAGAGAGGCGTTCTCTTGAGCAGCGATGTGCAGAGGAGTCCATCCTTGATAGGCTGCATCAAGGTTAGCCCCCGCTTCGGCATATGCTTTCACAATCTCTCTGGTTCTTTGTTGATGAAGCATGTAATCGTCGCCGAGTAGGCAATACAGAGGCGTCCATTGGAACTTTATTTGTGCATTCGGGTCGGCTCCGAGACTCAGGAGCAGCTTGGTAAGATTTAAGTGGTTGTAGCACACATGCAATGGGGTGCGACCTGTGAAGTCCTGGAGATGAATAGAAGCGCCGCGGGCTATAAGTTCCATGGCTATTTCCTCGGACCCCCAGTGGCAGGCTAGGTGGAGTGGCGTTTCTCCATTGTGCCGAGTGGGATGGTTCACGTCGGCACCAAGGTTCGCTAGAGTATGCACCGCCTGCAAGTCTCCCATCATCACGGCCCAGTGTAGCGGCGTGTTGCCCAGGTCATCTAGGGTGTTAATATGACATGGTTGCGCCAGGATACACTCTTCCAGAGGAATTTTGCTGTTGCCTAAAATAGCATCATGTATGATGCTGGCTGACCTCGGCTCATCGCCATCTGATTCGGCCAGTTGCTGGAGGATTTGACGGACTCCTACATCGAACTCGTGTGTAGTATGTAGATACTCTCGTGCCCAGTCAGCAGCAGACCTGTTTTATTGAAGAAAAACCCTCAGCACTGGGCTTTCGCCGCGTGATCGATTCCCTAGTCTATTTTCAATGACCAGGCTGCAACGGGAACAATCATCTTACCTGCCGGAGAGATCCGGCATTCTCGGATCAGCGCCAAAACGGAGCAAGGATGGTATACAAGACCACATGGATGAGTCCAAGGCAAACTATATCCGTCAGTCTCATTACCATAGTCCTTTGGACATGTGCTTACAGTTAGCAGAGTACGGCCGTAGAAACCCTCAATATCTGTTGGGAGTATTTGCAGATTCGATAGCCTCCTCTCAAGGCTCTCAATGTCATCGGACTCCAGAATGTAGGCTATCCCCATTTTATAAACTATTCGAGGAACTCGAATCCATAGTGAAGCGCCAAGGCCGGTCAGAGTCCGCCAGCTGAGAGAAGCGAGGACGGCTCGAGCTGCCAGCCATGGGGGAAAATGATACTGAACGTTGAAGAAAGTGTCTGACGCCGAGTGGCATAGCGAAGTATTGCATGGCTCGCATCTGCCATGCAAAGCGCTGTACTTGAGAGACAGCGTGCCAAATGCTGGATGAAGCCAGGGTAGTGAGCGAGCCCACGCAACCCTGTGACACGAGCATTTGCACAGGGGAAAACGTGCTCCGCGTATTGATGTGCGCGTGGTGAGAGACAGGTCCGTGTCTCTTCCGGCGGAGCGAATTCTGTTTTTGGCACTTGACCCTCTGTTGCCTAAGAAAGCCATTTGAGCGTTGAAGGCCGTCTTTATTGGCTCCAGATCTCTTTGTGTGGTTAGCGTCTATATTGTTTGGCATACTGAAGAACACACCTGGTTATTAGACTAAGCGAGGCTCGAATATCACCCAATACCGTAGCATGGCGCTGAAGCAGCTCAACACTCTCACCAGATTGCTGCATTATGTGCCCCAGCTGCGGCCCTATATCCTGGAGGGACTTCTCATTCCGTGTCAGGACCTCGCAAGCATGACTCAAAATATGATTCAAGTCAACACTGGGAAATTGAGCTCGCTCTAGATTGTGAAGAATGTCGACCAGGCAGGTGTTCGATGCTTCAATAATGCTTTTCACATCAGACACCAGAACCGTTTGTTGCGTCCTGAAAGCATGTTAGAATACCTTTATCATGATGGCTTGCACGCATTGCTTATCACTCACCCCTGGGAGGCACTGACAGCCGCGAAGCAGGTTGAAAGCTCAAGGTACAACCGCTGAACCAACTCATGGAGTTTGGCGATGTTGTCTTTCTCGCGCCACCACTTGATACGGGGTATGCGATGCCGTCCCTTTTTATCGAGGCCCTTGCTTTGCGCTAACAAGCGCTTCGCCAATTCGTCCAGCTCTGTCGTGGCTCGACGGAGCCCCTCGTAGAGAGTTTGAAGAGCGGTTAAACTGCGGGTTGGGGGCCGAGAGGTTGATGTTTGAAGTGTTTCTAGTACGGCTTGGAGCATTCCTAGATCGTTCAGGAGTGCCGAGAACTCGGTTGGCGTATTGCTGAGGGATTTCAGCACACGCACTCCCACGGCGATTGCGGCGACAGCCTGGCCGATGGCAATGACGCTTGCCGTGACGGACAGAGGATCCATGGTGTCGCCAAACGGTCTGGGGATGGAATACGAGAATCCGTCCTATGTCGCTTTCGGAATCCGCATGCAGTCGTTGCGATGAGGGTTTCATGAGGCCCGATTGCTTTCCGCGAAGCCTGACACTGGTTGTTGTTGTTGCCTTGGCAGAGGGGATCGCGATATTTTCTGACCTAATGGGCTATGTATTGGGCTTAGACGTCCAAGCCTCATTTTATGAGTGGCTGGTCAGACCCCTATCCTGATTGGCTTCCATTGCCAATTGTCTGGGGTTAAAATCGAAAGGAAAATTGAAGAAAAAGGGAGGGGGGAGACCGAGACCACGCCGAAATTCGGTGATGTCCGCAAGCGTGGCGAGGAAGTTGGGCGCCTCTCGGCGGCAATGACCGTCAATAATAGACAATTTTTCCTTGATACAGCTTCTATCAGAGGTTTCGCATCATCAACCTCACAGACTGTTGGCGTAGCAAGCGACACGAAAGCCGGAAACAATTCTTTGAGCCATGCGCATTTGACTCGAAGGAGTGGAGCGTCCTCTGAGTCCTCCGCCAGGTCGTCGTGCTATGTAAGAACTTTCATACGCTCCGTCATCGACAGCAGGGCGCGGACCTCGCATATACCGAACACTCATTGCTCGTCCGAAACTCCGAGAACAAGCCGTAAAGTTTCCGGCCCCGTATCTGGCTGCCCCTCCATACCAACGTCCAGACCAACACTCGCGATGGTTTCTTCGAATAGTGACGGAGTTTACATGCACTGACTCCAACACGAGGGGGACTCAGGAATTGCTGTCCGCTTTGTTACCTCTTTATTGTTCGCTTCCTCTTCTTTCTTTTCAATTTATTGTATCTTATTTTATTTATTTTTATTTTAAACATTTTCCGTGTTTTCTGTGATCGCTGTCTTTTTTTTTTTTCTAAAGGAACAGATCGTTGCAGCCAAATCCGTCCTCCGGTGGGTCCTCGGTGGGTTTTCACCGGAGCTGGACGCCAAGACCGCACAGGAGCCACTACCGTCCCGGAAATCCCGTCTCGATTAATCTCACCAAAACCTCATCACTCTTTTATTCTTTGTTCTCCTTCTTCTTCTTTTTCTTCCCTATTTGTTGTTGCCCGGCGTATGTGAATTCTTAGGTCCTTTCCATTTCCATCCTCGCCCCAACATCCCTAGTTTCCCGAACGTTACCTCCAGCACCGAATTCCCCATCGCTTGTTGACGATGGCTCGAGGAAAGATCGGTACGATGAGTTCATCCCCCAGAAGTGACTTGTCCATTTGCTATTCGTTATCTAACATTGCGTGAAGTCAGGTCGCTGCTTCGGCCTCGGAGCGACCCGAATCTACCAGGTCTGCTTTTGCGCAGTACAGGAGTGGTACCTGTTCACTCCCGCAAAAGAGTTTCCCATCTGCCTACGGCGACCATCTTGGGCCAACGCCGAGGGATAACCTCCGTCCGAAAGAGCGAAGCAGGTGTCAAAAAGATAGGAAATAATATGGCCTTGACGTCCGAGAAAAGGCCCACGGGGTTGGCCGAGTATGCTCTGTACGTACATCTCCGATACAGTTCATCCAAATAAGGGGTGCGTTTTGGATTCTTCAGGTTAACGAAAGGGGGGATATAGGACTACGCTAGATGCTATCGTCAACTGGGTGCGTCAGGGTTCGTTATGGCCCCTAACGTTTGGTCTTGCCTGCTGCGGTGTCGAAATGATGCACGTCTCGATGCCCCGATACGACCAGGACCGCCTGGGAATCATCTTTCGCGCCTCCCCTCGTCAGGCCGATGTCATGATAGTAGCCGGCACGGTAACCAACAAGATGGCCTCGGCGGTACGACAATGCTACGATCAGATGCCGGATCCGAAATGGGTCATTAGCATGGGCAGTTGTGCAAATGGCGGCGGGTACTATCATTACAGCTACTCGGTGTTGAGGGGTGTCGATAGGATCGTGCCAGTAGATATTTACGTACCAGGATGCCCGCCTACGGCGGAAGCGTTGCTATATGGCGTGTTTTTGTTGCAGAGGAAGATGAGGGCAACGAAGACGACGAGAATGTGGTACAGGAAATGAGTGCAATGAGTTGCCCGTCGGCTATGTGGGCTTTCGTCAATATTAAACATGGAAGAGGGAAATTTGTGTCTGTCGAGTTCGCAGCAAATGATATAGTTGAGGCGCAACCGTCCGCGATTGACCGTCCATCGCGGAACACACGTCGATCCAACGCTCCGTCACGGAGCGAGCAGATCTTTTCCCCTAGCATATGGCAATAGGCTGTGCTGAAGTATAAACATACTACCTTTTCTTTCTGATACTTCTTCCTCCCCTTTGAAATCCACGGAAGGTGCTGGAATTAGTTTCAATCTCCTTCCTTTTTCCTTGAAATCAGCATCATCGCCGCATTTTTTGAAATCTCCCGCTGAATGCAACGCAACATGACGTCCACCGACTTCGTCTACCCCATGGGCTCAGACTCGTGCTGCTGATGACTTCCATCTTCATTGGCATGTTCCTAGTTGCACTTGTATGTTTGAAGAGAACAATATCCTGGGAGCCTATCTTGTGCCGTTGTGGACGCGTATTACGATCCTAACACTGGCTCAGGGGTTATCAGGTGGGTACAGTTGGTGTTTGGGTCGTGAGGGCCTGTTATGAAGTAAGGAAGGCAGTCAAGCAGTATCACAAGATATTGGTGAGAAGTGCGTATTCAAGCGCGGGGGTGTACCTGAATTGACTACTGGGGAGTCTTGAACGACAAACTAGATACACGGCAGATCTCGTAGCTTATATAGACGTTTCCCTTTCCAGGCTCTCTCCGGGTCCGGTGCCTTCCGGGCTTGGTTGTTCCTTTGACTGTGGTGGATCGACCATCGGTCCAGTCCGTCCTCGTGGAGCCGTGGGACCGTTCTTGGGTCCTGCTGGTCCCATCCTTACTTGTCCTTATTACTCCGTGGTTTATCCTTTTCTGCCACGTCTGACCGCCTTGGGTCTTCAAAACCTCAACCTGGAGTAGACGACAGTTGGCACTGTCACGAAGAGTATGTTCGAGAATATTCCAATGGCAGGTGCATCCCTTTCCCGAAGCCATCGTGTACGCGTGCCAGGAGTACCTCCGGGGGATGGAATCACCGTGCTCTGGCTCGTCGGATTCTTCAGGAAGTAGGAGCTCGGATTCACCGAGTTCTTCCGGGGGCATCTCAGGTTCGAGTTCAGATTCGGAATCGAGTTGGTGTTGTGTATCCCTCGAGCATTTTTAGCCACCTGGTTTTTTGTCCTACTTTTCCGGGAGTTAAAATATAGACATTACGAACAAAATCCTCTACGGTCATCTAACTATCAAATGTCTGTGTAGCTCTAGTGTCTATTGTCTGTCGCGAAATCATGCTCTTTTCTTATAGCGCGTCCAAGTCTCCCTAATCATACTGCATTCCCTTGCTCCTTAGCCAAGCACCATATCTCCACATCAATGTCGGCACAACAATCCCCAGCCCCAGTGCAATTCCTGCTAGCAACCCATTTCCGCCAGCAATTCCCAACTTATCAAACAAGCCCGGCGCAAACAGGGGAAAGCTAAACCCTGCCATCGTCCGCACAAAGGCAGCTGCTCCAGTCGCGCTTGCCGTGTACCTCTCGTATGTGTCGATCGTGTATGTCTGCACGCATTGGAAAGACAAGATAAGACCCGCGGCGAAGATGCCGGCGCCGATGTTGGGGACAATCCAGTGCGTACGGAAGTGAGCGGCGAGGCCATACAAGAGGAGCCCAAGCGGGGTTATAAAGGCCGTTGGATACATGAGGGGGATGCGGAATTCGGGGAGACCTCGGCCGTCGTTTCTACCCGAAAGCACGGCATATACCTGAGATTGTCAGCCACCAATTCTCCTTTGGGAGGGTCAGTTAGCTTACCTTATCGATCAGTGGCCCCGAGAATTGCAAGCCAATGACGAACCCAACACCCAGAGATATGTAATTCAACGACGCCGGGCCAGGTTGTTGGTTGTACTGCTGCATCCAAACCAGCGGAAACGAAGCGAGCCTAAATTTCGTTAGTTCCGCATTTCAAGAGATCATGTGGGAGTCTCTTACACTAGATACATCAACCCATAAAGGTACGCTCTGTACAGAGCAGTCACCTGCAATGCTGGCTGTGTAAACAGCATGATAAACGGCCTCTGCAGGTTCTTTCTAAGCGTCTGAGCAAATGAATTCCCCGGCTGCTCAAATTTCGTATGGAGCTTTACGTTGCCCGTTTCTTTGCGGAGCTTCTTTGCCCTCTTCAGCAGTATGGTAGGCGCGTAGGTTTCGGACAGGAAAAAGAAGCAGAGAATTTGCACTAGAGCGTCGGCGATAGATACAGTCCAGAAGATCCACCGCCAGTTAAGGTATTGTGTGAGATACCCAGCGGCTTCGGGAGAGAGTGAGCTAGGCACAAAGACTATGGGGTTTTTGGAGGGGGAGTGATCCTTGTTGAGAAGGCGGGACGTACCGATGGGCCCGGCTGCGGGGCCGATGAACGGAGCGAGACTGTAAATGGCAACGGCTATGCCGCGCTCTTCGGCATGCCAGCAATCGCTAAGTACTCCACCCCCGAGCTAGGATGACTTGTAAGTAATGGACATGAAGAACATGAAGACGGCTCATAAGAGATAACCTACTGCTTGGGGAGCGCTACCTCCGAGTCCACTAAGGAAGCGGAACGCCAACATTTGCTCTTTAGTAGTGGACCATGCGCACACTGTATTGAACAGTAAGAAGACTAAGTTGGCATATTGTAGAACTACAACTCGTCCATACATTTCCGACAACGGTCCAAGGATAAACGGACCGACGGCGTAGGCAAGGAGGAAGATGGACATGAGAAGGTATGTCACTATGTTGGATGAGATGTTGAATTGCTCCGCAAGAGTGGGCAGAGCTGGGGCAAGCATCGTGGAGGAGACGGGAGATATGAAAGTGAAGCAGGATACAAGAATGGTTGCGGTCCACTTCCTGTATTTTGGCCAGTTCTTTGGGTTAGAGGGATCGTTCGGTCCATCCCATGTCACCTATTACGTAGTTATTAATAGAGGAGGGCGGAGTAATGGATTAGGAGGGTACGTACTAGATTAGGATCATCGGGATCCTCCTCTACTGGTAGTATTCGTTCCTTAATCTCTTGGGAGGCGTTATCTCCTTCATGGTGGTCCTCGTGAGGATTTACCGCGTAGCCTCCTTCGAGGTCTTCATAATTGCAGACACTGTCCAACCAAGGGAACTTATAGATAGATCTTTCGTATTCTGTAAAAGAAGGTAGTTTTGGGCTCCAAGGTCTCCAAAGTGTAGAGTGCGACCTTGCCAGCGCCAGCGCAGGTGTGCTTGTTCTTGACACGGGCCTGCGGGGGATCGAAAAGCTTCGGGTAGGTTCAGTCATCTTGGGCGGATATATCATCAACGACAGGAACAGCATTCCCCCTCCCATCGCACGACAAGCTTCATAGAGTTTATATCTAAGCATAATTCTTCTTACCTTCATCACATCACCACGACCATATCCGTCGTTGCAATCATGGAAAATTGCGGGACATCTGACGTGGACCACGGATCGTGGCTGTGTCTCCGAACCTAGCCTATCACGAAAGCGCAAACCCACTTTGATCTCTTCCACTATTCTCTTCTTTTCCCTGCGAGAAAAATACGAGAAATCGTCCATATCCTAAATCGCATTTGCTGTGTGCGCGTGATATCTTGCCAGCTGGATAAACTCTTGGCGCTTGCGCAAGTTTGAAGGCGGTGTCTCGCGCAGCTCTCACTCTAGCTGGGCGGTGGTTCTTCCCCCATCGCGTCTATTTTTAAACCTCCAACACTACTGGCGCTTGGCAATCGATTTCTAGGGAATCATGCCAGCTTGCGTCGCGACTCGCACGCTAATCGTCCTGGCGCCTCAAATCCACGTCATCAAGATTTCTCGGTAGCAGGACCGATAAGTGAAGCGGGGATTGGTCCTGGCGAAGTCTGCTTTAACATGAAACAAAGGGCCAAGACAGTATGATCCCTGCACACGAATCACATTAGAAGAGCGTAGCTTGGTGTGGGTGGTGTGGGACCGTAGCTCGCGATCGGGCAGGGGTTGTGTTGCGTCGTGATCAGTTGCTCGACTCGGATTAGACCTCATCTTTTCCAGGTCTAGATTGCGGGGGTGAGGTGATTTGGTCGAACTCCCGACTGAGTAGAGTGTGAGGTAGTCGACTAACTGGCCCGTAGCGTCTTGGCCGAGCTCGTGATGTGAGTGTGTTCGTCAGACCCCCAACTGCGCCCCTAAATCGGTGAGAATGCTAAAAATGAAGAGAGAATCGTAGCCTCGATTTGGATTGTGGCTTCATGATCTACTCCGAAGAGGCTGTGACAGGCCTTTGAAATATTTCTTGAGGAAATATTGGCTATGGAGAGGAAGGCATAGATTAGTTGTGTGAGGAATACAATGGCCATTTAACTACTTAAAGGAGCTCAACTGTCGTGGATGACCCAAGAACTTCATAGACATTAACTTCCTATCGTCATTCGCTTTTCGAGATCCTCGATTCAATACCTTGGTATTCCACGCTCCATTCGCTTGTTTACACGGTCGCTACCTTTTCTTTTTCTTCTTCTTTTTTCTTTTCCATTTTCATTATCACTCTCGCTCACACTCTGATATATACTTCATGAAATTACGAGACCACGCCCGATCCCTAGCTAACGTCTAATTCACCATTTTCTTTCCCCATATTGGCCTCTCCTACCCTTAAATTCTTGAAATATGGCCCAGTACTCAGCCCTAGGACTTAGAGTCCTTGTCTGTCCATCTGGCTTCAAGGGCAGCATGTCCCCGCAGCAGGCTGCAGACTCCATCGAGGCTGGTATACTAGCTGTCCTTCCAAAGGCCTCCGTCCGCAAAGTTCCGCTCGTGGATGGGGGAGAGGGCTTCACCCGCGCCTTGGTGGCTGCTACCGGCGGCGATCTCCACACTACTTGGGTCACGGGCCCGACAGGAGACCCCGTCAAGTCTTTCTTTGGGATACTAAAATCAAGCGATCCTCTTTCACCTAAGACAGCTGTCATTGAGATGGCCGCCGCCGCCGGACTCAGTCTCATCCCAGAACACCTACGCAATCCTGGAATTACGACGACCTACGGTGTTGGAGAATTGCTCGTCACCGCAATGGACGCTGGCGCGGAGCGCATCGTAATCGGCTGTGGTGATTCTGGAACTTGCGACGGCGGTGCGGGAATGTTGCAAGCGCTCGGGGCTCGGCTCCTCGATAGTGACGGGAATCAGCTCCCCGTCGCAGCGGGAGGTGAATCTCTCAGTTCCCTCTCTGATATTGACCTCACGTATGTCGACAAGAGAATACACAATACAGTCCTCGAAGCCGCTGTAAACTGGAGTAACGTGCTCTGTGGGCCTTTCGGCGTCGCCCGGGTGTTTGGTGCGCAGAAGGGCGCCACATCGTACCAGATTGAACATCTCTCCGCAGCTATGGACAATTTGGCTGAAGTCGCAAGCCGCCTTCTCGGCGACAGCAGCATCGGCCACGCGCCTGGAAGTGGGGCTTCGGGAGGTCTCGGCACCGGCCTTCGTGTCCTTGGCGCACAGCTCCGTTCGCGCTACGAAGTCGTCTCGGAGTACATCGACTTCGCGACGCTCTTTGACAACTGCGACCTCGTCATCACAGCGGAGGGTGGTATCGACGACCAGACCCCACGAGGCAAGATCCCTGCAGAAATCGCGCAGCGCGCCAAGCAATTCGGGCTACCGGTTGTGGCGATCGCAGGCACTATTGGCCGCGGTGCCAGGATCAATTATGACGTCGGCATCGATGCATACACGTGTATCCTTCAGAAACCGACCACTCTGGAAGAAGCAATAAAGGAGGCGGAGCAGTTGACCAAAGAGAGCGCGGAGTGCATTATGCGAATTATCGTTGTCGGGCAGGCCCTGGCATCGAGAAAGGAGAGCTGATATGGGATGATAGTAACGATAGACCACTCAAAGGTGTTATTGGAGGATTGAATAGGTTATGGGACGCTTAGGCGTTTCCCACAGCGCATCAAGTTACTGTGTGCATTTCGCTTCGACCTTGGAACCTCACCCGCACGTCACGATCTACTATCGCATTTAACTTCGAGCTTCCGGCCTGTGCCATGAGAGCTACCCAATCATGGAATGGACTGCACGCTGACGGACAATCGGAAGTAAATAATCAAAGCTTATCTGTATCCACATTCTCTCAGAACTATTGTAGGAGGCATGCGGGGTCGTCATCTTTTCACTTGATCAAGTAACTCGGACGTACGAGACGTGACCTGAATCTAGTCCTCTTGACCTTTCTGGCCAAGATATCTTCAGCGTGTGTCTTGTGCTATTCATAGTACGAGGTTAATCCGCATCTGGGACGTGACATGACCCCGATAGCGCAAAATAAGAGACGGGATTAGGGCTAGGAATACCCGCCCGCCGCCCATTTACAACATTGCCCGCGGGTAGGCTGGGAGCCCACCAACCGATGCAGGCTACCCATCTAACCCATAACCCACTACAACATTACATACGGGTTCTCGAGGGTACCCATACTTAAGGGCAGGTTACCCAAATAACCCGTAACCCATTTGATTCTATATATAGATTCTACTATACTAGGATTCTTTCCATGATTTTTTCCAGTTGGAATTCCAACTGGAAAAAATCATGGAAAGAATCTATATGTAGAAACTATGTATGACTTACTATAGCAGATAATGGGTAATAGGTAATAGGTGAATAGAACCCGCGGGTGGGTTGCTTTGATTGATAATGGATTCTAACCCACCACTGCCTACCCATACATTCCTAGACAGCCCGTGGGTTTCACCTACTACCTTACTAGCCATTTTCGAGACCCGTGGGCCTGATGGGTCACGTAACCCACGGATTACCCATGGGCTTTCCGAGCCCTAGACGGGATAAGCCCGTCCTTATCTGCACCTTCTGCAGGGGACGGAAGTGAGTTGGCCTCCTCTTGGCAACGCCAATCGCGGACAAGGGTCCTCACATAGTTCTCAGGCTTCTGTGCGATAGGCAGTCGCCATGTAGCGCATGCATTTGTCACGACAAATCGAATGGATGCTCGTATACGACCTCAGAATCAGAGAGAAGAGATACTGACTACCGCCCTCATACGCGACGTCATCAGGCTTGGCAGAGAGTTGCACGGCTTGAGAACCTAGCGATGGAAATGAGGGACAGGGCACCAGGCTCGAGTCCACCATTTCAAGCAATGTCAAGGGGCATCTGAAAGAGGCACCAGACCTTCGCAGGCCCCATCTACCAGCGCCACGGATAGCATCGGCGTACTCAGTCTTGATGATAACCACGATGTGTACACTGGCAGCTCGTATTGGGCGGCAATATTAGAAGATGTTTATCAAGCCTGAAGTGACAAAAGGAGGGGATTTTCTAACTAATACAATAGATCCAACGACTCAAAGATGAGTTGTCTGAGGACACTCCTGATCCAGGTGCCGTAACCACCACCGAGAGATCAAACTCATTGGATATCGACTTGGCTTGCGAACCTCCAGCGCCTAGAATATACCTACTCACTAGCACCGCGTATCTTGCCGGGGACTAGGCACTTGCCATGACGCCTCCACGCAAGGTATTCTACACCGGAACAAATTTCTCACAGAGGCCAGCGACTTGCCCTGGTACTCTGCTCACTTAGCCCCTTGAATATGACATGACGTTCGCCGTCCACGCGAGGTGGCTTTCGCTGAACTATCTTCCCATAGTATGCAAAATTTCTGGTCGAATCCAGCAAGTGGACCGATGATGTGAATAGGATTGTTGTTCAGCGTCTTGGCCATGTCCGCATTCATCCAACAGCAACAGGAGGTGGTTGAAACGGCGATACCGACGGGTCTAGAAGTCGAGAATGTTGTCGAGACCTATCGGGCACTCACGGTCCACTGCTTGCAGGCAGGAAATTATCTCAGACCGAGTAGCTTTACCATCGAAACTTTGGTGCTGAATTTCGTCCTCGAGCAACACATCAATGTCGATATTGAGATAAGTAACTGGGCCTTGCTGGGTGTTATTATTCGCCTCGCATTCTGCATGGGGCTGCACCGCGATCCATCCCAGTGAGAAATCATACGACCTCTTCAAGTGGAGTTACGGCGACGAGCCTGGATAACCTTGTATCAAACGGGTTTCTTTAGGAGTACGCAGATGGGATCACCACGCATCATCAAGGACTCTCAGTGCGATGCACGTCCACCAGCGCACTTCCTTGATCGTGGCATCGGCCCTGGGGATACTCAGGTGCCTCCAGAGCGGCCGTTGAGAGATCCCACGCCGCTCCTGTTCGTTATCCAGAGACATGCCGTTATCAAATTCTCTGCCGAAATATACGTGACTGAAGCGGCATCAGTACCAAGTCCTGTGACAATTTCGGAGTTGGCAGTAAGACTCGAAGCCGCTATCGATAATTACCCGAATGGCTGCGGTACAAGTCGCTCGAAGCCTCGATTACAGAAGATCCTGCTCTTCTATCCCACGGAATATTTTTGGACATCCTCATCCACATGGCTGTCTACCTTCTCCACCGACGCAGCTTCATGAAGGGCCATTCCGCGGAGGAGAGCGTCGACTCGAACGAACGCTACATAGATGCAGCTCTGGCCATCCTAGAGCATCAGCGAAGAATGAAAGAAGAGACTTAGCCAGGTGGTCCCTTATTTGGTAGTCGATGGAAGATCAGCGCCACTAGAAACCACGAGTTTCTACAAGCCACAATGATGCTTTGTTTTGTCTTGGGCAGGTTAGACGAGACACGTGACGGCGGGAGAAACATTGATTCCATCTATAGACAGGATGAGATCTTGAAGGCTTTAGAGACGGCAACAGCTTTATGGGAGATACACGCTCCCCGTTCGCTTCTACGTCAATGATCGGTCTTGATGCTCAGCCGAGACGAGCCGTACTAGTCAGAAAACGAAATGTAAGAACGAAGCATTTAAATTCCAAGAACAAGTAGTAACAACAAAATGATTCTAACTGGAGCATCGTCTCATCCGATACCAGCTCCAAAGCGGTCAATAGCAATGCCGAGGCTCTTCTCATCGTCGGAACCCAGCACAGCCGTTACCCACGAACCGGAAGAGATGTTGTTGCAAAAGCAGTTCCTATCGCAGTCCGAGTTTGTTGGTTTTTTTAGCAGTCGAGCATATGCAGACAGAGGCTTCGCCGGAATTGCCCATTCAACACCGCATCGACAGGGAAGGAACGCCGCCTCCCTCCCATCTTCCGCCATTCTTATTGTTCCCCAAAAATAGAGCCCAACATAGCTTTATATACGACGCTACAGAGCAACTCTACCAGCCGAGTTGTTCAAGTGAGCCTGCACTCATGATGGTCTGGCGGGCCAAGACCAAACGACTCAACAGGCTAGAAAACGACCCCGGATCGTTTTCGTAGGTGATAGGGTTTCGATCCCGGAGCCGAGCTTTTTTTGTTAATTCTTTTTTCCTTGCCTCTTTACTGGTATCAAATATTTTCGCAATTATTTTCAATTATCACGGAAGGATAAAATCCCCTCGGACAATCAGTGGTAAATCAGACTCAAAATTCTATCGGCTTATTTTTTTTTCCCCCCGCATCTGGAGCCTTAGACCTCATTCCCTGGCTCGGCTGGCCAACCTTGGATTTTGAATGTTACAAGTGTACGACCGAAGAGACACTACCAGCTGCCTGTGAGCGTCGTGAAATGGACCCGATCAGGACAGGTATGCTGGGATCTGTGTGTCACGAGTCACGACTCACCACTGCCAGCCGCTTTCAGTTAAGCTTCGTTGCACAGAGCAAGGGGCACGCTTGGCAGGCTCTTCCCTTGCAAACTTCAGCCACTCAGAGGCTCATGTTCGTACGACCCCTGAATGGGATGAGAAAATTTCATGTCACGCAGTCCCTTTCCAGGCAACCATCCCAGAATACGGGGCACTTGTCTCGTTCAAACGAAGATCAACAGAGAAATGGCGATGTTTTGCACCCCGTTGATACGAACCAAGAGAGAAAACGACATTTCAGTCCTGGATATATTCTCATACTTGGACGAAGGACACGCTTTACAGATTTCAAAATCTTGGAAAATGTGGCTATTCTTCATCGAGGTAGTGTGCGCAGCAGCTTAAATTAGAGCCAAGCAAAAGGACCCGGTATTTTGTGCGAGCCTGTAAAAGCCAGGCACGCCACGCGATGTTACCCTGGACCCATCGTGTAATTTCTCCTCCCCAAGCGAACCCGCCGACCTTAAATCTTGTCGTTTCCGCTGTTTTGATGGTGAAAATCCCCCCCTCTTTGTTTGCTCATCGTCGCGTGATGCTCCCAACTTCAGTCATTCTTTAGCATCCCTCCAGCAATGAGGTCGCCGATCTTATCCGGCGCCATCTTGGGCGCGACAACTGCATTCGCCCAGCTCAACCTTCCTTTCTCTCGCGCGACCGACAATGCGGAGTCCTCTTCCCTCCAGCGACGTGCGTCCCTCGGTTTGCAGGGCCCAACCGGCGGTCCTTATCCCAACTATGTCGTCAACATCACGGTCGGCACTCCGCCTCAAGAAATCCAAGTTCTAGTGAGCACGGGCTCGAAATATACCTGGGTTCCCGATGTCGAGTACTGCTCAGATAGTTACTATCTAGTCAGAAATTGCGACTACGGTGCCCGTAAGCTTAAAACATCCTCTTGTCTTGCCTTCGTCATAACGGTTCCCTAATATTTCAGTAGTTTGGACCAACCAATCGTCCACGTACGAGTTCTCTTCGAGTTCCTTCCAAGATTCTTCAACCAGGACCGATTCGGTTTACGGAAATTACTTTCGAGACACCGTACGGGTCGGTGATACTGAGATTAAAGACATGACATTGGGTTTAGCTACCTCGGGGTCTGGGTACTCAGCACAAGGCGTCCTCGGCCTAGCCGCAGCTTCCAGCGGTCTTTCGGACGAAGCGTACTTTCTTCAACAACTCACGAATGCGGGCATCATCTCGTCGCCAGGGTACAGCTTTTCAGTAGACGGCCCCAGTCTCGAGTCCGGCAACATTCTCTTCGGTGCCGTCGACACATCCAAGTTCACCGGGACAATCAAGACTCTGAGCCGGACCAGGTCCTACTCGTACTCCGGTTTCAGCGTCGCCCTCAATTCTCTCAATGTCAGTGAATCCTCCGACGCCGTCACCTCCGAGCCTGTGATCAGTGCACTGTCTCTCTACCAACCATACGTGTACATCGATCCCTCGTCGCCCTTGACCAACCTGCCATCCACCCTCGCCCGGAAGATTTGGAGCCTGGCCGGCGCTTCAGCACAGCCTTCTGCCAACTTTGCCACCATTCCCTGCTCCGGGGCCGAGGACACCACCAAGGAGCTAGTCTTCGGCCTGGGCCAAGATGACGAAATTGTCCTGCGAATACCTCTTCGCGATCTTATTCTACCCAGGGCATTATACTCGGGCATTCTGGATGGGTTCAGCGAGAGCAACGGAACCAATACCTGCATGTTCGGTATTCAAACCATAACTAACGGTGACGATGACTATTATGACTATGGCGACGACTACACCTACTCATCGAACAACTGGTATCTCGGAAGCAGCGTTCTCAAGGGAACCTACGTGGTGTTTGATAACTACAACAACTATGTCGGATTCGCCCCTTCTCGCTCCCCTGACGAAGCCACCTCTTCCGACGACACCATCGTACCTTTTGCCAGTTACGGCGCCTACATTCCTGAATCCGATCTTGCATCCAACTGGTGCCAAAGCCAAGACTGCTCCTCGGACGGGGACAGAGACAGGGGAACCGATTCATTTCCTGGGGGCGGTGGTAGCAACGGCGCTGTGATTGCCGTGATTGTGTGCGTCTGCATTGCCGTCGTCGCTGTCATCATCATCATCATCAGTCTTGCCCTGTTCTGCTGTCGCCGCCGGGGCTTGTGCTGCTGGAGGGGCAAGAGGAAACAAGATGGCTCTCCTGGATACATAATCGGCCCCCCTCCGGGCATGGCCGGCATTCCTCCTCCAACCCAGCGCGATGGTAAAGTGCTTGTGCCCCCTCCACCCGTGGCCCTACCCGGGGACCAAGCTCTTGCTCCAGGCGCGGCGCAAAACCGAGACCTTCCACCCCTTCCCTCGCGACCCACGCCGTCGCCTGACCAAAGCACATCCCCCAGGGGCGACGTGTCTCCGGTAAGCCCCGGACCTGCGTCTCTCGCTGAACCCGTGCCGGTGGCGCCAATCCCCGTCCCAGCTGTGTCGGTAACCCCTCCACCCAACGAAGAACCCTCATCAAAGCAGGAAAAGACGCCCTACCGATATGCATAGCGGCGTTGAGCATTAATACGAGGGTTTTAATTTGTGTTGATTTAATCATGGATGGGTTAGATGTTGGTTGAGCGTTCTTGTTTTGCGTATATACCCCGTTGCATCTGTCACGCTGCTTATTTTTCACGGACTTAAAAAGATAGCATATAGAGGCTCCATAACCGAGGATCAAGAGCATATGGGATGATACCAATAAACTTAATTTTACTCTTTCAATTGAAAAATAATCATGTTAGTCGTCATGTTCCTGTCTCCAAGCACTTGCTCATGTCTGCCGCTATAATTTTATCCAATGTAAACTAGAAGAAAACCATGTCATCTTCCGACCACCCGATCTTCTTCAACGTCTCTCGCACAAATGACTCCATTGCTCCAGGCCCACAGATGAGAGCGATTCGATCCTCTGCTGGGGGTGCCTCCGCCCGCAGCAAGCTTTCTGATATCCGACCCCGTTGTCCCGTCCAGTCTGCAGATGGGCTCGTCAAGGTGTGGATCACTCTGCAACTATCTCTCTTCAAGGTTGATAGGTCATCGAGCTCTTCTCGGCATAGAATATCCTCTTCCAGTCTGTTTCCGTCGATCACGGTACAGAAGGTCGTATCTTCAGGGTCTTGCACCACGGCGCGGAACACCTGGAAGATTGGGGTCACGCCGCTTCCTCCGCATATCATAACGAAGGACGAAACCTTGCGATGGACTCCGCTGATGGTAACCTGGCCGCGGCCAAGATACTCGAGCTTGCCGATGGGGCCTTTGAACTCGACTTCCATGCCTATTTCAATTTTGTCAAGGGCAGTCGTCATCTTGCCTCCTGCCAAGACTGGTGTGGGGAGGTACAGCTTTATGAGAAGATCAACTGATCCCTTCTGGATACCCTCAGAGACAGGCGTGTATGCCCGGATGATATTCTCGTTTGTTATCGGGTCTTTGATGCGCAGCATGAGGTGCTGACCAATTGGGAGCCCAACCGTTTGATGCTCATCAAATATGAACCTGAAGAGCTTTGTGTCGTGGGACAAGGTCTTGACATGTCCGAGCGTAGCCTTTGCCCAATGCTTGGGGTGCAGGAACTCTGATCTTGAGGCCAATAACTCGCCCTCGTTGGCTGAAGCTCCGAGGCGTTTCCGCGCGTCTTGATCGAGCCTTCCAACGTGGTACTGGCGCATCATAGCCTTGGCATTTTCACTGTCTGTGTCAATCGTCAGCGGAATTTCTGACACTTGGGGACCTCATCTCCTTACGAATTGCCATGAAGTCCTCCGTGACGTCTGAACCAGCTGATGTCAGGATGCTTTGAGCACCGCCTGGGTGGTCCTGAAGATACGCCGTCCCATCGTAAACGTGACCGTCCACAATAAACAGCGGCTTCTCCTGGGAAGTCTCGCCTTTGAACTCTTCCAACGTAAATAGCCTTGTAGAATCCGGATTCGTCATCTGGATTTCTTGCTCCACGGGTGGTGTAAGCGGCTCCTCCAAGCCCGCTCCCTTCTCTCCCCAGCGACCATTGAGCAAGTCTCCACCCGCCTTCTTCGCCTTGTCCATCCATCCGGATGTCCCCGGTAGAAGTGACGTCGGGTGCTGGAAGCGGATCCACTGGTCCCCTTTCTCGATGGTAACTCGGAACCATGGGTTATTCATCATTCCCAAGACAGACCAGTACATGTCTCGGGGCTGACACATCATGGACTCGTCCATAGCTCTGACGAGTATGCTATCCGAATTCCGCAGCTCAAGGATCGAAACGCTGTACGTCCAGAAACACCAGCAGAAGCAAGTTTCTCTACTAAACACGTCGAGCCGTCCGTTAAACATATCGATATCGGCTTCGCGGAACCGGTCTTCGGGGTAATCGATTTCAGCAAGCCTCCATGCTGGCATGGGATTAGTGTCTTGAAATTACCACACGACGGAGTTCGGGACTTTGCTCACATCTGCCGCTGTCAAGTGATATCTCAACGCGAGTGATTCGACGTCCGCCTCCACCGTATGCGTATCCCCGAAGTGGATAATCTTGTCTCGGTAAGGTAAGGTCTATCACTTCATCGTGCTGCGGATACACAACGGCGGAGTTAACATTCAAGTCATAGATCGCATATCTCTCGTCCCGCCACCAAGCCGGCTCAGCTGCCGACATTTCAGGCGTAACAACGGTTCTATATACAGAGTTAGCTGAGATCCTATTGACAGGGTTCGGATATCACACTTACGGAAGGACTTTATTATCATAGTAGTGGTACCAATTATCACTGGGTTCGGCGGTCACGATCAACCTCTTCAGCCACTTTACGCTGCGACCGCCGATGGTCCCCGGGACAACAGCTCTGAGTGGTCTGCCGTGGTCCGGCCTAAGCGGGGCACCGTTCATTCCATGCGCGAGCATGATGCCTTTGTTTGGATCCATGGCCCAGTTTAGCTTAACTGACGTGCCATAATGCCCATTTGGCTAGTTGAATTGATGTTAGCAAATACTGAGGACGAGAAAGAATCGGGTAGGACTAGAGGGGATTCGCAACACGCACAAGCTTGTCAGCGCCTTCCATGCAGAGGTACCTTGCACCTCGCAGTGGCTTGGCTTTGCGCAAAACATTGGCCATAAGAGTGCCGGTGAACAGAGCAGTGGACAATCCTGCGGCGCCCCACGAGAATCCCTTGGTCTTCCGCACAATGTTTTGCTCCTTACGCCTGTTCCCAGCGCAGACGAGGGTAATAGGGAGTGTGATTTGTTCGAATTCTTCGACGAGCTTTCTTAGTGTGATCGTAAATGGATTTTCCACGAGTCTATGAACTGGTCAGCTCTATATATTGTGCCACATAACTCTCAAAGTTAAACGCACCCTTCCACACTAATCTCCCATGGCAGCACGTCGTCATCAAGAACCTGGGGTACAGGGCCATGGTTCCTGACATAGAAGAGATCCACTGAAGTAAGAAAACCTAGAAAGAAATAAGTTGCTAGCCTACAAGATGATTCATGACGGGAAGTTATCTCACCTTCATCGTAAAGCGCCGTTAGAGGTGCTTCAGCGTTAAAGGGGTGGACACCGGTTAGTCGGATGAGGCGGCCATCACGCGCGACATGACTGTCTGGTGTATCCTTGTCTTTGTCAAGTACACTCGAGGCTGCTGGTCCGGACGGGGGCGAGGGCAGTTTGACGCGGAGGGTGTTTACAACAGCCATACTTTCAGGTTCAGGAGGGAGATATCGGGGGCAGGCAGAAGGGGTCGTGGCGACTGTCACCAGGTTTGCGAAGTGGCGCTCTCACTTTTAACAACATGGATCATGAAGGGCTTCATGGCCACATAACAAAATTTTGGAGGAAGCAACTCATTAATTACCACCTGTGCGACGTCCAAATGTGCCGAAAGGTGTAGAGTAGACAGATCAGTTCTGGGCGTGGAGACATGCCGAGTAGGCGAATCGTATCGACTCAAGTGAAGAAGTCGATCGGACGACACACAAAAATTCTGATTGACGCCATTTTACTAGCCAGAAACTGCAAGTGTGGGTCTACGAGGTACCGCTAAACCGAACCAACTAAACCTCACGGGTCCAATGGAGGAGTGCTCATTTTCTCAGCTTCCGTTGGCAATGGACAATAACCCTTGAAATCACTCTCAGAAGCCGGCAAGTCGGTCTCTACTCTTGGGGACAATATGGGGGTCGGATCTAAAGAACTGGTCGTATTCGAACCGATCTCCGCGGAGGATGAGCTTATAGATAAGAGAGATTGAGAGGTAATCGAGAGTAATTGCCGCAATCGATGCGTTGGCTTCCCTTATCTCGGATCGTGTTGTTTGCGGGCGTATCGTAGAGTGGAAGATGGATTGATGTCGACGTCTCACACTGGAAACTCGAGAAAATCTGGACATCTCCGCGGAGGAGAGGAACAGTATTTATATTTCTACCTATCACAAGGAATGTAAACAGGGAAACCATTCTTATCAAGGACCCGCTCTTCCGTTCTTATCGCTGCGTCGTTATCTTACTCCCCTGGCTTGCGTGAACTAGATCGGCACGTTAACCCGCAGGAGGAAAAGAAAGCTTATCTTGGATGGGCGGGCGCAGCATGAATAGATCTTGCATGGTCTTCAGCCAATCATATCCCGCCATGGCACGACTCGATCATCCACCTCCGTCGCCCAGTCGGCGTTTCTTGACGAGACCGGCCGGGAAGTTGTTATGAGCATCTGTAATTCAGAGATTGCAATGGACACCATTATGCAAAGGTATTGAGAGAGTTCGTTTATATTACATTCAGGCGCGGCTCGGCATTATCAGACCATGACGCCCTTAGAAATGACCTGGCGAACCTTGGGAAACTTGGTCTTAACTCTTAAATGATCTGCTTGCTTCCTGAACCCGTTCGTTAAATGGACCCCCATTCATCCCCAAAATTGAACTCCGCTGTCTGATAGTTTCGGTCGTATCCGTCCGGGGTTACTCTTTAAACACGGAAATGGAGACTACGAACGGCTCCGTGCAAAACGGCCACGCCACCAGAAACGGTGACGAGTATACCACAACCTCCCACACGAACGGCGAACATAGAATTGAGTCCATGAATGGCCGGAGGAAAGACGAAATGAATCGGTCGTTGGAAAACAACGCTAATGGGTACCGAAGAAAACGCCTGGTGGTAGTGGGATTGGGCATGGTAGCGATGGCTTTCATGTAGGTCTCCTCATGTTTCGAAGATGAACCTCATTGGAAAGGTCTAATAACACAAAATCCAAAAAGAGAGAAATTGACAAAGCTCGATGCGAAGCGGCGAGAATACGATATTACTGTCGTTGGAGAGGAGTCTCACCTAGCGTATAACCGCGTGGGTCTGTCAACGTTTTTCGATCACCGCGTGATAGAAAATCTCTATCTCAACCCTCTAGAATGGGTATGACGATGTTCTCCTATCTCCCTATAACCAATACGAAACTCTCACTAATCACTCTGAAAAGTATTCGTCCTTTGGGGATGGTTGGCTGAGCTACCACCTCAACACCCGAGTGACAAGGATCGTCCCCGAGGCCAAATACATCTCTACCACTAATGGCGACATAATCCCCTACGATATCTTGGTTCTAGCGACCGGCTCAGATGCGGTATTGCCAAAGTATACCCCGGGACACGACGCTACAGGCGTATTCGTATACAGAACGATTGCAGACTTAGAAGCCTTAATAGATTTCTCGACGCGAAACAAAGGTTCGGTAGGCGTTGCTGTCGGGGGTGGCCTACTGGGTCTCGAGGCAGCCAAAGCCATGATGGATCTCGATGCGTTCTCGTCCGTCAAGATTATCGATCGAAACGAATATCTACTGGCGAGGCAATTGGACGCAGATGCCGGTCACCTGGTCACGGAAAAGGTACGGGAGCTAGGTCTCGACGTTAAGCACAAGAAGCGAATCGCAGCTGTTGATGTTGACGACTGTAACCATGTCACTGGCGTCACATTTGAGGACGGTGAGAAGCTGGGCTGCAGCTGTGTTTGCTTTGCGGTAAGGTCTCCTTTCCTTCATGTTGAGGTAAGAAATACCTAGTCAGTACTGACAATATTCCTGATCCATGTAGATCGGTGTGAGACCTCGAGACGAGCTTGCGGACGGTGCTGGCATCCTTATCGGTCCGAGGACCGGCGGCTTTGTCGTCGGCGAAGAGTAAGTAATGTCCTAAGGACAGTCTACATCTTCCATACTAATTCGAAATGCTTAGCCTGCAAACGTCTGTTCGCGATATTTATGCAATTGGTGATTGTTCGTGTTGGAAAGACCAGACCTTCGGCATCATTGCCCCTGGGGTCGAGATGGCCGACATTCTCTCCTTCAACCTTACAGAAGGTCGCTTCCAAGAGCCACGAAAATTCACCCGCATTGACCCAAGCACGAAACTGAAACTGCTCGGGATAGACGTCGCCAGTTTTGGAGACTTCTTCGCCGACCGAGATGGTCCCAGCTTTCCTAACGGTCTGAGGCGAACAGTCCCAGGGGAAGAACTCGAGGACGGCGGCCGTGGAGCACCGCCAGTAAAGGCGCTAACATACAAGGATCCCTTCAGTGCCGTTTACAAAAAGTACCTGTTTACGCTCGATGGCAAGTATCTAGTTGGCGGGATGATGATTGGGGACACGAACGATTATGCAAAACTTGCCCAAATGGTACGAAATCGTACTCCACTCGAGGTCCCGCCTAGTCAGTTCATATTAGGTGCCAAGACGGACACAGATCCTGACGGGTCCGATCTGTAAGTTTCTAACTGTTCCCATTTTATTACCGGTAGAGACAACCGCTAACGTCAAAGACAGCCCTGATGACACCCAAGTCTGCTCCTGCTATAACGTCACCAAGGGTGATATCGTCCAAGCGGTACAATCCGGCGATTGCAAGAGCCTTGCCGACATCAAGTCTTGCACCAAAGCAGGTACTGGATGTGGTGGCTGCCTTCCGTTGGTGCAGAGCATCGTCAATAAAACATTGAAAGATTTAGGACGGGAAGTCTCAAACCACTGTGAGTGTCGGTCCCCTCCCCAAAGCAAAGGTTAAATGGATTTAATTGAGCTATTAATAACGAGAGGCTACCAGTATGCCAGCATTTTCCTTACTCGAGAGTGGATTTGTACAATATCATTGCGGTGAAGCAGATCGAAACCTTCGAGGCCGTTATGCAAGAGGCAGGGAACAACCCCGGCTCTCTCGGCTGTGAGGTTTGCAAACCAACAGTTGCGTCGATTTTGGCGAGCCTATTCAATGAACACATCATGTCGAAGCGGCAGCATCATCTCCAAGATACGAACGACCGGTTTTTGGCCAATATCCAACGGAACGGCACGTTTTCCGTCGTCCCGCGTATTCCCGGAGGCGAGATTACCCCGGCCCAGCTGATCACCATAGGCAAGGTTGCCGAAAAGCACAACCTCTACTGTAAGATTACGGGCGGGCAACGGATAGATCTCTTTGGCGCGAAGAAGAAAGATTTGTTGGGAATCTGGGGAGAACTGGTCGATGCCGGAATGGAAAGTGGTCACGCTTATGCAAAATCATTGAGAACCGTCAAGGCAAGTGAATTAATTCGCCACCTCGATATTGGGCTTCCTGCTAACTTGTCAGTAGAGCTGCGTGGGATCGACTTGGTGCCGATATGGAATTGGCGACAGTGTCGGAATGGCCATTCGTGTCGAAGAACGATACAAGAGCATACGTGCACCTCATAAGCTGAAGGGCGGTGTCTCGGGCTGTGTTCGAGAATGCGCCGAGGCCCAAAGTAAAGAGTAAGCTCGCTTCGACAAAATCCCAAAATGCATCCCTTCATTCACACAGTCCTGACGCTGCCATATAGTTTCGGTCTCATTGCAACCGAGAAGGGGTTCAACATATTCGTTGGTGGCAACGGAGGTGCTACGCCCCGACATGCCGAGCTATTGGCAAAAGACGTGCCGCCGGAAGATGTTATCTCTCTCCTAGATCGATACATCATATTTTACATTCGTACGGCAGATCGGCTCCAGCGGACTGCTCGGTGGATCGAAAACCTGCCAGGCGGCATTGACTATCTTCGCGAAGTAGTCGTCGATGACAAGCTCGGCATCGGGTTGCATATGGAGAAACAAATGCAAGACCTTGTCGGCAGTTATTTCTGTGAGTGGACTGAAATCCTCAATGACCCAGAACGACAAAAGGCATTCCGACAGTTTGACAACACGGACGAGGAGGTTGAGACTGTCGAGATCATAACCGAGAGGGATCAAGAACGGCCCACATACTGGTCAAGCCAGCCAGCCGGCGAGGACTTCAAGACTCACCAATGGTCAAGCTTATCTTGGCAACCTCTCATTCAAGCGAATCACTTTGACAACTTCCCCTCTGCACAGGTGAAGCGTGGGGACACCCAACTGGCGATATTCAAGGTCAAGGGTGGCTACTACGCATCCCAGCAAATGTGTCCTCACAAGCGAGCCTTTATTCTTTCCGATGGTCTCGTTGGTGAGGACAACGGGAAATACTGGGTGTCATGCCCGTATCATAAGCGTAACTTTGAGTTGAATGGTGAGGAGGCTGGACGTTGCTCAAACGATGACTCTATGAACATTGCGACCTTCCCCGTCGAGGGGAGGGACGATGGATGGGTCTACGTTAAACTCCCCCCTGTTGATGAACTGGATGCACTCCTGGGAACGTCGAGGTGGAAGACGACCAAGCAAGAAAGCTGCGCCCCATTTGAGAGACTGGATCAGAAACTAGGCAACTGCGGGAAAGGGCGGAGGGGCAGGAAGCCCCGGGAAGTACGGAAGCCGGCGTTGTCTACTGTATCCCTCAGCTGGTGATCAACATGTACGTGTAACATGAGCAAGTTATTAAGTTTGTAGCTAGATCGACGTATATGTAATTTATCCTTGTTCAATACTGTCCATCCCTTGAAACAAAAGTGCCAAGCGGCCCCGGCCACATTGTTAATATTCCCGGGCCGGTGAGAAGGCGACCGATCACAATTGATGGGACGGGGCGAGACGATCCCGCTTCCGAACTTCCGATACTGGGCTACTGGCGGTCGAAGGCGCGTGGGGGTCTTATCTTCATGTGCAAAGTGCCCCTTGATTCAAATTAATTCTTGCCCTCCAATGCGTTTTCCACGCGCCCGATTGGCAAAGACACATACATACCCTATTTATTTTTATGTGAGTTGACGATCCGATCTCACTACATGTGCGAGAAGAGAGTGTGGGAGTCACATGACATGGGCAGAGATAAGGCGGATAACCTCATTCGGTGATAGCAATTTCCCACTCCCTGGCCTCCTTGTCCCGACCCGAGCGATGCAGATCCGTATGGGCAAAGGTGACGCGTAGTTTGGCCCTCCAATAAGCCCATGATCTACCTGCGTCTCACCTAGATCCCTTTGCGGCGTAGGCTCGGGGGTGAAGCTTATCGACCAGCCGATACCGCTGGGGTGCCTAGCCTCTTATCTTCCCCACACCGCAACCCTGAACGGGCGCTCTTCAACCTTGTTCTTCCTACGGGAGATAACAGTTGCTTCCGTCCTACAGATAAGGCCTTTTTTTCTCAATATTATAACCCGCGAAAAGCCCATCTCCGCGGAGATGCTCTGGAGATGCTCTTTTCGCCGGGTCTAGGACGTCTCAGCAATCGCTATCAGCAAACTTGGCGACCATCATATCAAGTTTTCTGGCTTACTCGGTATTGGGGTGAAGTTGCAGTACGCAGGGTTGAATGATCCTGACGCCCGTTACGATTGAAGATATCACTATCTCGAGCCAATGCTGAATTTTGCTCCTAAGAAAGGAAAACGGGCATATATCGATTCCCCTAAGAACGATCTGCTATATCTCTCCATGGCTTCTCCCGCATCGAAGCCGGCTCTGGCAACAAAATTATATTTTCTAAAAAAAAAAAAAATTCACCAGCATTAGCAGTATTCGAAACGATACGTCTGCTTGGTTTCTCACATATTTCTGATTTTGCGGGCCGCTGTTATCGTACTTACTGGTCGCAATGTTGTCGACTAAGCTCCGCTACCTCGTCAGGTCTCCAGAGGTCAATCCCATCACTCTCAAAGCAAGATCGGTCCCGGTTTTCAATCCGATTGACCGCTATGGACGTGTCTTCTTCTTTTCATGGCTGGGGTTCATGGTGGCATTCCTATCCTGGTATGCCTTTCCGCCATTGGTACGTGGTTCCCCCCCATCTTTCTCCAAAGGTTCTCGAGATTTCTGACCTTGACTTGTAGTTGACCATTAGCATACGCGAGGACTTGAAAATGACCCAGGCTGACGTTGCCAATTCCAACATTGTGGCACTTCTCGCAACGTACGTTTCGTCCAAGGAAACATTGATAGCTCAAACCTAGGCCTTAACGATATTGAATGCTCAGGTTTCTTGTCCGCCTTGTCACCGGTCCTCTTTGCGACCGATATGGACCGCGTTACGTCTTCGCCGGTCTCCTGCTGTGCGGTGCTGTCCCCACAGCCCTAGCTACGACCGTGAAGAATCCCATGGGCCTAATCGCAATTCGGTTTTTCGTTGGTATTTTGGGTGGAACGTTCGTCCCATGCCAGGTCTGGTGCACCGGCTTCTTCGACAAGAATGTCGTTGGGACTGCCAATGCACTTGCGGGAGGTTGGGGTAACGCTGGAGGTGGAATAACCTAGTGAGTTGGCTCCTTCGTGCTGCTGTTCTGTCACCACATCGCTGACTTGAGGTTAAGCTTCGTCATGCCAGCCTTGTTCGATGCCCTTGTCCATTCCCAGGGCCTTACTCCTCATGTGGCGTGGAGGGTGGCCTTCGTACTCCCATTCGTTATTGTTACCGCGACCGCCGCAGGAATGCTTCTCCTCTGTGATGATACCCCGACTGGGAAGTGGGCCGACCGTCACCTTGTCATTGAAGGCCTTCCTCCAACTCCTCCTTCCGAGGTGGCCACTCTGCATCCGGGGGAGTCCAAAGAGAGATACAAGGATCCTGAAAAGTCACCAGCCGAATCTATTCTCCAGGCACGTAGCACTGAAATTGATCTGCCCAGGGGGGAGTTGGTTGCTGCTCCTAGTTTCCGCAAAACTCTCCAAGTAGCCTTCTCACTACAGACTCTGGCGCTGGCGGTCCCATACGCCTGTTCTTTTGGTGAGCTCTTAATCGGTCCGGGCAACCTCGTTGTCATATGCTAACGTAGAACTGCAGGGGGGGAGCTGGCGATTAACTCTATCATCGGGTCATATTACTATAAGAACTTCCCTCACCTCGGCCAAACCCTTTCTGGCCGTTGGGCGGCTATGTTTGGTCTGCTTAACGTCCTCTTTCGGCCTGCTGGAGGCATTATCGGTGACATCATCTACAAGTACACCCAGTCTGTTTGGTGCAAGAAGCTCTGGCTGTGCTTTCTGGGTGTCGTCATGGGTGTCTTCCAGCTTGCCATTGGCCTGTCGGACCCTCATCACCAGCCGACTATGTTCGGCCTCGTCGCAGGCCTTGCGTTCTTCATGGATGCGTCGAACGGAGCTAGCTTTGCAGTTGTCCCGCACGTTTTTCCTTCATCGAACGGTATGTTGTCAAAGTCCTTCCAGTCAACGGCGTCCTGCTAATACGTAGATGATGTATATAGGTGTACTTTCAGGCCTTGTTGGAGCCACTGGAAACTTGGGTGGGGTTATATTTGCTGTCATCTTTCGGCATTTTGGAAAGGCATACCACACGTCTCTGTGGATTCTCGGTGTCATTAGCATCGTGGTTAACCTCGGTACGGCATGGATTCCTCCAGTGCCAAAGGATTATTGATGCCCATGTCGAACGCCGTTCGCGTCGGTCTACGGGTTGACAGATATCACGAAGCAGGCAAACTAGGAGGGCAGGGCATGCTCATGGAGATGTATGAAACTCAGTAACGAGTAAACCGGGGGGATATCAATACATGAAAGTTCTTATTGGGAGATGCTATCGCAAACGATGTCGTGGTGGTCCAACCTCATCAAACGCCTTACGCCATGGATGCAACACCGAAAAAGGGAGGAGGGCAAACCGCCTCCTCACCGCAATGCAGTCTATAATTACGCCGGTGCTTGCGCGCTCGGTGCCTACGCAGCAGGCCGGTTATTACCAGTCACCTTCAATCCTTACATGCCCTTCGCCATCCCACTGAATGGACACGTGGTCGGCGCTCCGACCGGTTCAGCCATATCTTCCTCGTCGAGCATCTTCTTTCCGTGTAGGTAGCCTTCCTTTTCGATGACGATCTCGGCGTTCTCCTGGATGAACTCCTCGCCGTCCTTGACGTGCCACTTGGCCATGAGATCGTTCTGGATCCAGATGACCTTGCCAATGGCCTTGACGAGGGCGATCTTGCGTTGGAGGTGAAGGCGGGGGTGGCAGAGAATTGCCTCGGTGAGAATGTCTTGGATGAAGGAGAGACAGGCGCCGAGGTGGATGTACTCGACGTGAAGGGGATGGGCGCGACCAAGACCGACGTGCATCATGCTAGGAGGGGTCAGTATATTGCTTAGAATAGAATAGAAAATTATGGTGAAATAATTAAACGAGGGGGCAAAAAGGTTTGCACATACCCAACTTTGTCGAGGTATTCCCAGAATTCCATCCTCGACGGGTCTGTGCAGAGCTTGCTCAGATACGCCCTCAGGAACATTTTCCTGTGAAGAATCTGGGGGCTGTTCTCATCGGGCTGTTCATCGAGAGGACCTTCGAAACTCGTGCTTCGCGTAGTGAATGCGCGGGCTGTGATGTCGTAAGACAGGAGTTTGTTGTAGACGATGTTGACGACGGCGGGGATGAGGGCCTTTACGTATTTCGAGCCGGTAATGAGGGCCTCGATATCGCCTATGACGCGACGAGGTCTTTGTTAGAGCATGCGCTGAGGAAGACGAGTAAAAAAGAAAAAAAGAAAAAACGTCAATATTCACTGGGAGAAACTAACCACTGTTGAAATCAAGGAAGCTGTGGAGATAACGAATCCTGGCCTCGAGGTCGGTGTAGAGATCTTGACGATCAATGTGGTTGATGTGGCGGGTGCGGGTTTGAGGTTTGGCGGTGGCCTCCTTGGGTGCCATCGGTGGGGGGTTGCCGTTGTTTGCCATGATGCCTCAACTGCGAGTTCGCGGGGTTGACGATGTGTGATTGTGCAAATGAGCGAATGTCTCTGGGGCGTGACGTAGAAAGTGCTACTTCAGATCCAGCTGTCGGGAGAAAAAGTGCTAAATCGTTCACAGTTCGATGGAGGACAAGCAAAAAGCGTCTTGGGACGTCGATCCAAATCCAAAGCGAAAATCTCAACTGCTATTCCATCGAAAATTGAAAAAACCCACCGGCAAACATGGGCCCCATGCTTCTCTTTTAATACGCAGTCCCCATTTCCGGCTTCTACGTCACTCCCTCCATCCCGATCCTCCCTGCAGGAATTCTCGCAAAATATCGTGCTCGCTCTGGCCATGGGCTGATTCCATGAGCCCATGGCGTGGTCGCACTCCACCGTGCTTAATACCGGCTTTCCCCGACGTCCGTGTTCAGCTGCCTGGCGATGGAGCTTCTTGGAAGGCGGTCGCCGTCACAGGATTGGTGGTACGACAAATGCGACGGCTCCAATTGGGCAGGGGCGCCGATGGAGTGGAACTGTCAGGGATCAAAGGCTTGCCAGGGCTGCGCTAAATCGGGAATGGCCCAGAAGTGGAATCGGATCATACTGTGGAGCGAAAGCAAATTGCGCCAATGCAGCGGAATTCTCGCGTTGCTCTGGAAGCTCCGAAGGAACAGTCCAAGCTCTGCAAAACGGGCGCGATCAAGCAGTCTCCGAAGCCGCCAAGATCCATCGACGATCTCCGACGCCCGTTACCGTTGCCCGTCGTCAAGGACGACACCGCGAGGACGAGGAGGAGCCGATGAAGTTGGAGCACGGAATGGGATTGAATGGGATCCCTGCCCCTGCTTCTCGTGCATTCCGATGGACCTCCCAGGGACCAAGCCACGTGGGATTCCTTCCCCGCTTCCTCCTTGGTAACTAGCCAGGCAAGGAGAAATGAAGGGAACATCACCATCCCAATGAGGCTTTAAACTATCAATCTCTTTTGTAGCCAGTTGGAGGCCGAAGATACAAAGATGGAGGTTTCCGTTGCGAATCATCTAGCCAAATGCAGCGTCGCGCAGGCTCTAACCACCCATTTATGTGCTAGATATGCTCGGAAATGAGTGCTCGAGGGCACATGTTAGCGAACCTCCTCCTCTCTATCAGCTAGGAATGGTGTCTGATCGTCGTGGTCTAGAACGATCGATGCCCCCCTTCCCGAGTCGAGGAGTACACTATTCCGTTCATAGCGCTACACCACATTTGTGATAGAGCTCCATGAGCTTATGCAAACAATTCGAGGCTAATTTCCTTCCTGACTTGGTGTCGAAGCGTAGCTGTCTATGCTATTCTCTACGAAGTACTCGATATTGAGACTAGGCAGGTTGGTCCCGCAAACTAAGTGATATTCATGGCATGATATGGGACTTCGCTCTTCGGTTGACCATTGTCGCGGATCGGTGGACTCTAGAATCGGGGATTTGTCTTGACCCGGGTCTTGGACTAGGGGAATAGAGAACCTTGAAGGAAGACTCTAACTCGAATATTGAACTGCGGGGTCCCGGGTGTCTAGTGTCTACTCCGTACATATATGTAGATCATTCTTCAACCTGTGCATTGCTTGCCTTGGTGCCATACCGTTAAGTCTTGGTGTTGACGCTGCCCTGCCATGTAATGATGCACCTTAAACCTGGCCCCAGGCTCCAATGCAATGCACCTGCAATGAAGCATTGGTAACCCACATTCCCATATTACCTATCCGGGCTAGATCTTAATTTGAGGAGCTCAGTTTCGATAGTCTGAGAACGTAGCCTGTCCATAGACGTTGACACTACGAAGCCGTCCACCAATTAACCGTGGAGAACTAGGATGTGGTTCCCATGCGGGTTTCTGGTAGCAATAATAGGAAGCAACTGTCAGAGCGCAAGAGAGCTAGACTCCGGAGAGTCTGGATCGAGGAAGATTCAAGGACCCTGCTAAGTCGTGATGGATGGCCTTTCGAGCATGGCGTCTTCTCGTCTCCAAGTTTTGTCACGTGCGTGGACTAACATCCCCCGGATGGGTTTTCACGCGAGGCAGCCAAGACTTTTCACTGGATAACTGCCAAGTATTTGGTGAATTGATGTCGAGAACGGGGAGTCTTTTGCAAGCTGTGTAGATGTCCTGTGCTCTCCGAGTAAGGCACCATTGGCTCACCTTTATCTTTTGCCTTCCCGCTCACTCCTCTTCCCACTCTCCCTTCTCAGCTTCCCATTCTTCCTCCTCTCCTTCCCCTCTGTCCGAGCTCACCGACTCCGAGCCCTCCCGAAAGACCCACAGACATTCAGCCCCGTTTCCAGTTCACCAAATCCCCGCCCTTCCGCTGATTCCCATTCGTGAACATCGAGGCAAACACTTCTGGTACAGGGGGTCGAGGTCACGCGGGATTTCGTACAATTCGTAGCAACTGAGACAGGCGGCTATGTGCGACAAGGAGCCCACTTTCAAGGGCGTTCATTCTCTTCGACGTCGTTAAAGTCTTCCTGGAAAAGAGCCGCCAGCAATGCATCTTCTCCAGCTTCTTACAATTGACAGGTTGCTAACTTCGAGGCGGAACATTGGGCCTCTCGTCCGGGAGTATCCATTGCTGATTACCTGGTGTAAGGTGTTGATAAACTGTTGAAACGGTGGCCTTTGATGTTTCAAGGCAGTCACCGCAGAGTATACGAAGCTACACATCCAACCTCGCTTACACGCATATAAGGGAAGAAGGGTTCCCACGAACCTAGAAGAAGGAATACTTGGGGAGTTAGACGGTTGTTTTTTTTTTTTTTTTTTTTTTTTTTTTTTTTTGGCTCGCAGCTCCGAAAGGGACGGATTCAGAAGTCGTTCTTTTATCTTTCTTCTCAATATCACATTTCTTGTTTCACATTACTTCTATTTCCTCTTCTTGTGACACTGTGCGATGCAGATTCCCATTGATCATTCAGTCCCCGCCGTCCTTCGACCATTACGATTTACGACCAAATGGGGAGGTATGATTTCTTCATTCAATGGATTAAATTACGCCTTATATGTAAGGCGCTATTTAACGTTGGCTCAAGGAACAAGGATTAATACCTCGAGCATCCGAAGCATCCAGCGTGTGAATTTTTTCGACATACTGGGCTGACGCCTTTGAAACCGAAACCCTGACTTGAATATGGGTGCTCTTACGACATTAGGCTTGCCTCTCGTCGCCCTGTTCGCCATTGGCTTCCAGATCTTCCTCAAGGACCCGGTGTGGCTAGGCCTGGGCATCGGAAAGGAGTTCCAGCCCTTATCCCACTTTCCCTATGAGTGCCGCCGAATCGACAGTGACCCCCATCTTCAGGGATGCGAGGACATGTGGCTCTCCGAGCAAACGCGAGTGCTGTACCTCGCGTGTTCTGACGTGATGAGCCGAACGCACTGGTTTCCGAGGTAAGAGGCTAAGAGCACATCCCGTCCCGTTTCATCCAATCTCTATACGCCCCACAGGGATGTGCCTAACTCCACCTTCTTTCCAAGCAATGATCACTTCAACTTATCTGGGCGCTCCCAGAAGGATGCCGTGATCGCCCTTCAAATTGACTCTCCGGCGGGAACCTCCTTCAAGTACAATGTTCTCAAGACCTCTGGGTATGCCGGCACCGCTGGAGATGGATTGCTCGACCTCACTGGCATCGCGGGTCTGGATGTTGCAAGCGAAGGAGAAAAAAGTGAAGGGGATGAGGAGAGCATCGTTGAATTGCTCCTTGTCAACATGCGCCCTTCGCTAGACTCTACTGGGAAAATTGCCTCTGATCAATCCGTCACGGGTGGTAACTCGACTATTGAGGTGTTCCAGGTCCGCGGCCGCGACGCGGAGACCATGACGCACCTGCACACCGTCGCGGATCCCAACATCGCCACACCTAACAACATCGCCCTCGCCAATAACGAAAACAGCAAACAATTCTACATCACCAATGATCACGGCCTCCAGAAGGTTGGGATACGATCCCACCTGTCGCCTCTCCTGGGAACCGGCAATGTGGCTTTCTGCACTGTGGACGGCGGGTGTAAGCTTGTTTCGGAGGGTCACAAGTATCCTAACGGGCTAACGCAACATGACGGGTTCGTTTACGTTCCGGGTTCCATGTATGGAGGCATTCAAGTTTACCGCATTGCGGAAGGGACCAACGGTCTCGAGAAGGTAGAGGACATACCTATCAATTACGGCCTGGACAATCTCTCTGTGGATGCTAAGGGCGACATCTACGCGGCTGCGTTCCCGAAAGGAATCGAGATTCTACAGTCTTTCAAGGACCCGTACAACTCGAAGCCTCGATCCACGGTGATACGCGTTCGGAAGGCCAAGAATGGAACGCACTCCTGGGAGAAGGTCTTGGAAGATGGCGAGGGCGGTACGCTCCCTGGTGCTACCACTGTCGTGCACGATGCGAAGACGGGAAGGCTCTTTCTAAGCGGTAAGACGTCAATGTTACGATAAAAAAAAAAGAAATTGCAATGCTAACATTTTATAAGGTGTCATATCTCCTTTCATCACTGTCTGTGAGCCTCGATCCTGATTCCAAGCCATATTCAACTTCTCAAATCACATCCGGCAATCTCAATGTTATTATCCACCCCACATCCGACGTGAATCCCATACCATCTCGTTTCATCCTGTAGTTAAACTTGTTCGTGGACTAGGGGAATTCGAGGATGAACTCTGGACCTCCTCGGAGAATAGAACTTGTCGATGCCCCGCAGGGGATCGGAGCCTTACTTGCCAATAGCTTTTGTGGTGCTCACTGGCATGAAACGCAAAGTATTTGATCCCAAGTGCCATAAATATCCAGCGAGATTCACTTGAAAATTTGGGGACAATCAACTTGTCATTAGAACCGAACAAGTCTCCGCTTAATGAAGCACCTTGGAATGTGGTGAAGAAAAATATATTCGTGATCGGCATTATTTCCAACGTGAGACAGGTCGACGCCGAGCATATCTGCGAGGCCAGGTACTTTTCTAAACTGAAGTCCGGCTTCCCAGGAGTCATCGGGATGGAAGGCAATTTCGTAGATTTTCACGCTCCGCGAGAGGGCAGCGCTTTCCGTCCTATACTGATCTCTTCTACGCCTTGCCTCCCGTCTAGCAGCGTCCAGGTCAAAATACGTAGAGATAAATGGAGATGGCTCTCTGCAGGACCAATCCTCATGATTTCCTAGGGCCTTTGTAAGTCTCCCTCTCAGATAAGGGGACGTCCGGTGGTGTGCCCATTGAAACGACATGCGACAATCATCCTCAGCGAAGAAGCCGCGATGGTTAAGACGAACTCTCGACTCATCGTCTTGGACTCTGTAAAAGCGGAGGAACACCATGGTTAAAATATCCGAAGCAAACACCACGGGGGAAAGGGGGAAAAAGAGGTGCGGGGGCATCCAGCGTAACAGGGTGAATAGGCGAAGAAGAATTTGGCAGAACACCGTCTCCTAAGTAGCACTCGAAGTTAACCTATTAGGGGCGCCTGCGTAAAGATTGAGGTAGGGAAATGATGAAGGGAGGAGAGAGAACCTGCCCCGGGGAGAAACCCGTATTTATGCTCGGAAGGAGGAGCCCATGAGTGTGAGGTCCTGCCCCAGCGCAAACACTGCTGCCTGGATGTAAACACACCTGCTTGTAAGTAACGAATAGCCAGCTCTCAATGCCATGCCGTCAAGGCTCAGCCGAATCAGAGTTGAGACCCGTCACACCTCAAAGGTGGGGCCGGATTCAACCGCACCATTGACGCGACATGTACTTGTAGAGACATTGGAAGTATAGAAGACGACAAACAAGGAAACAACAGGCCTGTACGAGATACGATGTGGGTGATAAGAGCGATCATAATTCACGGGTACTAAACATGTGCTTGGTATTTAGGTTATCAGCGGTGGTAACTGGAACTTGACGAACAGCTCAGGGAAGTTTTCTGCATCAATGCTCGGCGTCACTCTGGGCGTGCTGTGTATGTAGCAATGAACCAGAAAAATGATCCGCTCGCTTAGCAATCGACTTCCCGGTTTTTATATGACCGAGGACTCCTTCTCCTTCGTTGTCTCACAACAACCCGGCCACCATTGCCTCTGAATTCAAGTTCATTCGCAGGAATATGTCTATGTGTAGTGGATAGCAGGACGTATGACGTTATAAAAGTTATTTTTTGGAATTGGTAACCAATGAAATGTGTAGAATACTACGACTGGAGACGGATTAAAGGGACCAGGGCTGTTCCGGCCGGTTATAGAACGCTTTGGACTTGGGAAAGCTTCAATAAAGACGAAGAAGCCAACTAAACTCCTACCAACTACCAACTACCCCGTGTCCTTCGCTCTTGCTTTGTCTCTTAAAGAAAAGGAGTTGTTAAACCCGATGAAATTCCACCAAACCGAATCCTGCACTATCACTCCTCCTTCTCCTCCTTAATCACTACCTGACGCTGGCCATTATCATGGTGACGCACCGTCAACGAATCCCAGGTCTCAAAGTCGATAGGCAGCTCAGCCGACCCATACTCGAACTTGTACTTCTTCAAGTTGTCGGATGTTCGTTGGTGAAGGCCAACGAGGGCATTCCAAGCCTGCTTCTGGCGCTTGTACCTACCCACTCTCTCCTCGCATTCCGTTGAAGAAAGTGGCCGTTTCAACGACTGGCCAGAAACAGGAGGGGTGCGCTGGGAAGGGGGGGTTAAAGCAGATTTCAAGTGTGGCAGAGAATTCTGGGCAAGGATCTCCTCGACTCGCTTCTCGGATGCCTTCTGTAGCTTCTCGGCCTCCCTCGTTGCCGTACCATTTCCGGTCTCGGCGTTGTTCATATCCCTACACGTCTCCACCGACGATCTTTTGAGGGACCAGAGATAGAAGTTGTCGTAGTCTCCCTCTGTATCAAAATATTCATCGATCACGGTTCGTATGATTGCTTGAAAGAAGGGGACGGCATAGGCAATCCTCGATGTGATGATCGACTGAGTCTCCCTCAGGTCCCTGGCGAATGTTTCGCTGACAATGTGCCAGTTACCTAGCTTAACATGTTGCAAGATTGAGCCATATCCGAGGCGGTTTGCGCATCTTGCAATGACTTGGAGAACGTTGTTAAAATCGATGGCCATATGCTCGCATGCATTGTAGATCGCCAGGGTCGTCTTGACATCGTCATCCGTCACAGTTGAGTCCCGCAAGGTCCTTCTGGCCCAGAAAGTTCGCTCCTGGCCAATAGAATCATTCACGCCTTTCCAGTAGTCGTAGAAGCGATACCAATGCGCACAACCTCCAACACCTGTACGTTTCACATAGGGGTGATATCTCGCCCACAATTCGGAAGCTCTGAGCCGCACCAGGCTTACAATCAAATCTGCCTGATATTCGCCATCCGGCCCACGAAGAAAAACCTTCGTCTGGATGTCTCTTTCATACATCATAATGGTGGAAAGCAGGTTATTCTTCTCATCGTCGTGCTCAAAATCTTCTTCGAGGACGGCCCCAATCGCAGCGGCGTAAATAGCTAGACAATGCCCTGTTAGCGGAGACACTCGCTTTTGCTTGTTGCGGAGCATCATATCAGCAAATAGGAGGCCCTGTCGCAAACGATCCTCGGTGTAGTCGTCGATCTCGTTCGGGGGTGTCGGCACGGGCGGGCTACCAGCCTTTTCTTTGGGGTAGTCCCGCGACTCATGTTCATGAGTGGCCATTGCTGACGACCTGGCGTTGACAAACTTTGAAAGGCAGGTTTTAGGTGCGGTGAGGTAGAAGGGTGATCGAAGAATGTGGTTTGGGGATAGAATTTGGATGAAGAAAGGGGTTTAATGTGGGCTGCGGATGGAATTCGGATGGAAGAAGGTGTTTAATGTGGTTTGAGGATAGAATTTGGATAGAAGAAGTTGAGGTGTTTAATGTGGGTTGAGGATAGAATGTGGATGGAAGAAGGCGTTTTAGGATGATATATCTGGGTCGTGATGTTTATGTTTGGACCAAGTGTTGCCAAATTTTCGTTGGCACTTAATCTCAAATGTCAACTTCGACGAGATGAGACGCGATCTCAGTTGGAAACAGGTCGTAGCGTTCGTGACGGCAGTCCCATGGGGCAAGGCATGAGGAGCCTGGAGCAGTGGAGGTGGAAGCAGGCATGCACCAGGTACGTTAAGATAAATAAATGCTGGTGGCGGTCTGAAACTGATGACGAGGGCTTGCCTAAGGGCATGTGAAAAGACTCTGGAGTAAGGGCAAGGCTGTGATGATAATCGTAGGGCCTGCCAGCCCGGGAAGGAAGTAGCTCAGAAGCATTTCTACTTAGTATTTCGCATAAAAACGCGCTGGATAGCTTGGCCATATGTAGACTTCTCAGTTCCCAGCCCTCAACAACTAGAAATAGCAACCAGAAACAGCAACGAATATCCGGGGTTTACGTTTCAGAGTACGCTCTGCCTCATCATGCTCATGACTCTCGGCATCCCTAACCACTCGCTCCAGCCCGCCTCTAACACAACCATTGGGCCCTATCTTGACACCGAGAGGACAAACACACTGTCCAAGCTGTTAAACAATCTGATGTAAGGGGAGTGGCCTAATTCCTATCTCCAACCAACCTCCTCACTCGACTGCTCATCATCCAACTCCATTACTTTCCTAACATCCTCGTTTGCAGTTCTCTGCTGAAGTACGAAGCACGATCGTGTGGGTTCAGAAGAATCAGATTTACATAACGCGAATTAATTTTCAAACGACCCCATCGAGTATATGTCACTAAGCTCGACCGACCCTGTTTCTACGGCAGACTTCGGAATGATTCGTCCTTAGACCTCGATGAGGTGTTCTTCCTACTCTCTATCCCTACGATCAAAAATATGGCAAACCTTTGGTAGGATAACTGCGGTCCGCGTTTTAGGAAGATCAGAGATTTCCCATTACTACCATAGCCTTTATCACGGAGCGCCTACTAGCTAAAAGCATTCCCGTTGATCCTACCAGTCAACGCCGCTTCGGGCTCTCGCCATATGAAAGCTTGCATTTTCTTGGATATCGGCCATCATCTAGGTTAGTCTCGCCCTCCCACCGAATTAGACAATCTACACGACTTTAAATCCCCGCTAAATCCATTTCCAGTAGTGTCAAGCAACACTGAGAAGTTAGGGACTTAAGTGTCGATCAGCAAACGATGGTGTCTCGGGACAGTTGACACTCTCCATTTTTAACCACGACGGTCCGAAACCCGGTAGGATGCGTGGCTCGGTTGCGAGACATCTCCGTTGATGTTTACAAAATTTTTATAAATAGGCTTTCCCGTGAAGCCCACCTCCGCTTGGTTTCCATTTCAAACCGATGGCTCGGTCGGTGTCTTTGAGGATTTATTCGCAATTACACCATTGACACAACATATTCAACCTCGTTAATATTGTCGATTCTATTTATAACCATCCTCTTCTGCACGATAGATGGGAAAACAGATTCCCCTGTCAGGCGGCCCTGTGTTTCTGCAGGTGAAAAACGCGTGAGTTTCTGTCGGGAGGTGTGAACTCGACGTACCCGATTGGGGACCCGGCCATGTCCGGAAG